TATAAGGGTACTCATGCGCGTAATCAGGATCAATTTTCGAGGAGGGGGCTTAAAGTATTTTTAATACATGGACTTGTATAGTTGGTCTTTGTTATATTATAAATATATACTTTGTACTTTAAACTATTTACTTTGAAAATTTCGGGAGGGAGAAGGGGGGTTTGAACCCACAAAACCTTTCCCTGTATACGGGCTTGGGGGTACTCGAATCGCCTTCAAAACACCCGGAGGCAACGTGAATAAAAATGATAAACTACCTGGATTTGGCGGGGGCAATTCGTGTGCGCCGTTTCTTGTACTTTCTCATCGCCATATATTCAGTCTTTAGTTTTTTGACTTGACCGAAAAGTCGGCTTATAATATGATATTTATCGTGAGCAACTCGATATAATAAAGCTAGCTAACTATAACGGAAATTATTATGCGTACAAGGTACAAAAATTATGAAACGTCGAATCTAATTTGAATCGAATTATATGGCCATGTTTCAGCAATATTATAGCCACATTGAGTAGGTATTTGGTTGTTTTTTTTTAGATGTGGTGACATTGTTTTTAATTTGTTTTACTTCTGTTTTAAGTGTTTCATTGTTGCATTTGAAATAACGCGAGAGTATACGTTTATGTTGTCAGACGATCCACACGCGACACGCCTAAGTTGTCCAACTTATCAATTGCACTTATAATGTCGATAATAGTTTCTTACGCTATAATAAATACCGTTTACGAATATATCGAATACGTGATAAAATATTCCAGTGGATTCGTGAAACTAAAATCGAAAAACCCGACCGATGTAACATTCTTGAACGGCCAATGAAGCACACAGTGAATCGAGAAAGTTTTAGATTCTGCGAGCGCAATTAGAAATGTATTGGTTTTACTATGATGTGTGATTGAACGTTATTCAGAATCGTTGTTGGTTAGCAATCGTTTGCCGTTGCGCACAGATGTATCCGACTTTCCCGACTTTCCACCTACAATATAGTAGCGCACCCGCCAGCAGTATTCACTTTTTTTCGTTTAACTCTAAAGTTTCCACGCCCCCGATTAAATGTATATTATACTCCCGTATTTTCGTTTACCGGCAATAATTTAACCCGTTGGTTTTGCGTTTTTTTTCGCAGAGGGTCGGTGGATTCGACGTCCGCAATCAGATGGACACGATGACCGCCAAGATGACCGGTAAAATCCGAAACGTCACGTGCGTCATGCAAGAACTCGGATACGTAAGTGTTTCGACATTACGCATTTTTAATGTATCGCTTCGATTCCGCGAGATTATAAAAAAACCACATTATCTAAAATAATAATCCATTCGTTTGTTTCCGATCCACAGCTCAACCAAAACATGGAACCGGATTACGAGAACATGAACGACAGAGTGATGAGATTACCGATCGCCGAAGAACTCAAACAGGACATGGTCGACGGCATAACGTATTGCAAGAAATTTTCGGTAAGTTCGGTAAATGTCTGCCGTTTCAACAACGTCGTACGGTTGTTGATTTTTTTTTTTTTATTATTTTTAAATTCGAGTTTATTCCGTGGTTTGATACCAAACAGGTACATATTTGAATAATTTCGCCCGGCGATTACGGTAAACGTCGATCATCGTCGTTTCATAACATAAAAAAAAAAAAAAAATGGAAAATAGAACCGTTTTATTTCGTGTTACAATTCGCCATAATCACACGACACACATGCCGTGTAAATGTTATGCGAGGATATCATAGTGACTCGACGAGTCTGCTTTTCGAACACCGCGGGTTACATATCGGTACTATGCAAATCTTGAAAATCATTGAAAAACGATACATATATTTTTTTTTCCATTACGTATTACTAAATGATTCCATTTTTTTTTTGAGATCGCCTATCCATTATTCACCTATTTAAATTCTACGTCATGATGCGCATTATCGAATTATTCCGTTGTAGTATTTCGATTTACCGACGTAGGTACCTAAATACCTGTAAGGTGCCAACCCAACTTGTTTTTTTACTATCAACATTATTGTTTACAATCGCTTATTGATGCCTCGCCTAACATATTGTGTTACGTGCCAACAGATGTGCGTGCCGGACGAGAGGAAAGACAAGTTCGCCAAGGAGTTGGTACGGCCAATGTTCTTTTTCAAATGCTATAAAGTACGTCAAACACTATATTTACTGCACGATTTGTTATATAATATTTTCGTTTTTATTAGTATCGTTCACATTATTACGGGTAGAGCCCGATAATGCACATAGCAACTTATTACGATTAGGTAAAACATAAACGAACGGTTGATACAGTATACGTAGTGGCGCGCACAGGAATTTGCAACGGGAGTAAACGTAGCAAAATGATAGTCACGATTCACGAATAAATCGTAGAATCTTCCTTGGTTATACATCGTCAATAGCTCGGACAGTGATTTTTTAAAAGCCGGACTCAAAAAAGCCAAATTTTCATATATCAAGCTAGGGAATAAGCGTGGGAAAAGTCCTGCGTACGTTACACTGAACACCCTTCTCTCCTTGAATTTTACGTGGTCCGATACAACCACCTTTAGTTCGTTTTTTTTTTGAACTTTCTACGACCGTTATAACCGAAATACTGAGAGAACAGGAGCGGATTCAGAAATTTTCCAAGCTGGGGAGGCACTTCTTTTTATAGACATAAAATTATACTGTTCTTCTCATTTTTTATCGAATGTTCGCATTTAACTGATTTTATTATTCGTGTAAAATGGAGACGTCATTTTCAAAATATGTTTAATACCCGCACGTGCAGTTTTTATTCAAATTATTATTCGGGTTATAACGTTCAATACATCGTTCAAGAATAAAACCTAATTTATCGTTTTTAAATGACTGTAACATATTAAAAAACGGATTCAAACGCATCGTCTTGCCCCCCGGAATATTATCCTCTTACAATTTTTATAATTGTTGCTTTTACTCTAAAACCAAAATCAAGCGAGTTCTACGTGAACTACGTAAAGTAGATTTCGCTATATCGCCCGTTAGTTTGACTGTGACAACACACGCGGGTATAGGCGTCCCCTTAAGATTCAATATTTATTTTATGTAATTAAGGTATAAGAATGTAATTAGGTAATGTCAACTAAAACTTTACTAGTGATAAGTAGTTTCAGTGTACAAAGAACTCTAAATAAAATGCACAATTATTCAAGGAAAAATTACTCAATAAACACTCATGGCAGTTGTATTTTTAAGCTACGCTATTATAATCTACATTCGAAAAAAAAAAAAACAAATCACGCGGATAACAATAACAATAGGTTCGGACGACAATATTATTACGGAAAACGGGCGGCCGTTGAACCGTAGTGGTTTATTTACCGGTCGCCGCGATTCATGCGACTCATGCATAGAGATAAAAGGAGTTATAGATAGGTACACAACCACGCTAAAAAAGTGGTTCGCTTAAAATTCCGCGCCCTGATGACATTTGTTTGCAACTACGTCATCAATTAATTTTAGATTCTCGGTGTAGCGAAGAATAAATTAGTTTTTTAAAGATGTTAATTTTTTTTTTAATGTAAACACTTTTTCTACCGAAAAGCTCACCCCGATGAATACGATGTAGCCCCGTTTCTGAAAGGAAATTCTCTCGGAGTGGTACTTTAGGGAGATAATTTTTCGATTTTTTCATGAAATGTGATAAACCTCATTAATTTATGTGGGTACCAAGTATTGCAAAACAAAAAACAATCGATACAATATAATAATTAACTGTATCCAGCAAGATACCGTTCAACCACTACTTAAACACTTGAAAATAAATTCGTTTTAACTCAACAATTTTACATTGTTGTTTATTTTTTTCACTTTTCGATTTCATAAACGATAAAAACGCTCAACAATTTCGACACGGCACCTATGTCATATACCTACGTCAAAAGATCCGGAATTACTACGTATTTGCTGTTTTGTGCTTGTCTTGTTAATATAGTATACTATACATCTAATTGTATGTTATTATTATTATTTTTTTTTTTATGTAATTAACAGCATAAAAAGTTGGAATCGTGTATAATGAAGGATATCAGAGACCGATACACGGCCGAGGAGTTCGGCGAAGACAACATGGTGACGTCCGAACGGTCGATGAGAAGTTCGCACTTTTTGGAAGACGACACCATTGAGCAGACGGTGTTCGATTATATTTACGGTGACAAGTCCATAGACTTGGACGTGTTGCTGTGAGACAATCCGCGAGCGTTTTTATTGTATTAATTATCGACTTTAGCGTGACAAAAAAAAAAGAAAAAAAAAACAATAAAAATAAAAATAGTTGCGGGGAAAACAATCGTTTGCGTCTTAGAAAACCAAATTGTATGTTTTAAAAACAAATTAATAATAATCATTTTTTTTTCGCTCCCATAAGGGTGGACAACCTAACCTAATAAGTAATTTATTTATCAATACTATTATTGTGTATTATCAGTCCTGGTTTTAAAACGCCACTGATGTGTAATAAAATACGACTAACAGTGGCGTTTCGAAATCAGGACGCCACAATCCCGAACGGAATATTCGTGTATTTATTATTTATTTTAAATTATTTTTAGTGTAATATTATTTATAATTATGATGACGTATTGAATATGTGTAATAGTACCTATATTTGTGGATTTTATTTCATCGATAAGTACCTACATTTCTCTCTCATTTCGTGTAGTAGTTATTTTAAATTATTTTAGTTCCCACCTAATATTATAGTTTATTTATTTATTATTATTATAAAACTATTTAAAATACATTTTGATACTTATATATTATTATATGTTTGTTGATTTTTATTTATCTATATTATATTATTCCGTTACTCTGCGATACATACCTACTGCACTCTGCACTCTTATTTCAGTAAAAATTAACCATCCGACAAAGTATTGGTAATAATTTATTGTGTTGATGATCACTTAATATGGTTAATTATTATCAAGTGGATAATATTGGCAACAACATATTGTGTACATCGAATAGTAATAATAATAAAAATAGTTTTTTATTCAACAAGTATAAAAGAACAAATTTCTCACATGATAATAATAACAATAATGATAATAATTGTGAATAATAAATTATTGTTATTACATTTACTTAATTGTTTTAATGTTTTTAATTCGTTATAGCCATACACATCTAAACAATATCTTAGTTTACTAAGACTATTTAGTTTACTTCATAAAAATAATATTATGTCGATATAGTAGTACAATAATTAAAATGGTTGAAAATGAAATGAATTATAAAAATAATAGCACTTAGTGTATAATAATATACGATGATGTAATGTAACCATCACGCACGATGATTGAATAATTCGAAAACAAAATAAAAAGTATAATAAAATTAATAGTATAGGTAAAAATAATAATAATAATAATAATAATATTATTATTATAAAATAATGGGGGGAATGGAGAGGATGGAAAACTTTAATATGCAACGAAAATTCTAGTCAAATCTCCTGCATTAGTTTTATGACAATAAAACTATATAATATTATTATATAATAATAACCTTAACGTTACTTGTGTCGTGTTAAATATTTTACTAAATAATGATAATAATAATAATAATAATAATAATAATAAACACGTTTTGATTGTAAAATCATTTTTACTTGACTATAATGTCCGAGTAATTGTTTTCGCTGTCTTTGCGGCTAAACAATCTCATGCGACCAGCGTTTTGAGCGGCACTGCCAATCACTTCCATCCATCTAAAAATTACAAAAAAAGGACTTGAAATAGTAAATACAAGTTTAAATCTTTTAGATTCGAACCGATTTTTTTTTTTTTATTATTACTATTTTAGGAGGTTTAAAGGAAATTTCATCTGGGTGATACTTTAAGAAAGTAATTTTTTGATTTTCCCAGCTATTTTCATTTAAATGGGAAAATCCGGGAAAATTTACAAAATGTGTTGTTTTTAATTTTTTGTTTTTATTCAGTTAAAAATATTTGTAGAAACTTGAAGTTTAGACATAAAACTTATATTTGTCCTTTTTAGACGTGGTAAAATGTGCAAACTATTGTAGCAATTTTTGAGCTATTTATAAACTTTTTAAATTTACGGGGGTTTTTTCACGTAATTTTTATTTGGTGGCACTTTGTGAATAAAATAAATTGTTAGACCAAACAGAAATGTTAACAAATTTAACAGGAAGTTGATTATAGGTCATACTTTGTGGTAAAAAAAAAAAAAAAATGAGTGCAATGTAGAATTTTGTACAATAATTTTAATAGCAAAGTTCGACGAAAGTCGTTTTGTTAAAAAAAATTAATAAAGAAAATATATAAAATGCAAAAGTAATAAAAGTAATTATTTTGCCATAATATTGTTGACAAAGCTCGGATTTTTTTTTTCAATTTACAATAAATTTTGATTAAAATCACAGCTGACATCCGTTATGAAGTAAATTATCAATCTTTTTTTTTAGATGTTCCGTTAGGGCGTTAGACAATCTACAAGTTTATTTTTTATGGAAACTGGCAAAACGATCGATGCACAATCAAACGTCACACATTCCACTCATTGTTCGTGCAACTCGAAATGAAGATCCGTGATTATTGAACACAGAACTTTATTCGTGGACATATCGCCGACAAATGAACACACCCAATATCAATTATTATAATATCAATATATTTTATATTTATACACCAAAATAAATGGCAGGTCATTATCAACAATATGCAATAACGCAATAGTAAAAACCCCCGTCAGTTAAAAAATAGCACGCATTCAAACACAACTGTAGTGTTACCATAATAGTCACACTAGGCTTTAACGGGTTAACCGAACTCTGCTCAGAATCGTTTTTCATTAGCGATGGCTAATCGTTGTGCACAGATATAAATTACGCTTCCTCTTTACCTTCCGAACTTCGCATCTACAAAAGTGACCCACCCATCGTGCGAAATATGCCCCGTCTTTTTTTCACCTTTAAATTTCAATTATTTCGACCATCAATATACCGATATCATTTGAAACTTAATTATCATTGTATTAAAAGAAAAAAATATATTGAATCGTAATGAAGAATATAATCAGCCCACTTTCCGGACAAAGTGCGGAAACAAATAGTTAAATTATTGTTTTTCGAACCAAAACTGTTGGGGATAAATGATTTTCGGACAGTGAAGCAAACTGCAAAAACAACAATTGTCACCAGTAGCGGCAGATCATTACCGGTCATCAATAACTTACTAAAATTTGTATTAATAATTTGTATACGACCAAAGAATTTTTTGTAAGCCAGTTGATTTCAATGGACGTTAATTATTATTATTAAAAAGCAATAGTAATTCGTTAAAAAAAATATATATTAATGCCTCGAAAGAAAAAAATCCTTAGAAAACTAAACAATATAAACACTGTCCGTACTAAAAAAAAAAAAACCACGAGTTTTAGCGCTAAACACAAAAGATTTTCCACTTTTAGTTGCTCATTCTTTTTTTTCTTTTTTACTGTAACACTAATTTGTGTTTGTGTTTATATTTTTGCATTTTACCAACCTGCCAAATGTGTATTCACTTTCAGCTCTGAAAAAATAGACGTGATTTTTGAATTGCAACTTGAACACAAAATCTTTCTGGATGGAGTCCTTTTCGTTAGGTTTCGAGACGCTGTAGCCGAGCAGAGGCAAACTGGCAAGCGGCGAATCGTCTTGGAACGACTTGTAGAAGAACAGGCAGAAATTGGTGAACACGACCCATAGTTTTTGCCAACCGTTGCTGTTTTTGAACTTGCGCAACAGGAAACCGCTTAACTGGTTCTGTACAAACGATACATGTTAATAAAATTGTTGTCGTTGACAAATAATTCGGGTAAAAATGTACAAAGTATATATAAAAGTACACGATCAATCAAGATTGCCAGTTGCTCGTGTTGCAAATGAGTGTTTATCATCATCGATGATGAATTTTAACATGTTCGATTTTTGGTTTAAAAAAACTGACACAAACTTTAAATGAATTCTTTAGCACTGGGTCTACGAAAACATTATATTTTACATATCTAGTGTGAGATTCGGAGAAAGTTCGGGATCCGTAAAAAAGTTAACCCACTGAAATAGAAGACAATATACTCACTTCGGTAGCACGGAGATGATCGGCCATGCCGATACTTGTGTTCCGGTGCCAACAAACGTGGACAGTAGTGTTGTTTCTTTGAGCCCCACCGCCATTCGGCAATTTGCCGTTGATTTCGGTTAGGGTTCCGTTACAGTCACCATTGTTGCTCATCATGTCATCCGAAGAACCTGCACAGTTCAGAAACATTATATCATATTGTTGGTGTAGTGGCATTCAAAGGCACACACGAAAAAGAAAAACTCATCTCCAAAATTATTTAATAAAAATCATATTCTGAAATTCTTTAAAGTAACTGGTAAGTACATTTAGTGTAAATGGGTCTATATTTAAAATTATAATTGTTTTATTAAATTATTTTAGATAAATATAGTACAATTAATATAAAAATTTAACTTAAACTACTCTCTATAAATAGATACTCAATAGAGCTTGACTTTATATATAAATATTTACTGTTGCATGATAACAACATTTCGGCAAATGATAAATTGTTTCGCTTGATTTTCTATAAAATCTTAAATTTTAATATATTTTGTCATAAATAAATGTTTTTACATATTTAAAATTATTTCATTTTTTTCTCAAATAATAGACCATTTTTTGAAAATTGTAACTACTATAACATTATATTTATCAATTTATTTATAAATAAAATTGTATCATCTGAAGAACCAGATATCTTATCTTAGTTCAAATCTAGTTTTTATTAGACAAAAAAAAACACTGTGGCAACAAAAACTTTAATGAGCAGTAGAATATAGTGCATGTTTTATGGGTTTAATTTGTATTTGTTGTTTATAAAACCAATAATTTAATTAATTCGTATAAATCATAATTTTTTACGTATAAATACTAAATAGATAATAATATAAACTTACTGCAGGATTTTAAACTCAAATAAACATTTGGAGGCTCAATATGTGTAGTCCGTTCTCCTTTATACGCCTGTACACTCTCTGCAATATCCTCCAGCCATTTATCTTTTTCCTCCTGACTATTCGCCGCAATTGTGATTACCCTGCAATCATAAAACAATATTTACTAAATATTATTTTTATAAAATTTGTTATTTTCAGAAACGGCACTCGAGCCACATGCACAAATTGGCCCACTGTCCGATGAGTACTAGGTAAGTATAAAATAATAATAATATATAATATTGTCAACCGTTTAAATAAAACCATAATCAGCGACTAATTTTTTGCAATAATATCTTCATACCTGTTGTTTGAATAGATGGAAAAAGAATACTGTGTCGGGTTGTCGGTTCGTTCTTCAACAAATAAATCATTGAGGGGTATCTGGCCGTGGACGCGAAACATGTGGCCAACCCTTGCCGTGTAAAACAACATATCAGACATCTATATTGGCATGCACAAAAGCGCAACACTAATGTTAAGCTGAACACAAATTTCTTTTAAGCTATATAGTTAAATAATAGTTAAATTATAAGCTTGATCGAGCCTGTGCGGCCGCATCGAGAGCTACAAACTGGTAATGTCATTGGAATACACAATATAGTAATTGAAAAAAAAAAAGGGTATTTTTTTTTTTTTTTTTTTTACACCAGTCGACCACAATTTTGTTAGGTACATAAACACGAATGAAAATTTACATAAACAATAATCTGGATTTTTATTGAAATTATAAAATTTTGCTAATAAATAATTGTATGTTAATTTTTTTAAGAAAATGTTCTTGTGATAATTGTGTGCGCACACATTTTTTTGCAAAAACAATTTTTCTTGTGAAAATATAGTTTATAATTACCTAAATATAATAGGCAATACATCTATTTCTCATAATAGATCCAAATCTCCATACAAATGTAATTTAAAGTTATTTTTTTGTTTTTAATTAATTATAAACTTATTTGAAATAAAATATTTTAATAATCACCCTGCAAATAATACATTTTTTATTAATACCGAAATGAACAATCTAATTTAACTTTATTCCTTAAAATAGTGTTGTATTTTCAGCAACAAATACCATGTTATATTTTCATCACGCAATTAACTTATATGCATAAACCATTGTCCTATTCGAAAAATTGACTTAATAACATTACCATCTATTAGAATGCCCTGTATTGTATACTTGAAATATTTTGTTGGTTACTGTACCTTTTATATTTTTAACAAATTAATTTAAAAAAAAAAAAAAAAAAAGATTTTTTCAATACATTTTATTATTTAAATAACTCTGAGTTGTCGTGTTTAAAAAAAATTGTGTTTTAATTTAGATATTATTTTAAATTTGTATCCCATTGTCTAATCTTGAAAATTTATTTGAAAACAAAAATGATGTCACAGTTCATTTACACAATGTAATCAAAACAACACCAATCAGTGACCAATCATCAACCATATAAGAGTTTGAAAAATTGAAAAAAATTTTTTAAAAAATCTAATGAGAAATAATAACTAATAATAAATAAATATTAATTAGAATAAGTGATAAAATAATATTTCTATAAAATGTCTTCTTAAATATACACAGAAAAAAAAAGAACATTATAACATTAGAATAATATACATCTATGGTGATTCAAAATTAAATATTAACCCGTTTCAAAACCAAATTATCAAATAAAAAAAAAAGTTTTAGATACATGATGCTTTAAATACACATTAAGCACCATTGATTTTTACTAGTTTTTATAAACTTTAATAAATACTAGTTTTTTCTCTGCAATTTTTGATATTTTCCAGAAAAAACTGTTGATTCCCGGTTTCAATATTTCCATACATTTTCTATCGCTAGACAATCACGTGGTAAAAAAATAATAGTAAATAACTTATTAAGAAAATATTATGATTATCTATTTTAATTTGTTTTTACATATATTATGAATTAAATTTTGACTCAATGGTAACTTTTTATAAACAATAGGAATAACACCCAGATTCTTTTATCACTAAAAATTCCAAAAAAAAAAAAAAAATTCATCAATCAATAAAGAATGTTACGAATAATCAAAAATTGAAATCAAACAAGAACTTTCTTAAACACTTTTTGTAAAATATATATATATATATATATACATTTTACAAATAATTTTCTACACTGCCCACACATAATTACTCTTACAAACGAAAACCAACAACAAATATCATGATTTTAAAATTATCACAAAAATATAATAACATTAATCATTTTTCAAATATGTTCAACTTAACACAATATTTTTACGATATTTTAAAAATGATAAGAAACAAAACCAATATAATTTGTATTTATTTATATTCAGCAGCATAAACTGTGTTTAGTTTAACTTTCTTATCTTCTTATACGTATCTTCTTTCCACTATAAATAAATATATAAGTAACTTTTATTTTTTAATATAAATATCGAGGAACATGGGGTTTATAATTATAATTTGATCATAGAAATAGATACAAAATCATTAAAAGAATATTATATTGTTGAAGCAACATTACAATATATAATTATTTTGATTTTGTTTAAAATATTGTTGGCTCTCCATAATTTGGATATTATGTATGGATAGCGCACCGCACAGAAAGGGCTGCTAAAAATAAACAAATAAGATAATGTTAAAACATGCTTCAACTTGCCAGAAAAAACATGCGCTGTTGGTAACCTTTTCTTTGTGAAAATTTGGTAAGACACCCTTGTCGTACAAACTCTCGGCCTGTAACATGAAGACTTTCAACGCCAACCATATCTCTTTCCAATTCACAAAGCTGAACAAAATTCTCCTAAACAGCAACCAAATAAAATGTAATACAATAACATTAAAGCAGGTACATACAATTTAAAAATTACACAAATAGTAAATTACCGATCTGCGAAGTGCACTTGGCAATCTCTTAGTCACTTTTAATAATTTTACTCTGGCTTCCAAACAGTTATTGTAATCTAAGTGGGAAGGGCCATAGTGTCTTATTAATTCTAAAAAAAATATAAATATAATGTTAATTTATTGTAAAAATTATTTATATCAAAATTGCATACTTTCTAATAAATGGGAATAGTGGAGTAATCTTTGAAGTGGTTTCAACACAAATGAAGACAACGGCAAATAGCACACCTTCTCCATTTCAAAATCTTTATAAAATGCTTCAAACTTCTTGTTAGTGCGATATGCATGATCAATTTTCTCTAAAACATTTAAGTGTTCGTCCAAATACTGATCATACAACTGAAAAAATAGTTTTAACATTAATCTAAATATAAATAAAATCAAAATAATTTTTTTAAAAAACTATACTTCTAAATTATTAAAATGCTGCACTAAAATATCAGCTATACACGGAGGATCCCAATTATTTAATCTCATTTCTACATCCTTCAAAAATAATGAATGTGCATCATATATCGGGTCAATTAAATTGAGCAACATATTAACTGCTTCTATCTGTCCCATTTCATCATCTTCTTTGCTCATATTATCTCGCAACCACTAATAAATCAATTACAAACAATGAATATTTTTTTTTTTTTTGTGTGTGCGGTATATTTTACTTACAAAATTAATGACTTCCAAATCTTTCCTGTAAGTGCGTTCCGTCATCAATATCTCTTTAGTAATAAAATATGCTCTATCTGTAGGTCTCTGAAAATTAAAAATAAAATTATAATAAAAAGAATATTACTAAAAAAATAAATAAACAAATATATTGCGTGATTATAATTAAGTTTTATTTATTGTATCATGATAATAACTCACTTTACGTTTTGTATCAGTGACTTCGATGTTTTTCATCAAAGTTTCATCTTTAGCAGTCATAATTGTGCTGACGTTACTATAATGATCATTACTAAAAAAAAATATATAATTAATTTAATTTGTTTTTTTAGTAAATAGTATAGGGTGACCATTAAAATAAAATAAAAATATAGGACACTAAAATTAAATAAATTAAATATGATACAAGTATAATGTATACTTATATCATTTTTACCTAACTATAATTATTATAATTTACAAAAACAAAATTAATGTTAGCTATATAAAGGTTTTTGAATACCTACAAATAAAATATGTATACACAAAGACAATTTTATTTTCATGTTGACCAGTTTCTTCTTCTGCTGTTTTGTGTACTTTAATGCTGAACTAATTTTAACAAGTATAATTTATTATCTTTTAATAAAATATTGTAAAACATATTACAAGACTCGTTTATAAAATGAGATCATTACTTATTATATACCATGTGTAAAACAATATACCTCCTAAATAGTCAAAACAATAACATACAAAAACCATTGTAGTGTAGATTTTATTGAATAATACCATGAAGACATTAAATAAATAAAAGTTATACACTAACAGTAAGGGGAAAACAGGATTAATTGCGGACAGACTTGAAAAATGGGACAAAATGTATCCTGAATAACTTTTGTCAGGACAATGGGACAATCTCATATAATACAGGACGTATGGTCACCCTAAAATAGTAAAAAGCATTTAATGTGTTACCTTATATTTCCTAATGATCCATTTGTTATATGATTTTTCGGAGTAGATGATGTTATGATACCATTTTCTTTAACTGACGTAGTAGACAAGCAAGATGTAGATCCATTAATTTTTTTAAATGGTGAATCCATCTCTTCCGGAATGTCACCTTAAATTTAAAAAATTTATTAACAAATCTTTTATACACAAATATTGTAAGGCAAAATAAAATAAACATATCATGCGTAGTACAATAATTCACAATAGGAATAATAGAGATAAATAAAAAATAATAATAGTAATATAGGTAATCATTATAATAACCATGAATTTGTGCAATTTAATAAAAACTAAAATAGGGATGGGTTTGTGACTGCAAAAAAAAATAATCTTTAATAATTTGATTTAAATCATTATAAATAATACGCTTGTTGCAAAATAAATAATGGCATGTACAAAAAAAAAAAAAATAATAATAATAATAATAATAATAAATGACAAGCAATTTGATGATATGATAGATGAATTTCAGTAAAACATTAGGGTTCAACATACATTTTTTTTTTTTTTGTAACTATAATTATTCAAAACTCACTTAAGACTCCGTCAGGTAAAACAGGATATGCTTAACACGAATGATTTAAATGGACATTCAGTAAAAAAGATATAATGTATAAACGGAAATTATTAAAAATATTAAAACATTTCTACATAATATATGCATATATATATTGTTTTTTTTATTAATTATTGTATTTTATAGTTGTTTATATGTACACAGTAAAATGGTAGATATAATAAGTATAATTGTTTATAAAAATTTACAAAAAGAAAAACAAATAACTAAATACCTAGTTATTCAGTTTGAAAAAAAAAAAAAAATTACAACTAGGTATATAAATTAAAGAAATGCAATTAAATAATAACAATATTCATAAATACGAAAATGTTTAGAAATGCATTATAAATTATTTATTTTTTTTTTTTGTCGAACCCTCTCTCCTCACAACAAAGTATGGGATTTTAACAATAATTATTAATTATAGTTATTTAATAAAACAAAATAACTATAAAACATAGAGAAAGACACGATGCAACAAACAATTTATCAATATTATTATTAAAAGAGAAAAAATGAATATGTTTATTTTGATGAATATTTTAAATATCTAAAAACAAAACTGTATTTAATAATATTATTATTATTATTATTATAAATTAGAGTTAAGGAAGACTGTTTGAAGTTAATATAATAATATGTAAGTTTATGTAACATTTAAAAATGTAATTTGTAGACATTAAAATTGTATAAGAATAAATGTTAGAGGACCACATAGCATGTGTATCACACATACATGGTACCTACTTATGGTGTATTCATTTATTTCTCTTTTAAATTCTATAATATAATATATTAGTTTCATCTTATTGTTATATTTCCTGACAATTATACATTAAAACCAATTCTAAATTGCAACAATATTTAATATCAGTCTATATAATATATTAAAATAGTTTATTATTTATATAATTATCTGTTTGGTTTACTTCCTCATAAAACATTATAATCTAACAAAGTATAATATTGATATATCACTATCCACTTATAGGGTGGCGGGTTTGCCAGGTTTAGTATTTAATGTTAATTTATATTTTACTCAATCGAGTTGACAAATGTTAAAATTAAACTATGATATTTCTATGAATTTGAAAATTAAATTCATACTGTTTAAATATACACATTGAGCAACAAATAACCATAAACTTAATCAATATATTTTCAAAAAGAAATTTATATCATAATTTAACTAATAATTGTTAGGTAACTATTTTAGATCATATTCTATGGATGCTCCATCCATAGTACATCTTTCATTTTTGTTTAATTAATAAAAAAAACTTGTTGCCAATATTATCGAAAAATCTCCCAATAGTCTTCACTAAATAAATTATTGTGTCGCATCATGCACATGTCTAGCTCCTCATCTCCTCATACAACGACTTGTCGCTAATATTAGCAACAAGAAACTACACTGTGGCTCCATCCATGATATTACATAATCTAAGGTATTTACTTATTATGTAGTTCAGCAATGATATTTTTTTTAGTATCAATATCTATAATATTATCACTATCGTAAAAGTGAAATGAATAAACAACAATCAATACTGATAAATTGATATCCAATGACAATATTTGAGTTTTTTATAAGCAAATAATAAGTGGTATGATTGAAGTTAAAACAGTCATGTTATCAATTATCACTAATAGTGATAAATGACAATATTTAATAGAATACATTCTAGGCTAAATGCACCATCTTTAATGAAAATAAATAATAATTAAATATGTTGCCTTATCTAATAAATACTAAATAAATTAACTAAAATTTACCATATTTGCTATTTATATTTATATTTTTTCATTTATTAATATAAAATCCACTCCTTTAAAATTTAGAAAATACCGCGATAGGTAATTCAATAAGATATCGATACGGAAAATTTATCTTAAAATGGCAGATATCGATATTGTTGCAGATCACATATACTAATAATATAAAATTAAACATTGGACACACTCGCCACCCATGAAAATAAAATGTGATTAAAAATAACTTATTTTTTTCTAGACAATACAATTCAATATTGTACACAAATACAAGTTCCAAAATAGTAATTTTAAAAATATTAACTACCTAGTTATGTTATAAACTTAAAATGAATAACAACTTGTTAACACAACATAATATCTATTATTTAAACATATTGAAAAAAAAAACAAAACAAATTTTGATGATAAACTTCTATAACATCACTATCACAACCGAAAAAAAAATATTTATATTAACATCAATATTAACTAATATTAGTTATGAAATTCCAATCAAATTATTTGTAACAAATTTACTTCCTTAAAACAAAATATTATTGTAATTGTATTTACCATACTACACCCTAAATGTCATTTTTTAATCTAATGTAGTATTTATTGGTTTAATTGAGGTTAGGGTATTTTTAACAGCATTGAATATTCAATATAATATAACTCAGTTTATACTTTAGTGATTTGTATCACTTTGGGTTTTCTTTTTAATGTATGCGTGTAACGCCTTCTTTTAGAAGCCCTAGGTATTGTATTTGGCACATTGGGTGGCTCTTGGGCCTCGAGTGATGATGATGAGGCGTCACTAGGTGGACTTCGAGTTAATGAAAAATACGAGTGGCAACGAGCTCTAGTAGACAAAGTCTTTGACTTTGGTCCAGGCGCATCTAAAGACGCAGGACCATGTGCCATACGACTCTTTCTATTTTTCATACTAGTCTTAGGTAATTCGAACATGTGTGGTGGTGGTCTGTAGAATTTCGATTCATCAGACTCAGTAAAAGGAGAATCGTATTCATCAGAATCTTGGTTCAAAAACTCTGGCGGTGGACAAACATTATCGTAATGATGTAAAATTGTTGCGTTACTCGAAAACTCGGACGTAGACACACCAGCTGATGTATCATCGCCAAACGATAGTCTAGGCTTATTTGTAGAGGATACTCGTTTAGGCTCTTCCACTTCTTCCATAAAATCTTCATTATGAATTGTTTTTGCGTCTTCATCATCTTCAAAATTTTTTGGATCAACAGGCGTGAGTTCTTCACTAATAGGAGAGGGCCATTGTTCAACTGGTGTAAGTTCTTCACTTTTAGGAGAAGGCCATTGTTCAACTGGGGGAGGTATATCAAACGCATACTCTTCCGGTAATGGCGGCAAATCTGGTAAACTGTCCATTGCATCAGAACACAAACTCAGCTGACAATCACTAGATAATATTGAATCGTCCATAGACGCAGATTGAGTAGAATGTCTTGTCGATAACTCGTCATCTATTTCAGACTTTTCCGAAGTACTCTGTTCACTTATTCTTGACAATGTCCGAGATATACCATATATTCCATAACCAATAAGATACATACCAGAATAAGTAACATCTGGAGTTGGCGGTAAAGGACTAGATGTAACATCTTCTTCGTCAGCAATGTTTCCGCTCATATCATCTATATGAGGTGGGTCATCAAGACTAGAACTACCAGAGCTTTCTAACGAGAGCTTGTGATGTCGTTTAGGCTCTAGCTTGGGTGGTATTTCAATGCAGCCCAATTTGTTAATCAATTCAGCGTGATCAATTTCTTCTACAAATACATCTGAATTTGATTCTAGCTCTTTTTCACATAGATCATTTTTCTCAGATATTGTATTGTCTGCTTCAATTACAGTATCCTCAATAATTTCTGAAACACTCTGACCTGTTTTTTGATTAGTACGCTTTGTTTCATCGGAACTTTGCGAATCAAGTTCTTTGAATGGTATTTCTTCGCTACTACCAGAATCATCTACTGATACCCAATCATCGTCAGTAGAGCATTTATTATTATTAGATTTATTATTTTGCTTATGAATATCAGTATCCCCCATACAAATAGTTTCGGGTACAATAAAAGTCTCATCTTCAAAATCCCTATGTTCATAATCAACAACCGCTGCCCCATTCAGTTCTTCCGACTCCCATGTTTCGATTTCAAAATTTTTTAATTTCTTAAATGAGTCTAAACGTTCTTGACGAGTACTTGAACGTCTTCTCTCAGGTGTTATACTCGGTGACAACGAATTACTATCATTTTTCTCAGATTCCATAACAACAGCATTAATTAAATATGTGAGACATTCTACAACAGTTTCATCAACTTTAATGTTCCACCATTTAATTGGTTTTTCTTCCAATTCTACATCATCTTCATTGTCTACTGTATCATCTTTACTAGAAAACGATGTGACTAATGGAAGTTGATTAAGTGAAACAACTGGTGCATCTAAAGATATTGCACGTCTTTGAGATTGGATTTGACCAGTAACATTTGGAAAAGCTGATCCTTCTGATAAACCCAATCTGGCAAAAAGTACAGGGGATTTTTCTCGCTTTTGAGGTATTTTATCAGGCAATTTTTTTCTTGGTAATTCGGCTGTTGACCTATCTGTTTTTATAGTATTAGTAAATGCATCAAAAGCAGCAATTTTCGAAGCCAAACAATGAAATGAATCAATTTTATCATTTTTTGATTCAAGAATCTTTGGTTGAGACATTGTTGTTGATTGTGAATGTATCATATTAGATAATGTATTTTTTAGTTTTAATTTAATTTCATTTGAATTATTACCATCTGGAACAACTTGCTCTTCATTATTTATTTCAATTATTCTCGGTTTAACATTCTGAGCCAATTCAGTAGTTAAAGGGCTTTTTACAGAATTGGACACAATATCAGGAAGAGCATTATACTCCATTAGTTTATTGGCATTTATTTTATTATTATCACTTATTACAACATTTGGCACTACATGATTGGAGTTTGAAGCTAAGGCGGAAGCTATTTTTATTTTAACAGCAGAAGATTTAAAAACGTTTTCCTTTCTTGGACTATTTGATATACGTCGTTCAGGAGATACTCCTGGTGAACTAGATGCAATTGATGTAGAAGCAGACCCTAAACTTCTGTTTTCCCTACTACCAGAAGAATCCTTCCTTAACTTTTTACCTTTCCCCCCTCTATATTCCACAATAATTATATCTTCAGGTTTTGGGATTTGGATTTCTTCTTCACCTGGGTCGATGTTTATTACTTCTACTTTTTTCAATCCAGTATCTGCACTTCGAGGTTGGTAACAAACTTTCTTACATTTATTTGTCGGTACAGAATCTGCACTATGACAAGTCTTTAATTTATGAATTCTTTCATCTGTTATTGGTCTCGTTTCAGATTCATTAAATGAAATTGATTTGTATGCCATTTGAATGAGTTCCGAACTTTTGCATGTAGTTACAACGTTATCATGATATTTATTCAATAAAACTGCATCCAAATCAACAGGACTCTCTTCTTCAACACTAACATTACTAGTGGATTGTGTTGATAACGATAAACCAGAATCTTGTGAAAAATGATCTGAACCACATTTAATTGTTGACCATTTAACTGTATTTTCTTCATTAGGCGAACCTTCGATTGTGTGTCGTTTATGCAATATATAGGGTATATCTAATTCAAGTTTAACGGTACTTGGTTCAAAATTATCAAGAGGTGTCAAGTCTATAGATTTTTGATGTAGAAGTCTATGTGATTTTTTTTTAGGAGCACTCATATATGAATCACTTTTAGTACGCTCCACGGGGACATGACCAGTTTCATTTTTATTTTCAAATGCTTTAAATCGAATAATATTATTAGTAAAAATTTGCTCTTTACTTCTGGAAGCCAATTCTTTTTTACAAATTTCATTAAATTTATTGAATTCTATATCTCTATATTTAGGCTCTAAATAACCAAATCTTTTTTCAATTTCTAATATATTTTCATTATTATCGTTTTCAACATAAAATATTTCATCATCATCGTCGCTAATATTATTATCATATTCCTCCTTTTCTAATAATTCATATGAATCTTGACTAACATCATCTTGATACATATCATCTGTATCTGGTACAATTCTAACACTACCAGCCTTTTCGAGTTTACGATCACTACCACTTTCAGTTGATAAACTAGAAGTGGTACCAGGATAACTGCTTGAAAAAATTTTAGTAATAGGATGATCTAATGAACTATTTCTATCGAATGAAGAATTTACTTCTTCATTTTCAAAAGGGTGAGTTTCTCCAGAACAAGATCTAGATGAATTAAACTCTTTACAGCTAGAGCTACGTTGCCAACTATAAAAAGAAGGGGTAGATTTATCAACAAGTATTAAATCAGTCTGACTAGATTGACATTTAATATCTTTGTAAAAAGTTTCAGAATATCTTGATGACGCATATGACTTATCAGTGTCATAACCGTCTTCATAATAATTTGACCTGATAACATTAACACGGGTGCAAGGCCTAGTGCAAATGGCGTTTGGGTACATAATAATGTTGTTTACGGCGGAATGTTTCTGACCTGGATCGTTGACGCTGTACGAGCGCTGGGATGAAGTGATGGAAGTTATGTCCGAAGTCGTCGTCGTCACTGTCGTCGGATGTGAGACTTGAGCAGTCAACACCCCTCCAGGCACCTCCTGGCGACGGACTGCGTTCGGACTCAGAGAACCCGCTAGGCTCGTGGCTTCCGAATTTGCTGAACCAAAAACAAATAAATATGAAATTAATGACAATAATTTATTATAAATATGACAAAGTATTTGTTTAAATGTGTACAATTTACAAAGGTTTTATAATTTTTTAACAGATTGTTTTTTAAAAAAATAAAAATTAAGATAATAATGCTATACATGCTATGTATAATTTGTGGAAATCATGCTTAGATCTAGTAGATGATAGTGATTAAGTAATAAAGTAGTACGCAAATAAAATATACATACATTTGAGTATGTACAGTGTAAAAATATCATAATTTTAATTTTGTAAAAAAGTGAACTTTATACTTAAATTTAAATAATACTAATAAAAAAAAATTAAATTTGAAACAATAAAATATAGTAACACTTGCTTGACCAGTTGATAGATTATTATTAATTTATAATATAAACAAATTTTATTATATTAACTTCCTAAAACATATCAAGAACTTATAGTACATAGAATACACTATTTAATTTCTAATTAATAATAGTAAAATATCAATTATTAAACTAAATGAAAATAAGGAATTTCTTTTATTATTAGTAGATTGTAAACTGAATATTAAAAAAAAGCTAACATTGCTGATAAGTGTGCCACTCATCAGGTAGGTGAGAAGAAGTTTGGAAAGTAGGATATATTATGTTATATATCATTTATATCTTTCTCCAACAATAAACCATTGCTGACAAAATAAGATTCTAAGCAAAGTTAGGGTAGTAATTTTTAGAAATTTACTTTTTATGATTTGTATCAATATTTACACTTTGAACATGTATAAACAAAAACTTCTACATGACGCACACATTTTCAAAAATGTCTGCTCGGCCAAAACAATTTTTTTCACATAATAAACACTAAAATATAATGTCAAAATATAAAATGACTAATAACTCAAAGATGTCTAGAATTTAACCAGATCTAACCATTATAAAATGTAATAAAAGTCATTATTAGTATTCTATGAAAATTTTAGGTCTCTATAATTATTTTCAACCAAATTTTAACAAAAAATATAAAATAATAAAATGTTACACTTTCTCTTTTTTCAAAATTATTAAGAAAATGACAAGGAAAATAAAAAAATCAACTTCTAATAAACCAACTAGGCAAAATTCAGAGTAAGATTTCTAATAGGAAAACAAAATCGAAAATAATGACAATAATGATCAGTGCTAATTTTTCAGTCCTCCGTATAGATTTTAATTCCAGTTCTTAATTATTATGAAAACTACTTAGAAAATCAAAAAACCATTCTCCAATGTACCAACTTTAAAATACTACGAAAAAAAGCTTTTGTTTCGGTGTTTGATTGGAGCAAGATTGTTTGTAGAAAGTTGATCAGATACAAAAAATAAATCACACATCGAAGTAAAATCAATACATTTTTCACTAGGCTCAGAATCTAAGATAATTTGTATAAAACTGTATTTATAAAATAAGCTTACTTTATATTAAATTTATAAAAGAAACTAAAAAGTAAAAACTGAGTTTTTAAAATACAAAGAAAAATGTCTATAGAATTTTAAACTTGCCAACAAACTCAAAAGTATAGGAAAAAATATATACATTTTTTAATAAAATATTTAATATATTTTAGTTTTAACAAATAATGATTTTTCATGTGTAAGGAATTTAAATTTTCTAAACTCTTATTTATCAATTTTATTAAAAATACTATTTAATAAAGCACTATAAAAAACTGTTATTAAAATATATGGTTATGAAGTGGCTCCAATAGTATAAAAATGTATAAACTTAAGTTAAATAAATTATGTTAACTAAAAATTAAATCACAAAAACATACCGAGGGGCAATAAAGGATGTGCTGAAATACTGGAACCAACATTGGATATAGTAGAATGCGACAATCCAGTATGCCGAAATGATTGAGACCTGTTGGCAGAAACAGGGCAAACGGTGTAAAGAAACACTATGTTCTCCAATGAAAGCGACCCTTTTTAAATTATTTTAACACACCATCAGAAACATAATATTTAATAATAATTTTATTTAATTAAATTTGATCTCCAAAGAGCAAAATTGTTAAAATAAAACATACATTAAGGAAACACTCGTAATTTATGACAAGCATGTCATTATTTATTCAATTAAATAAACTTTTGTTGACTTATAACTTGGTAAGTTAAAAAATGAAAATATTTATAAATCAATTTGTAAACAATAAATTATCAACCCAAAAAATGATACTTAAAGTTATACTAACACATTCAGTTATCAAATATTGCTTAAAAAATGGAACATTAATTTTTTAGTCTCTAAATATTTTTATCAGACCAGTGAACACTTAGAATTAAAAAAAAATTATATTTGTGAAAAACTCCTATATTAATGTGAACTTTTCCTCACTATATATAATATATATTGTGAATTATAATATTAAATTATGTATAACTAGTAAGCTGTAAAATAATTGTAAAAGTCAAACCAAGTCCCAAATTGTTATTTATTGATATTAACTACAAAATATAAGTAATTGAAATTGTCGTTTCTGATGTGTTTTGAATTTGGAGCCACTTTCATTGACAAAATTGTGAAAAAAAAAATAAATAAAATACATTCTCAATAACATCTAATATTTGTTGCATGCTAAGAATCACAACATTCAAGCTATTCTTGTGTTTGTGTACATACTACTAAAAAGAAAACTTGTTTTCATCAGATTAAATTAATTTTGTTTAAATTAATTTATATTAATTTTTATTTGATTTTACAATATTGTTTAAAAAATAAAACTTACCTTTGGAATGTTTGACGTTTAACAAAATTTTCTCTAACAAATTCTACCATTTGCTTTTGTGTTTTACCACTGTATCTATAATTTATATAACATAATATATATTTTTCATTTTATAAGTATATCAAAAAATAAAATAAAAATAGTAAATATTTATCACCAAATTATGATAGTATATACCTGAATGATGATCCTCGACTAAGAACTTTAGTCCTTTGTCGTGGTAAACGCTTAACAGTAAAACATCTAAAAAATCCATGATTTTCAACACATTTTTTCCAAAAACTTTTACAGTCGTTACGAGTTTCAATTATAAATTCTACTACATCTTTAAAGTAACCCTGTAAATACAAATTTATGTATATTTTATTATAAAATAACAATAAATAATACATTTTATATTGACTTACATATCCTTCAGGATGCAGTTTGATAAAGAATTTTTTCCTTTTAAAGCTTAATTTTCTGATTTTAGCCCAAGAAAATGTATTAATTTTTGTATAATTTTGAAAAACTAATACACCCATATGCGCAACTGAAAGATTCAAAGGTACACCTTCTGGGTCCTAAATATCAAATTAAAAAGTTATTAAAAAACATAATTTATAAAATGATAATACATTTACCTTTGCTGGATGCATTTTGATCCCATATAATTCACACCGACGTGCAGTTTCTAATAAATTTAAATCTGCTTCTGCTGGAGATTGCCCTCTGCACAAATATTTTAAAACAATATTACAAAATTAAAACTTTTACAACCTGCTTAATATACATAAATAAATAAAACTGTATAATGACTTACATATGTCTTTTATGATTTTCCATTATTCTAATTTCCATTTCTCTGTCTTGATGGGGAACAAATTTGTGTGAGGATAAATAAGTGTGATCTGGATAATCATCCACAGAATAATCACCACATTCAGCTACAAAATTTAACATAGTAACAATAAATTGCAATGTTAAAAGACAGATAAATAAATTTTTACCTTGTACGATATAAGAGGCCATTAGAGCAGCAGTATTATCGTTACATTGCATGTGCCCGTGAGATAAATCTCGTTTAATTTGTAAACAAAACAGATACCTAGTATATTCCTCTTCCAGTTGAGCAGGATCAGGTGTGTAGAACTTAACACAAAACCTCATTAGTGGTTCCACTAGTGAAAGTCCTATTTGTTTGTTTAATGGCTTTTCTAAGTCTAACCAATGCTGAAATATACAACACAAATTAATAAATAATTTAAAATGTACTTAATATTAAGATAAAAATTTACTTTAGTAGAACCTTCTTGATATTCAAGCCCAAAATAATCGGCTTCCAATAAGTTAAGTTGTTTGCATACTTGTTCAAATAACACAGACCCATCAGCTTTCGTCTGCAATGCAACAATAATGATAAATACATTATATCCAAAAATGGACTGATAATGTTATCTTACCTGCACTTGAAAGAGTGTGACAGAATCATCTAACATTTGAACACGGACATTGAGCATTTTCCCTCCCCTTCTGGGAGTCGTTGGTGGTGTCTTAGAACCAGACACGCCCGGAGTGGATTGTGAATGGGGTATTTTATTCATGGAACTTCCCATAGAACTTGAGGTGAGCGTTTGGTCTTTTTCCACAGGAGACATTTTTGATACTTAATTTAAACTAATTTAAAAGTAACAAAAGCAGAAAAAAATTCACGAAATATAAAATTTTTTTATTTGATTTAAATCATGTTTTTTGATAAACATTGATTGGTTCTATGTAGTCGATAGAATCAGTTCTATCATGGTAACACCATTGAAATTCCATCTGAAACAAACAAAAAAAACAAAATATGTCACTAATTTTTTGTTTTGATAATTAAAAAAAAAAGATTGTTATTTTTAGTATAAATCAATTGGATATAAAAACCAGCACCTTGTTGGGAGCAAATCGTTTATATTTTTTATAAATCTATTTTTAATTTTCTAAAATAAAGAAAAGGGGTTAGAGATAGTAGTGACAAATGATTTGTATAAGTAATTCTATTTATTTTATCCGACATACAGAAACTACTGCGGATATATGAGTGTATAAGTCGACAACAACGAATGTTGTGACCTTAAATGATTAGACGCCACCGAATTCTGTTAAATGTATTAAATAGAAAAGGTCTCTTGCATACAAACTAGCGCTTCGTCATTCAATGGACTGCATAGCGCTGTTAAATTGTTTAAATTAATGTGTCTTCAATTTATTATCATAAATAAACATATAAGTGTGTATATCAAAAAATGTGTACATATGTGTATATGTAAGCAAAATCATTTTGCGTCTATATTCAATTTCCTATGTGACCAATAGTGTTACAATAATAAAGACAAGGAATGTAATGAAATCACAGTCTTGTGGGAACAATTGATAAATGATAAAAAAATTAAAACTAAAACAAATATACAAAAATTAATTTAGGCCATATTTAGCTTATTATAAAGTAAATATTAAATTCTAGACAACAAACTCTGGCAAACTAAGATATGAATATAATATTTATTTTATCTATTACCATTTTACCCTATTTAATTCCTAAATATTTGAATAGATACGTAATAATATTAGATTATAATATTTTTACAAATATTATTATCCAAGCATAGACATCCTATACCACGCATAACATAAATAAATAACATGAAAGTACTCTTAACAGCAGTTGACTGTTTTATAGCGATGGAATTTAAAATGCGAAAAATTCATCATAATGTAATTATTTATAACATATAACAACAATCAAGTAAATAGCTTAATTCACTTAAACATATGTATTATCTATAAATGATATAATAATCTTGTACATACAAGAAAAATATAATACATACAAACGAATCTATGTTATTAGTGTCATAAAAAGATAAACACGCATTATGTGTATCATTTACTACGTCTACATATAATTTTTACCAGTTTTTTGTAATACAAATTAAAAAATTTTAGTGCATTATTGGGTAAATTCAAAATATAAAAATCTAAAATTAAGTACCTACCTAACATTTACGTTGAATATTTATTAAAGATTCCCAACGATTAGATAAGCGTTATTAATTTCAATCTTAATTATTCTGAGTGGCATTTATAAAAAAAAAATAATTTTAAAAATGAATAGCCTTTAGCTATACTTTTTGATCAAGATATTTTATAGTGAAATCGTTAACTCGTGTAATAATATTATAAATAGCGTGAAAATATTTGTCGACAAGTCACATACTGTTGCGATATTATTTATGATAAATACAAAATACCTATATAATATGTTACAGTATTTTGTTTTTAATATAAATAATTAAGCATATTATTTTGATTTATTCTAAAATGTATTACGAGGCCGCAGTCTATCTAAAGAGCAGTACAGCAAAACTGTATTTACGTACCTGCGCGTGTTGCACGAAAACGCAACTATTTTGATACGCTGCCCATTAGAAAAACAAAGACGGCAAATGCGAGTTTGACGTCCTCTTAATTCGAATTTTATAATAGCAATATAATCACCATTAGTTGCAGGTATATTATGTTTATGGCTGTGCCTTTATGGTTGTAGATAAATTTACGTTAGGTTAGGTCTAACAAGGAATATCATGTGTTCAAAAATTCTTAGAAACAATACTGGGTACTGTCGTATTGAGTTTGATACATTGTACAGAGCAAGCTACAGTAGATTAACAGTTCTTCGCTAGTCACTCGTTCGTTTACAATACATTTTTAAAAAAAAAAAAAACCAATACTGATTTAATTGAATTTCCACGTTCTTTGCGGCCCTCCTCAATTCTTCTCTACCGTCAGCTTTCATTTTAATTTGTACATACAAGACACATCCTTGGTTTTTATTATTTGTTGGACGTATTCAAGACGTGGTTTTGACTCCCATTGGTCTCGGCTCTTTGGTTCTTTACTTTTACGCTCAATTCAATAATTAATTCGATAATAATTGATTTTAATATCAATAATCTCTTGAGTCGCAGCGTCCACTCGTTTTGCCTTCTAATTAAAATGTTCCATAATAACCTTTCCATCTGACATTCTTTCCAGTACTTTGTTATTGGTTACTCAATCTATCCAGCTTATTTTTTGTAAATTTCACACCACATTTCGAACGCTCTAGATCGTTTACGTTCTCCTGCTGTTTTTATTCAGGTCCGTCCAGAACCAGGTTCGCAATACAACTCCAGACATACATCTTCAGTTAATTTTTTAACTGACAAACGGTTAATTGATAATCATACAAGTTAATTTTAGCCAAACAATACGTTATAATTAGAAGATACAGGGACATATAATTCACTTAATTATGTAAGGTAATTTTAGCCTCACCAAAAATGTATCTTTTCCTCCACCTATAGACATTTCCCATTTAAGCAAAAGAAAAGTTAAAGTAATTCATTTTGAGCACAGCCCATCTGTGCCGAAACAAAAAAAAGCTACTGTTTTTCGAATAGCTCGTTAGAGCCAAATTTATATGATAATAATAATAATACATTTTTATTGTTAACATTAGAACAGTTATATTATAAATTTAAATACTGCAAATAATGTTTAATGGTATACATTTGTTTAGAAATTATAATAAATTAATAGATTTTTTCCACAAATACATGGTTTTCAAGTATTACGCTTAATATATAGTTCTTTTGTTTTCTAATTATAAAAAACAATCATAATCTTTATTATAATTAAATGCATTATAAATAACGCGTACATAACGCGTTGATTTCATGACAATACAATTATTATATAAGATAATTTGTCGTCATTAACCAATAGAAATCTTCATCATTAGAAGTGGTCAAATCTATATCTATGTCGACGCTTTATGAACATCAGACACAGATTTAGGATTTGAATGGCGAGATTTTTAACGAAAATAACAAATACTTTCTCGTAATATGTAATAGAAAAATTGTATTCTAACCAATGTGGCGTCTTAAAAATCATGTATTATACGCAGGCAAATTTAGCGCAAACGAAAATATGTAACTTTTTCATTTTGGCGCAGATGGGTTCATTCCCCGGCCTCCGTCCTGCCCTCGTGGTTTTCGGGAAGATTTTTAAACCATTTGTTTATTGCGTGGTTTAAGAAAAAAAAACAAATACGACGGATGCCGGATGGAGAGGAGACGCCAATGGGTTGTAACGATTATTCAGAAACAAGTTTCGAGAAGAATCGCACCGTGTTATGAATACACGTTGATAAACGAGGGGGGGGAGGGAAACCATCAAAATACGAATTTACCGCGTACTCGCGAGATGAATGAATAATTATTGTTATGAATGAATGGGAAAAAAAAAAAAAAACATAAAAGGTCGACCGCGGCGGATGTTATTAAACTATTGTTGTTATCGTATTGTTATGAATGAATGGGAAAAAAAAAAAAAAAAAAAAAAGGAAATAGGAACACCCCCCCCCCCCGTAGAAAAAACGACACGGGCAAGTGTTACAGGCACTCGTAGGTATTTCTTATCGTCGTGTTTCGGTAAGCAGTCGAGGGCTCAGCGCGTAGTGTTTTAATATTACTCTGCGGTCGAGGGCAAACCACGCGCGCGCGTTTAGAAAATTTAACGGAAACATTATACGCGATGTCACCGTGCGTCGTTATTATAATGTGCACGTGCCACGGCGACGACGTATAATAAACGAACGCGACACGTTCGGAATCACGCAGCCGACGAGGAAAAAAAAAAAAATTAATAAAACAGGACGACGAATGGGAAACGGCATTATCTTCGAGGGGGGGGGGGTCGCGGGCGGGGGTACTGTTACAATAAAATGTATTCATTATATTGTCGCGCGTTGATGGGTGAAAAAAAAAAAAAACAATAATAAATAAAAATATTGTTTATATGGCCGGCCGGCGAAAACGACGGCGCGGTTCGGACACGTCGTCGGCGGCCGTCGCAAACGTAAATAATAATATCGTTTACTTATCTTAAATCTTACGTGTCGGCGGCACGAGATAACAACAACATTAATAGTGCGGTGTTGTGACCCGGAGAACCCCGCGGGCCGCGGAACGCGAACGCGTCGCAATACTATATGATATGAGATAATAACAATTGATAATAATAATATTACGTGGCGGGACAGGAAAAAAAAAACAAAACAAAACATCGGCGCGTACGCGGAGACGACGACGAACGAGTCGAACGTTTTTTTTTTTCCCCAACGGCTGTTAAGACTAGTTATTAGCCTTTATTAGGAATTATTATTGTAAACCCGGCACGCTAATATGAATACAAAACGCCGAGACGGGACAGACGAGTCTATTCCAGATTCGGGCGTGGAATTCCTCCGGCCGCCGCCACGGCCGCGCGGTCGTTCTTTGCTGTATTATTATTAGACCGCAGTACGTAGTTATATACCTACACAGCTATACTCGGGTATTTTTTTCTGCGTCTCTCTCTCTCTCACACTCACTGTCTCTCACTCGCTCTCTCTCTCTCTCTCTCTCTCTCTCGCCGGCACCACCACGACCGCGTCCAGACCACGACGACAATATTACAACCGCGCGCTACAACTTCCTCCTACCGATCCTCGCCCCCTCCTCCCACCCGACAGCACCGACGCCGTGCTCTCCGTTCCGAACGAATATCGCCTGTAAAAGGAAACGTCCGGCGCGGAACGACCGCGTCGCTTACCGGCACTGTCTGCCTGCGGGTCGTCCGAACGTGCCCCGTTGGTCACGATTATACGGCCGCTCTCGGTTTCCGTCGTCGTCGTCGTCGTCGCCGCCGCGTAGAATATCGCAGTCGCGATTCTCTCTCGGGGCTACCGCCGTTCGTTGAGAATCGACGACGCGACCGATACCCGGTCGCTGACTAATCCGCACGCACCACTCACCCCTCCGGCAAAACGTTCGACGCGACGGGGGGGCGAGACGGAGGTGACGTACACGTACGAACCCCACTCCCTCGCCCCGTTCGCCATGCCCCCCCCGCGATATCGTAGGTACATAGAAAAAAAAAAACGTTATGGTATGCGCGGCGGGGTTTACGGAGAAACGAAAAAATAAGAACTGTCGCATGGGCGCGCGATACAATATCTGCAGCACCCGTATGACACCGACCGTATCGCGAAATCGGCTCGAAATAATAATAGTTAATTTCAAGTTTCAAACTTCTGTCCGAGATAAAAACTACTGACGTTACACGTGTCTTTATACCGACCGCCGATCTGTATTACTTATAATTGTTCTTGAACTGATATTTTCTAATACACTACCCGTTTAAGGAAATCGGACACGCGCAGTAGCAGAGCCGTATAGTAGTTCCGTTAAATAACAATTATGCCCGACTACGCTAGCACAATACCTATACGTTATTATAGGCCGAATACCCATGCATATAGATACCCAGTCGATTTTAAAATGCGCTAAAAATATCGTGATCGTCGCCGGCGGAAGGGCAGACATTTGTCACAGTCCTCGCGTCAGTGGACCAGCAACCGGAAGAATTTTTTTTTTTGGTTTTAGCAAAAAAATTAACGCGACCCTAATTTTTTCCCCTCAGTGACGCCTTTATTAATAAGAATTCGGCAATTTAAAAAAAAAAAATTTCCCATAAAACGAAAACAATATACAAGTTAAAAGTATAGTACAGGTAAGACACAGTACCTCGGATCTACAACAATGAAAACAACTATTCAAAATAATGTATTATGTTAATTTATTAAAAATTGAAAAATGAAAATAGAACTATTCTTGTGCAGTCTGGTGAGCAGGTGTTTTCTATCTAGCAGGTATTTCACAATTACGTACGTAGGCGGTTTCACATAATTCATTCGGCGGTTCGAGTAGTATAAAATAATAATACCCCTCCACCCCACCCCAATCCAACACCGCAAGTACGAGTATAATACGATATTTTTTAATATCATTTTATACTACTAATTTTATTTACTAAACATAAAAACGAAAAAATATATATGTATAAAAAAAAAACACAATACTCAAAAGTACCAATAGGTACAATGTACATGACCTCGAGATTACGAACAAGACTAATTTATTACTGATTATAATATTATTGTTATTAGTTATCGAGGCTGTCAGAGAAAACTTTCAAGTTCGTCTGTATTAGCACCGTCAAAATCTGAACTTTAAGCCGTTTATGAAAAAAACCAAAACTAATATATTTTAAAAATAATATTCTTTCCGATATTTTTCAGATAATAATAAAACTTCTGTAAACTATGCTATCGCATAACGTTTTACAATCTCTTCTAGTAGAATTAATTTACTCCCAGTGTAAAATAGAGGAGTTTTTAATTTCAGTGAACCACCAACACTTCATCATGTAGTTACTGCAGGTTTTGTGCTGCAATTTAATAATTACGAGCCCATTTTGGTAGAATGCATTTCTACTTTCACCTTTTTTTTTATAAAGCAGGACATTGTTAGCATTAAATCAAGACTAAATCTAATATTTTGAAATATATATACCTACACGAATAATATATCATCGTAAAATTATATTTCAAGAAAAAAAGTTGCCGATATTTGAGATATTTTCAATAGATAATAGCACCAAAAACCAACATTCAATATATAATAATTATTAGATATATTTTAATTAGGTACCTATATACTGAAATTTTCTTATCATATTCTTTTGTTTTGTTCAATAATTTCTAATAATGTTCTTATTCATGTATTCATCACATTAAACGCATGGCTAAATAAACAGACATTTCAGCAAAATTACGTATTTTCCATGTCACTGGGCATGTCTGTTAGTTAACAACTTTTCTACCAGAAACCATGTTCAGATTTTCAAGTGAAAGATATTAATTAAAATTAATTATTATTTCTAATTGAATTAAGATAAAAAAAAAATCAAATCAAAAATAATAAGACCATTATTTCCGTAAACTTTCCCTTTTATTCTAGGTTTTCTCAGTTAAAATTACAAGGGAAATCAAAAAATACGCTTCTCATTGCACCAACTAGATCCAAAATTCAACAAAAAAGCTCTCCTGTAATTTTTTTATTGGAGTAAGACAATGGTATAATTTCAAATATATACGAATATCGATATTTATTATTAATATATATATTCAATAATATAGAATTAATTATTTTCAAAAAGCCAGGTGGGGACATTTGCCTCCCTAGATCTTATACAACATTAATTTGACTAGGATATCGCAATACCTGGCGCCGGTGCTAAGTCAACAATAATCTTTAAAACCAACACTTAATACGAAAACATAAAAACATGAAAATCAAAATAATAACACACATAGTGTGAACTACTAAGTGAGATGACGTTATTCAATTTTATTATAATAATTTTAAAATTAAATATTTAAGTTTATTCAGAGTACGATTCTTATAATAAACCTTCTGTTAAATTGTCAAGTATTTCTCGCTAGTATAACAATTTTATACATACGAGTTTATAACACCTACCGAATAAAAATTACGTACAAAACTAACAACATTACAACAACATTAGCTATTTCTATAAATAGCTCAAAAATGGCTAAAATATTTTGAAAATTTGACCACTTCTAGAAAAGGCAAATATAAATTTTTGGTTCAAATTTCAAGTCTCTACGAACATTTTAACATTTTTAACAAAATTTAAAATAATAAATACATTATTCTCGTAAATTTTCCAGTATTTCCCCATTTATTATGAAAACTGCTTGGAAAATCAAAACATGACATTCTTAAAGTACTAACTAAGTACAATTTATTTTTAGAAAAGGTAATACACTTGAAAATCGTAGCAAAGATTTCTGATATAAAATTTGTACGGTGTATATTTATAAAAAAATACACCACTGTAAAACCAAAACATTCCTCGCTTTATTCAGAATCTAAAATCAGAATATATAAATAAACACTACATGTAAGTAAAAAATAATTTAAAACGTACACATTTATTTTTAGAATTAATTCAATGTATGCTTTATATTATTTAAAAGTTTGATGGTATAAGTGAAAATGATATTTTTTAGAATTTAGATTTAGTGCTGAAGTTTTTGACTGCTGTACTCAGGAATGGAGAATAATCTCAAGTATGTCTATTTAGATTTTTAATATAGGTCTATTATAATACTAGTACCCCGAGGTACTCGATAGTGATATACAGTGTACATAAATATTTTGTTTCAATTTTTAAATAAATAATATATTTAATTAGATACAATTAATTTGTACAGGTAAGAAATAATGATCAAGACTTTAAACCTCTCAAACTTTACTATCTTAGTATGGATACATAGACCCCAGTCGCAGATATAATATGAATGCGACGGTCATAGCATGCATGGCCATGTAGCAGTCATGATATCTTAGCGATGGCCAGTGATTATGTATTATTCATATTCAATTTGAAATGTAATTATTTCCGAAAAGCCAAGAGGCACGTTCATTTTAGGCAATAGTAATTTGTCCAGGACATCGAAATACCAGGCGTCGGCGCTATTATGACGCAAGTCGTATTTTTCTATGGGTCCCATAATGGTGTGTGCAAGTATTTAGTTAGTTTAGAAACCTACGTCTCTACTCACCAGTCAAACGACCTAGTTCTAAATGTTGACGTAGGCAGTAAGTAAGAAAATAATAGTCGATCACTCCTTATAATCGAATGGCATAGGAGATTTTTTGTGGGTAAGGGTTACAAAAAGGGATATAGGACAAATATGCGATTCGAAAAGACACAATAATATGTTATTGTTGTACTTCTACCGTAGAAATAAACTACAAACGGACGAATAACAATATAATATTATTATTGATAATACGTAATCGATAATAGTTGTTATATTTAAATTTGAGATTGCGTAATATTAACTCGAGTAGGTTTTTTTTTTAGAGTCGTTTATTATATTATCCAACGAGAAGCCATACACAATAATAAACGTTTGACGTCTCCGGGTTACGAACAAGCGACAGAAAAGATTTTCATTTAGAAGAACCGATTTCGGGCTGTTCGTTTGAATATATATAGAGCTAAATTACTAAAAGGTAAGAAAATAAAGTGTGTTGAGTCTTCATGTTTTATTTTTCCGTTATTTTTAAATGAGATACGGAGTTAATGTGAAATACATAAGACTTATACATCTGTAAACGGAACATTTGTCATGAAAACGCGTTTCCGTTAACGGAGCTACTACAATAATTTAAAAACGCTTATTGTATCTCGCTCAGAATTTAACTATCCGAAAAACCGACGTGCAAATCGGAGAACTATTGTACTCGCCTCGAAGTTTGATAATAGGTCAACAATTCACTCTAATATCGCGACTAACCATAAAATCGGTTCTGTCGAATAGGTACAAAAATATGCTATGTCGTAGCGTTTGTACAACGCCGAGACAATAATATTATGCGACGTCCTCTTAACATCGACTTAATATAATAATACACTAACTCAATCTTTTTCATCGAAATAATAATATAACATAATATTTCAGACGATATTCCGTCGACGTGTGTCGTTTGTGAAAATCACAAACAAGTTTAAAAACATAAATTTGATACTGTCACGGCGAGCATGACTATATTGTTAGTCATCGCTGAGGTGTGTGTGTGTGTGTGTGTGTTTGTGTGTGTGTGTGTGTATGTGTGCAATATGTACATTCATACAAAACGGTCGGCGTACATATCCTGCCGCAGGAAATATACTCTGTGTGTGTATGTGTGTGTATGTATGTGTGTGTGTGCGCGAGCGCGCGCGTATGTAGAACCGTATTATATGTGTTTGTATATTATTATTATTATTATTATTACTATTATGTAGAATATAATATTATCTAGTTTATCTACACAGTGAAACGACAAAGAGCGTAAAAATGCAGTTAAAAATAACTATAATATATTATAGTATACTTAAATGATTATAGTTCCATTTCATAAACGATAATAATTATTTATAAATATTACAAAAAAAATTAATTAAAAAATTCGTTTGTATAATAATATTCTCATTTAACTACGAACATCTTTGAAAAAGATAAACCATATACAAACTAAGAAATATTTTTATTAAAATTAATTCATCGTTATCCGGAGCATATAAAAATAATAATAATATAGAGCGCATTTCGAGAGGGAATTCAATTGATTTACCGATAAGAAATAATACGTGGTTCAGAACAAACTTGACAACAATATAATATTCTTTATTAACGTAATTTTGTTCAGGCATACTCACTGAAAAAAAAAATTATCTTATTCACATATTATATACTGTATGCAATGATAAATCACTGCAAACGAAAAAACGATTTGAACAAAGTCGTGTAAAAGAAAATAAAAATACCAAAGGGATGAACTACAAAAAATGTCGATACATGTTTCAAATAAATTAACATCAGATGAAAAATCGGCATCTTTTAGGGAACCTATGACATGAAAAGTATTTTTATTAACCGTAAGTGTTTTCCAAGAAAAAAAAACACATCTTTGTAAAATTAAAAGCTTCTTTATTGTACTCAGTATCTAAAATAAAAAAAAAAAAAAGTCATTGTCTATTGAAGACTAATATCCAAACTGTCTTTATTAAAAAGTGTACCAATATTGCGTTCAATTTATTTCAAACCAACAAACAAATAAATTGTTCTCGTATTTTTATTCAAATTAAACCGATTTTCGTTTCTGGCATACCTAATGTTTTTTATATCCAGAGTGTAACACGACTGAAGTAAGCGAGTACGATTTTCCATGATACTTAACATAATTATTCTAAAAAACTATATTATTGATCGGAGATATAAAAAATAATAATAATTTTGAGGTTAACATCTTTAAAGTTAAACATCTTGAGGTTAGTTGAATTACTGTTAGATAGGTTAATTGATTAGATTTTGGATGTGAATTACGGCGTACAAAAAATAAATCAAATGTGCAAACCGATCGTTGTAATTATTTTAGGTTGGCCAATAAATAATTAACATCATTATTATGAATTTTCAAGATAAACAACGGCTCTATAATTCGTCTGAAAAATATTTTAAATTTATTAAAATTATTGTAAGGTCTTCATTAAAAACTATTAGTACAGGGGTTATAAATTGGTAAATATTGCGACTTTGCAAATCCCTAAATTATTTCTCGAATTATGACGGGGAAAAAAAACCTAAAATTGATTTTGTTAAAACCGGATGTCATAAATTTAACAGTTTTTTAGACGGTTATTTTCTGCTATAGGTATGCTCTCGACATTGAAAATACTTATCGTAAAACAATCCGTTTAAGAGGTCTTTCGGGTTTGATTTTCTATCAACTGACTACCGTGAAACTTTTTGAGCGTTTTTGCCACCCCACAGTTTTTTACAAGGAATAGTAACTCGACTAAAAATCTAAAATTATATATTTTCATTATCTAGACAACCAATAAAAAAAAGTTTTTTTAAATACGATTAAATTTCAATATACATTGCATATTAAACAGTTTTTTTTTTTTTAAACGCATTCAAATTTATTTTAATTATTTCAAGGTAATTAAAGCAATTGTATCGCTTTTGCAATACATATTATATGGTCTCTTATATTTTAATCTGTCAAGTAGAACCAAAAACCTACTTTATATTATATTCTTGACGTTCAGGTATAGCAATAGCATTTGAGAATTAATTAACTATTTAGAATTTTATAGGCAATTTTTTCATAAGAAACGAGTTTTCAATGATGTTCCAATAACTATAAAATATTATTATTCACGTACACACACTAGATATTATATTATCGGAGGACACGACCTCGATGCAATTTTCTAATTTGGCGACCGAAAACCTGCATCAGACGTGTATATTTTAACAAACTCGCCTTCGGTAAATCATTTATAATGTTTATCACACTAATCCAGTTACAAAAAAAGAAAAAGATCATGGTCCACCAGACGTAAAAAAAAAAATAAGCCGTAAAACTGTTTAATAAAAATAATAATAAAGAGTAAAAATTGTTATAATTATTAGACAATAAAAAAGTATCGCTTTTCGTATCAAGGCGTTTTTTAAGCAGGTTTTCAGTGTCCAAAAGGACACAGTAAAGTCCATTGGACACCCTCCAAGGACAGTTAAATTGTGTATCCATTATAAAATAAATGGTTAACGATTGAATTAGTAGATTTTGTAACAATTTTATTTTATATAAGAAATAATGTGAATATGGAGCTTTTTTAAGAGGGGATAGAGGTGGAGACATTCACAAAAAAAATGCCCTACCTCATATCTACAATAGTAATTTTGTTATAATAAAACCGAGTTCGATAAACCAAAAATAATAACCCAATTTCCACCGGTTTTGTAAATTACAGTAAATAATTCGCGAATGATGTAAACCGTCGGTTCCGAATAATATTTTTGTTCCAACAACAGCGGATTAAAATGCCAAAACGAGAATAAAACCGTCTAGGTATCAAATTTGACGATAAGATAGGTAAATTGAACTCTCGTTGTATCCTAAAAATAATACGCATCGCGCGGGAAATATTATGTAACAATATGTATGTTTGTTCTATAATATATCATTGTATTCCAGTCGGGGAGATTGATGCAATTATTAATGTCAATTAATAAGTATAATATACTGTACTCCATCGTAATTATCATAAACGAGTAGTACAATGCAATGTAATCGTCGAAAATAGCACTCGATTTACTATACATGAATATTCAAAAGTATATAATAACAATAATTTAGTCAATACAATCAATCGAATATATTATAATATGCGTCTCGAAAACACTAACTTGTTCTTTACATCGAGAACACAGAAAAAACAGCGTAAACTCTTTAATAAACCTATATTATAATAGACAGCCCACCCATGTTTCTTACATTATAATATTAATGAAATGTCCACACTGTAAACACACCGTGGCGCCATTATAAGACCGACTAAATTAAAAAATAACACATGTCAATTCTGGAACACTGTCTCGTATAGTGTACAATGTAAATTTAATCAACATACGCCTACGTTATTTTAAACTTTCGAGGCACTGCATTTTCATTTAAAATAAAAAATCATAAATATTTCTCATTCATATTATTTCGATCGAAAGAGATTTTTAAAATTACTTCCTTTTAAAACAGTCAATTCAGAATCTAAATTTGATAGTTATAGTTATAGTCATTGTTATAGTTATTTATGAAAATACTATTTACCACAATAATCATAGATAATATTATTGCCAAGAGATCGAAAATCCGCTGATTTTACAAAAAAAAATTACCTTACGAGGTTGCCACGAGTTTGAATATGTAAAATTTCGCGGCTTTCCGTGTTTTCAAAAAAATTGTTAAACATCATCCATGCCTATTACCCAGACATGATAAACAAAATAATAAAGTTTCTAAAAAAAATATGAAAAGGTGAAAAAAAAAGTATTACACCTCAAAAAATAATTTACACTATGCAAAACGATTTTAATGTATTCAGTTATGAAATTACAAACAAAAATGATTCTTACTTTAACTATGGTTTCATTATTAAATGTGATTTTCAACTCGGTATAGCCACTTTTTACTCAAAAACAATTTTATTCTGATAATAAGGTCAATTTTTATCACACACAAACTTCTTTCCCCCCTCTCAATTCAATTTCTGTTCGAAATTTATAATATATTCAAATCGTATAAATTCCAGTAGAAATCATAAAATTCCCTGACATTTTCAGTTTTTCCAGACTTAAGGTAACTTCATTCATTTATTTGTTTGTTTAGAAAATAACAGGGTAACGGCAGATATTAAGTACCTTAAAAATAAAAATATTACCGACACAAAAATACATGTAGCACATTGTCGATGTTGATTGGTGATTACTACACTGATAACAGATTACGATGTAAAAACATCTGCAGGTCACCCAGACGTGACGTAGGTATATTATTTTATTATACACGTTATCTGTCAAAACACATATTATTAAGGATTTTCGCGCTAGCCGGAACTATATTAGAATACTTATTATACCATTATAGTATGAAAATGTAAAAAAAAGTATAATTGCGTGTCTCTGAAGGGGGCCTCGGGTTACCGCCCCTCTTAAAATTCCTATATCCAATGAGCCTGTTGTATTATATTATAATGTGATAAACTAAATAACTCTCGAGCCTATAATAATTGCAGACTAACGGGCAAACCGGACGTTATTTTATTATTATCTCCCCATAATTTATAAGTTTTTTTTTAAATACATATATATAAACACTGTATAGTCGATTTATAATATTATGGTACTTTTATGTACACATTTGTATTGTATTTGTATTATGTAATATTGTAAATGTTGCCAAACGAATGTGTTCAACTGTCCACTCAGGTCCGTGCTATTGTACGTATTATATTATTATTACAAAATAGGTACATAATATTATAATCTTCTAACATATAGCGAACGGAAAAAGAAAACAAAATATATTAGAAACCGCATACAAATATTATAATAACGGAGACCACACTATATTATAATTATATTATGTATAACGTTTGTAATATTATTGAATAAGTCGTATGGCAAATGAAAGAGTTGTTGATCGAAGTCGAAGAAGATCATAGTCGTAAACATGGCGATAAAAAAAAAAAACATACAAATAAAAACCGGAGTGAAAAACTCAAAGGCGAATAAAATGAGTAAACTATAGCGAATAGGTGAAACAAAAACGATTTTAAAATAGAAATTATTATTTTCACTTATAATATACGAATCCTTCCGCTCCGCCCTATCATATTATATTTGTGTACCTAATGTACCTAGTACTAGTCTACAGCCGACCAGCATTTTAAAACCACGACACTTCGCCTTTTTTTTTTTTTTTTTTTTTGTATATATAAATATATTATACTTCTTACACTCAATGCACAGTAAAATTATAACCGGAAACAAACATAAAAATGATCACCGACCGTTAAAATATTCGTGGATGGCGTGTTTAGTTATTGTTAATAAATCCACGAAAAAGTATTGAATAGAATATCGATTTGTATGTTGCAAAGGTTAAATGTTTTACTAAATAGGTACTACAATGCGATTTCAGACTCTTACCAACACACGTCATAAAACATACTGTACACGTAACATAAATACTGTAATAACTAGATAATAGTTTTTCAACGTTTTGTTTTGTTAATTACTCGTTTTCGTCCAATTGAAAATAGGTTATCATTTATAATGAAAAATTCGAACCAACAAACAAAACCGAATAAATTAAAATATCTTTCAACCAATAATATCAAAGCCATAGCTTTAAATTAAACAATATAGCTCGTTTACGCATAATATTACTTAAATATGTTATTATTATTAAATAAATAATCTTTATCATTATAATATTACGCTCTACAACACAAAAACTAGTATACCGATATTTTGTGAAATAAAAAAAAAAAAAACCCTCGCGTTTCTCGTAATGGCAAAAATGTATGTAATACCCGTACAATAAATAGTAATTAATATATTAAGCGTCCGATAAAAAGTAATACGTTTTAAATGTTTTGTTAATGGGATATTTTTGATCCCACGAGCGTATTTTCGTACGTGCCCCTTTACCAATATGTAAAAAGTGGGTAAGTATGTAATGTTTTATTAATATATCGTTTTACCCGATAAAGGCCGCGAAGTGCTATGGTGGTTTTTTTTTTTTAACTCAGATTTATATTATCGGAATTTTCAACACGGGGCCCGGGACCGTTCAAATTCAGAACGTCCCGATGTGCTGCAGCGCATTACACAGCTGCACGGTGCACATATAGATAGTTGTAAATCGATCCGTCTACTGCCCTCTGGTAAAACGCGAAAATGGGTCAATCGGAACGGGTTTATAAAACGTTAACAAGAAGACAAATTGTATTTTTACCGGCGATTATTTAATGCGAAACGCTATGCTTAATAAACTGAACTGCGCGCGCACAACAAACATTTCGTAAATGATTAATTATTGATTTGTTTCGCCAAAACGAAATTATTATCGACACGTTTATATTATAACAACAATAATAACACAGAGATTTTGTTTGGATACCCGCGGTACTTTTGGCAAAGGCGCGTTTGTGAATTCTACACGGATTTGTGTATACTTTAAGAATGGCCGTTAGTACAATAAAACAGAGGTACCTATATAATGACCGTGACAGACTTTTGGCAACGATAGTATATACTTATGTTCGTTTTTTTTTTCTTCTTTTATAAAGAAAACATTACTTTATACATCGGTATTAACATTTGCGCCACCGATAAACAGGCAACAAAAAAAAAAAATTAATTATAGTATTCAAATTGTATTGTAAATCAATCGTCGCAACGCATTATTTATTGTAAATAAAATAAAAAATACCTTTTTCAATTTTGAAAAAAAAAAAACAACCACACTATACCTAATATAGTTAATCAGTAAAAACAAATTAAATATTTTTAAATTTAATTTTATAGTTATTATGTTATTATTGTGTTTACCTAACCTATTAAAATTTCGAATAATTTAATTTTCTACGGATAATACGCGTAAGTGTTTAAACCATAATTACTGCGTATGTTATTTATATTATTATATTACACCGAGTGTACAAAATATTCAGAAAAACGAGGGCTATACACCTTCTTATTTCGTGTGAAAAATGTAACGTTAAAAACTATGTATTTATTCAACACACACATTAAACTACTTTCTAAACGACATAAATAAACATAATTTTGGTACACTATTTGCTGGTAAGAACTATAATTGTAGGCAAAAAAAAAAAAAAAAACTAAACCCATACAATTCGTATTGTTATAATTTAATAATAGTAGTTATAATTTATATTGTTAGAAAGGTACTATCAAATAGAAATAAAAACAACTAAATAACAATACATAACAAATAGGTACTTAAAATACACATTCTAAGGTACATTTCTAATGTACATTTTGTATAAACCAATATCAAAAAACGTATTTTGTATGCTGCAACTATAGAGTACTAAAATTAATTAAAATACCTATACATTTACAAAAACGAATAAAAATCAAAATATTACAAAATTATAAAGAGCAAAATAGTGCTCGTGAGGCTATACTAACTCGTCACAAATGTTACTATATGAACTTTATAGACAGAAATCGTTATCTACCGGAGGAAAATATACGCAGATGCTAAAGTAAAAAGTATTATTTTTTTTTTTTTACTAAATATTAAAATTTAAATGCACAAACTTTTGATTTATTTCATACGATATATAAAAAAAGTTATTGTTTTAAATTGAACAACTTACCCGCAATAGTTTTTGCTTGAAAACAAAATTATATTTAATAAATATAGTACCCTCGAGTATTACCTACTTAGGTACCTAATGAAGTTTATCACGTAAAGATAATAATTGTCACTGGTTTAAATATAAAAAATACCTACGGATAACACGGGCAGTGGCGTAATTAGGGTTTATCAATGGAGAGATTTTAGGGTTCTACGATCTTCTCAACCTTACAGAAAGCTAAAAGAAAGCAATGGGGGGAGGGGTACAACATCAAACCCAACGCCCTGGTTAAAATTATTATTTTTATTGCCGTTAAAAAAATACTGATATAAGATAAAAATAAATTTAAATCAGGGTACGTAAAACATTTTATAGCGGTTCCCCATTAGACGTTACTACCATATTTTCGTACATTTACATTACTAAGTATGTACACACTGGTATTGATTCCAAAACTGCATTCGGATTTACATAAACAAATTCGGTATTCGAGAAAACTAAGAAACTAACTGAAAGCTATTCAATACAAAAGTAAAAAAGAAAAAATAATTATTTTCTTAAAATATCCCCTTAATATTTTGAGTGGGCCACCTTCGTTCCAAACTTTCAAATCACCCACATTACTCGCATACACCGGCCCCGTCCGGAAATTTAATTAATCAACGATAAACCATTGCTAATGAAAAAAGATTCTGAGCGAGGTTCGGTTAATAGTGTTGCTTTGTCAACAATATATATATATATATATATATCTTATTATGGTAAAATGATTACAATAATGTACGTTTCTATGACAACAATGATTGTTTAAAAAAAATTAAAATAATAAAAACTTAATAACAAAAAATAAATAAAAACGGTTGCCAATAACAACTAAATTGTTTTTAATCTTTCAATCTTTTTTAACCTAAAGTATCAGATTTTTCTCATTATCTCGAATATTAACGCGAGAATTTCAAAAAATGATCTCTCTAAAGTACCACCAAGAGAACATTTCCTTTCAGAAAATGTGCTTTACTTGATAATCGGAGTAAGCTTACTGGTAGAAAGTGTTTATATATAAAAAAAAAAAAAACATCTTTGTAAAACCAATACATTCTTCGCTAAACTCGGAATAAACGAATTATTTTATTTAAATTTGGTCCGACGAATCGAGTAAATTTCTATTCATCCACAATGTTTCGTCGTAAAACAATAATTTTTTTTGTCAGTGTAACTTATAACTTATAACTATAGCCTAATAGTTTAATGAGTCATTTATAATGATGTATTTCACAAGTTTCGTGCATTAAACTAAAAAAAAACAACAAGATGATAAAAACAAACAATCCGTTAAACCAATAATTGTGATTAATATTCGTATTATTGTGTAACAATGTGATATTTCAATAAGAAAAAAATATAGTTAATTTGATTAATAATAGTATAAATACTAGAACGCACGTGCTTATCAGGGAATATAAAATGTGAACAAAAAACAAATTGACGTAGATTCGATCGATTAAAAAACTATCGTATGATATAAAATATTATACAGTAGATATCTAATGCAAATATTAAAGTGAATTATTTTATGTACCTATACTAATTAAACTGAATGCGTTAAACTAGGAAATAATTTTTAAGCCGTGGTTTTTGCGAGTTTTTTTTTATAACAGGGTGTATCCGCAGAATTGCATCCGACTACGTGTAGAGGATATTATCAAACGCTGCATTAATACATCTGTATAATTTATTTTATTTTTATTTTTTTTTATTATACACCCAAGTGGAAAAATTCAAAATTTAACGAAACGAGAGTGTGAAAATATTACAAGTGCCAACAATCTTGTCTCTTGTATTCGCAGAGATTCCGACGCGAAAATGTTGGTGAATTCCCACACGTGTACAATTAAAAAAAAAAAATAAAATAAAAAAAATACCTACTTAGATGATAATAAATTATTAACAATCACGATTTCAACGACGAATGTAGTCCGAAACGTAAAAAGCGGGTATAATGCACTCGAGTATTACGCTCGATAGGTAAAAAAAAAAAAAAAATGTTTGAAAGGAACTGCCGTGTAATTATGTTGAAAAGTGACGGTGGCCAAATTTGGCGAAAATCCGTCGTTGACGACAATGTGCTTTGAACGATTTCAAGAGGAAATAAGAGCGGGAGAAAGGGCACGATAAATACACGTCTGCTCACAATTATCGTCATAAATAACAATAATATAGGTATATGTACAGAATAGATGACTCAGCTTCTCAGAACTACTTAATCAATACTCGATTGCACACGATAAGTCCATTTGAATTTAATTTGCCGCGCATTGATTTGATTTTTTATTATTATTATTATTATTATTATAATTCGCCGCTACATTTTATCATTTTCTTTGTGCAGTAAAAATATAGATAAATTACGATCAACCACACTGGACTAAAAATTAATTATTATTTCATCCGCAACGTTTAACAAAAACAAAAAGATAAAAAAACATGATAAAATCCCAATGTTGGTTTTAAACGGATATAAAATCGAATTTTTTAAATATCTTGAAAAATTAACAATATTGACTACTCCCTGCCTAAGTTATTTACCAGAAGGTAAGTAAATCACTAACGGAAATCAGTGTACGCATGTTTGGTAAACGCATAGAAAATAAGGTAGAAAATCTTGGTAATTGTTGGGAAAATTATAGTGTTCTGGAATCTTTCGATGGTACTATATAATATACAGCAAATTTTACAAAAACCTAAACTATATAATTAGGTATTCAAAAATAATTTATATCGAGAGATTTAAAAACTGTATAGACGTAGGGGAGGCAAATTTACACTTTTAATATAAGAGATGATTTACTATTATTTTGTTTTTTTTTTTTATATTGGGTTGTCCATACTCATGTTATAAATATAATTAAAAAAGTATATTACCTCAAATTAATATTTATTTTTAAGGGCAGTGCAATATAATTATGTTACCTCCGAAATAAACTGTTAAGTAGATAGGTGCCTAATTTATTGTATACATATGATAAATTATTAAAAAAAATTAAAACTAGGTAAATAATGTAAAATTAAATACTAAATCACTTTATATCTTTTAATTACTAATTATTGTTAATATCATTCAAACTAAATAGGTAGGTACCTACTCAACTAAATACACAATATAATTACATAATTTTACATGATATGTCAGGCCACAAATTTATATTGTGGCAAAACAATAATTTATTACAGTAATACCTGTACTACCTAGATAACACTATTAAGTATTTTTATAGAATCACTTGAATTGTGTCTCATTATTATCTTCAGAAAAAAAAAACAACAATATGTACATAAATGTCATACCACCACATTATATATCTGGTAGAGATATACCTAGTCAAATATCAAGGAATTCTAAATAACTGTGTAATTCTATATAGGTAGGTCATTCATTTCTCTGAGGACATTAAATTATGTTTGTATACATTGATTGGACCATGTTGAGAAAATCGAAAAATTAAAATGCATGAAACTTTATTAGCCGACATGATAATATATGTTAATATGACATCATATATAATATCATCATCATCATATAATCATATATATAAAAAAAAACATTTAATTTACTTGGTATTAATGCATAGGGTCAAAAAAAAATATATTTATTAACTTTAACAAAATATAATGAAATAATATTAAAATGTAGTGAATAGGTATTTACAGTAACATGTTCACATACTAAAGTAATCACAATTTCTTTTTTTAAATAGGTATCTTATCTGTGTTTTAAACACACATTTTTCAAAATTTTTCTTTTGATAATATATTTAGGTACCTATCTAATAAAAATAATTTAAAAATAAATACTAGTATTTATTATGACACTTATGCCTATAAAATGTCTAATAGATCAAAATATAAATTACAGATGAATCACATGACCTGCTAGGTCACACTTGGATCAATAGTGAGTACCCTACAATACTTTTCGCACATTAAATTCTATATTATCTTACAGGATTTTGATAATTATTCTTAGTTTTTGAATCCTTAAAACTTAAAACTATTGATCAATTTAAATCTGAGTTTAATAAAAAGATGTTCAATGTTGACGTATAATTGCACAATTGTAATTTATTGATTTTGGTGGAGATTTACTACATGTTACCTACATTAAGAATATGATATGTAAAAAAATCACTCATTCATTTTTTAATACTTTCAAGTTTTTCTGATTTATGTAATTTTAATTTAATTTATTAATAGTGTTATAAACATCAATTAAATGTAGTTAGACTTATATAATTCATTATTTTTAAACAAAATAAATGTATACTAAGATGAACACTAATAATGTATTTTCACACAAAATGTAAAAAAAAAAAAACAATTATTTCTAAATAGGTTTATACAATAAGGCATTTATAATAATAAGTACTTTTCGAATTTAAATGTAAAGAAAAACAATTGTCGGAATACAAAATGTTCATGCGTATGAAATGTGAATCTATAAAAAAAATACATTAAATACCTATAAAATTTATAGGAAAAAGTACAATTCTTCATTTGCAAGTAAAAAATCTTGACTTGCTACCTAAATAGTTGTAAAATATACATTAGGTACTTTTATAAAAAGGTATATATCTGAATATAGAACTTAAAAATGTATTGAACCACCAGATCATAATTTTAAATAGAATTAATTTGTCTAATCATAACCAGGTTAATAAATAGTTGGCCTATTTTTTTAACCTTTATTCATGTTAGTAATAGATAAAATGAATTTTTAAGTTTAAACTAATACTTATATGGATTGCGGGCATGTTCAAAAAAATAGGTAACCTACCTAGTTAGGTAACTAGTTTTATAAAATGCATTTGTGTTACACAATTTGCATAGTTCTGATCGAGGTTCTCGTTAAAAATTTAATAAAGTTGATAGCATTGGACAATTAAAATATTAAATTTGTCAATTAATAATAAGTTAGATACCACACAGTGGGAGTATCAACGTAAATAAATATTTAAACATTTCATTAAAGCTATATGCATACTTGATACATATAGGTACAGATATGGGCACTGGAGATACAACAATAAATAAATAATTACCGCTCCTGAGTAGTATTTTATAGAATGCAATTACCTACCTATATTTATAAAAGGCAAGTGGTAATACTAGTTCTATACTTGAATTCCATAGTAAACGCAAATACCGTAACAATTCATCAAATGTGAAATTAGTAGCATTGTAGTAGACGATGAATACCTATCAAAAAATTACAATTTTAATATTAAAAAAAAATACACTACATTTTTTTTATGGAAAACATTTAAAATGTCATAATTTTTTTTTTTTGTTTTCTCAAAGAACATTTCACAAAAAAGACAGATCAAAACGCACAATAAACAACCCAATTGTAATGCATTGCATCAAAACACTAACCGTAAGTAGGTAGGCAGCGTTCGTTCGAATAACAATCGACGATACTGATAACGACACGGACAGATGTTCGCAGTCAACGACATACGTGGTGGTACACATAAGGAGGGCACCGCTAAAACACTTCTTGGGAGAAAAGAGTAAGCGGTTATAAGTGGCGTGTGTGTGTCGGTGTTGACATTGGCGACGGGCTCGGCAGCGGCTGCGGCCTTGCACAGTTATCTATCCTATTATTCCTGTTATGGATATGTGTACACGGCGGTGACCGTGGTCGAGGGACAATATCTCCCAAACACTCTGACCGAGTCACTATCGTTATAATTATTACTATCGAACGGTCGACGGCCGCACAGGTGTTGGACCGACGACGGGCCACCTACTACAATAAATACAGTAGCGTTACCGCGATCGGCACCTACCTACCTAACGCACGTAGGTACGGTCGTACACGTTTTGTACGCCTTATTACCGGACTACTAGGCGGTACGACTTAACGGAAATCAAACTAACAGCGTCTTAATGATGTGTGCACTTACCTTTTCGAAACGGAGACGACACGAAACGGCGTGGACGTTGACGGTCCGCCGATTTACAAAATAATATCACCGTAATTGGAACGGATTAATTCGCACGTACACATCGCGCGCACCGTGGCAGTCACAGTAAAGAAAAAAAAAAACACCGCGCGCACAGGCACACACGCACGAGCATACACAAACACCAACTCACATCGACTGACTCACATACACACACTGACGTACAAGCATACACAGAGGAACAACCATGCCATGCACACCACACACACGCAGCACGGGTGAGTTAATAGAACATACACGCACGCCCACTGATCCAGCATCCAGCGCCAGCGAAGATCTCTAGGAAGGATGTCGTTCGACACCGTCCAATACACGACCGTGACGAGTATGAGGATAAGGAGGATGGCATACGATCTGTCCTCCAGCGGGAAGAGTGAAACATAATTAGCGATCGTATACGGCATCCCCGCCGCCGATCGTGTACTAGATTCCGGTGTCCGCCTGCCCAGTGCTGCTACTCAGCGGTCGTGCCGCGAACTCCGTCGCCGAAGACGGGTGCGCGCGATAATCGTGCGCACGTTATGATCTGAAATCGGGTATAAAAGTGTATAATAATATTATTATGGTTAAGATGCAGCAGCGCTGCGCCGGTGGCGCGCACCGTTCGGTATGCGTCGAAAGGTACGTTCAGCAGCAACTGAGGATAGTAGGATACCTACGAAAAGATCGATTTCCTTTATTGGTCGTTGGTAAATGACGTCACAACGGGAAACCACCGCGCCGCCTACGAATTATAGGCGGCGGGTTAAAACTTTAGAAAAAAAAATTATGATTTAACCGTATACGCATGTAGGTATTGCTTTTCACGATAGGTAATTCGAGTATATAAAAAAATTATGATTTAACCGTATACGCATGTAGGTATTGCTTTTCACGATAGGTAATTCGAGTATATATATATTTGCCACCCTAATACCATGTGGTGTTTGCAAGGCACATATTATATCAATTACCCACATTCACCCAGTACAGAATTGAGCGATTTTGACCTACCGTGCTCATTATCCAATTGGGCCTATCTGTTAATACTGGTCACTTGTACAATAGGCCGATCAGATAGGCTTATTATTTATAGTGGGTACTAGAGTTACCACCGTCTCGCACACGAAATTTTCCGAGCTGATAAGTTTTTTGCCGTCTAACAACCCGTCACCAAATTTGCAAGTTTTAATCCTCGAATACTCGAATTCACAGTCGATTTCTGTTTTGTTCATTATTAATTATTATTGTTTTTTATTCTTAATAATTATTATATATTATTGTATTATTGTCTATAGATTATGCTAACATTCATATATTGTTTACTTGTAATATAACCATTGGGCTACCGGCCTGTACTTATTAAAAAATAAATACATTTCACATTCTCACCCAAACAGAATATGAAAATCATGAAATCCGAAAGATAATTGGGAAAATACCTATATTGATTGCAACACAAAAGTCTAGTAATCTATAAACAATAAAGTATAACATTTAGGTGTCCTATACCTACTTCTATCGAAAAATTACAAAAAAAGAAAAAAGTTCACACCACGTTGCAGATCACTTAGTCGAAACAAGATATTATATTGTTGTTGGTAAAAAAATAAAGGTATTTTTTCAATTTTTTCATTGTCAAATATTCAAAAAAATAGCATAATATGGGTGGGTATTAAAAAAAAAAAAAAAAAATGTAGACATAATATTTATGTGTTTGATATGCTTACTAATATTACCTAAAAATGCGAAAATAACTATCTAAACGACTGAACTGATTCTGAAGAAATTTGTTATGGAGATAGTTTGAACTCTAAGAAAGGACACAGACTACTTTAAAAAAAAAATTCAACACCGTTGAATCACACGGGATTTTGGTATTTTTGGAACAAAATTATAATATTTTTTTGTTGATTTATTGATTACCTTGGTGACCATAATATATTAAAATATACTATATTTTTACTCGATTTTATGTGTTGCTTGCCCGTGCACACTGAACAGCACAATATTTAAAATAATATTTTTTAAGAAGTTTGTGTTATCCCTTTTAAGTATTATTAATACTAGTAGAACAGTATAGATATATAGTATAGACCCGCGTAATTCACCTCGTCCGATTACTTTTGTCATAATTGCATTACCTAATCAATCATAGTTCATTGCTGTTAATAAAAATATATTTTGCAACGACATTTTTAAAGGCTTTCAATTAGTGTAATCTATTATGACGCATTATGAATACCGCTAAGCAAGAGATACGGAGACACGTTTCAATATTTTTTTTTTTTAATTCAATACTGTGCACGGAAAAAGCAGTGCGGTACAGTTAATATTGTTTATTATTTGATGTAAGTAATAATTGATGTACTTATAAATAGTTCTTAGCCTTGAAGGTTAAAGATGTGGTAGATACAGGTGTAATGATGTAATGATATATACGAATACGATAACATACTTGATGACACCAAAGAACCACATACCCCAAAACTTTAGTACACAAATAGACTTCAATGAATACATACCAACCGCATTTGCAAGCGAAACAAAACGGTGGACTGTCTGTATTGACTCCAAAATCACACAAAATAAATCCGCCTCAAAAATTAAAACCAATGACATTATTCGGGTCGTATTAAAGAAGATATTCTCCAGGTATAATAAACGCATTACAATAATACCTCGTGTACCCACAAGAGTGAACAACGCTAACAGATACGAAATGATACCGACTGCTCTAAGAAAAACTATACAAGTCAAACTCTCTCTCCGTCTTTACATCCTGTCAGACGAAGAATACCAATTTGTAAACGCGTATCCACCACAGCACAAGCATATGAACTTCCAATTTTTAATATATTCATTCACATTTTATTTTTTTCATTCTATGTTTTAGATTTTGAGTAGAGCGAGGAATATATTGATTTTACCATGATGTTTATTATTATTATTTTTTATGTGAAGACTTTCTATCAGAAACCTTACTCCGATTATCAAGTATAACACATTTTCTGAAAGTGAATAATCTCTAGATGGTACTTAAGATAGGTCATTTTGTGAAATTCTCATAAATTCTCATTATTATTCGAGATAATGAGGAAAACCTGATTCTTTAAGCTAGAAAAAATTGGAAAATTAAAAATACGTCCAAGGATAATGAAAATGGATGCAGACACTGTCATAGATAGTTTAATGTATCAACCTGTAAGCAACAATAAACCATTGCATACGAAAAAACGATTTTGAGAAGATTTCAGTTGATAGTGATGGTTTACAATAAATATGTAATTTTATAGTAAAATAATTAAAAAGGCTTTATTTATTTTCTTTAATAATATTTGGTTAATTTTGAACCGATTTTCCTAGTTTCCCTACGTTTTGCTAGATTTTCCCATATTTTATCCCGGTTTTTCACATTTGCTAGGAAAAACCTTGGGAAAATCGAAAAATGACCTCTGTAAGGAACTTCCCCTTGCTGATTTATTTTACTTTCAGAAACGGTGCTACACGTGGAAATCCGAGCAATTCTTCTGGTAAAAAAGTTGCGCACAGTAAAAAAAAATAAGATAAACATCTTTGTAGAACTATAAGGTTCTTCGCTCCACTCAGAATCTAAACTAAGGTTGTTATTGGTAACCGTTTTTATTTATTTTTTTGTTATTATTATTAAGTTTTTATTATATTAATCTTTTTTAAACAAGCATTGTTGTCATGGAAACGAACATTGCAGTAATCATTTTACTATGTGACATGTTCTATATAATAGGCAAAGCAACACTATCAATTGAATTTCGCTCAGAATTATTTTTTCGTTGGCATTGGTTTATCATTGCTCACAGATATACATTAAATTATTTTCTGTATCCTACATTTCCAACTTCCCACCTACAACAGTGGCTGCACCCACGTACGAAGTATATCCATCCTTTTTTTATTTCTTTGTTTAATTCACACAACATTACCTAAGATTTTTTTTTTTTTTTTAATTTTTTTTCTCCACGATTTAAAATCCTATTTGTTTATTTTGTTTATATATATATATATATATAATACTAGCTGTCCCGCTCCCAACGTAGCCCGTGCCAATTTTTACTATTATCATTTTACCCATATTCATTTTTGGTTTTGGCCGTGTCAGAATTGAATGAAAACAAATAGGTGGAAAGTGGGTAGTCCACCTTCAGCGGACTAAATATGTTCTATTATGAAATTTTAATAATGTAAATAATAGTAATAATAATAATTATAATAATTTTGTTTTCCGTAACACCAAGGTAACTCTTGAATGAACAATATAAATAATCAATAAGATATTCGTACCAAATATACCTAAAAACCCCTACTTTATACCGTTAGGGGTTGAATTTTCAAAATCATTTATTAGCGGATGCCCATGTCATAATAGCTATCTGTGTGCCAAATTTCAGCCAGATCCATCCAGTGGTTTGGGCTAGGCGATGATGAATTAGTCAGTTATGACATGCTATTTTATATATACATAGGTAAATATAAGAAAAATACAAATATATTATAAAAAAAGTTTGCAGAACTGTATACTATTATTCCATTATGAAGGTGTAACAAAAAAAAATACGGACATACTTTACACGTGGATGGACCACTATTGTAGATGAGAAGTTGGGAAGGTAAAAGGGAAATTTAATATACATCAATTAACCATTAATCAATACAACAATTAACCATTGCTAACGAAAAACTATTCTAAGTGGAGTTCGGTTAATTGTGTTGCTTTGTCAACAATATGTATGTCATATTATGTTAAAATAATCACACATGCATTATATATTTTCTTTAATAATATTTGTTTAATATTGTACCAATTTTCCTGTTTTTCCCATTTATTAGGAAAACTCATAAAAATTCAAAAAATGACTTCCTTAAAGTTCTATCCCAGTCAGATTTTCATTCAGAAAAAATTCTGTCATTGTAAATTGAAGAAAACTCGCTGGTAGACAAGTTGTCCACGGAAAAAAATAAAAATAATAAACATCATTGAAAAACCAATACATTCCTCGCTCCATCTAGAATCTAAAACAGATTTGATCTATAATATTAAATACGATTTTGCATATATCATACATTTTAATATTACTCATCTAAATTATATTAAAATCTTAGGTATATATTTGCAGTGAATTGCATAGCATTAATTATGATTAAATATTTATAAGTCGTTAGATTTAACATTTAAATTTCATATGATGTAATAATTAATAATATACGTTATCAAATATATAATATTGACTGGCCAGATTATCATTACACTCCTACTATCTGCCTACATACATGTATTTCCCGGACTAACTCCTAGGTCTGAGTGCCTTTTCCTTGTTACTAAAATACGTTGCACTCCCCGTGTGTGTCTTGCTCCACATCAAGAAAATCAATATGATTACTCAACAGAATAGTGTTAATTCTATATATTACTTTTCATATTCAAATTAACCTCAACAATTTTAAATATACTCGTGTTTTAAATCAACATAGCTACTGAGAAAGTTTCGAGAAGGAGACATAAGAACTTTATTACATAATTATACCTAACACTTTTCCTATTCTCGTAGAAGGTAATAATTAATCTAAGTGATCAGCGAGGGTAAGTATTTAATCACATGATACTCCCCTCCTCCCTTCTTATTTTATTTATTATAAAAGGGAAACGATTGCCCCAATATACTCTTCACTTGATTTTCATCATAAATGTAAGCCTTATATGGATTTTTAAAATCGCCCCCGTTATACTACTCCGAATCTGCCTCTAGGTTCAGGTATACTAACTACACTTATGCTCGTCGAATAAAACACCATAAATATTGGAATAGAGATACCAACTTCTTACCTACCTACCTACCTACCTACCTTCTTATTATATCATCATCATAAAATGATGGAACTATAAAAATTGAATTAGGAAAATGTGCAACAGTAAAATATTGTATTTTCTCCTCTATTTATCGCACGCGTATAAACTACAACAAAATTGGTTTTCTTATATATATATATAGGTTCTTACAAAGTTCCAAAATTATGAGCCCTTATACCGGTTAATATTAAATTATTATACTTTACCTACGTTTGCCTGTAGCTATAAAATGTATATAATATATATATACACCCTACAGCTAAAGGGAAAAACATTACCTCGACGTTATTACCTACATTGGGGTTTTTTTTAAAATATAATTTTTCATTTTCAAGACGAACTCTAGGTTATAACGGTCTGTACCTACGTATCTTTTTTAATTATATTCAGTTTTGTGTTCATTATAAATAAGTACACTTACATATATGTAAACAAAATCCCGCATAATAGTCTATATTATAATAAAAAAAACAAATCGTTCGTAACAAAAAAAAAAAACTATATAATATCGTATTGGAATTATTAATTATATGGGTAAAGTAATAATTTTTAACATTAAATTACACCACAATTACAGTCAAGAAATGGAAATTTTCCAGATGGCCTAGTGACTTAATATATTAGTGACTTAACACCCGGAGTTACCCATTTGGTTTTGACCGTGTTAGTAATGAATAAAAACAAATAGGTAAAAATAGGTAGTAAACGGACTAAAAGTGTTTTGTTATAACATTTGTTCATGATCTTCATACGAAAAGTATCGAAACCCCAAATTTTGTTTTTCTGGGGGGGGGAGAGAGATTGGTGAATTTTAAAGGAAGTGAAGCCTTAACTAAACTATCAGGGAGTGGGGGAGCTCGACAGCGGAAAAGCGCGCGCGTGTACCGTATTATAGCTAATCGCCTCTCCCTAATCGCTAATTTTTTTGCACCTCGCGTTGAGTGGCCAATATTGGATTTCCTTTTGGGCATTTTGTTAGAGAAATAGCTATTGGAAAGAATATAAGTGAAAAACTGGCAGAAAATCTGGTATGTAGTCGAGTCGCGTGAGTGAATCCCTCTACACGCGAGTAACAGCACTAGAATTATTTATTATTTACGTATTATTTGTTTCAAAAATTAAAATTGTATTAAATAATTACACGAAGACAGTTTATAACAAAAAATGTTATTAAATAATATGGCACATATATCTTTTTTTTTTTGTTTTTTTTTTTTTTATTTAAGAAAATTTACAATCTATATACAAGTTAATATAATAAGTAAATGTGTTGATAGTTACTAGACATGAACACTTGAGGGAAGGGAATGTCCAGTGACACTAAGATCTTTATAATTATTTGTTTTTATATTAATTACTACAGATACGTACTATAGATACGTTTTAACCAACCTTTTAATTTTTTTTTCATCTCATCCGTGTTACTACGGTTATTTATAAAAATAAATAATTTTATAATACCTAAAAACCGAATTTTGGGGGATGATTTTCAATAGGAGATGGATTTCAATAGCTATAAACTTTCTCCAGACAACGCGGATTAATTTGCAAAAAACCACGTAACTATTAATTCAGTAATTTTTGATATTAGCCGTTACAAAGATTTACATTACGTTACAATTTCAAATTTATATACTATACTGAAACGAATCTGAAATAATCTAAAATCTTACATAGATTCTGTATTTTTTTCTTGCGACCAAATCTGAAAAATTTTGCTTTAGATAGACCATTTTTTTTTTTCAATAAAAGAAAAACAGTTTTGTTTCCATGGTTTCCTGTTTACAATCTATGTTTGAAAAAAAGTAAAAATGTTTTTATTTTAGTTTTCTGAGCTATTCATCTAATTTTTCTTTTCATAAAAAAACGAATATTTAAAAAAAATAAAACAGCCAAATCGGTTCAGTCATTCTCAAGTTATGCGCTTACCAACGTTTTGAGCGATTCATTTTTATTCATATAGATAACTTACTTATTATTTAAAAAATTATTAAAAATTTATGTAATGAAAAATATTATATATTATTATTTCAGTACCTATTAAGTTTTTATATATATACATTATACCGGGTAATTTTTTTTTTTTGCTTATAGATAAACCGATAATTCGATAATTTCCATTCAGGGCCGTTCTCATCAATATAAACATCGATTTTTAAACGAAGTTTAAATATAAGCCTAACCGTCTATATGAACCAGCAATTTTCTCGGAGGATTTTAAGTGAATTCGATTTCGATCTGTTTTTTTTTAATCATTGTGGAATCGTCTTTATTCCACATTCCCAAGTTCCCATCTTCAACAGTAGATACGCCCGTCCCCATTATCCCAGGGCAGGTTTTTTTATTAAAGTTTTATTATATTCTTATGTATTATTAAATATATGAGTGCTTTTTGGTGGCACGTAACTATATTTTAAAAGTACTATCTGATGACGGCACTGAAGTTAATCGAAGTAAAAATAACCCGCACTCCCTGTCCAACCAATGCAATGACTAATGAGGGTTATCAACATATTTATACGAATTTTTCCCTATAATTGTAAAGGTTATCTAGAGTGAAAAAATACCATTTTTTTGGTTAAATTTTTAAAATATATCTATATCAAACCAATCAGTTTACTGCGAGCTTCTATTGCCCCCTTATAAGCCATTAATTTTGATAATATAATACAGTTATTTTATAAATAAAATTTAAAAAATACAAAATAGATAATAATACACTTATAAAGAAAAAGAAACCATAATTAACCGAAAGAAAGAAACATTAAAACAATAAAACATTACTGAATTAGCGACTAAAAACCAACAGGTTGGATTTTTCGTTTAACTGGTAAGCAGATTGTTGACACTTGATAAATACACCTCGTGTGTAATCATGACGTCGAAGTGTCCTAATTCAAAATATTTTTAATGGGAACCATGGTATTATATATGCATATAATACCTGCAAGTATTATAACAATCGTGGTTGTCTGAACTCAAGCCAAAACTGATCGTTTGAAGAAGGTAAATTTTAAAACAAATGGACATACTTCGCACGATGAATGGGACCCTATTGACAACAGAGGTTCATTCATACAACAGGCTGTTGTAGATCAGAAGTTGGGAATGTAGAGGGGAAATTTAATATATATCTGTACGTAAAGATTAATAGTTGCTAACGAAAAACGATTCTGAGCGGAGTTCGGTTATATGTTTTAAAAAGCCTTAATATTAACGATTTTAAAATAATACATTTTGTAAATTTTTCATTTTTTCCGGTTTTCGACATCCCTAAATTACCTCTCCAGTCAAATTTTCTTTTAGAAAAAGTACTATCATTATAAATCAGAGCGAAATTGCAGGTAGAAAAGTTGTCCACAGAAAAAAAGTGAAATTTTTCAAGACAGTATAATTATTTTGTTATAATATATTATAAAATTCTACGCGTCGTAAACAAAAAAAAAAAAAAATACTCACAGATCATATATTTCATAATATAATATAAGCGCCGAAATAGTTTCGGTGACTCGAATTTCATATAAATTATAATATTATTTTACACCATATTATACACCACATGCAAATAAATTAAAACAAGTATACCTAGCAATACACAAAAAAAAAAACCAAAGAAGGTGAAAACAAAACGAACACACGTACAAGTGTGTTTAATTTAATCATACGAGTAAATTATTATTATTATGACACCAACTACGACATTATGCCGGTAAATGAAAATAATATCCCCACCAATAAGTGTTGCTTTGCTGAGCGCCATATACGCGATACTGAAGAAACAATAGTTACTATAACTCTAACTGTTAGTTTCAACTAATATCAAACCATTTTGACAGTGCATTAAACAGCTTAAATCTAATAAATCTCCTATTCTTGAAAACATGTATAATAATATTAATGCCAGTAGTTTCGATGAGTCCGATCAATTATTTTTCCAGTGTATACTCACCTTCTACCCCAAATGCTAATATGATTACAAATTATGACGCTCTAAACATAAATTCTAACTTAAATCTATCTTCATGGAATATTAGTGAAGATGAAATTTACAATGCTTTACATATACTCAACGTCCTACATATGCCTAGGTCCTGATAGTGTGTCACCCATTATCTTAAAGAAATGCAAAAATGCCATTACCAAATCTCTGCTTAAATTGTTTAATTTATCTTTATCAACGGGCTCCTTTCCAATATATTTCCGAAAAAATCGTATATAGTTCCTATTTATAAAAGTGACGATAAAAGTAATGTTATTAACTATAGACCAATTTATAAATTATCTATTATCTCAAAACATAAGAAAAAATTTGATGTAGTATAAATACGGTTTATCACTTTATATATAAAATATATACGTCTGCAATATTGATGACTATTGGTAAATATTAAAAGAATAAATTTTAAACACATACACGAGTTATTCATCGCCCCCCGTACCCCATACAACTACCAATGACTGCAATCATCGTCCGCTCGATTATTAAACTTTTTTTTTTTTTTTTGGTTTGCCAAATTAGCTAAGGGAACTTAGGAAACCCAACAAAAAACATAAAAAATGGTCTATTCGAATTATGTTAGACATAACTACAGTGTCGATCCAAAAGTAACTTAGAAATAAAAAAAATACCTCCAAGTTCAAATATAAAACGTGTAAGAAGTTTCATAATTTTGGCATAAAACTGTAGATTTGTATAAATAACAAACAAGCTGAATACATTTTTCTTAATTTTGAAAAACATATTTTACTATATCCATAATAGCCATGAAAAGTAAATAAAAATAAAAATGTAAATGATATTTTTAATATGCAGTATAATTTTTCATAATAGGTAATTATTTTTCTCGACTAAACAATTAACATTTCGTACAACTTTCTTCCTATAGACGAATGGATACTTGTTAACGCGTCAATGTTATATATCGGTCAGTCATTCAATACTTTCTCATTATTTGCGCTAGGCTTCCCAACGGTTTACAATGGAATGGAATGTCCTTGAAGCTAATAATCATTTTTTCAGCCGTTCAGTTAAGACAAATGACGATACAAAAGAACACTATTTAAATTTAATATATATATACAATTTAATAATTTAAAAAATATACATGTAAAATAAATTATCCGTGTTAAACTTAACGGACTATATGGTCGGAAATGTTAAATTATAATACCCCGGTAAAATCAAAACGTATATAATTTATAAATTATAATATAATAGTATATTATTATGTACTTGTTCAAAAGGTTTGTGGTTAAAACTCAAATTATTGTTTCTCTCGACAACCGAAATTAGTTCGTTTACCAAATTTTAAATGTCTGCAGGGTCAATTTTTGACATGTTTTTATAACTTGTTGACTTCATTTGTTTGTCTAAATGGCATAAGTATGTTATATATATATACATATTCTATAAAATGTTATATTTAAAATTAAAATATCTTAAATTATTGTGATGTATACTCTTTGTTTGACAAAAAAGGCATAAGTTATATACCTTATTTTTCGTCTATCAATTTTTACGGTTCATGAAAGACCTCTGCAGTACCTCTGCAGTCTGCATAAGTCATATATACTTCGTATGAATATATAAATATTTAATTTCCAAAATTGAATTTGTTTGTATTAAAAATTATACAAAATTGACTTGAACCCTACTTCTCTGAAACTAAAGAATTATATATTTTAAACTGATGCAGTTGTCGGTTGTCTTTTGGCAGTCTGCCCGGTCAATTATTTGAAAAAAAAAAATTCTACTTTTGTTTTCTATACATAAACTTCGTCGTCTCGAAACAAACCTAAAATCAGCTACTAAATATATAGTAGATACTGTAAAAAAGTCACCGGAGAATAATTTTTGACAATTTCCAAAGATTTATATTACTCTAACAATCCGACACAGTAGTGTAAAAATAGGTAATCTCTTTCGTTCCAGTTTTTTGGCATAATCCGTACGTGCATCATTAATTGCCATATATTTCATCTTATAAAAAAACTTTTTATATCATAATATTTATTAATATCAACCATAATGATTTCCGAATATCATAAACGCATGCAATGCGTATAATGTATAATACATTAATATTAATATTATAGTGGATATAATATACTCGAGGATTATACCGTTAACTTCCCACACAAACCCACGCAGAATTTTACTTTTATAACACATATACTTATTTTTTTCTTTAGAAACTATTCAGATAAACCAAAAAGTATAAAATATCTTTATTATGTCAAGTGAACGACCGTAGCCATCTCTTTAAACGTTCAACTACGATTTTCACCGTCAAATATATAATTTAAGAAAAAAAAAAAACAACATGGTAAATATGTAAAATACCAATTATTACCTAATATATACCTAGTTGAATATTATATCATATTACCATAAAAACGCATAATATGCACAAACGACTTATACAATAAAGTTTCACAAGGTTTAAAACCTAAAACAATTATTGAAATCCCATTAATTTAAGTACCTACAATACGACCACTATTCGTATATAGGATAAGTTAAGAAAATAAATACATTTCTATGACGTTTAAAGCAGCCAATAATAATTGCAAGAAAACAATATAAATTATTATTATGTTGATTATTGCAGCAGTAATAACAGCAGTAGTAAACAACTGTTGCTGTACAGATTTCAAACGATTTGTATTTTACATTATTGATTTATTAGATGCGCGTTTTTATAGACAATTATTTTTGCTATACTCACAGGAGCCGTGTACCTATATAGTATAAAACAGGGACGGCCAAATGGTCGACTGCGATTGAACAATTGATCACATACGATTTCAATGTCGATCTCTCCGTGTTAAAATTTATTTTTATATACAATTAGATATGATAATAGATAAATCACAATTGCCTATACAATTTATCTAAATAGATCATCATTTTGTTGTTAGTTTATCAAATAATACAATACATACTGAAAATTTGATTGCTGGTTTATTTAGTTAATAATATTGTAATAAAGTCTTAATAAAAGTGTGATGAAAAATATTATTCAGCTATACATTTCAGTTTTATTATTTGTACATGTAATATGTTTATTATTAATGTCTATTAGGTAATTAATAATTATAATTTTTTTTTTTTATGAAAGTCAATCCTCAAAGGAAAAATATATATTCTTAATAGATCTCTACTAAAAAAGTTTGGTCACCCCCGGTATACAATATTATGTTCATCTCATAACTGTAACTATGTATTTGTTGTCCGGAGAGACTGCATATGGTAATCGAAACATCAACTGTATAACAAATAATTATCATTAATAATATAATTTAAAAGTTCCTACCTATATGCTTCGAAAACAAAATATTATGTAAAATTTCACGCTCGACGTTTTGTCATTCATTCGATACATAATAAATGCACGTCGACTCATTGAAAAATCACGGTCTGTCGCAATTTTATGCGCTACACGTTCAAAATTATATATATATTTATTAATGAGTATACAAACAACTTTTAGTTATAATAATAAAATACATTGTAACTGCGCTCAATATGTATAAAAAATCGTCGTCATTATATTATTATTCTAAAACTAATCGAAAACATTATTCTGTGTGTAAAGATTTGATTACGGTATAGTGATATGCTGACATATTTTAAGACAATAGTTTACAATCATCATTTCGAGAAGGTTTTCTAATGTCTTCCGACATCCCGCATACATATACGTACCTAGTAGGAAATATTATTATAAAAATGCGACGAAGCGAGATATTTTTCACGGTGCGAATAATGATGTTTTCTAATGAAAAAAAAGGAACAAACAAAAAGCAAATAATATGCCTAAAAATAGTATATTAGAAATATATATAAATAATAATAAATTTAAAAAAAAAAAACTAATAAATAATTTAAACTAACCTTGTAAGTAGTTATTTTGTTAAAATTTAAATTATTTCTAAAACGTTAATCGTTATTTAGGAATTTTTATAATACATGTGTATTTTATAATAGATTTGTTTCATTTATATTCGATGAAAATTATGTATTTTTAAGTGAATATCATTATTACGTAACAAGACAGCCATTAGCATTGCAGCCTATAGGATACACGCACGAATCTGGTATAGTATAGACTAATAAGAGTATAAATATTGTAATAAGTACAATATACATTGTAAAATACGTAGAAGCGTAGTTAAACGAAATTTTAAAACCGCAGATAACTTTAAGTTTAACCTTTTATTAGGTATCGTTTTCCTGAAAATAGGTAACTTAACTTAGTTACTCAAATTCATTTATATTTTAAAATTAACGCATCGTTCAAGAAGAACTCGTACACAATCCGTTTTATTTGAAAAGTCCAAAGTACCAAGTCCTATAGTGTTAAATCAAAAACGAATAGAACGTTAAGTTTTAGACACGACATGAAATATTTAAAACTGTCTTGATTTTCGAAGCAAGTGCAACGTCAGTTAAATTCTACCAACTGTCAGTTAAAAACAATTGAAAACCTGGCTTTATGAAAACGATAGTCATATACATACTGATTAATGTTCACCAGTAGTGTATTTAGGATTTCGCCAAGAAGAGAGATTTTGAATTTGAAAAAAAAATAATAATTATTAATTTATATATTTTTGTAAATGATTTAATCTTAAATTATCATTGAACTCAAATAACACTAGGTATACCTAGGTAAGTTATTATTTAAAATGTTAAAACTAATAGCACACAATTGGTTTTCATGTACAAAAAAAGACGAACATACTTTGCACGTGGGTGCAGCCACTTTAGTAGGTGGGAAGTTGGGAAGGTAGGATACAGACGGTAATTTAATTAAACAACAATAAACCATTGCTAACGAAAAACGATTCTGAGTGTAGTCCAGTTGATAATGTTGCTTTATCAACAATATATACATCATATTATGGTAAAAGATTACAATAATGTACGTTTCTATGACAACAATGATTGTTTAAAAAAAGTTAAAATAACAAAAACTTAATGATAAAAATAAATATAAACGGTTACCAATGTCAACCTTATTTTTAATCTTTCAATCTTTTTTAACCTAAAGAACCAGGTTTTCCACATTACCTCGAATACTAATGAGAATTTCAAAAAATGACATTTTCTAAGTACCAACCAGAGAAAATTTCCTTTCAGATAAGGTGCTATACTTGATAATCTGATAATCGGAATATGCCTTCTGGTAAAAAAAGTGTTTGCATAAAAAAAAAAATTTTTAAAAATAAACATATGCGTAAAACCAATGCATTCTTCGCTCCACTCAGAATCTAAAAATATAAACATAACAATATTAATCGATTTACAACATTTATGCTATATATATATATATATATATATAGCATATTACCTATATTATATACTAGTTATGCAGGATTTGAAAATTCCGTTGTTGCAATGGGCAATTATCAAATCCTGCAAATAGACTCTGTATAAAGTACGTCTCCTCTCCACTCCGACATTTTTCCAAAAATATTGTCAAACAATAAATGCTAATTATGTTTCGTAACAAAAATAATTGACGATTAAATTTGAAATCCCTACCGAATATTTGGCCGAGTGGAAATATCGGTTTCGCAGAAACCGAGAAAATCATTTAGCGGTGACTCTCGAAATGAAGATATAGCGGTGATCTTCAACTATAAACTTATAAATATGCGCGCGCACGGTTGCTATTTTTCACGCATACGAACGAACACCGACCACTTTTCAAAGACTGAAAGCTGCAATAGCATTGCCACCATCCGTCGTATTATCGGTGTTAATAATGGGATTTAATAAGTACTACCGTATTTTTATTTAAACGCGATTACACAACTCGAGTATATAATGCGATAATGCAATATAGGTAGGTACCGAGGCCTAATTATCAGAGTTACGAGTGAGACTTAACTTGTGCGAGAATAGTTATTATGAATTTGATGGTGTTGTATCGATGCAGTTACTCATCATCGTTAAACGACGTGGAAAAATAAATAAAAGTGACTATATACTATGTAATATTATTTTCGTCATTTATGACAAGCGAAACACGTAATGCAATAAAATAAAAGTTACGACTTTTATAATAACGCTTATCTTTAAAAATAATATAATCGAAAACATTAACCTATGTAAAATTTAAAAATTCACGTAGGTGCCTTATTTCGACGAGAAAAGGTGATGGACATAATAAATATTATAATCATTTCAACAGCTGTGTGTTTCATTCAAAAGATAACACGAAATATTTTTGCCGCGGATGGACTTACGATTGAAATAAAGATTTTTTTTACGAACATCTGCAATCAGGAATACCAAAATACACATTTTAAACCAATTTTCGTAATTAAATTACACATACATAATAAGTTATTTATACGTTATTATTAATAAATAATAACAAACATCAAACAATTTACATTTTTTTCTAAACATCAAAAAAAAACATTTATATATTTTGTAATCGACTTTAAATGGTTGTGTATTTTCTGTAATTTTCGATATACGTACGAAAAAAACCTTAGGCTGAAATATTTCACATTACCAATTGAGTAAAACATGCACGATTGTGTTACTTATAGTATATATTTACTCAGGTATTTTATGCACATTTTATAGGCGGTTAATTACGAAGTATGTCAGGAGATAACTAATATGAATCCCTATAAATGCAAAATGTATATTAAATGAATTTAATGTATATCTACGATATATCGTATAAGCTACGATAAACCATTACCAACGAAAAAACGGTTCTGAGCGGAGTTTAGTTGATAGTTATGCTTTGTCAACAATATATATATATATATATATATATATGTCATATTACAGTAGGTAAAATAATTAAATAGACATCATATATTTTCGTTTATAATGTTTGTTTGATATTGTACCAATTTTCTCGTTTTTCCTACATTTTCTGACAAAACTCTTGGGTATATCAAAAAATGACCTCTCTAAAGTACCTTCCCAGTCAGATTTCCTGTCAGAAAAAGTGCACCATTGTAAATCGGAGCAAAATGGTGGAAAAGCTGTCCACAGAAAAAAAAGTCGTAATATTTTACTAATATATTTACTACATTTTCCCGTTTTTCTTTCGGTTTTTCACATTTGATGAGAAAACTCCTGAAAATATCGAAAATTGACCTCATTAAAGTACCACCCCCAAGAAAATTTCCTTCTAGAAAAGGGTATTCATCGGAGTAAGCATTCCGGTAGAAAAAGTGTTCACATAAAATAAAAAAAAAAAACATCTTTGTAAAACCAATGCATTCTTCGCTTTACTCACAATCTAACACATATCATGTACAGTAAAACCAATAGATCCTTCGCTATAATATACGTTCCGAATATCATATTATACGTCCGCCGCGTTTTATTATAACATATTGACGCGTGTGTGCACAATAATAATATCGTAGAAACATATTTCAAATACGCCTGAACACAGTCGCTTCGCTCTACCGAACATACGTTACACCGGTGCAGTGGTGACGCCTGCCATTCGATACACACCGCAAAGAACGACACTAATAATAATCAGTCGGCCGAACGTATCCAAAGTATCTTATTACTCGCGTATATTACGATGACGTGCTTACGGCCGCAGAAACGTCAACGGCGAGGTTATTACTAATAGAATCGCGCGTGTTATGCGTATAGTGGCGCTTGGTCGGACGACAGTGTAATAAGGAGCCGATTACACCGGGTCCGTTCCGTCCGGTCGGTTTTCAGTTGTATGTGTACCGGGTTGTTATGATTTCCCCTCCTCCTTCTCCTCCCACCCCACCCACCCACGAAAAACGTTTATCAGGTTAGTAAAAAATATGTTCCGATTTGTTTGCGCCGTACACTAACACCATTTCAAAATATGCGAAAGATTTTTCGCCCGGTGGTGATACCTTCCGGACTTCATTTGAAAAAAAAAAATGTACTTGTATGTATATGTATATATATATATATATATATAGAAATTCCCGACGGTTTTTTTTCATAAAAATTAAAAAAAAAAAAAAACCTTACAATAAAATACCAACAGTTACATCAGTTTTATTTTTATTAATTTATGGATCCTTGGCAAAAGGGACAAAATTTCCCAACCATTCAAGCATACCATCACACAATTTTCCATCCTGAACAATAATAACTGACTACTCCCCCCCCCCTATTAAATATAGCTCTATGCGGTGAAATAGATAATAAAAAATGAATATTTTTTAAATCATATTTTTTTTTACATATAAAAACTAATATATTAATATTCAAAAGAGAAGTTATCATGATACCTAAAGGTATTGATTGTCTGTTTCTTATCTGCTGACGAAGAGGAAATTGTGGTGAAATTTTATCTAATTTTTTCCTAGTATTTAAAAAAAATAATTATTCACAACTACAGCGTGTTTACGGTCAAATGGCCAATAAGTATGGATTAAATTAACCATTTACAAACAATTCTAATATTACGAGTATATACATATAGGTAGGCATAAGTATTAATATTATTCATTTGTAAGGTTTTAAAAAAATTTAAATTATTCTACATTCGTGACATGGTTGGTATGTATATTTTTGGTAAAAAAAATTTTGACTCAGCTTACTCGACACATTGTGTAGATAGTTTAAATAGCAGTTTAATAAAAATAAAAAAAACCTATAATTTAAAAAGTCCATTACAGTTTCACTCAGAAGCTAAAAAAAAAAGGCATACAATATTAATATAGTAAAACAGATACATCTCTCGCTTCGTTCAGACTCGAAAATAATAATATAAATAAAACGTAGGGAAGTCCCTATATACTTGTATTATATTATATAAATACAAAAAATGTATTATATGTATACAAATACGTATTTAATCGGCAACCCGAACGGAAAGGACTGATTGTGTACGATCAGGCCCGGACTGAACCGGCGAGCTACCGAGAAAAGCTCGGTGGGCAGCGTAAAATTATACTTGTGTTTAGTTGAATTTATGTCAATTTAATCTATTTTGTATAATTTTGAGCTGGTGAAAATCCTAAAACTTGGTAATACATTCCCTATCCAGCACTGTGTGCTGTAAACGTTTTTAAATCTCTACTGATCATCCGGAACGTGACCGAACTGAACTGAAACGAACGGACCTAGTGAATTTACGCCTTATTACAATTCTACTCAGAATCAAAAATCTTACCCATTCAAAAATTATAATACAAAAAACTTTATGCTACTTATACCAAAAAAACATAATACAACTGGTCATCCAAAAATATGAAATAAAAACTGAAAATTCAATATTTCCCAAAATAAGTACCAACAAATATTATGATAGCTATCCGATAACGGGTTTAAGAATTTATGAAAAATTTCCAACTTATGTAAAAAATTGTAAAAAACTTATTATCTACAAATTGCTTGTAAAGTGATGAAAGGTTATTGGTCAATGAACTAATTCTGTGATATTATTACTGTCATTATTATATAAATTAGCTTTATTTTTTTATTATTATCTGAACAACTAATCAAATCATTTTTTTTCGTTTATAGAGACTCTCGCCTATCAAAACAAAGATTCCATCCTTAGACGATGCATTAAAATTTGCAAATATTTATAATTATGTAAAATTGTATAACATAATACTGCTAAATAAATAAATCTTTATTATTATTATTATTATTAAACGACAGAGATCCGAACATAATACTATAGATTATAGATTACTATAAATTCTATATACTCGTATAAGTTCTTTCTTGACGTATTCTACGGATACGGATAAACACGACCGAAATACAGATTAGGTCTTATACAACGATTGCCAAAATGATTAATGGAACACTTTCCACATAGACCATTTCTACTAGTTTTAGATACTAAAGAGAAAAAAAAAGTAAAAGTGAGAAGGAATGGAAGGAAGAAGAGACTGGTGAGGCTAAGGAAAGCGTGAAATTATGGGTGGGAAGAGGGGTGAGGGGCTAAGAAAGGGAAGATACGTTTGAAATTAAAGTAAATTTGTACTTGGTTATATCACCTTCTATACTCAAAAACTTATCCATGTTTCTAAATATTTTCCTATATATAACGGAGAAAATTGTTTTTAAGGTAGATTAAATAATTGTTACTTTTGGTATCCAGTGGATTGATCGCGAACAATTGATCGTCGGTAAATTAATCACGACTGCCAATTGGTCACCAAAAAAAAAAATATATAAATTATACATTGGTTTACATAGACTTTTCTCCAGTTTATAATTAAATTAAATAAAATAATTCATTGATATTTAGCTTATTTCCGTGTAGACTTAATCAGAAAAATTACTCAGGAACAAAAACTGGTAAAAGGGCGTATTTAAATACAGAAAATTAAGTTGGTAATGTCGACTAAAAGATATTCAGGCACCTTTATAAAATATAACTAAGTCAACACAAATTTGTTAAAAGGGAGTAAACCACATTCAATGCATGTACTTATATTTTGTGTACAAAGATTATGTGTACGAGTAATTTTATTGTTTTCCATGATAAACATCATTTGCTGTTTATTTCGCAAAACAGTTATTTTTGTTTCCTGAAAAAAAGTGAAATTTGATAGACGTGCTTTTAACAAAGCACCGTCGATATAATATGTACATAAATATTTAATTAAAATATGAAATGTTGAAAGTTAAAAGTTACGGGCTATTTCTTTTGAAAAATCAATTTTATGTCTATTTGCATAGTCGTCGTATATTTTTATAATTCGTGTTGCGTGATACTTATATTTTCGTTTAATAACTATTGTATTTCCCGCAATCAGTTGTCTACAACCGTATCAAAATTTCTTCTTTTTTAAATGCATTTATATGTTTTCATATTGTTGAATGAGGTACGTTTAAAACCAGTATTAACATACCTACCAATATTTATACGTCTATATATTTTTTTTAATGACCCAGCGAAATGTTTGTTTGTAAATCTTTGTTATGACAATACGAAGTTTACACTGCATATTTTCAATGGTTACGTTTCCATGTTAATTTATCTTCAATGCCCGTTTTTTCGAAATTATAACTGTAAGTTTTATGTGTATATTAATCTATCTTTTAATTAGAATACCGCACTATCCGTAATAATTCACTATACTTGACTAATATAGTAAAAGACTATGAATGATGAGTTTTTTCAATCCATACTTTGATCCAGTTGAATGAACAAAAAACAAAACAAAACAGAGTATTAAAAAGACGTCCTAGGATAATAGAGCTATGTGCAGCCACTGTTACAGGTAATTTAATGTATATCTATAAGGAACAATAAACCATCACTAACAAAAAAACGATTCTGAACGCAGTTCAATGGATAGTGATGCTTTGTCAACAATATTTAATATATATGTTATATTATGGTAAAATAATTAAATAGGCTTAGTATATTTTCAATAATAATAATTGTTTAATATTGTAGCGATTTTCCCGTTTTTCATGTTTTTTCCGGTTTTTCACATATGCTGACAAAACTCTTGGAAAAATCGAAAAGTGACCTCCATAAAGTACCTTCTCAGTCAAATTTCCTTTTAAAAAAAGTGCTATCATTATATTTTGGAACAAAATTGCTAGTAAAAAAGCTGTCTATACGAGAAGAAAAAAATTTTTTTAATATTTTATTAATATAGTTTGTAAATATTCCCGTTTTTCTCCATTTTTCACAAATTTTCCCAATATATTATGAAAACCGATTGAAAACACAAAAAATTGATCTCCCTAAAGTACTATGTAGATAAATTTCTTTTCAGAAAATAAGCTATACTTGATACATCGGAGCAAGATTTCTGGTAAAAAAGGTTGCACAACAAATCGAAGGGTATTTTTCGATTAAAATTTCGTTCGTCGAAAATCGTTCAAACGAGTGATAACTGGGTCTCTAGGTACACTTGAAATATATTTGTTTTTTCCCTGTTTACCTAAACAGGGAAAAAATAAGCGCAAAAATGTTTTTTCCAAAACACGAGTTAAAACTCGCGACCCTTAGGACGATATTAGGTATGTATAAAAATTCGGCTATAACAAACATATTTAAAATTAGACAATATAGAATTATTTAAAATAACATAATATCAGCATAACTCAAAAAAGCTATAGATTCGAAATTTAGTCAGTCCGCTCAGTTCTGACTTCACCTTCGTTCCTAAATCGGCAATAATATACACATGTTCAAATAAAAAAAATAAAAATGGAAAATTAAATTTGTTCCAAATAATTTTTTACCCAATCAATTTTCGTCAAAACTTCCTATTACAATTCCTTCATAAAAAAAAAACATTACATTACTCAATTATTTTTTTTACCACAAAATCAGACTCTTAATAAACCTCCAGTTAAATTTCAAGCATCACTCTTAAGTCTAACAATTTTACCATAGATTACCTACCGAATATAAATGATGAACAAAACTCGCAAAACAAAATGCCTATAAATAGCTCAAAAAATGGCCTTCATTTTATGAAAATATTACCACATCTAGAAAAAACAAATATAAGTTTTCTGTACAAATTTCAAGTCTACGAATATTTTTAACTGAATTACAACAAATGACAAAATTGAAAAATAATAAAAGCATTACTTTCGTAAATTTCCCAATTTTCTTAAGTTTTATCCTGGTTTTTCCAAGATATTATAGACGCCTGAAAAAGATTTACGAATACGAGTTCGCTCCATCAAAATTATTAATAAACCATCATGTGCCATATAAGTACCCATATTTGTTTTGTTTCCAGACCAAAGACCTAATAATATTTAAATAGTAGGTAAAACAGAATATCAGAAAAATATACCTAATAATAACTAATGAATGAACTAGGAATAAAATTCTGGTAATAATAAATAAATATAATCAAAACAATTCAAAAATTATGTAACAAAAAATTTAAAAAAAAAAAAGAGCTAATACTTGGAAGTTGGGACGGGTGCAGCCACTGTTGTAGTTGGGTAGTTTAAGGGAAGAGTTTAGAGAATTTTAAGTATATCTATACGGAACGATCAATCATTGCTCACGAAAAACGATTCTGAGTGGAATTCAGTTATACATATTTTAAAAGGCAGTAAATATTACTATATTTACGATTTTTCGTCAAAATTTGATTTTAAAATTCTTATAAAAAAAAAAAAAAAACACTTCATTACACTCAATTTTTTTTTCCTAATCACTAACTACGATTAATAATGAACCTCCGGTCAGATTTTCAAGCATTTCTGTTTAGTCTAAAAATTTTGTCCACAGAGTACCTACCAAATAAAAATTACGTACAAACCTCGCAAAATGTGAGTGCAAATAGCTGTAAATAGCTAGAAAATGTTTTTAAAATGTTACCACATCAGGGGTGCCATAGGATGCTTAGCACCCTAAATCTAAAATTAGCATTTCCAGATTTTGATCTAAATAAAATAATTATAATACTCAAATAGTACTCAGAAATGAGATGAATAATTACTATTATAATACTGTGTATTGATTTATATTATTATACATAATACATTCATACTTCATATTATATAGTATTTATTTTTTATTATTATGTAAGTTTATGTTAGTTCTTTTCATATTTTCAAAGGAGGAACGTATCCCTTGTTGGTTATTTATTAGGCGATATGAAAGATTCATTATTTCAATTTTCTTTATTTAATGTGCAAGAAATACATAATTTTATTTCGAAATTTCAAATGGGTCGGGGGTGTGGTGGGCAACCTCCTCCCCGCGATACCCTATCGTAAATAATTCCCAAGTTTCAAAATGAATGCACGCCTTTTTATTCCCTGTGAACAACTTTTTTACCGGCAATTTTGCCCAGATTTAAAATGATAGCTCTTTTTCTGAAAGGAAATCTGACCAGGGTGATACTTTGGGAAGTTCATTTTTTGATTGTCCCATTAAACGGGAAAAAAACCGAAGAAACGGGAAAATAAATACAATATCAAACAAATATTAAAAATAGGTAATACCTATTTGATGTGTATGTAAATATTTTACCATAATGTGACATATATATTGTTGACAAAGCAATCTTTCGCTCAGAATCTTTTTTCGTTAGCAACGGTTAGTCGTTGCGTGTAGATATGCATTCAATTTCCCTTCTAGCTTCCCAACTTTTAAACTTCAATAGTGGCCCACCCACGTGCGAAGTGTGTCCGTTTTTTTATCGAAGTCTATACTTTGCCAAATAATGAGTGTTCAACGATAAATAATCATCGTATTGTATATTATAAATAACTGTTTGTCTAGTAAACATTTGACTCAGTTCATTAAAAATGTAATCAATTTATATAAATGTAGAATCGTAAAAACAATATTCATAAACAGATTGGGTACTCAGTTTACTGATTAAATAAGTATCGTCAAAACTGAAGAACACCATTTTATTACCTATATATAAATGGGCACAACTAGAGGAGCGTGAGATACGAGTCTTTAGCACTCTTAAGTTTAAAATTAACACCCCGAAAAACACACAATAAGTTGTTTTATAGTATAGACTAAATATTTTTTCCGTGTATTTCATGATTAATAAGCAGAACAAAAAAACAAATAACCTACAGACAATGCATCGTGTGCGTATTGAGTTCAACAATTTTGATGATACATTTTATTATAAAAAATTGTAAATAAAATTTGTAGTTGCTCATTGAAAATAGGTATCGTGTAAAGCGGATTGTGGGGGTATTGCCTCTATAGGTGTCTGTGATGTGTCTATAATTTTCGCACCCCCGTGTTTGGTGGTCTAGTTACCTATTATGGGTATTATGGTTAGATTAGGTATACGATTTTTGAGATTGCAACGGAATTCAGAACATTAATTAATTATCGCGTGTTCTATTAGTAATGAACAAACGTTACTACGTTGAAAAATCAATTGAAATATCGCAATTAATTCGTTCATTCACCCGGGTAGTTGGAAACGCACTTGTATTCACCAACCGCCACCACCACCACCCAAAAATATCTTGACCCGCGGTTCCCCAACATTTAATTACACTATCATTACGCCACTATCCATACAGGCAGGTATATTATTACCATTGTATTCCAATAAGTAACTAATAATCATTATAGTACGTACCTGAATGAAGACGACTGTATTTATTATGTTCATCGATTATTCGGCATTATGGCGACGTGTGCGCTGGGTATGACGTTCAATACACTGCCACTGACATTCGCATTTCTCGTTTCAAGTATGATGCGAAAACCTACACATAATCGATTAACAGTTTTGAAATATTTTCGATCGCTACTGGTTTCTAGAAAAACATCAGAGTGCTGCGCGCGTTACCGTCACGGGACGAAACGTTTGTGACGTCATTTTCCCGTCACGTGTGCGTACCTACTACTCGGTACTTAGACATATTGGCCGGTGCTTAAAGGTCGGCGTTGGTGTTCCCGAACTCGGAAGAATATAAAAGCATCGTCACGGTGGCTACGTGACAGGATCGAACAGGCAGGGCGGCCAACTGCACTCCGACAACCGCAGCTCACCCGAACTTTATCGGCGACGGGGCTGAACGGGAATAAAAACCACAGAAGTCTATAAGGCCCTCGCCCTTGGAAAAATAATTGTTTTTAATAAATAAAAAAAAAAAAAAAAACCAAAGATTTAACCACCAATGATGGTGGGTACAACAAAAAGAAAAAAATTAACCAACTATCTACTTATAACTACCCTTCCGATCATAATGATTGTACGATAAATTTCAATATTTTACCGCTTTGGTTCTGTGAAGTGAATACAAAAGAAACAGAAATGGCAATAAATTAATATTATGGGTAGTAAATTAGATAATATTGTTAGATAGGGAGATGAAGTGGGCAAAAACTTAGCATACACTAACTTGATCTGAGGGATCTAAAGAAACTAGTGAAAGCTGAGTGTTTTATATAAAATATTTTTACGTTATACAATTAATAGGTAATACATTATTTGTGTACATTGAAATAACTTTTTTTTTTTTATAAAAACAGCGTTCTTAAACATTCATTTAGTATTACAGTGAAAACTCTTTCCAACTAAACACTATGTAACATAAAATGTACTTATTCATGGTTAACTTGATTTATAACCCATACTTTAGTTCTTTAACATTCTCTATTGTGAAAACTCTGTAACAAAACAAAATTTCTTAGTCCCTTATAAAAATAAGAGACTAAAGTTATAAAGTTTTCACTCTATTTCAAAAGCAATTAATAAATGATTATTATAATTCTAACTAAATTTATTACTTCACCAGCCGTATTTTATTAGAGTGGTCATTTTCAAAGAAAATATTTGTGCATATATAATAACCTTTAAATAATTAAATAAAATCTTATTGAGTATTAAAACAATAGGTACCAATATTCAGTGGTGGCATGAACTCTTTTATTTTATAAGGCAAACATAGATGTTAGAGGTTAAACATCTCCACCAGTGTTATTAGACAGTCGTGGGGACAAATCCCCACATACCTCCCCATCCCATATTCACCAATTTATCATTCCACAAATATATACTTTAAGTCATGGTGATTTTATATTTTATAAATAATACATTATACTTTTTTTTTATTTCGCTTTCCGTCAATATAAGAGAACACTGGACTAATGACCAAAATGCCTAGCAATGTAAAACATGACATTTAATCAACAGAGTTTAAGAGTCTGTGGGATTTTATTTTAAATTAATCTATTGATAAATACAATTAACAAATCATCTATTTTATCTTCTTCGTAAAAATTGTGGTTTATTTAAATGTTTGCTAGCTACCTAACACTGAATATTTAATACATGATAGTTAAAGTGCATTGTTGAAATACAATATATTAATTTAATATAAATATATATTTACTTTATATCAATAAAGTATCAGTTGGCAATAATTCATATTTTTAGCCTGGGGGCTACCACCACCCAATCAATTTTCTCTCCAATCATAGCACTAGTTTAACCGTTGTGAATTTATTTACCAGACTAATATCTTTATGTTAACGCATACCTTACTGTATTTATCAACATTGCTTGTGAACCACCTGGATTGTTCAATTATTATCAACCTATTAACTTTTAAATATTTTTTTTCCAACCTCTATAACCAGTTTTATACAACAAATAACATAATAATAAATAATTAATATGAATTACTAGCTGTCCCACACAGTTACTCATGCCTAAAAAAATAATAGAAAAATGATCATTCTTGCATGAACTATTACAGTCCTTACACAAACTATCTTATAGTTAATTTTTTTTGTTTTAAATTTTTTATTATTTCATCACACTTTGTACCACCAAAAAATCAATAAAAATAATTAGATTTTTGTACTAAAAATATCAAAACCATGTGTCATCCCTTCTTTTAGGGCTTGAATACTAGAGAAAAAAGTAGCTTGTCAGTAATCCTGGTCTAAAACTTCATTTATGCGAAGTTTCAGCTCAATCCGCTTAGTAATTTGGGTGACAATATAATAGTAACAAATATATATCCATCCATTCAAACATTCACATTAATAATATTAGTAGAACTAATTTATGTATAACAAATTAGTAAATATATATAAAATAATTGTTTAAAAAATTAACACTTGTTAATTATTTATTAACTGGTTTAATCAATATATTGTAAAATAAACTATAATCAACGTTTCTTTAATTTATTAGAAATTGAAGAAAGGTCGGCGGGAATAACATGCTATGTAACATTTTTTTGCGGAATAATGTGCTATGAAGCAATCACGACACATATTTTTAGAATCAATAAATTTCCAGAATGTTCTTATCATACATAATTATCATGTATAAACTTAGAAATCAGTAATTTTTTGATAAATAATAAAATGTGCTATGTACGTTAACAAATTTACAATTTACAAAATGTTACATAGCATCATGTTTTTCTCGCCAACCTTTTAATTAATAAATACTCTAATTCTATAATGGATAAGTAAACATAAAATACATAATAAAATAAATAGCTATAAATATGAAAATGTAAGTATAAAATCGATGATTGAATATAATTCATATTTTTTTTTATGTTGAATAGAACATAAAATATTGTTCAGTTAAAAAAAAAAACAATAATAGTATGTATAATTGTTGTTTGAAAAAATGTACGTATAAATTAAAATAGATATAACACATTTTTTTTTAAACATTATTCATAAATGCCAGTATACATTTACCATGGTGGATGTTGCTGATTTTGTGGTGGGTATTGTGGTGGATATTGTGGTGGATATTGACCAGGTTGACCTGCGATCGGATAATTCTGATACACTAAAAATAGAATACATAATAAAAACAACTGGCTAAATTCAGTTATTTATTGTTTTTTTATAGTTTTATAAACTAACTGTAGTGTATATTTATTAAAAAAAAATTACAATTAAATCATAGTTTTATATTTAAAAGTGAAATATAAAGAATGATGAAAAACAAGTATTGAATTACAAATATTATTGATATATAGTATAACGATTATTAGTATTAATTATTTATCAATTTGACAATACCTTGTGGCTGATAATTATGAAGTGTTGCATAAGGATTATACACAGTTGGCATTGGCGGTGCATAAGTATATGGACCAGTCCTTGGAAGTGTATATGGTAATGGCATACCCTGAGGCTGCATTGGATAAGGAAGCTGTGCACTCATTGTTGAACTCAATCCAGAAGCTGCACTCATTTCTTCTAAATAAAATAAAAATGTTTAAATGTTTATTGAAAAAGGAGTTATTAGTTAAAATCTGAAAATATATTTACGAAGTTGACTTGTCATAGGTCCTGTTGGAATAGAAACTGGTTTTTCTTTACTTAAATTTGACGTAATAGTTTTAAGTAACTCGTCTTTCTCTGTTTTACGAGCAAAACAAAAATCAGATATTTTGTTTTGTGCTGCAATTAATATCTAAAATAAAATTATTTATAAAAAAAAATATAGGTAAGTAAAATTTAAAAATATTTCAAAAGAGAACTTATTTCTAGCTTGGCATAAATACAATAAACATTACTTTAAAAAAGATTTCCAAATTTTAAAAATAAAAAACTAATACTTAAAAAAGATAAAATTTAAAATTCATCAAAATAATGTAGTTAACTATGAAGTTTAAAATGTAATACATTTTTTTGTTAATAAAGTACTAAAATAATTGTATTAAATAGAAAATGGGTACTCTGGAATAATAATTATATTCTAAACCTTAAATTATTATACATAACAATATGTTTAATCTTCACATTTACTTTTAAATGGAAAATTCTCTTAAAAATAATACAGTAGAATACCTATGCTAACCTTTTCATAAAAGTATACATTTCAAAAAGAGCTGATACTGGGGATGGGAGCGGCCACTGTTGTGAGAAGTTGGGAAGGAAGGACACATAAGGTTATTTCGTTTATATCTGTAAGCAATGATAAACCATTGCTTGACAAAAGACGATTCCGAGCGCAGTTTGGTAATACATAATTTGAAGTACCGTAATTTTTTTTTATGATTTTCATGTAAATTTAATTTCAAAACGCTTATTAAAAAAAAAAAAGTTGTTCGATGATTTTCGAAATTATACCATATTTAGGTAAGTTCAATATCAGTATTATTACCAAGTTTTAAGTCTCTACATGTATTTATAACCGGATTACAGCAAAAAAACTCCCAAAAATTAAAAGCTCAAAAGTTTTGGAAATGATACCATAAGAAAGTAAATCAAAAAAGTAACAAAAAAGATGTCTTGTGATTTTCAATTAAATTATTATTTCTGGTAAAAAATGTCATTCATGTTTTTATAAAATAATGAAATCATAAAATTATGTTTTCCTACGTTTTTCCCACTTAAATGCTTTTATTTAAAGAATGGTACCAAAAATTTAAAAAAATGACCTCTTAAAGTACCATCTAGACAACTTGAGCTATCAGAAAAGTTGCTACATGTAAAAATTGTAACAAGTTTACTAGGAAAAAACGTGTCCACAGACTAGAACAAAGAACAAAAAAAATTATTTAAACAGAATTGTAAAATAAATAGCTCCCTCACTATACTCGGAATCTGAAACTAAAAGTAATAGTAAATTTTACTGTATTTAAAAGCGACAGAAGTTTCATAATTGTGAATGATATAAACAACTAATGGTCTAACAACATAATTAAATTTTAATTTAAGGACACTCAAATATGTTATAATAGAAAAATAATTTTGTACATAATTTGTTTGTTTTATTTTTAAAGACATGAAAATATTAATTTATGGCTATAATATTTAATAGAAAAATATTCTATTATCGTAAAATACTACCTAACAAAGCATGCATAAATTTTAAAATAAAAAAATGTTTAGAGAATAAAGAATAATAATGTTTAACCTATTTTCTTATTAAATTTGTTTGTTAATAGATAACATTATAAAATATTAAAAATATATGTATATTATATAATTACTTCAGTTAAATCATTATAAAATTTTGTTCCTTCTATCAAATTATTTTGTAAGTCATTAAAAACATCATAACCAGATGCTAAATCTTTAAATAGAACTTCCCTTTGTCCACCACTCCTTTTTTCTTTGCAAAATTCTGTGTTCACAACCTAGATAAATAAATAAAAATTAATTAATGAACTGTTAAAGTAAAATATTTAAAAATGTTTACTTGTATATTTGATAAAAGTGTCTCTTGTCTAGCAAGACTATCACGAACTTGAGCTTTTAAATGTCCATAAGACTGATCCAAACTTTCCGTTGATAAATTTGCTTCATGAATGGACCCTTCCTCAGATAGGGCATTCAAAAACTTTGATTTCATGTCAGTCGTGGCACATTTTAATTCCGTTTCAATAACATCTCTTTCAGTTTTTAAAACTTCTACCTAAATCAATTTCTTAATAAAAACTTTCTAAATAAAAATAAATAATTAATACATACTTCTTCCATTAAATGTTTTAATTTATCTGCAGCTGTAGAGTTGGCAAAATTAACACCAGAATTTGATCCAGCTGGTAATATATTTTGTATGGCTTCCTGACCTTCTGTTAGCAAATAGAATGCTCGCTTATGAGTTTCAAACTTCTCATGTATCATCTAATAGAAATTAAAATAAACTAAAAATGTCAAAAAATGTAATTCTTCTATATTACCTTATCAGCAAGTGTTGCATTTTGTATTATCTCTCGATATTTACTGATGTTTACTCTAAACACTTGAGTAAGAGTACTGGACTTACTACGATTCCATTTTTCTTTGAACTGTACTTCAAGTTGTTCATCAGATGCTTGTTCTTCATTTAACATTCGTTCAGACTAAAACATATGTTATTATACTTATACAAAACCATATATTTTTTTAAACAATGTAAAAAATTACTTCATTGATTATTTCTTCATTTCGTTTCAATAACTCTGGTAATTCTTTGATCATTGTTTCTAATTTTGTTATTCCACCACTCATTCGTATACTATTTGATTTTTCTATAAGTGACTGTGGTATACCGACACCTTTAACATCCTCTAATGCAGCTGGCAAATTTAATGATGCTAAACATCTTTAAAAGGACATCACAAATTAAAATAATATGATAATTATATTAATATAGTAATTATACCAACACACCCATTCAATATTTGTGTGGATTCTCTCAACTTTCCTATCTCTGCATTTACAAGTTCTGTTTTACGTACATCATATGCAGTGAGTGCCTGTTGAACTGATATTGGTACTAAATCTTCAAATAGATCTAAATATAGAAATTTCATTAATAAAGTTAAACAAAAAAAGTTGAATATATACCTACCCTTAAAGTTGTCGGTTAACCTTGCAGGTACAGGAGTAGGTTTGGCAACTACAGCTTTGGGTATTGCATCTAAATCTTTTACTTCAGGAATTCGTTCATGATAAATAAAATCATTATCTTTCTTTGCATCATTTAATTCTTGCACAACTTTATTCAATATTGAAGCATAGAATAAACGATTACATCGTTCTTGAGCCGTTTTTATACATGAATTAGCTATCTGAATAAAATAATATCAATACTAATATTAATACTTTATAACTATAGTTTATAAAAATCATTTTTTTTTAAATTAAGTATATGTACATACATTGAGTCTAGCTATTTGTTCGCCAATATGTTTATTATTCTTACAAACCATAGACTGATAATATTGGGCTATGCCATGCATTAAAATTTGCTTTGCATATATCTGTAACAAAAACTTTAAAGAATAAAAATATTTAAATATTATTATTATCAAATAGTACAGTTGCAGGCCATTCTTTCTCTAATGAAACCGAAACTGAATCTCTTTCCAACAGTTTTATTGTTTCCGTATACAATTCTTCACCTTGTGCATATATTTTAGCAATTGACTGATATTTCATTTTATCTAAAATCAAAATGTATAAATAATTAATTAATTATATTAATATATATATTATTGGTAATTTAACTTTTGAAACAGGTACAATATGAGGCAGGCCCACTATAAAATTGTTTTTTATAGTAAAAACTAAAATTGGCTAGCACGCTGCTATTTAATAAGGGGCCAAGTTTGGTTAATGTCTATTCTCGTAAACGCCGCCTAGTATATTTGTGTTAGTATTAAATTAGTTTATGAGTACTATTCGGGTCCAGTCAAAACAGAACAGGTGAAAAAAATTGGAAAGACAAAACTAAGGAAAAAAATGAAAATCAAACAACAAAATTTTCTCTTTCTAGTTTTTCCTTATTTCCATTTAGACGTTAGGTAGTGCTACTTTTACCACTTGTCGAATTATTATCATGTAGTTATTTTTATATTATAATATTTTGTTTTACAGCAGTATAATTTTATTGTTAGTAATAATTAATTCCATTTTAATATTTTCATATTTCAAATTATTTTACTTTTAGTTTCTAAACGCATTTTATTTTATATTATAAAATCAATAGTTCTACTATGTGATGTTTGATTTTAAATTTTAAACAATTTTATGGCAATAAGACCCGAACTCTTAAGATGATTCATAATATAAGATAATTCATAATATAATATGTAAACATTAAGAAATAGAATAGGCAAATTAATCACTATCTTGGAGGAATTTTTAAAAAATTGATTGCCAGTTTTTATAAAGCTGTATCCTATATTGAAGTATATATCCTATATTATAGTATTTGCTAAAATATGTTTTCTATAATGGTTATAGACTATCAACAATCATTAGTTTTATTTATTATTTGATTTCTATACAATGGTACTATAAAATCTTTGTGAGAATCTGTAAACATCAATTTTACTATGGAAAGCCATATCAGCAGATTAAATTTTGAGGCAGGTCAAGATAGTACAAAACAAAATTATATGATAGATCAAACATATCAGTAGGTTACATATTAGACATGTTCCTAACATTTTAGAAATGAGTGTATCAAAAATGCTATAAAAAAAATTCCCAAATGAAGTCAATGTCTTATAAACCCTATATAATAAAACATAAAAAAATTACAAATAATATTACCTAAATTTGCTTTCAACCCAATCATTTCTTGAGCTTGAGCCACCATTAAAGATGATAACATTGCTAACATATCTGGAATTAAATCTGGAGTTGGATCTTGTTGAATAACATTCATAGCTGTTGTTTTTAAATGCAAGAATTTACCAGCGCTTTGCTAAACAAGAACAGTTGTATATAAAATTAATAATTATATTTAAGTAACTTTAAGTAATTTAAGAAAAATACAAATTTCACACTGATTGCATTAACATGGTTATTAAAAAATAGGGGATTCTACATAAAAAAAAAAATTCATAGTAAAACCAATAGATCCATAACTCTGCTTAGAATATATAATAATTTAGACAATAATCAAAATCAAAAAAATTGGATATTTATAATTATTTAAATATCTATTACAATTGTTGCAATTATGTTTTTATTAGATTAGGTATTATTAACTTATGGGCGGGAGCATAAAATTTGCTCTCATCACAGCTATTCTTTTCAATCATCAAATTTGATGTATATATGTACTTGTTGTGTATATACAAATTTACACAATAAATAACATTAATATGTGCCCATTTAAAATGAAACTTTTTTTAAGTACTATTGAACTTCAGTTAATTGCACAAATAATATTAGTTAAATAAATAGAAATCAAAATACTAAATTATTATATAATTATTATTAATTATTATATATATAATTATTAAATAATAAAATATTTATATTGAAACTAAATAAAGGTTCAGTCAAATGCGTCTTAGCACAATACTGATCCCCTAAAAATTATAACATTAATTATGTTTAAATGTATATTACTTGAAGGAATCTGACAGCAGTTTTCAATCCTTCATCAGTGTCTAAAATTTGAGCAGCTGCTAATGCGCTTTCATGAGCTGCTATATTGAACAGTATACACACCCTCTCATAATCTAATGTAGGCATGGCTAATCATTATATATAAAAAAAAAAACATCAATTGTAAATATCAGTACATTAGTCAAATTTAAAAATAGTATATTAGTATAAGTTAATCATACTTAAACTGTGTCTTCCATTAGCAAAAAAAGTACCAGATTTATTAAAAGCATCTTTCCATTTAAAATGCATCATTACATCAATTGGTGGAATTTTAGATTCCAAAGAAGTAATCTGATCATAATAACTAAAAATTAAAACAAATAAATAACATAAACTAATTTATCTAAACAGGATCAACACTCAAGAAGATCAGATGTTTACTTTGATATTCCTTCGATAGAATAAGTGTATTTATCTGACGCCTTTAACAATGCCTGACTGCGTAGCCTATTTAATTCATTTAACGCATCAGAGTAGTCTTCGTGATTATCTGATGAATGATAAAGTGTTGATATCATGTTTTTTAAAGGTCTTACAAGATTCAATTCAGATGATCGTTTTGTTGGAACCGTTAACAAAACTGTGATTGGCGCATAAGGTTTATTTTGAGGTCCTGATGACACTGTACCAAATAAAAATATGACAAATCAAGTAAAATTCGTAATTAGGTTATTTATAAGACAATGAAACAAAGAATTCTCGAATGTATTCCAATTACCTTCGTGAACAGCCATTATGTTTTTCGCATACGAGCTTATGATGTACAATGAATTAATAATAATTAAATTACTTAACGACTAATAACTTTTAAAGTACCTTAGTATTAAATAGTTATCAAAAACGAAAAACTGCACAGTCCCAACAATCCTTAAATTATAAACAGTACATCTTTAATGTAATCTAAGCTAAGCAATAGTAACAGCCTAAGTACTTGACTGCCTGAGTTCGCCTTAATTCCACTCCTTTTTAACGGCTGCTTATCAATTTGCAGTGTTGCCGAATAGTAACCATAGATTATACATAAAGGATAAGACGTCATGCCTATGTTAATTGCATATGGGGTAGATTATACCGTGGATCTACCATATAACTGGTTAAAACCATTATAGTGATTTTAAAATAAAAATATCTGATAACAAAAAATAATTTTTTATTTGACTTTAAACATAGATAATATTGTAATATTTAATTAATTTTAATTATTGTGTGTAATGTGGTTCTTAATAGTAAATTATTATTATACACAATCCATTATTTTTTCAATGACAATTTTATTTTAATTTTTTCATATTTTCCCATTTGTTGAAAACTCTTGGGAAAATCAAAAAATGGCCTCCCTAAAGTGCCAATATTTAAAATATTGATTAAGAACTATAAACCTGACTTTATTACATACCTATGTGCAGGACCTATTTTTGTGCGTAATACTTAATCTGTTGTGTAAATTATTAAATGTTTAATACGCATTATAAAGTATATAATGCTATAAAAAAATATTTCTAAACTGTGTTTTGTTGTTAGAATATTTTTAATTGTTTAACAAATTAAGATAAGTTTATCAAAGAGATTTGATCAAATACAAAGTATTTTAAAATGTATTATTTATTAATATAATATTTTAAAAGTTCTTATCTTAATGCTTGTTAGAATTAGTTTACTGACTAAATAAAGAATTAAACCCAAAGGAACGTTTTTTAAACAAATTTGTTGAAAGAATAATGTATAAATAAAGTACAAATTAGTTGATATTATGTAACTTTTTTTTTTTAAGTTTACTTCTTACATTACCCATAAATTTCTTTTTGTAAAGTTTAAACCTAAACATTTATTAGTGTAGTCACACTATTTATCACCTAGAAAGCGCTGTGTGCTGGTATTAATTATTATCAGTAACCAGTCATTCATTTGCATTAAAAAACAATAGGTGGGTAGATATACAGAAAATAATTATAAAAATTGAATATTTTTTTATCATAGTGCAAAATTTTACCAAGTACCTATACAGTATACACTGTATACTGTGTATAGTGTATACGTTTCTTTCAAAACTTTTCCTAAATCTATTTTTATCTATCCTTTCCTATATTTATTCCATATCCTATTATTGTTGGTGCCTTTTTGATAATCTAATAAAAACTAATTAGATGCCAATCTATGATCAAATAGCAAATATAACCTGTGTAGTGTTGAGATGCTACATTTTACTGAAGCAATATTAACTGATAAAGTTCTCAATGTAAACAAAAGCTTTTAATTATGGGAAAAAATACTAAATCATTTTCTTCCATGGCATTAAATACATCTTGAAGAATTTCATTTCATATAATAAAGAAGTAAACTTTAAATTATTATTTCTAATAACATTCTTTTATTTTTGAGTTTAATAGGCAGTATCACATGATTTTACAGTGTACTTTTATGTATTTTCCTAGTGTGATATAAATGACAAAAAATTGAAAAAAAAAAGGATATAGGTGTGTCGGAAGGGGAATATTTTCTGATAATTTCATGTTCGGCTTAAATACGGTCGGTAGAAATATTTTCGGTTAAAATACGGTTCGGATGTTTAATAGCCCCCCCTATTTTATATATCTATGGTAATATGTCTTTGGTTGATATCATTCTTTTCTCTATGATATCATATAACTTATCACTTTTTCAGATTTCAGATTACGACTTACTAAAATAAGGTTAATATCTCTGTTTAGTTGTTTTTTAAATAAATTTTTAAAAATATGATAAAATTTTTAAAATCCCAAATATTTACTTAAAACAATAATAATTATGAATACTACTTGTTCACTGAGACGTCTTCGTAATTTACATGTTAATATAATTAAACGACATCATGCACTACGATATAAATCCAATAGTTGTATTAACACAAACGAATTTGTATTATATGATCAATTAATAAGTAAACGCCGGTCCCAGTCTAAATGCAGTGTTTTAGTACAGGTATCTTCAGAAAATTCATGTTCTGATTTATTTTCTTATTGTTCTAAATTTGGTTCAATAAAGAACATGTTTCATTATCAATTAACTGATTCAAATCATTTTGTACTCACCGAATTTGAAGAACAATCAGCTGTTAATAATTTATTTGATCAAAGTACACATCTTGAAGACTCAAATGTAATTGCTGTTAGATCACCATTTCTTTGGTTTCGTTCTAATTCAAGTAAGAAGAATTCAAAATTAATTACTGAAAATAATTTTAACTTTCCTTTTCAAGCCAATCAAATAATGATAGAACCAAGTGTACAAAATATCGGACTGGAAAAACTTGATTCGTTGTCAAAACAAATGTTGTTACTATTAGAACACACCCAATTAAATGATTTAGGTACAAGATTGAGGTTTCTTACAGCAATGCAAGTCGAAAATGCTCTGAAGGGTATTTTTCCATTGTCAAAAATATTGCCCTTCGGATCAACAGTTAATAGTTTTGGTAAGATTGGATCAGACCTTGATTTAGTTTTTATGAACAATAAAGTTACAAAAAATCTAACTAATAGGTTAGTATATCATAGTAAATGCATGTCAAGTGGTCGTTCACAAATACAACGACACATTGAAATACTTGGCGATTTATTACAATTGTTCTTGCCTGGTTGTTCAAGAATAAAACGTATTTCTCAAGCAAGAGTGCCAATTGTTAAATATTTTCAAGATTTTGTTGGGTTAGAATGTGATCTGGCAATATCCAATGAAACAGCCGTTAATATGTCTGAACTTTTGTATATTTTTGGTAATTTTGATCAAAGAGTTAGGCCTTTGGTTTTTACTGTAAAAATGTGGGCCAGAGAGATAAATTTAACAAACGATACACCTGGCAAGTGGATAACAAATTTTTCTTTGACTCTATTAGTGTTATTTTACTTACAACAAGAAAAAATCATTCCTGCTATTGATATATTGGTAAAAGAAGCCAATAATAATGACTTACGAATCACAAATGAAGGAATCAACTGCACATTTTTAAGAGATGTCTCAAAACTTTCTAGAACTGTTCAAAATGAAAAAACATTGGATCAACTTTTACTGGGTTTTTTTGATTATTATGCATTATTTGACTTCCAAATGAATGCAATATCATTAAATGTTGGAAAAACTATTAAAAAGCCAGAATACAGTGCATTGTATATAGTCAATCCATTAGAAACAAATTTTAATGTTAGTAAAAATTTGAGTTTAGAAGAAATGGAGAGATTAAGAATAGAATTAAGAAATGCTGCATGGTTGATAGAATCATCTTTAAAGAATAAGGATTCTTTCAATTTATTAGAACTTTTTAAAGGAGAAGCTTTAAAAAGAAATCAAAAGGTTTTTAAAATACAACATAAAATAACAAATTCAAATAGATTAGTTACAGTTAAAGATTTATTTGAAGATGATTCTGAAATAGAAGAAAACAAAAAACTTAAAAAGCAATTAGAAACTACTGAAAGAGAAATTTGATGTAAATTTGAGAATAAATTAAAATATATATTTTATAATTACTATATTTTTATAAGATTTGTTTTTAATATGAATTGTTCATAAAAAATGTACAATTTAAGTATTTGTGAACTATAAACAATGTGTGTATACTATGTAGGTATCCCATTTACAGTATTGTAATTAATTAAAGTATAAAACAAAAAAAAAAACTAAAGTGTATGTCATGGTTAACTGTTATTGCCCAATAATTAATCTTTTTAATGAATACTTCCTATGTGTGATGTTTCTTTCACCTGTTGCCAAGGTTGCCCTAATCAAAAACAAAATTCAATTTTTGTACCTAAAAGACCAAAAACTATGTGAGCTTCCTTTAGCAGTTAAGGAAGTAACTAGTTTCCAAGAAACCTTTTTCATTTCTAATATAAAAATTAAAATCATGGAATTGTATTTACTTTTTTAAAATTGAAATGTTAATATATCATAGCTTTAGCTCTTTAAATACCTATCCTACAAAATTATCTCCTTCATGGGGGAAATTGAGACAAATGCATTAATATTTTTTTTTTAAAAAAAGTGAAAAAATGTTAACTTATAAAAGATTACTTAATGACAATAAAAAAAATGAAAAACAGGAAAATGAACGAAATATATAAATATAATATCATGATTTTTTTTTACTGTGGACAACTTTTCAACCAGCAATTTTGATCCGATTTATTATGATAGTACTTTTTCTGAAAGAAAATCTGACTGGGAAGGTACTTTAAGGAGGTTATTTTTTATTAATAAAATAAAATAGGGAAAACAGTTCAATATTAAACAAATATATAATGCCTAATTATTTTACCATAATATAACATATGTATATTATATGATAAAGCAATACTATCAATTGAACTCCACACAGAATCATTTTATTGGTTTGAAATAGTTTATCGTTGCTTACAAATTTACATTAAATTTCCCCTCTGAATTACAACAGTGGCTGCACCCACGTGCAAAGTATATCAGTCGTTTTTTGTGTATGTATTTGCTATTATAGGATATTAAAATGTTAAGTAAAATAATTTGCTCTTTTTGGCCTTTATTATACACAACACAAATTATTTTGATTAATCATTTCAATTATAACTTTTATTATTTCCCCAACCTCCCTACCATTCTATGTCAGAGTAATAACATATAGCCTTTTATCATAGAAATGTTAAGTATTTTATGAAAAAAAAAGTTTTATTGAAAAAACCATATTAAATCAATTAAATATACTATAAATATTTAATCAATATTAGAACTCTCAAACCACAAATAATAATGTATTAAAATAAAATTTGTACGAAGTTAAAATAATTAATAAAGAAAACAATTTACATTACATCAAAGTTTTCATATTTTAATTTAATAATTCTATTCAAAAGTTACATCAAAATAGCAAATATAATATTAACCAAATTTACGAAATTTAACGTTTACTATAATGTAAATTATGAATAGAAGGTAAGTAAAGAATAATGATTAATTTTAATTGCCTTCTCTTAAAAAAACAAAATATAAATTAATTATAATATTTCCAAATATACCACCAATTTACGTCCATATATACTTTAATCTAAGAACACCTAATGGTGATTTACGATTCACAAACATGGCTGGTTAAGAAGCCAGAAAAAAGGTTGGAAGTATTTGAGATGAAAATATTTAAAAATATGCAAAGAAAGATGTTTAAACTAAACTAGTTAGTGGAGCAAATAATACAATTACTCTATTTCAACATCCTAGTTTAACTATGGAAATTCAAAAAGGATGAAATATGTAAGACGTGCATAGGAGAAATAGAAGTTGATAATTAAAATAGTAATCAACTAGAATTTAGACAGTCAGGAAGACATCACCTAAGATAGGAAGATTGTATGGTAAAGGATGCAAACATAATGGAAACTGGATATAATGGAGAACAGCAAAAGATAGAGATAAATGGAGGTACAAATAGTTGAAGGCTAGTCTTAGAATGGTCATTACTTCATTAAATAATAAATTAAACAACTAAGAAACTAACACGTAGACGTTATAAGGTACTTTTAAATAATAAAAAACTTACAGTCTTTAAACTTATTGGTATAAACATTACATATTATCATAATTACCTAGATGGCAATTTCACAATATATTTTATTGCCATATTTATTAAATAATGCATGACCATTTGTTTTATCGATGTATATTAACAAACGTATCAATAAATAGTTTTCCGATTTGGTCGCATATTCTTTAATATATATATATAAATTTTGTCTAAAATTGATAAAAATGAATCGAACATATTATTATTCATTAGAATTAGTTACATTTTATGAATATTCACTAAAATTATGAAATGTATAAGGTACTTGTAGTATTATCAATGTAACTCTAGACACATAATATAGAGAATATAACATATAAATATTTAAACAATAAAATTTTTTAAAATACAAGTTATGTCTCGAAAATTTAAATTTAAATGTACACTATGGTCTACGACTAAGCAAAAAATATAAATTAATTTTTTTTTTTGTTTAATTAAATAAAAATTGTGATAATAAAATATGTTGCTCGAAACTTTCTTAATCACGCGCACAATGTAGAACTATATAATAATTTTTGATAGGAGTACTTCAGTGTTAAAATTCAAAATTGTCCAAATCAATAATTATCAAATATATTTATGTACATTTATTTATGTTATGCAACAAGGTACCAAATTAAAATATTAATTATTATGTTTAAAAGTAAATTATAATATTTGTATAAGAAAAGAATAATTACAGACTCATAAAATATTAACTAAATATTGATTTGTATCTGAAATTGTGTTTATGTCTATTTTAATGTGAGAGGTAGATTAGTTTCGATTAAAAATTATTTTTATTATCAATTATTTATTGTCTAGTTAATGTTAATGCTGCGTACTTTTTTGGCTACAGCCCTAACACGTTTTGCAGTTTTGGGAATAGCCAATTCTAATTTACGTTTTACTCCAGTACTTGTGGATGGTTCCTGATCATCAGAACTTTTAACTTCCTCAGATGCCAACAGTTCATTCTGATCAACTGAGTCTTCTTTAATTTCTAGTGGAATTTGATCTACTTGACTATGTAATCGAGTCTGTACAGGATTGGTGATAGAATTTAAAGCAGGTGGCCCCATCGCTAAAGACTGATCACTTGCCGTAGTACAAGAAGAACAAACAGAAATTGCTGATGAAGATGATGCTGATTGTAGATATTGAATTTCTGTCTTACATTTATTAAGCTCCTATAAAAGAAGTAAATTTTGTTTATATTAAATAATAATATTAGTAATTATAATTAATAATAAAAAAAAAAGAGCTGATACTATTAATGTAGTTACACCACTGATATAATAGGAAGTTGGGAAGGTAGGATACATAAAGTTATTAAATTTCTATCTTTAAGCAATAGACTACTGCCTATGAAAAACAATTTTGAGCCAAGTTTGTTTATACATAGATAATTTATATGGTCGTAAAATTTAATCTTAGAACCATTATAAAAAAAATGTTCTCAACAAAAACTCGTTTACTTAAAATCCCTATAAATAACTAAAAACTTATCAAATTATTCTAAAAAAAAAATATTTTTCTATAACATTTCAAGTTTTTACAAATATTTTCAACTGAATTACATAAAAAAAAAAAAAAAAATTGAATGGAATGAAACCATTAATCAGTTAACTCCTCCATTCTTTCAATGTGTTTGCTCAATTATTAAGTAAATTACACACACAATCATAAAACTATGTATGTAATATGATGAGTGTGAACTTTCATAAAATTAACAAGAGACCTATTTTGTACATTTTTAATCTAATCAGAGAATAAGAGGTTTTTTTTTCAAGAGGTTTTCAAAATAATTTGAAAAACAGACATACATATGGTTCATCACAGTGTTATCAATTACATTAATTTTAATTTGTACGCATCATTATGTTTTCTATTAGAAATATTGCTCCAAAAAAAAAAAAAATAAGTGACTTTTTTGTTGCATTTTTAACCAACTTATTTAATTAACTAGATTGTTAACATATGTTTAACTAGGTTAGTAAGTCCATCATAAATTAACATTCAATTCAATACTAACTTGTAACAATGTACTAAATTTTCGATTCGTCTCTTCATTTTTCTTATCATATTCATCCATTCTATTTGAATATTCAACTAATGTTTTATGTTGATCAGCCATTTGAGTTTTACATTGTTTTAACTCTCGTTGTAAATTCCCTACTTGAGTTGAAGTCCTGGAAAACATTTTAACAAATTTAAATTAAAAATAATAAATAATAATGAATAAAATCTATTTTTCTTTTAAATAATTTATATATATATATATAATGGGTGGTCTATAAATTAATAAATTCAATATGAGTTACCTCTCCCCCGTTTTTATAAAAAAAATATGAAAAATTAATTTAGTGAAAATATGGAATCAATAAATAATCCCTTCCTGTACCAAAATAGGAAGGAATTATGGCATAAGGGTATTGTTTTTTTTTTCAATTATTTTTGATAATTTTATCTTTAATTTATAAACAAAATACAGTGAAATAGGTTCAATTTCAGAACAATATTTAATCTTTCCAAATTTTAAAAAAATAAAATTTGTTATCATAATCTCATATTTTTTATTTTACTATTTATATGAAATAATGAGTTAAATAGAATTTTTATTGGGGCATTTTTTTAAGATAAAAGTATATTTTTTATAATTTATAATTTAAATTTTTTCGCTAAATCTTTATTTTTTCAAGCAATCTAAAAGTTGAAGGAAGGTGTTTTTTTTTCAATTTTTGAAAACAAATTTTATGTTTTGAAAATTGGCTTAAGCACTGACACATCAACCCTATCATGAAATTTTTAGAGTAAACCAGTTTAGATTTCCCTTAAACACTTAACTGGTGTGGAAACAACAAAGAATAATAAATGTATAACAATGGACCTTATTTTAAATAATAAATACAAAGAAAAACACCATAAAAAAGGGAAAGGTACAGTTTAGACATAAATCAGAATTAAATTTAACCAACCAATATCACAAACCGGTTAACTCTAACAAATGTATTGTATTTGTCGCCTCCTACAACAGATATAATTACCGCAGGAGTATCTAATCCTCTCCCACAGGAATAATTATACAATGATTATCCAATTGTCAATCAACCAGACATCCAAATATCCGAACTAAAATCAGATGACAAAAAAAATATTTGGTCTTTTGATAACTCGTAAATCATAATCATATTTCCAAATTGTAGATTAGATATCCGCTGTTTTATTACATAACATAAATATGTATATGTATAAGTAAAAATGATTCCTTACAATTATCGTGTATACATACATATATATGTCAATCATCCAGAGATTTTCTTATCCGGATTACCCTTGATAATTATTAGTCTAGATAATCGACCTTCTACTGTATACTATATTATAAATATTATGTATACTAACATATTATTTTGAGTTTTATTTATTAATTGATTATTATAGATTATTGAAATGCTAAATTTGATGCTAATTAAGAAAAATTAATATTAAAATAATGCATTTTTGTTTTATTTGTTTTTGGAAAAGTAAAAACTACATTTTATATAATAGATAACTAAAGATTATAAATACTGTAATTAATATATTTTTTGTCAATACCTATTGACTCTTAACATTTATACGCTATAATATATATTTTTTTCAATTCTAAAAGCTATACTATACTAGATATTGATTTCCTGTAATAACTTAATGTTACTTTTAATATTTAAAAAAAAAACTAATATTGTAACTATTATCAGATTTGAATGCACATACTTTCGTAGTTGTTTTCGTAGATCTACAAAATCTCGTTCCAAATGACAACTTTGGGACCTGATTGAAAATATATAGTATAATTATTATCAATTAAAAGTGCAAATAATGCAATTATTAAAATGTACAACTTGTATGTAACAAAACTTTTAATTAACTTACGTTTTTATTCCTTGTTTAATTTTACCAACACTTTTTCGCAACATAGAACTACATTGTGGACTTTCAGATGAAGCTCTTTTACCTTCTAAACTTGAAACAGAACCTTCACGAATCATTAAACTACGTTTTCTTAAACACATGCTTGTAATAGTTCTAGTATTGGCTGGACCTACAGATGTATTAAAATATAATATAAAATAAATAAAAATAAAATATAAATTAATATTTTAAACCACAACATATTTAAGTGATACTCATTTTATACATAAAAATCTAATGTAAAGGGTGATTCACTACATGAACCAGAATTTTCTCAGAGGGTTTTAAATGAATTAAATATCTGCTTTTTTCAATCATTATGGAATTGTTTAAACTTTATTTTAAAACTAATTTCAACTTTTCAACCATACTCCTAATACCTGAAATGAATATATAATTTAAATTTTTAAATAACAACCCCTCTCATCCCTTTAAATACAGATTTAAATAGATATTTTTCTTAAAATGTTAATATGAATTACTTTAATATTCAATTTACCGTTGGGTTATAAAAGTTTTAATTTGAGACTGGAGGAATAGGTGAGGATTCTCAATTTATCACCTCAAAATTGAGAGAAAATTGCTGGTCCATGATCAGTGGATCACCCTGTATACCCACCTAAAGGTGATGGAAATTCATGATAATCATTTGCAAATAGTCTAATTTCAGGAAGAGTTGGTTCAATTTTTTCTCTAAAATATTCCATAGCCATAGTAGACAAATCAAATAGTTCATCTGTCACTTTATATGGCCTTGCCAATTTTGTAGTAACTTTAATATAATGCAGTATTTTATACACTTCATCTAAAATCTGAAATAAAATTAAGCTAATTTAATAAATAAATAAGCTAAGTATAAATATATTAATATATTTTAGTAATACAATTTAAAATTGTCTAATAATGAATTACCCTTCAGTGTTGAAAAAAATAAACATAAAATTACCTCTCCAGCAAAGAAACATATATGTTTCCTTTCAATATGTTTACCAAATGCCATACGTAATAATAATAATCTCATATGAAGTGTTTCAACAATATCAGATTCACATGCAAGTGGATGTTGACGCCTAGCCGATTCTCTTCGAGGCATTTTTGTTTTAATAATTTGAAAACGATGTAACATTTGGTTTTGTAAACGTTGAAAAGTAGAATTTAATATAGTGCTACATATGACGTTAAATTGTCGAGAAACCTGCAAATATATTTTAAAAAACATAAATAGTAAAATAGTCAAAGTTGCATATATTTAATTAATATACCGCTCTTAATTGAGATATGTGTTTGAAATTAGTATATGAAAAAATTTTCTCAATTATTTCATATGGAATGTCTAGTAGATTAACTTGACTTAATTGAATGGAACTAGACTGGCCTAAACTAACTACACTTATACATTTCTCAGGTTTTGTTATGACAACTGCTTTGGTCGTAGAACCTGAACTACTACTACTGCATTGTTGTCTAGTGGATACCATTTTATAAATATTTGATTGATGTTGTTTTTTAAAATACTATTATTTGATGTACATATATCTGGATAAGGAAATATACCTATAACATATAATAAATAAACAAAAATTAACAATTTAATTATAATTAATAAAGATAATTATTAAACAATAATATTTGTTGCATTGGTTTTTCAATCGTAAAGAACCAAATATTAAAGAATTAAACATACTATTTCAAATATTAAAATTCAAATGCACATGCACAACATTAAATTATTTTATTTTCCCTAGTATGGAGATTTATTAATCGGGTATCTAATATTATAATAGGCAAAATTAAAATAATTGAGTTAAATTATAACTGATTTTCCAGATATAATATAGGTAAGCAATATATATTTTAAATAGGTAAAATATTTGGTATATGGTATAAACAATTATATACCTCTACCTTACAAAATTTAGAATACCGCTTCGATTCTCGTGAGTTTTAAATGCTTATAAAATTTAACATCCTTTCTATATGTAATATGGTTTATTAAAAATTATACAGATATTCTGTATCAGATTGTAAAATAACAAAGAGAATTGAATATTGCTATATAAAAAAGGAATAAAAACTAAAAATTTCAATACCTATTGTTTTATTTTATTTATTTCCAAGCCAATTAATTTTTTTTTTTATATGAACAGTGTAAACAGTTCTCTAATCAATAGATATATATTTTCTAAAAAAGTAATAAACATAAATTATATTTAATATACTTAGGTATTGCATACCCACTAATACAAATGTTATAAACTAGATAAAATTGTTAAAAACAAGACTAAACTTTATTAGAAATTAATTGAATTTCAGTCAATTTTACTCAATCAAATTTAACAAACAATTATTACAATTTAAAATATTTAACTATTTTTACTTGTTGCTGATAAAAATTATATTTATTATTACTATATGTATACCAGCTGATCCATTTACATGGATACACTCATTATCTCGGAAAGTATTAACTTTTTCAGAATTTGTTTTATAGAAAATTTAAGAAACAAGCAGCTTTATGATTTTACATTTATGTTATTTTTTACCACTCTTATTTTTGGGGGTAAAACCATTACCTGTTTTTGATTTTCATATGGCAACCTAATTAAAAAGTCCACAAATTGATGAAGTATTAGTTGAAATAAATATTAGTATTGACATTTTTGATTTCCATCAATACTTTGACGAGATATTCCCATTTTAAGTTTGTATTGGAGGAGAGTAGTGGAGTATCATTTGAGTAGTGTTTGTAGTTTTAATAATACACCACTACTCTACTTTAGCCTAAAATTAAAAATGGAAAATCTCGCCAATGGCTAAACAGGAATAAAAATTTCAACACTCAAATTTATTTTAACTAACACTTCATCTATTCATAGAATTTTTAATAATATAGGTTGCCATTTAAAAATTGAAAGTAGGTAGGGGGGACCTCAAAAAATAACATAAATATAAAATTGTAGATCTACTTTTTTCTTAAGTTATAGAAAATAAATTTCTAAAATGGTTAATATTTTCAGAGATAATGAGTGTACCCCCCTATATGTATCACCCGGTATAGAAAAAAATTTTAATAGATTATACTAAAATCTGATTTTAGTCATTAACTCAATCATAATTTTTAAATAGAATGTAAACAAATTATATAGGTAGGTACTGATTTGAAAAAAGTATCAAACAATAATCCAATAAAAAAACTATTTTAATTTTATACATTTTTTTTTTTATTTAATGTACTGAAAAACATATAGTCTAATGTAAACTGTGTCGAAAATCACTCACAATGTGTACAGTCAGTTTATTTTCAAAAAAGTGTTTATAATATTATATTATTAAATGAAAAGTAACCATAAATGCCTATATAAGATTTTTTTTTAAATTAGGTAGGTAATCTAATCAGGTAACCATTAATATTTTTTGTTTTGAATTTAATTACTGTATCATTATACTATTTTTTTTATCTAGATACTACTAAGAAGTTTTATTCACAATAATAAAATAATGATGCATACAAATAAATTATTTGAATATCATTTAAATTATTATCAACGAAAACTTCTACTTACAAATTTCAATACACACGACTTAAATAGGTATCAAATATAGTTAGATATAAAAGGTATGATTAACAATCAATAAGAAGAAATAATAGTAACATTAGTTTTAGTCAGCTAAAAAAAGAAAAACTAAATACTGAAAAATACTAATACTGGTAGTATCTACTTACTAAACTTTAGATTTAATAAAATAATAAAAATTGATAAATCAATCACAAATAATGTTTACTACAACAAATATCAAAATAAAATAATTTTAATACTAGAACAGTTATACAGATACTACTTGCACACTGAACTTCTAATCAGGTGGAATACCTACCTACCAACAAAAAACTTGATTAATCAGAATGGACGAGCAACTAGATACAATAGAAATTTACAGTCAAAGGCTCAGTCTGGATGCCAAAAATACGAAATTATTCAGATTTGTAAAAAAAAATCTATTACCTACGATTTTGCATGAGAAAATGGACTAATCCTTTTCATAGTGTCGTTGAGACGAACAAAGGCTTGTATTTTTGTTATCATTTCGGAAATAGAGAGATAGGGAAACATATTATATTGAAGGGGTGCGGGAGAGAGAAGGGGACAAAGCCAATCGCTAGGCACTGGCCGGTACAATATTTGTGATCGGCGGGTGCAAAAATCTCGCGCCTAAAACAAAAAATATCCAGCGGTAAAATAACAAAACTACATTCGACAGATAGATGCAGCGGAGAAAAGAGACAGCAATGAAAATTTATACTTAGAAGTTTCGAAGTTCATAATATTCCAACGTACGGTCATTGTTTGCGCGTCGCGCTACTTCCCCCGGGCCAACAAGCGAGCGCGGTAGCATGGAGGCCCGGACGATCAACGCGACCACAGAAGAATGCGTTACGTTACCTGGAAATCCAGCGGGCCGTCGATTATTGACAACTGGCGGCAAACAAAAAACAAAATTTGTATATATATTATTATACTTAAAACTACAATAAATTATGATCGATGGTTATATAATTTGCACATTGGTATCTCGAACACAGTCGGTAACGAGCACGAATTCGTGGTAACAAGTAACGACCGTCGACCACCAACTTGGTTGGCGAGCGGCTAAGGGGCGGAGAGGCGGTGCAAGGCTGTTGATTGGCACGCGTAAAGTACTAGAACACCGAAGACCGAACTTGAGTTGAGTAGCCGTACAAATGAATTGGTGATGCTATCGCGCAACACTGTACGGGTGGGAACGTGTTCCGGATGGCCGACGGGGGCCGGTGGCGGACCACCGACGTACCCCCGAGGAGAACAAGCAGTGTTGCCAATTTTCGTTATTTCTCTTTATTCTCCTTCTTGCGCGGTCGCAACAATAATATTTGTCTATTAACTAATAGCAACTTACTTCTTACCAGTAACTAGTTACTACTTTTTACACTTCGCTATAATATTATTGTTATCACAATCTTCCACATTCCGTGGTTCCAGCGCACAGTAACACAGGTCATACGCGACACGCCGGGCACAAGCAAAAAGCCGGTAGCACCTTCCACCTCCACAACCGTATTTGACGGTAGTAGCCAAGGGGTTATTGGCCCTAAGAATTTTTTTTTCTGCTCATGTCCAAACCGAAACCTGTAATATTATAATAACAATAAAAATACCTAGCTAGTATAAATACTCATATCTATCCCTGTTGTACAGGCGGTTACCCTATGGCTATTATAAAACAAGATGTGACTTGCAAAGTCAAAAGTGATTCTTTCAACTGATAATCAAATCAAAATTGTTCCGCCTTTTTATTGTACTTGCGTTATTTACTGTACAATACGCATTACGCATAATACCAATTTAACATTAGGCTTGTTTTGACATTGTAATCGTGAGTAAATTCTATACTGATAACATTTTTGCGGGTTGATTACTGTAATTTGGTTAGGTTAGGTGAATTTTTAACTGTTCATTTAGAGTTGGTAAGAGGGTTTACTGTTTACTGCAGAGTGCAGATGTCCTGTTGCTAGTTGAACTCAACACGTGTGATGAACAGATGAATAATAATAATTAGTTTAATCAAATATCTACGCGACACCCATATTGTCATTATTCGTTTATGATGTTTATATATAGGTACTGATTATTGACAGTGGAAAATAATCTTAATTTTGTTGTAAAAATTCTGGTGAAAATTGTTGAAGAAAATCAAATAAATTGTAAATCGTTTCTTACATAATACGGTAATTACCTACCTAAATTGGATATCATATATGTAGACATTGTACTTTATCATCCACCTTCGGTATTGCGGATAAAAGTAATTCCGAATTACTGAACTTGGTATACTTAGTTAAATTTTTTAGATGACATGTTTACATGTAGATTTAATCATGGCCATGATATTGTTATTAATATTATCACCAAATTATGTTATGTCCATATCAGAATTAATACCTATCAAATAAGTTAATAACTAATTATAACTTATAATTTATAAAATTAATATGAAACACCGATGGAGAAAAAATATTATTCAATTTTGAAATTAGGTACCTATAGTTTTATTTTTCGATTGTGATAGTTTATCTACTATTTCAGTAGGTATTTTAACACATTTACAAATTTACATTTTGGCGATTCACTAACCGTCTACTAAATGGAATTAATTATAACCGTAAACTAGATGACCACACGTCCTGTTTTATGTAGGATTATCCTTTTTTCAGTTTTGTTCCTGTTGTTCTCTCGAACTTCTTTCAGGACGCTTTTTGTCTTGTTTCTTATATCAATGCCGATTATTAATTCATATTCTAATTAATTAGATATAAATATTTTGTAGTTTTAATATACATATTAAAATTGTATTAATAAAATCAATTAACATATTTACGTGGCGCTCTTGGGATAGCGCTATTAACTCACCTAAGTTTTTGTTCCAAGCTCTGATGTCCTTTGTGGACGTTTTTTGTGCTCGATGTGAAATCGTACATCTTGTTGATCAATCCCTACCATTCTTATATCAGGACTGCATTTTCCAAGCCACCCCTGTTCTCAAACACCCAACACCTGAGGTCTTCGTGTACAATATGCTCTGGGGTAGCATCTATACTATCTTCTTGTTGAAATTCTTGTCTTAATAATCAGTCTAACCAGTTTCCAAATTATCTTGTCTACCGGATGAACGGCCCCCCCTCTAATCCGCAAGGGCCTTATACAGGGGTACACTCCGTATGTTTTTGGTCGATCATTTTTTGTGGCACGACCTGACCGAACGGTCGTAAGCCCCCTATCACGTCAAGGTGGTCCCGTTAGGGGAGCCTAACCTAAGCTAACCTAATATAACTCTTCTACGATATTGTAAAATACCAAAACTCAACATACCGACCAATGAAATAATGAAAACACAATTAAAATATTAACTAACATAATAAACTCAGCAAAAATATCAATCAGCGTAATTTTATAAACTACTCAAAATTCCCTGGTGAAACGACGAGATGAAAAGACCTATACACAATAAAAAGAATGCCGTAAACATATACATGAAAAAAAAACTCTTGAAAACTTCATTCAACTATAAAAAACTTCACATTCAAGCCAAAATCCTAATAAAAAAAAGTAAAAAGAACTCATAGAAAAAATGTACAACAAACATTAACTCTAAAATTAACTCATCCAAGATATGGAACAAAATCCATTCATTAAAAGATCTAAACAGAAATCAAGAAATAAAAATAACAGATGGTCAGAGAACATCATCAATTACTGAAGAGGTTACCGAAAAAAATGGTATATACTTTCAAGCAAATGTCAGCAACAAAATGTATAAACGAAATAAAAACTCCAACTGAATATATACTAATAATAAACTCAAATAGCAGTGAACAAAAGGATTTCAATTGAATATGATTTCTGTTAAAATTGTATAATACACTTCACCCTATCTATAAAATAATAAAACTATTAACTTGATATAAATTAATACCTAAGTACCTACTATATTATTATATACACCTTTATAAAAATATATAAGTCAGAAAATACTAGAGGTAGGTAATATAATATTAATAATTTTGGTTTTCTATAATACTAAATTAATAGCATATAAAATATAGTACCTATATAATAATAGGGTAAGACATATAAATACTTTTCTAAGTATTAATTAAAGACAAATATGGTTTTTATATTATTATTTCCTTTATTTCCTAAACTCGAATCTAACCCATAAGCGAATGAAGATAATGTACGTGCCGTTCTTAAATATAAAGCTAAATACTTGGCTCATTTTAAAGAATTTTTAGAATCTAATAGCTGATAAACGCACACTCGTTTCACAGTCCAAAATGAAATTATTTCTTCTTGTGGCGATTTACTACAACCGAGTACTTTTCAATTATAGCAGTTGAGACAACTGATGTTCCATGAAAAGAACAATTAACTTTGTGTGTTCAGTTTCAAGTTTGTATATTTTGGAGATTATCATATGAGTAAAATTAACAAAAATCGAGCTAACCCCCGTGTTAATGAACTTACTCAAAAAATATTATTGTATAACTGTGGCCATACCATTAATTTATTAATTTACTCAACAATTAAATGAAAGGTTTTTGAAGCACACAAATATATTCAAACGTTGGTTTATATATTTAATAAATTTAAGTGTAGTACCAACGATAAACCATTGCTAATAAAAAAACAATTCTGAACAGAGTTCAGTTGATAGTGATGCTTTGTCAACAATATATATATATGACATATTATGGTAAAATAATGAAATAGGTAGTTTGTATTTTCTTTAATAATATTTGATTAATATTGTACCGATTTTCCCGTTTTTTTTGCATTTTTTTCCCGGTTTTTTACATTTGCTGGAAAAACTCTTAGGGAAATCGAAAAATAATCTCTTTAAAGTAGCTCCATAGTCAGATATCTTTTTACAAAAAGTTGTTTACAGAAAAATAAAATCGTAATAATTACTAATGTATTTTGTACATTTTCCCGTTTTTCGTCAGTTGTTCGCAATTTTTCTCATTTATTAGGAAAACTCCTGGGAAAATAAAAAATGACCTCCTCAAATTAGCATGGAGATAAAATTTCCTTTCAGAAAATAACCTACAGTTGATACATCGAAGCAAGATTTTTGGTAGAAAAGTTTGAACAACAAATCGAGGGGTATTTTTCGATTAAAAGAGTCCGAACGAGCGACAGCTTGGTTCTCTAGGTACACCCGAAATGGATTTTTTTTCTTTGTTTAGATAAAAGGGTAAAAAATTGAAAACATTTTTTTCAAAACACGGGATTGAACTCGCAAACCCCAAGATGAAAATAGGTATATATAACAATTCAGCTACGACAAATATACTTTAGAGAAGACAATATTTAGATATTTAACATATTTCTGCATATCACAAATTTAAAAAGCTATAATTTTAAAACTTAGTCCGCTTATGTCTGACTTCATCATCGTTTCTAAATTGGTAATATACAAAAGTTAAAAAATTAGATTTGTTTCATATCATTTTTTACACAACAATTATCGTCAAAATTTGTTATTTAAATTCCTTTATAAAAAAAAAATATTACATTAAACTCAAACTTTCTTTTTTTGACCACAAAATAAAAATTCTTAATGAACTTCCTATTAGATTTTTGAGCATTTCTGTTAAGTCTAACAATTTTACCACAGAATACCTACCGAATAAAAATTACATACAAAACAAGTAAAATCTATATGTCTATAAATAGCTAAAAATGAATTAAATTTTCTGAAAATTTTATCACTTTAAGTAAAGGCAAATATGAATTTTCAATCTAAATTTTAAGCCACTAGAGTCGATACGAATATATTTAACTAAATTTCAACAAAAATATTAAAATTTTTAAAAAAGCAAAAATGTTTCGAAAATTTTACCGTGCCTAGGAAAAGTAAATATAAGTTACATGTCTAAATTTCAAGTCTCTACGAATAATTTGAACTGCAAATACAACAAATAACAAAATTGAAATACAATAAAAGAATTATTTTCGTACATTTCTCGTTTTTTTTAATGTTTTATCCAGGTTTTTCGGAGATATTAAAAAAACTGCTTGGAAAATCAAAAAAAAATCTTCCAAAAGTACCACCTGGATATTTCTTTTCAGAAATGGTACCGCGTATATATATCTGAGCAAGATTTCTGATAGAATTTTTGTATATAATATAAAAAAAAAATAATAATAAACATCTTAGTAAAACCAATACATTCTTTACTAAACTCAGAATCTAAAATATATAGATACATCAGTAGACTTAGATAGTTACTTAGCCAGGAATGTCTTAATTTTAATAATAAAAAGAATGATGTTTTTTTTTTTAAAACATAAATACATAAATTTGATGAACTAGTCGTTTTATCTTGTATCTGTTAATATAGAAATTAAAAAAAATGAATTACGATTGTGTAATGAAGAAATATTCTCAAATAAAAATCTAATAAAATAAATAAAAATTATTCATACCCCCCTTCCCATTGAAAACTAATGAGAACACAACTGCCTATAATATAATATAGGTAAAAAATAATTTAATACAATGACTAGTGTATGAAAAGTGTACGCAATTGAATGGCTAAAACAATTTTATTCCCTTTAAATAAAAAATAAAAAACTTGAATATTACAAATACTTACAAATAGCTTAAAAATCTAAATTATATCATGGCAAGAATAGGTCTCTATGGTTATTTTCAACTGAATTGCAATAAAAAATAATGAAACAATTAATGCCGTAAACTTTTCCATTTTTTACTAAATTATAATGAAAACTATACGTTTATTGTAGTATTTTTTTTTTTTTTTTATTTTATTCAAATATCTATTTTCAATGTCAAGTTTATATTCAAAATTTTGAACCAAAAAACCAAACCATATATTACCTATATTAAATTTGTATACTGTGTCTCTTAGCAACCTATGTGGTAATTCGTTGTGATATATAGAAAATAAAAAATGTACGTTCTTCCGTACTAGTTAATTAACATTTTTTTTCAGAATAGGTGATTTTTATTGAAATCTCAGGGCATGATTTCTGGTAAACTAAATAAACTGAAAAAACCTGTCCTAGGATAATGAGAATGGTTGTGGCCACTGTTATAGGTGGGAAGGTAGGATACAGAAGAAAATTTAATGTATATCTGTAAGCAACAATAAACCATTGCTAACGAAAAAACAATTCTGAGCGCAGTTCAGTTGATAGTGATGCTTTGTCAACAATATATATGTCATATTTAAATAATTTAATAAGCATTATATATTTTTTTAATAATATTTGTTTAATATTGATCCGATTTTCCACATTTGCTGGGAAAACTGAAAAATGACTTCCCGTAAGTACCTTCCCACACCGATTTTCTTTCAGAAAAGTGCTATACTTAAAATTCAGAGCAAGATCTCTGGTATAAATGTTGCGCAGATATAAAAATAAAAAAAAATAAACCTCTTTGTAAAACCATAACCTACTACGCTCCACTCAGAATCTAAAATCAAAAGTAATTTAATTTATTGCCATACATTTGTTCGTTTTAAATTCTGAGTAAAGCGTGGAATGTATTGATTTTACAATGTTTATTTTTAAACTGTGTACAAAAATTCTACTAGAAATCTTGCTTTGATATTTCAAATGTAGCACTTTTTTAATTTATCAAGCAATTTCCATAATTAGGAAAAACTGAAAAATTTACAAAAAAAAAAATATTTTAATTATTTTGAATAGTTTTTGTTGTAATTCAATTCAAAATGTTCAGACTTGAAATTTGGACAGAAAACTTATATTTGCTTTTTAAAGACATTTAAATTTTACGAGCTTATACGTGATTTTTATTCAGTACTTCTTTAGATAAAATTATTAGACTAAAGTGAAATGCTTGAAAATTTAACAGGAGTTTCATTATAATTTGTACTTGTGGTCAAAAAATTAATTGAATATAATGTAATTTTTTTTTTTTTAATGAGTATTTTAATATCAAATTTAGATGAAAATCGGAAATATTATGGTCTTTTAAAACATGTATAACCAAATTCCGCTTAGAATCGTTTTTCATTTGCAATGATACATTTAATTCCAATCTATATATCCTACTTTATTAACATCATGCAAAGTATTATATCTGTCTATATATTACTATAGTTTTCCCAAATATAGAAACTACAAAAAAATAAAAGTAGTGTACAATACAAATATTATACTCTACAGTTAATTTTTTTATCAAAAAGGCTTCAACATCACTAGTTATTAGTATGAGAATAATCTTGTGACTTAATAACTTATTATTACATGACTTGAGTTTTATTGATTTGCACAAGAATTGTAAACTAAACTAAAATAAACCTCTATTTGTTGTGCAAATCTATGTCATGTAGGTAACAGGGAAAATTAAAACCACATCAGATAAGCAAGCCAAATCTATTGTTCTAGGGGCAGCAATGCTATAAAAGTTTTTATTTTCAAATACCTATTTATTATTTAGCATATTTTTTTTCTCAATATTTAATAGGTTAATTATATTTAGTAAATATAACTTAGTAACATTGAATAAAATATATTAAGAGTATAATTTGTATTATCGCGTATTATATTACTGTAATAATACTAATCACAATGCACGTATAATTTTGTAAAATAGTGTTATAAACCAACGATTCTTGTAAGTATTTCTAATCAATTTGCTGTACCTCAATTTGGTATTGTCTTATATTTGTTTAGTACCTACTCAGTGAGTCAGTTAGCAGTGATCAGTGTCAGCATTCGCAGTTGACAATACATTATTTTCATTGAGTACTAAAATAATTAAATAAAGCAGTTATTAATAAAACCGTAAAAGGGCAATAAAGATAAGTGTAATTATTGAACAATATTATCGCCACCGCTGGAAGTGTCTATGGTTCATTTTTGTTGATTTCCGAGTTACCTTGACTACAACAACCAACACAATCACATCAGTTTACCGAGCTCAAAAACATATTTGGATTGCAATAACATATTGTTGCTTTTAATACCTTCAAATCTTCTACCATATAACAGTGACCTACTCATAATGCAAAATATGTACACATTTTTTTATCATCATCACACATGAGTCAACACTTAATATCAATGACTAGTATTATTAAATTTTTTAAGAAATTAGAATATTGTGTTAAAATAAAATGTAAAAATATAATTAATTATCAAACAATATTTATTAATGAAATTCAAGATTTTCAACAGCTCACAAAACAATACTAATGAGAGCAAAACTATGGAAATTCACAGTATGGTATAAAGAATATAAAAAAATACTATAAATCTATGGTTTTATTTTAATGTCTTGGTACTCTTTTAATATAAACTTATAACTTTCTTTTCCAATATGTATATCTCCAGTCGCCTTTCATAGTAGTTTTTTCTTTTTGATCAGCATAACATACCAATAGCCATTGGTACAGTTATTTGGGTTTAACTGATGTACTTATTGCTTAGCGAGTATTCAAAATTATAGTTCATAAACTCTAATATTAAATACCAAAGGTAAACACCTTATATAATTGTTTGAGAAGTGAATTTCAAAGCATGATCTTATCTTGTTCGCTTTACCTGCAATAGGTTGTTGTTCCTTAGTACACCTAAATCCATTTAATATTATTTGATTAAGATAATGAATACTTTGTATAATTAAAGACATTAAAATACATACTCTGCAAATTTAACAACCTAAATGAGCCCATTATTTTCTGTAATACTAGATATCGTGTTTGGATTATTGGCACTTGAGTAATTTACCAGTAAACTACAGTCTCAAAGCCAACGTAATCACCAACATAAAAATGAAAAACTTTCAAACAAAGTTTCTTCTTTATATTACTAAACAAATGAATTATTAATCTGGGTGCCAAGTTTTTTTGTGGTGCTTTTTCTTTGTGCAATGCTGGTGAAGAAGTCCCTTCTTCAACAGAATCGCACAAAATAAATATATAGATTTTGTTTATAAATTAAAACTAGGCATCCAAATTAATAATATATTTGTATAGGTTAATAGTAAGAAGAATTATTACTAGAAAGTTTATATTTTAAAGTAGGTGATTATGTAGACGATCAGACTGCAATAATTAAGGATCTTAGTTGACGTGTATAAAACTCAAGATCAATTTTCTCTAAATAAGGGGGTCAGATATTTTGTTCCTGTATTCTTCCTTGAGCTGAAACAAAAATCACCAAAAAAAAATGAGTTAAAATCTAAATGTTATTCTTATTTATTATGCTCATGTTATCAATTTTTTTTTAAAAGTTCTGCAAAAGGTCAATGAAACTATTATTGAGCAGAAGACAGAAAAATAGAACAGAGAACGAGTGTAGCTGTGATGAAATACTTAGGTTGATGAGTGGAGTGACAATAGAAAATTGGTTTAAAAGATGAGTACAGAAGAGGTAATTTAGTCATGGCTTCCAGTAGTAGGAAAAAATTAGAAAAATAGAATGAAATTGATTTGGGTACGTCACGAGGAGAAAGAGAACTAAGCAGTAAGAATATGGTTGCAATAACATGCCTAATATGTACGCCTATTATGGAAATGACATGGTTTTGGGTTCATGAAATACCAACCACAAAAGCCAAAACGTTAACCAATCAAAAACAAATCAACAATTAGTATAATTTATTCAGGACAAATTTAATAATAATAATAAAAGAGTGGAAGAATAGGTGCAATAATTCAAATCAACAGGGTAAAATAAAATACCAACGTCAGGAATATCTCACAAAGGTGACAGTAAGAATAATTATCATCTAGTAAGAAATTATGGTAATATAACACAGAAAATGTAAGTTTTTGGACTTTGTTGTGAGGACGATGGTATAATAGAAAGACAATATTTTATTATGAACGAGCAATAGAGCATGGAATGAAGACAGATAGAGCAACTTTGTTGAAACCAGTTTAACTATCCATTAACAAATAAAGGACCCTAAATCTATTTAAATGACCATGATTTTTATACTAGTTAACCATCAACAAAATTTCATACATCCCATCATTCTGGCAAATACAACAAATTTAAATTTTATGGCAACTAACTAAAATGTTGGTATTCAAATAAATAATACTTGTCATCTACTTACTGGAAGCTTAAAGAATTCTATTCTATGCTTTCAAAAAGACATAATATTTGAAGAATATCTTTAAAGACCTTCAATCTACATTTTAATAACTATACCATGAGCGACATATTAGACCACAACCATAAAAATTGTTATGAAAACAAAGGGGAAAAGGATGGAAAGGAAGACTGAAAAAGAAGTGGTTGAATACGGGGACAACCAGTGTATGCAAAGTGGGTCAAGTAAAAGCTTAAAACATGGGTGGCCGACCTCAAATAGTTAGAATGGGGGCCAGTTTTTTTTTTTTTTGTAAATCTAATAAAAAATAAATTTTAAAAATTTGACACTTAATATTACTTAGCGGTATCAATATTTTTTTTTAAATTTCAATTTCAGTAAACCGAATGACAATTGACATTGGGGGAAAAAGGGGGGATTCTCGAATGTTGTTAAACGTTCACAATTTTTTTCGCATTTAAAAATGAACTCTGTATAGGGCTCATTAGTTTTCAATAAAATAATACCTAAACATATTAAACATAATAATATACCTAACATTTACACCATTCATATTTAATATTAACACCATTGGTATTTTCCAATTAATCAGGATTCTTACATCATCAGTTCAGCACACAGATATTTATTACGAATTTATTACAATTATTTTAATACACAGAACAAAACTTCTAAATTTTTACTGTGGGATTTACTTGGTTGATAAATAAAACAAATTAATTTTGGATATTTTTTTGAAAATCTGTAGTGATCATTTGGGCAAATAACTTTAGTACTATTAATTTCATAGAGTTAAAACCTCCGAGTCACCTAGCTAAATTAACACTGATGTCCGATACAGTAGTGAATGAAATATTTTTTGGAAAAAGTAATACCCACAGCGCCTAGGTATATTATAAAGGATTTTCAAATGGCGATAAGAAATTAAATGTTTTTGAGGGCGAATTACGTTGAACGATATTATTTTGAACAAGTCGATTTATGTATTTTAAGAGGAAAAAAATTGTTGTTCTAACTCGTGGTTTTCAGTAACACAAAATATCACAAATAAAATGATAAAATATTAAAAACATGACAATTTTTTTTAAAAAAACACGAGGTTTTCTGCCACCGCCGACAAAATAACTAGAGATCTCGCATGCGGCACAACAGCCTAAATCGAAAAATGTAGACACGCGAACCAAAATGTATTAAATTAAATGAATATTAATTAATAATAAATCATTAAAAATAAATAAAACCAATCCGTACTCACTTGTCAGTTGCGGAAACACATCCGAAGCCATGAGGAATTCTTTACCAGCCAATAAAATCCTGGAGACAGTGGACCGCGATAAAACTACATTAACGGTCCACTGTCATAGTTGTAGAGCCGAATGACGACTCATTGTATTTTTAACTGTTCCACCGAAGTAACTTCAATTTGGGAATGGGATCACTTTTCCCAAAACCATGGAAGAAAAAATTAAAACACATGGATAATGACAAATTACGCCAACTAAATCGAACATTTTCAAACGAGAATCCAGAATTATTATATACATTTATACATTATATCTTAACCCTTTGAGACATAGTAGTTGGTAATAGTGACCACTTAATTTTTTTGTTTTTTTCATGGTGGTTATAGATGTTTAACACCTCGTGAAAATATGTCATATTTTATATGCATAATGGTTAGCAGCTGGTACCACTTTAATTGGTTAGTTAAAATAACAAACTCTTGGTTTAAAAATAGTTGTATTTACCAAACTATTTACGTAATGTGTTATTGTAAACAATACCCATATACCTAATATATTAAATATTATACCACAAATATATTTTCATGATAACACATTTTTATCAACAATCATAATTAACAATAAAATTGAATATTTTGTGGTGGTCATCTATAAGAAATTATTTACCGTTAGAAACACGGGAATTTAATGAACTAATAAAGTTTTTTGTTAACAGAAGTAAATAACATTAGATATCTTGGGTTACATTTTTATAATAAATTGAAATGGTGTATTCATATAAATTGTTTAACAAAAATTATTAGAAAATTATTTTATATTCTAAAAGATATTTAACACATATGTAGTACACAACATAAACGTATTATATATCTATCATTAGTAGAAACAATTTTAAATTTCGATATTGAATTCTGGTACTTCATCTACACTAGTTATATATGCAGTTTAAATATAACAATTAAGAGACTAATTAAATATATTTTTAACAACTCATCAATTAACAATAATACTAATATCCATAACATCTTGAATATTCAAAATTTAGACTAAAATTTTAAAAAAGGGGGACAAAATCAAAAGATTTATTTTACAACTTACAACTTACATGTAATCATGGCTTAAATATTTAAGTCATGCAAGTAATAAAACAATTCATATTTATTATAAACTAAAATAACGGCAGAGGGGCACTGCCCCACCGGCACCACCATGCGAGTGCTCTTGATAACAGGTATAATATAATTTAATAGTTTATATTCATAATAGTTGTTTATTATTATAAGATTAATAATCTCCAATATCTACATCTTGCAATGATAATAAATCACAGAATATATATTTTGATAATTCCTTTGACAGAGTGAGAGGCATTACTTACAAAACTATAGATAATATAAGAATATAATAATGAATATATCATAATAATAATATTATATTATATTATCTATGATAAAAATAGTCTTTCTCTCTTCCTCATTCTGACACATTTCCCTCTATTTTGTTGGTATAGCCATGGCCTGTCCATTCTTTAATGTCTATGGGGCTATAGCCCCCTCTGTATTACACCTTTAAATACCCCGTTGATTAATGCTTATAATAATGTATGTTGTTATTTTATTCTTCACTAACTAGGTATTTATTATTTAACATTTATAAATTATAATCTGTATCAATTTATTTGTTAACTGTTAATCATTTCTGGACGTTGAAATTTGGATTTTTAGGATTTTAAATAGATCTTGGAATTAAAAAGTCCATTTTTAAGAGGTTTTGTTCATTTTTAAGTATATATATAGGTAGGTTATAACATATAAATAATTAATAATGCCTACTATTATTCGGTAAAACTAAAATTTATGAACCGAAATTAGGAACGTTATAAATATTAATTATATTGCTATAATAACGATATTTGAGTGTTGCGTGCATATTAACCGAACGATATAAGTATAATTTATAAGTGTTGTCTAACGAAATATTAGCGTATGGTGTTATACGAGTGTATGCATAATATTAAATAGATGCTCACCCAGGTGTGTCCCATATGGGGTAGTTACTATAGGTACCTACCTACCTATACAGTTTTAGTTGGACGCGGAATTGCCCTTTACGACTAGGTAAGCACATATTTGTTGTGCATCATATTATGTTGAATACATATGTGAACAATAATAACAACACCACACGTATGTATAAATTATTAAGTGAAAAAAATACCGACGACGACGGTTTGACTTCTCGGTCAAGCGGAAACGGAGAATACTGGAATAGTTTTGTGCGCCGATCCAACCGAGAAGTTAACTCGACGTTCGAGTGGAAACGATGTATCAGTTATAATAATATTATTATAATATTATTATTATATTTGGCAGATCATACAGTATTGCAATACCAATAATATCATGCACGTTAGGGTTTTTCAACGATCGCGTATAAGTATACGATATCCCTATTAGTCATGGCTTATTTTAAGAATTTGTATCTATACTGTTCAAAATACATTGAGAGGTTTGTTTTAATGAAATTCACGTGGATTTTAATATTTTGCCCCCTCCCCCTCCCGAAAAAAAAAATGAATTGTATGAAGAAAATGAAATTGAAAAAGAAAATACAGCATAGAAATAACACTAACTGCAGATAAAAACGCGGAACAATCGCGACGTACGAATCACGTGTGGTATATAAGTTGATAAGAAAAATTCATTTAAAATACACCGGGGAAAAAATTTTTAATTTTAGCTACCGAACGCTCAAAAATTGAACATGCGCCATTCAGGTTTAAATACACCATAGATTTATCCATAGATTATCATAATATTTGAGTATTACAATCAAATAATCGAATAAAATCTGCGACTATACTTATGCGCCGCGCATTGTCGATGATTATATTATTCCTATGTTCGTCCGTATCTATTATGAGTCATGAGTTTCTGACCATTGCGATGGTGACGTATCATTTATACGTGTACGTATAACCTGCAAACTGCGAAGAACTGCATATTATTATTATAATGATTGGGACTGTAGTTGACCAAGAACGTAATAATATTATAATAAAACCTTCACAAATTGTATTAACGCTAAAATTACTGAAATCAGTAGGTAACTAGGTTTTATTGTATTACGTATTCAGATTCGAGAAAACAGTTGATACAGTAGATATTTTTCCCTCTAACTAGGTACATGACATAATATAGGATTGGGCTACCAATAAAAAAATAACCCGGAAAATATTTATTCTACTGATCACAAAACATACACCCAGCCCGTTTCTATCGACAATATATTTTTCCTTGATAGTATCTTTATTGATGGCTCATATTATACGACCATTTAATAGGCTACTCAAAGGGGTTTTCAACCCACGGCTTGCTTTGTCATTATTGGTGGTCCGTGAACACATTTTAAGCATAGCGTGTATTTTTTTCGCGTATATTTTTATATGGGTACAGAAAAACGGTGTCGGACTAGGCCAGGAATTATCGGTCCATGCAGATTTCTAGTAGGTTAGGATATCAGCAACGAGGTACCCAGTATCTACACACTATATTTTAATATAATATATATGACTATAACATAGAGAAATATATGATACACATTAATAACATGTACGTTATATATTATGTTGATAAATTATGCATACAAACTATAATTATTCTTTTCGACTGCATAATTAGATTATTAACACGGTATTGTTATTTATTTTTACTATATATAAGTATAAATTATCTGCAATTCATTAAGTGTAGGATGTAAAACAGGAGAGGCGCTAGCAATAGACAGCAGAAAGCAGCTGTCTCCTGTAAACATTGTCACTAGGTAGTGGGTACTCAACAAATCCTGTGTTTTATAATATTTTAAATATTTTAATTTCTCAGTTGAACCAATAATGTTGTACATATTATTGTTTTTTTTTTTAAAATTTAATAAAATATATTCCATATATTCATATTTATTTTACTTCGTGTACGTACCAGTAAATATCACATAAATCAATGCCGTAGTGCTCTGTATAATAGCTTGTAAAAGTGGTAGCCAAAGTCAAAAATTTAAAACTGATTCACGTCCGTTTTTTAGATTCTCACAAATAAAAAAATGTTCAAAATTGGAGTAAATTCTTGTGGGAAGTAAAATTTAAATACTAGGAATGGTGAGATCTTTTTTTATTAAAATATTAATTCAAAAAGGCTGTGTAAAAAACGAATACATAGTCGTTTGTTAATATTGAAAAAATATAAGTATTTTTATCTGTAAATATTGTACATTTCTGTCAAAACCTATATGTGCTCATTAAATTTTGAACCTGAGTAATTTTAAATCTCTGATCCAAACCATGCTTAAACATTCGCTTAAACATTAGTGAATAACTAAATAAAATTATCATTGGGATTTTACAATTAACTATTAGCGTCTACAGATTATTATTAAATAACACGTTATAGCGATAAAGCTTATTTATGCTTGTAAGTATTTAGTTTTTGGACGGTCGTCGATCATGATATCGTTCTTGTGTTATTTTGTTCGTTTTTACGTTAGTTCAATGTAGTTATTCATTTATATGTTTTCCGTTGTTTTTTTAATTAATGTTAAAGTGTTGTAATAATATGACGGACAAAATTAATTTGCGTGAAAATATTTATTTAATTAAACATACTACACATCAACTTTTTGGTTGTAAATTACCTTCAAATAAACAAGTTCTAAGGGTTTTATTTCATAATATGCGTGAAGTCAAATTGAGTCTACGAGATAGTGCTCGATTAGTCATAGAAGAGGTTATAATATTTTGGCAAAAAGCTCGTATTCCGAACAGAGAAATACGTCATTGTATACCAAAATTAGAAGCGATGTACAACGAATGGCGAAATTTGCAAAAAGATTCGTCCAGGCGAACTGATACGCAAACAAAAAAAGAAAATATCTTTATTGAAAAGTTCGAGGACCTTTTTGACATAGCACACTCTGATGCTATGAATATGATAAGTAATGAAATAGATAAACAATTTTTAAATTGTCAACGGCAAAAATGTCGTCCAGGATCATTAATTGGAATTGATCTTACTTCACACAAAAGTGAACAAAAAAAGTATATACGCCTTCAAGAATCAGAAAAAAGAAAAAAACGTGCTCATGACGAAATAAATGTATTGTGTAAGTATTTAGTAACTTATTAATTATTATTTAATTATACTAAATGTTTGCGCACAATAATTTCAGATGAAACGGTCGAGTTAATGTCGACAGAAAGCGATACCGACGATGACAATTTTGTTTTCGAGGAAACAATATGTGAATCTGGTCCTTCTACTAGTAAACGAGCTTCAACACAGTTTCTCATTAAAAAAACTCGTAGCTGCATTGGATAGATGTAAGGTTAGTGATAGAGACGCAACTCATTTACTTATGGCAACAGCTGAAGCGTTAGATCAAAATGTTGAAAACCAGAGAAATGGTACAAAAATATCAACTATCAAAAAGGTATATCTGTACTTAGTCAAGTTAAAGTTGTAAATGATGCAGCTGAGAGGGGAGTGAAATTAATAACTGATTTCAATGACAAAATTACTAAAGACGAGGAACAAAAACAATTTTTGATGCAGACAGTTTACGACTACCGGCATAAGTATCCTGACGCGAAACGAAGTACACTTTCAAAACACATTTGAAAANTTATAACAATTTAAAATTTTACATTATAAATACTAATTTAAATAATATACTACTTAAGTTCTAAAATTTTTCTACTAGATATATATTTTTTAAATAAATTCATTGTCTACAAATAATATGATGTACACTTTTTTCATTAATTAAAATAATTTTTGAGGTATATAAAAAAAACGAAAATACACCCTCTTAAAACAAATTTCAACCCTCTTGAGACACGTCTTAGGGTTGCACTATCGTTATAAAATTACACAGATATTATTTTTTTATGGTTTAGGTTTCAAATTCGAAGGTGGCGCAATTGAAATGTTGATCTTCAATTTTAAGGACCACCCTAATATACCTATACAAATAATATTTGTTGATTGATTTATTGTTTAATTATTTATTGATTATTACCTTTTAATTTTTTTAAATTTGTATAACTTTGGTAGTTGATTAAGGCCGAATTGTCAATAACGAATTTATTCATCAGCTAACTATTTGTTGAATTTTGAATATTTGGCAAATTAAGGCCCGTCTCCCATCAATGCAGTACGGCGGGGGGTGCGTCGTGCACACATTAGCCATTATTATAAATAATAATAACAAATAAAACCGTCTATTATATTAATATTATAATTAGTGATGAGGACTATTGAATAGTATTCGATAGTTTGAATAAACTATATTATTGTACAACCTTGAACATATATGTTTAAATTAAGGATTAAAAAAGAAGGTTAAATAGGCCTTATAATAACCTACATTTCTCATATTTTCCCGTTTTTTCTCCATTTTTTTTTCTATTTTTCCCATTTGTTGAAAAAACTCCTGCAAAAATCGAAAAATTACCTCTCTAAATTACCCCCTCCCCATACACCCATTTCCTTTCTGAAAAGGTGCTACACATAAAAATCGGAGCAAGATCTTTGGTAGAAAAGTTGTCCAAAAAAAAAAAAAATAAATAAATAAACTATTATAGTAAATAAATATCTATTTTAATTATTAAAACCTGATCAGTAACACTAAATTTCATTATTTATTGATTTAAATAACAATTAATTATATTAAAATTTTTATTTTTAACTAGGTACAACAGAGAATGAAAATGAAGTACATTTTGTGATTTATACATACAAGATGGATTGTGAGGGTAAAAATAATTATGAATGCATTCATATGTGTATCTCAAATTTCGAAATTTATTTTCATATCTAATGACTATTCTTTGTTTACATTTTTATGTAGCATATGGAATAATTTATTTAACTATGAAACAATATTTTATCTTGAAATAATAATCTTAATCTATATTATATTTAATTAATAAAACAAAGTAGGTTTGGTTACACCATTTATAACCCAAAAACGGCTGGACCGATCTTGATGATCTCCGATTTGTCTTCACTCTGAATAGCATAAAAACTATTAAAATATTAGACAGATTCTCTCAGAAATAATTTTAAGGGTTTTTAGGTATATTTGGAATGAATATCTAATTTCCTATTTATTTATTTTAGTTTATCCAAGGTTTGCCACGGAAAAGAAAACTATTATAATTATTATTATTGCTATTATTTACACCATTAAAATTTAACAATATACATTTACACATTTAGTTCGCCGAAGGTCGATTACCTACTTTCCACCTATTTGTTTTTGTTAAATTATGACATCACGGCTATAACCAAAACTGAATATGGGTAAAATACCAATTGGCACGAGCAACGCCGGGCGCGGGACAGCTAGTTTGATATTAAATTTAATACGTACCTAACCTGTCTACCTAAAAAAATTATTTCTTTCATACATGTTAAATTTGGTCTAATATGAATGGTATTTTAATAATAGTTATATGAACGGTGTTTTAATAAAACAAAACACTTTAGTTTTTACAAACAGAAACATTTAAAAATCATAACTGATAATGTAATTTTTAACTTGTTTGGATTAGGACCAATCGGAGAACAGAATTTCCATAGGGCTCTCTAACAATATATGCGTTATAATAAGTGGTTTATATTTTTCTTCAATTGATAGTACTATCTAAGTTTAAAATTTTTGGTGAATCATCAATCTACTAATTTAATATTGACTGTGTCAACTGCTGCTTGTTACTTGTTACTATACTAACTACGTGAAATTGTGAAAATAAAATATTTGCCAGTTGAGTTTAATATTATCTGTTTTACAATTATTCACAGTAAAATTGTTTGTTATAAATCTCTGTTAATTATTTAAAAACCATCAATTTATCTTGATATTTCACAGGTAACTAAAAACCTAATTTAGTAACTAAAAATGGGCAAAGATGAATCAACATCCGACGACAATAAACAAATCAAAATCAATAAGTGGGATTATCTTGCTTTAAAAAATACTCTTGATGATGCTGTGAAGGATGTACTCATTAATAAATATAATCATATTGAAGATTTTTCTTTGATTGACTGTCGTTTATTAATATGTACCTTTGCTGTATTGGTCGCTGGTTTTGCACTTGCCTGGGATTACTTTAATCCTTTCCCAAAGTCACGTTTTGTTCTTACTATATGTGTTGCATTGTATTTTGTTACTATGGGTGCAATTACATTGTACACAACACACATGGAAAAAGGAATATTTGCTGTTACCAAAGAACGAGATGAAAGTGGATATAACCCAGAAGTTGTATGGGAAGCCAGTAGTTACATTAAAAAACACACTGGCATGTATTGTTTAAGTATCATACGCAAGGATTCAGTTAAAAAAAATATTAAAGAACGGGATATAGTTAAATCAGTTGCAAATTATTTTGATGATGAAGGAACATTGTGCCAGGAAGTAATAGAAAAAGAGGTGAGCATAATGAGAGATGCAATTTTAAAACTGAAAAAAATTGAATAACTGAACCACCTTTTTTATATCTTTATAAGACATAAAGAATTCTTACAATGTATGTTTAATTATAATTTATGTTCAATTAAAAATAAATATTTGATTGATTTAGCATTGCATGCATTTTTATTTATTGAAATAAATCTAAAACTTGTATAATTATAATAATTAGTAGGTTTAATAATCAAGCAATTATAAATATTTTTCATAGTTCAAACTGAATTGTATATGATAAATAATATGCTGTATATTTATATATTTGGTCGTACAAGAATTTTATAAGAATTTCTTGTTAGAATATTGTTTTTTAAAACTGTTTATAGGAATCTAGTTAAAAAATTAATTACTGAAACTCAGTATGTATGAAGTAAATAAATTATTAGTGTTTTTTAAATATTAAAAAACTAATATGTAATACTTTAAACAGTAGCTTTAATAATAAATTATTCTAGCTAAATTTACATACATAACTGTTCAGTTTTTAATTAAAGTTAAATTGAATAGTTTGATAATTTGATTTTATTTTTAAATTATCTGAAGAGCATATTTTGTTTAATATGAATATGAAATAATCATAGTTCATTAATATGGTCAACTGAGATGGGTAAAACTCCTTCAGGTGAAAATGATTCCCACACTATCTAAACTGTTTTTTTTAACTATAATGTAAAAACTAATAAATATTTATTTTATTTTCCTGATAAGTAGTTATCGTGGGGGGGGGGCGTCGCAAGAATGCACAAAATATGCACGCATGGGACTAAACTGTACACAGATTTTGTTGATATCCTATTGCTGCATACAAATTTAGATGATTATCGTTGCTTATCGATAAATAAATATACTTATTGTTGGGCGACATTATTAAGCTTAATCTGTAAAAGATTGTATCCACAGTATACAAATTTGTAGTGAGTTTTCAGTCAGCTTTCAGTCTTCGAATCATCGCACGTGACATTTTAAGTAAAATTAATATAATTTTTAAATTAAATTAACAAATAGACTATGACAGAATAAGTTAAAAAACACGTTTAAATTTTAAACCAATACAGGTAAATACAATAATTATAATTAAATGATTACATTTTTATTACTACAAATTATTACAAATTATTTTTAATTATATTAATGTATTACACATTTTTAATTTGTATTGATTTTAATAAATCTGCGCAGTATTAGATTATGCTATGCATTTCATTAGGTATTGGATCATGTTTGTGTGGTAATGAAAAGCGATGTTATCTAAAAATATAAAGGAATATATGAACAATATTTAAACAGTGTATCTTGAGAACAAATTTAAATTTTAGTCTCTTGTGAAAAAAGTCAAGGTTCTTTATGTTTGGTGTTAAGCTCATCAATTTAATCTAATTATTGTTAGATGCTATTAGTAGCTGTATACAAACACTTTTGATCCATTCAAATATCTAAAACTTAAAAATAAATTATATCTACTTATTCGAAAATACAATTCTGAAGATCCAATTTTTTTTTTTAGTAACCATTTTGATAAGTTATTTTTATATAAAGTATTATGATTAAATTGACATCCTAGGATAATGGAGACAAATCCAGCCACTGTTATAGGTAATTTAATGTTTATCTGTAAGCAACGATAAACCATTGCTAACAAAAAAAACAATTCTGAGCGCAGTTCAGTTGATAGTGATGATTTGTTAACAATATGTCGTATCATAGTAAAATAATTAAATAATCATTATATATTTTCTTTAATAATATTTGTTTAATATTTTACTGATTTTTTCATCTTTTTCTTGGTTTTTCACATTTGTCGGGAAAATCGAAAAATGATCTCCCTAAAGTACCTTCCTAGTCCGATTTCCTTTCAGAAAAAGTGCTATATTATTTTAAACCTGAAAGAAATTGTTAGTAGAAATGTTTGTACAACAAATTGAAAGGTATTTTGTGATTAATATAGTCAGATAGAGCGATGGCATTGGGTCTCTAGGTACACCCAAAATGCATTTGTTTTTTCCTTGTTTAGGTAAAAGGGAAAAAATTGTTTAGACTTTTTTGACGAAACATTAGTTTGAATTCAGAACCCCTAGAATGATAATAGGCAAAAATAACCATTAGATCACGACAAATATCCTTGAACATGTATTTAACATATAATATTCACATAATATCAAAACTTCAAAAAGCTCTATTTTCGAAACTTAGTCAGTTCGCTTAATTCTGACTTTTCATCATTTTTAAATCGGCAATGTAAACGAAAAAAAAAAAATTGAAAATTTAAATTTGTTTGACATTATTTCTTAATGATTTTCATCAAAATTTAATATTAAAATACCTTTATGAAAAAAAATACTACATTAAACTTAATTTTTTTTTTTGACCACAAAGTAATACTCTTAATGAATCTCCTATTAAATTTTTAAGCATTTCTGTTAAGTCTAACAATTTCACCACTTTAAGTAAAGGCAAATATGAATTTTCTGTTCAAATTTTAAGTCTTAATGAAGATTTTTAACTGATTTACAGCAAATAACAAAACTGAAATATAATAAAAATATTAATTTTGTACATTTCTCGTTTTTTTTTTAAGTTTTATGATGGTTTTTCCCAGATATTAAGAAAACCACTTAAAAAATCAAAAAATGACTTCCCAAAAGAACCACCTGGATAACATTTCTTTTCAGAAATGATGCTGCACGTAGATATGTGAGCATGATTTGTGGTCAAATTTATGTATACGGGATAAAAAAAAAAAAAAAAATAACATCTTAGTAAAACCAATACATTCTTTGTTACACTCAGAATCCGTGTCAAAATTATATTTTTTATTTAATAGCATATTACCACCAATGTATTATAGTTTTATTTTATATTTAAATGCTTATTAACAGATTCTTTAAGTAGTTTAATAACTTGAGGCGGATTTTCAGCTTGAATTACAGCAGTGCCTGACACAATCATGTTTGCTCCTGCCTGTAAAAAAAACTTCAATTTAAAAAAACAATAAAAATGATTGATTATTTTTACATAGGTTTATAATAGGTATTAGTAAACATTATTACTAATAAGTAATTTTTCTTTTTTTTATGTTGAAATAAACCTGAATAATACAATAGCTACCATAAGTTTTGAATATACTTTAAGTTTATACAAAATTCTTTATTGGATTTACATTTACCTTAGCACACATATCAATGGTATTTGGACCAACACCCCCATCAACTTCAATATCCAATGTGGGATATTTTTCTCTTAACCACTCTATTTTTGGCATCATATTTGTCATAAATTGTTGACCACCAAAACCAGGTTCAACTGTCATCACTAAAATCATATCAGCTTCTTCTATATACTCTTCAACACACAAAACAGATGTGCCAGGTTTTATTGCTAAACCTACTTTCATGCCAGCTTCTCTTATTTTACGGCACACTAAACGTACATCGTTACATGGTTCAATGTGAAATGTATATTGATCTACACTTGCATCAGCCATTGGAGAAATCCACTAAATAAAAGTATTAAATTAAATACAAGTACACTATCAATTATAATATAATTTTTAACAACTGCATTGAATATGTATGAACTTTATATTTCTATGCACATTTTAAATTAAACGTACCTAAGGGTATAAATAAGATTATATATTTTACTTGAATTGGATTTTGAACCATCATGTGAGTTTCAAACATGGTATTAGGCAATTTATTTCTTAAACATTTAACAACAGGATGTCCAATAGTCAGATTAGGAACAAATGCTCCATCCATAACATCTAAGTGCAAATAATCTGCTCCACTATCCAACAGTCTTTGCGACTCATTGTATAATTGTGACAAGTCAGAATTCAAAATAGATGGACCAATTTTACAACATAATTTGTTTTCCATTTTCTAAAAGAAATTAAAAATATATCAATATGATTGTAATGTTTTATAAAATATAAATATAATTATTGAGTTTTAATATCATAAGAGAATGTACATTGTTTTTTCTTACTATATTATTTAATATAAATCCAGTTAACAATCAAGTTTTAAGTCTACAATTATCATTTACTGAATTTTTCAAATTTAAAAGTAGGTAATGTATAATTATGATAAAAGTAAACAATGTTTGGTATAAAATAGAAACAAAAATGTTCATCAATCTATTTAAAAATCTGTATTCATCAATAACCGTATATTTAGAATAAACTAAAATACATAGTGCACTAAACAACACACAATATCACAAATAATAATTTTTCAATGGTGTTCGAAAAATAACCTTCAAAACAACCTCATAATGGTGTAAAAAGAATGCCCGTTTAGATGTGTTAGCAACTTACTAACGTAAACGTCACAACATAGGTAGTTATCGCAGGATTCAAGTCCACAATATAGGAAAAAGTTAATATATCGACTTTTACAGGTAATAATCATAGATAATCTATAGTAATATAGTGATAATAAATAATAATATGGTTAACAATTAACATCGATTTGATACAATTTTTAATATCCATTAGATAATTTATTAAAATTCAAAAGTCCAGCCAATTCTTCGATTAGATATGATTAATGATTTTTAATGCCATAACAATAAATAAAACATTAAATAAAGAAAAAATTAAGAAGCATAAGTGGTATATAATATTAAATATCAATATGAATAATACATATCCATGTCTATCATGGTAAGAAACATACGTTATGTTTTTTCTTTGGTAAAAAGGGGAGACCAGTTAATAGTTGTACGAAAAATGATAAGAGCCTTCAATACAATAATTTTGAAATTTTACCATTACCAATATATTTTTTAATTTTTAATATAAAATAATTTGACATTTTAAATATTTGTTGCAGTTGCACTGACTTCATCATTATACAATATGTTATTATCTTATAATTTATAATAAAACCTTAGAAACTTAAAACTTTATTTAATCTGAAATATCCATACATTACATTTAAATAAAGTAAAATGGATTTTCCTCTTGAAGCTAAGTTTGTAGGGGTGTAAATGAGTTATTATACATTTCAAATGATATGAATAATTTTAATAAAAATAATAAAATGTTCAAAAGGGAATAAAATTATTTACCTGTACGAACTTAAGTTCGAATACGTCAAATCAGCTGTGGAACAAATCATGTGTTTACGATGCTATCATATTGTGCTGGTGCGCGATTGGATGACCTTTTGGTCCTATTTATTCTCCATGGTAGGCGGGTGACGGTGGTACTGAGACGTTTTGGTTATACAGAGATATTTAGCCACTAGGTGAATTAAACTAGGTGAAACATTTTAACTCATGGAAAAAACACGCATATTATGGTGACGACAACACAATAGACGAATGAAAATACCGTATGTAACTACAACCGTACGACATTCTGACGTCATTTCGTCGAAGGCGGAACCAAGCGACCGCTATATTTCACATTTTACCTACGTGCACGGTCACCCCGCACCCGTAATCCCCGTCCATACTCCATAGTCCATTGTGTATTTGTGTTTGTTGCGTATTGTTGCTACTCGCCGTTCTCTTTATTCATTCGTAGTCATCTGGGCTCTAGATAGCTTTGCAGCTTCGCTGGTGCTGAACACACTCGGACACGACAAAGTTTCCGGCTATATTTTCGTTTGCAATTATTCGCTGTGGAGGTTTTAAAGACACATCGTGATCATGGAGATGATTTCAAGTAGTAAAAACGGTAGTAGTAAGAGAAGTCTTTTGTCTATCATGAGTGACTGGCAGTCGGCGTGCAACGGAAACATCATCTCCGTGTCGGACGCCGAGTCCTCGCAGTACTCTATCTCTCTTTGCCCTGGGCCTCAGTGGTGGTCCTGATGTCCCCCATGCCGCAATTGTAGCCAAACACAACAGAGAGGGCAGCAGCGGCATGGGCAAGCTAATTCAATCGGAGCTCTCTGTACTGGAATCACAACCAGTGCATGAATATGAACTTTTGGATGACATTAAAAATCATTATGCGGTACAAATTACGTTCAAGATGCAAATTACAGCCGACGTGGAAATACAATGGGATACCATTCTATCTGGCCGCAAACTCTATATACAAGTGAGTATTAAAGTAGGTAATAGCATTGACCACGGGTATGGTATTTTGCTGTTATCCACCAATGTAATATTGTACCAAATAATATTTGGTGTCGGGTATTCATGGCTAAACAATTAATTTTCAGGCTTTACCATATATCATAGATATATACTTATTATATTCAATGTTGACAAATCGGAATGAAATTATATTCAAGGTCATAATAACACACTATCTGTTTTTGTTTTCATAAAAATACATGGAGTACCTTTTATATTGAAATTAATATCAATTTTTCAATTCACAAATGTAAATGTATTATTCCATAATAATTTTTTAAAAAAATGTCATTTAATAATTGGTTATTAAATATTTAATTATAGGTACTTATTTTTATGAAATTTAGATCTTATATTATGTAATTTAGCCAAGTACTTAAAAAGTTTAAATTTTATTAGTCTTATACAAATTCAATAGGTACCTAATTGAATATATTTTATTATAAAATTATTCTTTTTAAAATTTTTAACAAGTTTAATTTCTAATAATGGAGTTAAATGTTTTCTCTGCTTTTATTTGATTATTTAGGTTAAATAAATATCTACAAATATACTCGTTACACTATATGTGAGTATATTTGTTTACTATATACCTCACATTAGCGCTCACTAGTTTTGTCTGACAAACCTGATCCCTTCCTACTGAGTATTATAGATAGCACACACAATTCCAGTTGGTAGATATAAGAATTCAAAGTAATGGGTGCTCGGGTTACTTAAGATCTCAAACTTAGCACACTGCTCACATTAAAAAATTATTAGCTACTTAATCACTGTTATCAATATTAAATTTAGATGATCCAAAAATGAAATGTGGGTAAATAATGAACTAAAATATTAGGTAAAAATACTTCAGTAATTTAAAATTATCATCAATGTAATTTTGGTTGATTAAAATAATTATTTATGTTAAATTAATTCATTAGTATTTAAAAAGTAGTATAATGATTTTCCTAATTAGCTTATACCATTGATTATATCAAATTAAAAAAAAAATAGTCTTTCATAATTTGATTTTTAGTAAAGGTTTACAAAAATATTATTAAAAAATAAAAAATTTTGAGTAATGAATTTAAATACCAAAATTCTCTAGCGCTCTGGTATTGGTTAGAAAGTTTACATTTTTTTTATATATGTATACAAAGTATTTAATCCCTTTTTCACAATTGTTGTTAAATCTAAATTCTCGACCATTTATCTAAGCACCACAGAATTATTATTCTAAAACAAGAAAGTGATAATGTTAAGTATTTTTTCAGTTTTTCATACAATAAACATTTTAAAGTAATAATTGCTCCCTTATTTTGTTTCAAATCCAAAAATGATTACTGTACTTTTTTTTTTATTAATATTATAAATATTATTAATGTGAAACTCTTAAAGCATAATAATATTTTATCTAGGTAGATACTTTATATCAAATTATCATTAGGTGTTGTAGTCTTAATTCAAATAGACTGACTGATATAATATATCTCCAAGGATACATTAATTATAATTATTTTTTAACTATAAGATTGTCAGTATAGCTAGAACCTTGTTCTGACAGATAGCCACCGTAAAAATAATTTCTACCTGCATTTTTAAGTATGTTATAAATATAGTATTAAAATAGTGTTTCGATTTAGTAAATATTTTCCTTAAAACATATTTATAAATAAAGAACTATTTTTATATAAGATATATAATTAAAATTATTGACTTTTGTTTTTTAGGTGGCCGATGCACAAAGACCAGTTGGATCTAAAGAAGGTTTTTTGTCTATGTTGGAATATGCAGAACAATTTTTAAATGTATCTCATATAATCGTCTGTTTTGCTAAGAACCATCCTGAACGTAATGTACTGGTCAGAGGGTTCATGTTTTTGGGATTCGCTTTACAACCTCCCGGGCTCAACAGAATTGTACCACATGCTGCTATTGATAATTGTAACCATTATATGGTATATGACGTCAAATCATAATTTCCCTAGATTTTTCTCATTTTTCAAAATAAAATTTCATTAAAAAAAAATAACAAGTACTTAAACCGTAGGTTGAATTTAATTGCCAATGCCACCAAAAGCCCTCTTTGTTGCTCTTAACATCATCATTGTATAAATTTGATGCTTATTTAATTATCAATCAATATTTAAGTAGTTTAATATTACTTTATACTTTTAATCATTTTTAAACTTATACTTTGCTCGTGTTACTTACATAGTTAATAATTTGAATATATTTGTTTCAACGATTTTGTAATAAAAATACAACTTTTTTTCTAATTTCTCAATTTTTATTTTTAGATGTAAGTTAATAATTTATGTTATTAAAAAGTTTTTTTCAAAAATTATATATTTAATTGGGTATCAATTTGTGTTAAATTATTTTCCTTATATTATTAAGAATTGGAGAGTTTATCGAGTGGTCCAAATGTACTTAGGTATCATTAAAGTTGAAGACTTGAAGATTTTTTTGCTTGTGAAGAATATCAGTATTCACTGATTGCACAATTTATTATTTAATTATTTTGTAAACACAGAATTATTGTTATATTATATAAGTAGTGTGATTGCGTACTAGTGATATATAAAAATACAAAATTCATAATTATACATAAAAATGTAGAGTAAAGGGTGAAAAAAGGTCCGACACCTGAAATAACTTGTTTTTTCAACATTTAAAATTGTTTTTATATAATTACTATTACATTTATGCTGTTCCCAATTTTACTGATTTTTAAATATTAAATTCCAAGATCCAAAGTCTTGGGTTATAAAATTTAAAACTCCAGATACAACCCTTCAGGTTATTTATTTCAAATTTTTACGTGAATCCTATTATACCTCTGCAATACGATTAGAATAATTTTTTTTGATGGAAGAACTTATAATTAAAAATTATGTCCGCCCAAAACTTTTTAAACATCTATTTTACAAAATGTGGCTATTTTTAATTGTTTTTATTTCAAGTTTCTACCCTACAAAAATTAATAATATTTAAATTGTAACACAAAGGTATACTTACTAATTATTATTTAGATTAAAAATATTAAATAGAATAAAAGTTAATGATATTTTACATATCTATTAAATAATAAATACAGAAGTATTATTTAAGAATTTTTACTTATTTTCCTCTATTTTTTTTTATAATAGGATCAAATATTTTATAGTAGATACTTTCATAACATTTGTTTTTAATTGTGTCTTCAGAAATGAGAAATATAATGTTTTTTGTTATTATTGTAACAAAAAACTTCATTAAAAAAGTTATTTCATTAATATGGAAATATTATGATATTAAGAAAATGTTAATGATTTTAAATGCAAACTGAAAGTAGGCATGCGAGTTAATTAAAAAGAAACACGTTACCTACAACTAATGTTATTAGTAATTTTTTGACAATTTTTTTATTTATACAAATTTAGACTGTATTAATAATGTTCTGTACCAACAAATTAGATTCTTTGAACAGTGAGGAATATAATCCTCTATATTGTGTGATGTGTTTATTTTTTTCCTATCTAAGAATATTATCTACTATAATACTGTTGCAATAAAAAAAAAAATGACAAGATAGGTAGCTTTTTTTAGAATTTTAGGTCTATTTGGTGCATTGATGGAGTCATTCTAAATTTTCCAAGATTGTTATTATAATTGTGATTGTTGCCATGACACTAAGTAATATCTGAAATGGGAACCCAAAACCGGTGAGCTTTGTCAACTGGATCACCATGAAAAAGGGCAGAATTGGTCTTACGAAACTAAACGTTTGAATTCAAATGACATATTTTTTTTGGATTCATTGGAATACGTGGTAACAGTATATATTCCTAATTGAATTTCCCATTCAAAATTGTAGCTCTGATGATATTTTCCTCATCTTTATCACCGAAAGTCTTATACTATTGCAAAATTGTAGTGCAATGATGTTTCGGAGAAGAATAGTAGATACGATAATTGTCAATTTTAAGTTTTCAAATTGTTAAAATGTGCAGTGGTATATCTGAATGGCAAATCTACTGAATTCAAGAATTCCGTTGGGTAAATTACCACTTTGTCTTGATTAATGATTCATCATAGTATCGAATATCAATGGATTTCTACGTAGTCGCCTCGCCTGGTATTCCGTTTTGAATAGGTTTTGATTGCATTGATATCGTTGTTCGTAATTGCTAAAATAGTACGTAAGTACACTTAGCCACTCATGATTTTGTTATTTCGCGGGATATTTGGGAAAATTTTTAGAATCAATTCGTCTTTTGTTGATGTTATTATATTACAAAAGTTTGTTGGCAATATGATACCTACAATGCGTAGATAACATGTCATATGCCATATTCATATTCCCAATGTCCAGTAATTAATTTGAAAAACGTTAATGCAGCTGATGTATAATTTTGTAGTTGAACACGCATATTGGTTTTCAAAGTCAATTTCTTTATATGTCACTTATTGAATTGATGATTTTAGACACGCATTACGAAAGTTCATCAGCAGGTATTGGATCAGGAGACAAATTAAGTGTTTCACCGAAAGGCCGTCCGTATATTGAAATATTGTAGTGTACTCGATTAGCTTCTAATCTTAAGTCTTGTTGATCATTCATTTGAGAGGCTTGATCATTGTGTAGCTAGGTACTCGATTAGCTTCTAATCTTGGTTCTCTGTTCTAATTTTTGCTCGTCTGTTTCTTTCGTTTCGTGCTTTAGATGTGTATCGACTAATCGATTTCCGTTTAGGGGGCTTAACTGTCGAAGATGTTCTCTAAAAATGGACAAATTGAAGAAAATGGCTGCTTATTTTATCTGTAAATGTACAAAAATAAAACATAAAGTATAAAGTTAAAATATCAGTACCTACACAATATTAAAACAAACATAATGTATACATACCTAAGGTAAACAATAAATTAACAATAATAATTTGATTTTCGTATTAAAAACTTCCTAAAAATAACTAAAAGACAAATTTTGAAGGGCTGTTTTCAATATCCATAAACTTTCTCTGAACAATATGGAACATTTTGCAAAAAGCTGCGTTAAAATCACTCGTCGTTTTAAAATCCCTTTAAAGGTATATAAAGAACATACACATAATACACATATACATATATAGAAGAAAGATATTAAGATTTAAAAAAAATTTAAAGTAAAGAAATTATAGCACAAGGCTCTAAAAACTATTATAAAAAAAAAAACTTAAGAATATTGAACAGAATAAAAGTTATTTCAGATGTAAGTTTTTGTGTTTTACCCTAAAACTAACATTGAAAATTAAATATTATTATTAATAAGCAATTTTTATATTTTATTAAGATTACAAGGATTTGAGAACGAACGGCAGTACAAATTATTTTAATATATTTGGTAATGTTCCAAGTTAGGTGTTATTGTTTACAAAAAGTACCTTACAACAATAGTGGAATAATATTTTGTTGTTAAATTATGTAAATGATGCAATTTGTAAGTTGTATGTTTTTAATTTTAAGTGTTCGTGATACCAGATATAAATTTGCATGACATCCAAACAACTTCTTCGTAATATACTTGGCATAGCTAATACATTTTCTCATATACTATCCAACTACGTTTATGTACTTATACTTACAATAGTAAAAATTAGTTATGATACCTATTTTTAAAGGTTTTTTGATTTTTCACATAATATCATTTGTTGAATTGATTAACTCTTAGATAGTATAAATTTGTTGGAGAAAAAATAATACCTAATAATACTAACAACATATTAACATAACTAGTTGTTTTAACATTATAAATCAATCAATTGTTTATTAATTATTACCAATAATTAGTTGGTGTAATGATATATTTGTTTATTTAAAACATAAAATTTAAACAAGGTCTCCCCATAGGTCGAGATGGTTGAAATCTGAGTACAGGGGATCAGTAAAATTATTATTTTTGAGATTTTAATCAATCTATACTAAATATAACTGACATTTTTTCTATTAAATACTGTCTTACTAACGAAAAAAAAAAGCAATATACATTTCTAAGTGAATAATTATTATTACATTTATTTTGTTTTTATAGTTTGTTTATAAATTATTATGGTAGCTACTATCTGCTTCCTGATTTCTGATATACACATCTACTGGTAAATTTAATTATTTATATCTACTAAACGTTGTTAGTGAATGCAATTAATAATATTTGTATTACTTTTTTGGGGAGGAAGGGGAGGAGGGACTTCATAATGTTATGTTTGAAAAAAATATACTATCCATACACTTTAGGATACCTACTCATATTATATTACTTATAATACTTGAGTACATAATACCAATATTATAAATAAAATAAGTACATACTTAAGTTTAACTCAAATTTTATTCTCAATATTTACTGTTAATATTAAAATGTAATTGCCATTACATATTGTTTAATGATAATTTTCAATTAGATTTGCTAAAGTTTTTAAAAAAACTAAATTAATATTATGTTATAATATTATATTACATTTTCTACTTATCTATTAGTGATTATCGATTAAGTAGTTATTTCATCATATTGTAACACTATTCAAAATGATTACTAGGCGTATATTTACACTGCTTTTATTTACCAAGTTTAAGAGTATTTACTAATTACTAATTAGTAATCATTTACAACCAATTTAAAAAAAATAAATATATTAGCTATAAGTATCTACAAAAATGATAAGTTCATAATTTTTTTTTTCTAACCACCTAACTTTATTACAAACGTTTTATCTAATCAGTCATAGGTATATAGGTACTTAATTTTGTTTAAGTATTTTTAAACTTGTTATTATTTGTGCTTGTACTCAATAATTGCATGTATAATTACAATATCAAAATATTTTTTTTTTTTTATCACACTATGAACTATAAGGTTATCTGACCTGTATGCAGTGAATATTAGTATTATTATGTACTAGTTTAAATCAGAACACGTCAATGATTGGCAAAACTTTTATTAATCGATTTTCATTAGTGTTCATAATAAATATACATTATTTTAGTTTTGATTTTTTTTGTCAAAACGCTCAGGATGTGACCTTGATTTGATTTAAAAAACATATTTAGGTTCATGGAATAATAATACTCTATTACTGTAACAGTTTGACTCTTATAAACACATTGACAATGTTGATCTTTATTAGTGTAGGAAGTTACTGAATTTATCTTGGTATTTCAAAATATAAATATTCTGATAATAGGATAAATATTCACAGTTTTTAGATAACCTGAAACTCTTTAATCTTAAAAAAAAAGGTTGAAAATAATGTACCTACATTTTAATACCTTATACAAATAGATAGGAACAATATATTGTTTATAACTTTTTATGTATTTGTTGGTTATTTGTAATCTCGTTAAAACATATTTTTCAGATAGGTGTAAACCAACTGGTCAACCAAAAATCTTACACCAATAAAAACATTACAGAAACATTCTTGTAGCATTTTTGATCTAGATAATGTATAGGGAGCAGTAACTTTTTGATTTTCGTTGTAGTTTTCTTAATAAATCAGTTTTGTTGATTTCTAGGTTATAATAATGGCAATAAGGGGAATAAAAACGACTAATTATACTGTATCTAGAATTGTTTTTTCATAAGTAATAATTTATTATTGTGTGCACTATATAAATATAAATTAAATTACTCTCTGTATCCTCCTCTTAACTTCCTTCCTAAAACAATGGGACACTCATCAGCAGTATCTGCTTTTGCTAAAATGTTTATTATTGATAACACTTCTATAGTTCCTAACTAGAATACTAGGTGCTATTTCTTGCTGAAATATCTATTACTTATAACTTATAAACTTTAACTACCTACTAATAATTTTTCAGATTGTATAAAGTTCTCTAAATTACACTCTAAAATTTATAAAATAACTGTAATTGATTTAATAAAAACTAGAAATGTGCTTAAATTTAAATTTATTTAAAATAATAATTGTATTACCTACAAACCTATGTAAAATATCCAGACTATTAAACCAGAAAAATAAATACTTGCATGGAAAAACAAAAATATATTAAAGTATTACTACCCTCAGAATAGTTAAAACAAATAAGTGCTGGTAAACAAAATTACAGTTTATGTTTATGCATACATTTCTTTTCAATATTTTCAGATTCTATAAGTACATAAGTACAAAACCAAATATTTTTAATTATTAGTATTATACTTTACTAAGGTGACCTTAAGTAATTGTAATTACTTTTAAAAATATATTTAAATATCAAACAAAATAGTAACATTAGTACTTAAATTGTGATTTTTGAACCACTGACCTATGAGTAAAGCTCAAGATGAATGATATATGTTTATTTTTATTTTTTGTACATCAAGCATTTTAAATTCTTGGCAATAATAAAAAAAAACCATGGCAAACACAAAATAAAATAGGTGTATAAATGAAATAAAATTAAAAAAATGATTCATACGTTTATTAAAATATTTATAACAGTTAAATGCCAAAACACATTTTAAAAAAAATAACATTCAAATTAACTTTATTTTCCTAGCATAAATAAGTATGCAATCTAAAATTCTATATAATAAATCTGACTTTTAGAGGTTATTTTTATGTGTTTATGTATTAATATAGAATATGTAAACAATTTTAAAATAATAATCAAATTAAATATGTTTATATACGTGTAGTATTATTTTAATTTGATTTCAAGTTCAAAAGTAAATTGATGATTTATGTTAAACCTATTGTTTCTGTTACACATTTTAATACAACATTCTTGAAAGTTAATTTCAAATCATGATTTTATTTTTTATTTATGCTTTTTTAGGGTAATACAATCAGAAGTAAAATATAATAATATTTAGGTACAATTTTTAATTGATAGATTATAATATTAATAGTGAAAGCAATGTGTTTATACTCTGATTAATGTGGGGACAAGAAGAAAATTCACATATTCCTCACTTCGCTCAGAATCTAAAAAATATAAAGAATAATAAAATTTAATTATAATAATAAGAAATAATGAAGATATTATACATTATAACTACAATAATTTTAGGAATAATGTATATGTACTATTTAAAGAGAATGAATGTCAGAATGAAATTATGGGGCTTATAATACTTTAAATAACCAATTTTAAACAATTTTACATAAATTTATCATTATAAAGGCAGTGATCTTTTATAAAAAAAATAAGGTCCTGCAAAAAGATAGACATTTTCAATATATTTTGACCTGTTTATAACAGACTCTATTATAGACACAGACAGTAATATCCTTCCCAATTCTTTAATAACAGACAACTATTTTAGATCAAAATCAAATATATTGCAAATGTGTACACATATACCATGCAACAGAGTGGCTAGTCTATTTCAAATACTGATTATGACAGATTACAATGTCATGTTCAATCATTACTATGTATAGACTATTCAGTGCTTATTCTGTATCGCTTTGCCATTATATTTTTCTCTGTTCGTTTTAATTTTAGATTCTGAGAGAAGCAAGAAATGTAATGGCTTACAATGTTTATTATTATTATTTTTTGAACAACTTTTCTATCATAAATTTTGATCTAACCTTTTAAAACATGTATAACTAAATTTCACTCAGGATCATTTTTCCTTAGTAATGAATAATGATTCACTGTTGCATACAGATATATATATATACATATATTAAATTTACCCTCTACTTCCCAAACCTCTCACCTATAACACAGTGGTCCACCAATAGTGCGAAGTATATCATTTTGTATTTTCTTTGCAATGCCACCTCCCACACCTGTCTAAAATTGACACTTTTCATGGTCTCATAACTGTTCGTTATATAAAGTTTTCACTGTATATTTAAACTCATTTTATCATTACAACTTAGTTAGGGTAACATAATTAAATTAGTTTAGATTATATACGTAGTACTTGTATAGAAACAAACATTATAACTTAACTTAAAATTATATGTTAAAACTAAGACTCTTCATTATCAATTTGAGCAATAACTATAAAGGCAAAACCATAAACAGCTACTGTTAAGTCTGTTTTGTATCATTTGATAATTTGTTTGGTTTTAATTTGATTATAATTTATGTTTCTCATTATTCATCATTTGGAACATACACTTACTTTTAGATAACATGTTTTTTTTTTTTTTAATAGATCTAATTTTTTTATGAAACAAAAATTGATTATAATCAATCATTATTCAAACCTAATTTGTCATTACACTGAGTAAAGTGTACTCCGGGTAAGGGAAAACACAATTAAGTTACCACTTAAAGTATTTATATGAATTTAACAATTTAAATCAGTTTAAATTATATATATTATATTTACATATAAAACAAATAGTAGGACTTAAACTTAAAACTATGTAGTATAAATTAAAAAAAATTATGATATTACTCTTCATTATCAATTTGAGCATTTACTCTGGCTCCTTCATTAACAGCTACTGCTAAGTCTATATTTTGTTCTCCTCTTAAACGCTCACGTATAAGTTCAGCAATTGCTCGTTGTGTACGTCTCTCAAGTTTAGCCATTCTTTTTTCTATGTCTCTTTTTAGATCCCAATCTGGTTTTCTAGGTGCCAATGTATTCAAATCCTAAAACAATAATAAAATATATATAATTACAAATTACTAAGAGTTTAAATTAATTTTACAGTGAATAAAATTAAATTATAATACATAAACTTTTTATGTTAAATTCGTAATAAGATTTTTTTTTTATTACAATTTTAAAAATTATAAAATATAAATGTTATACTAATAATATAACTTATTTATTAAAAAATAAATATGTTTATACACAATTTATTTCAAGTTTTTATAATAAGCTAATAAATTGTAATTATTATGTACAACTCTACAAGCCTATACAATAGAAGTGTAAAATGTTTTATTTTTATTTAAAACTAATCTATATATTTTTAAAACAATAAATTTAAAATTGAAGTGTTTTAAATTTGTAATGAATATATTTACCTATTTGAAAAATAATAATGAATATATAGGTGAAATTAAATGGGTTAATATTCTAAAAATCAAATTTAAAAATTTAAAAATATGAATGTACCGTAGAATCCAAATACCCAATATATATATAAATTAGTTCTCAATAACTGTATCATACAGTGGATTCCGCTTAATGTGGGCACATTAGAACCAGTTACATTTGTCCATTTTAACCGAAATATGTCTTGTTATACATTAGAATTGGGACCAGACCATGTTATAGACATGTCTACATTATGCGGCTACCCGCATTAACTGGTGGCCACAATAAGCAGAATTCACTGAATTCCAAATTATTATTAAGGTTTTTTTGGTTGAACATTATTTAATGATTAGAAATCCAAAGTAATAAATCAAATAAATGTAAAATATAATATTTTAAATATAAATATAAATCAATAGATTTCCAATAAAAGTATACATAAGTCTGCAGTAAAATATTTTTCGCCTTAAAGCAACATATGGCTTTCTTGTACTTTATCGGCAGGCATGAGTAAACATTATATATGAAATATAAGCTTATACAAATTTTTTTATTTGATGTAATTCATTATTATTTTTTAAGTTTATGTATTAATTTAGATTATTTAGAACAAGACTTTATTTTTTCAATTTAAAAAATAGTTTACAAGATCAAAATAGGTATAATGTAATAGGCAAAATTTGGGTAACTTATAAATAAAAATAATAAAAAATAAATTAAGTTTTTAATGAATGATAAAAAATTAGCAATCTAAAATATTTTGTTAAATTATGAAAGATAATTAATTATTGATATTATTTATTAAACCCATTAAAATCACTAAATCGGATATTTTTAAAACTAAATTTAAAACAATACATAAATTTACCAATTCTTGAACAGTAAAGACGGTTTCTCCAGCTTTTAATTGGTCCTCTACTTCAGCTATAATATCACCTGGTTGAGGTGTAGGAATAAGTTCTGCTTTTAGTCCTTCATCTTCTGGAATATAACTTTTAAATCTGGGCCTAAAAATAATATTAAAATAAATCTTTAGTGTTAATTATCTTATTTAAGTTGAATTTATTGCACATACTTTGGTAATGGTTTCTCTGAGTCGTTTTCATTGTTTTGTGTTTCATTTTTGTCTTCTAAAGATTTTTTTAAATTTAATAGTCGTTCTTTGCGTTTTTTTGCTTCTTCTTCGAGTGAACCAATTTTATTAGGCTGGCTTTCTTCTTTTTCCATAGTTAAGATCTAAGAAGAAAATCAAATTTTTAATACAATTTTCTGTTTTGGTTTCTATACGAGGGACGAGTGTAATATTGTGTAATATTTAATTTAAATTTTGATAATGTTATCTAATTTACTGAATTTTAATAAATACAGTATGGCCATTTTACAGATGTCAAGATTCTGTGATTTTATAGTGCTTATTTTTGAATTAAGCGGGAAAATTAAATAAAAATATTTATCAGTACCTTGGTACCTAGGTATTTATAAATGAATCAAAAAATTATTAGGCATATCAAACAATTAATTATTTAACAAATGGTTGATTATTAATAATTATTATATTGTATACTTGAGTATATTACTACTTACTAGTAAGTACCTACCTACTATATATTTTTTTTATAACTAGTAGGTAAACATAATTATCATTATGGCCAACATTTTAGGCAATTCAGTAAATGACACCACAAAACAACTTGAATTTTAGAACAAGCAGTCAATAAATTTGGAAAGAAAATTAATATATATATATATAACTAATCTAATGGAACTACTAGGGAATAAGGAAGATGAAGATTTAATTTCTGAAAAAAGTAGGTACCTAAATTAGATTAATATACACTGGCTATCATTAGGGTATATCATCCAATCTCTTTTTCGGTCTTTCTCCAATTTTTCTTTTCATTATAGTTCTTATTGCTTGAAATTCCTATATCCTCATGATATACTCAAATCATCTCAGTCTATTTCATATTTGTCTTTTACTACACTCAGCCACCTGAGTATTCTCATGTCTGCTACATTCATTCCATGTTTGATTTTTCAGTCTACTGTTCAACACTTGGAATCATACACCACAATCAGTCTCACTACACACCTGTAGAAATTACGTTTAAGTTTTATTGGAATTATTTTGTCACATAAAACAGCCAATACATCTAGTTAATCCAATCATTATTAAAAGCCACCATTCGTGCGTACAAAAGATTCTAGGTTTACTTAAAATTCTGTACCTCCCATATTACCGTTTATTGCTGTTAGCTGTCTTGTCATGTTCCTCCAAATTTTAGATTCTGAGTGTAGGAAAGAATGTATTGGTTTTACAAAGATGTTTATATTTTTTTTTTTTTTTATGTGAACACTTTTTCTACCAGAAAGCTTACTCCGTTGTTTACATGATGTAAACTCTTTTCTGAAAGTAAATCTGACTGGGAATTTAATTTAAGGAGGTCATTTTTTAATTTTTCCAAGAGTTACCCCAACAAATGTGAAAAACCGGGAAAAACATAGAAAAATCGGTTAGTTCAGGGTTAATATTAAACAAATATTATTAAAGAAAATATATAATGCCTAGGTGCGTTTATGAAAAAATATTTTAGGGGGTTTTAAGGTTGTACACTTTTATACTCTTATAACAAAAATGTTTACATACCTTTAATTGTAAGATTATTTTTTATTTTTCTTTAAAAATATCAATATTTTATAATTCATTTTAAATTTTTGTTAGATTGGTTTCACAATGATGTTTGTTTTTTTATTATTATTTTTTCTTTTTGTTGACTATCAGTAATTTTGCTCCAATTTATAATGATAAAATCGAACGATACAAATAAGGTGAGAATGTTTAATGAATCACCCTGTATGAATGTTAAATTAATATTTTTATTATAAATTATGATGTAGACAAACATACATAGAATGTAGATACTATAAAGAAAACAGTTCTATTCTATGACTAAAATTTGAATGAATTGTATTGTATAGGCACATTTTTTTTTTTTTTGAAGGTTTCATTTTTGATCAAGATCTCTTCGAGTGAAAGTGATTAACATTAAACAAAATGACTATAGAGGTTAGAATTTGGTTAAGATATGTCATGATATATTACAATTGCTTACTACAACTTAATGCAAAGATGAAAAAATAAGTTTTAATAAACCATAATGACAATCATAATTTTATAATTTTATATTGAAAGAGATACCTATAATATTGTATAAATAATAAGTATACGTAGTATAAAATATCAGTACCAATACTTGATACTTCTATGGAAATAAGTACCTATCAAGGTATACTTACATAGATAGTCTAGGTACCTAAAATAGATATCTATAGGACACCATTATAATAGGTTAATACTGCATTAGTTAGTAATAACTAAAATTAATGGGTAGGTAAATACCTAATGACTAATAGTCTGGCTCATAATGAACATGTTTGCTCTGTATTTAAATAATTGTATTGCAATTGTAATATAATTATATAATAATGGATAAATGCATATCAGAAATATTATTCGGAATATGTATGTAGAGAATATTATGAAATTAATATTGAAATGATATTTAAGTAGAACATGCTGAACGTATACTTTATGAATTTTGAAAGTTAATTATTTTAAATGGTTTTAAAAAAAAATCTTTTTTTCGGTTTTTCACGATTTGATGAGAAAACTCTTGAGAAAATCTAAAAATTACTTCCTTAAAGTACCACTTTAAAAACAATTTTTTTCAGGAAAAGGACTACATTGTAAACATTAGAGTCAGCTTTCTGGTAGAAAAAGTGTTAACATAAAAAAATAAACACCTTTGTAAAACCAATACATTCTTTGCTCCGCTCAGAATCTAAAAAATAAAAAATGTCTATACTTTTTATACAAAAAAATTAAAATTATTAGTATTAGTATATACTTCCAAATAAATATTGAACATGAAAAATATTACTTATATTAACCAAACATGTTTCTGCTACTAAGCATTGATTAAATCTGTTCTCTAATGTAATGTCTATGCTTTTATGTGTCAAATTATGTTATGTTTATTTTTAAAAAGTTATTCAAATTATAATTAATTTTGTCATATAATAAATTGTGTTACCTAATTGAATAAGCTATAGTATCGACCAGGTTTTTATTTGTTGTTATTATTAAATTCCCAAGGCCATCAAATTTCAATTGTCAGAGAATAGTAATAATACATGCTTTAATAATTCCTGCTTCATCTATATTGTTCAAAGAAAAAACATTTTTCTTCATAAATTTATCACTTTAATTTTACACATAATTTACGTGCTCGTAAGTCTGCCTTTGATGTACAATTAAAATTAAAAATATAAAAAGTTCAATATTTATTTTAGTAAACATTTACGATTCATTCAATTCTTGGTAGCTAGGTACCTATATTTATATAATAACTATTTAGTTACTTTATTTAGAGAATTATACGTTAGTTTAAATATCCATAACCATGTGTTATTATAGTTGTAATATAATATAGGTAGGTAGTGTAACTGCGAAATATATCGTGAATTTTAATGGTTAAGTAGATTCAAAAGTAAAAAAAATACAAGACAAAATAATTTGCATAAAAATAAAGAGATTTATGCCCTTCTACAATTTTTCCATTCTTTGGTTTAGTACAATGGTTTTCTTTTTAGAGTTGGTACCTATAGTTTAACCGATAGTTTAATTAATTTATTACCCTTGAATTTATTTAAATATGATCGTGAAAAGTTCTTTTTATTTATGATTTAGTTATTATCATTGTATAAATTTACAATAGCAATGATGACAATGATAAAATAGTAACAATGTAATCTTTATTGAATATAGAGGCGATACAAGTATTCCTGTCTGTACAATGTCGTTAATTAATTTCTAAACAAAAATCATTGTCTGGTTTGTTATAATTGTACATTGAAGTAGAATACTATAAACATATTTTATATACTGATTTCAAGTTTTAAGACAACTTAAGTTTAGTTTTAGTTTTAAAATTGTAGATTCTAGTAGTGCGAGGTTGATATTAGTTTTACAGTAGTGTGACTTTTGTTTTTTATTTAACTACATTTTGAATTTTTCTTTTCTGTTTCTAATATAAATATTTTATAACATATTTTATAATGTTAATTTTTCTATTGTACTATAATTTTTTTTTTTTTTTCAATATGTGGTAGGTAATTTTTAGTATTACCTAGTAGAGAATAGAGACTATCTATTATAATTACACCTACCTATTTAAATAAGAAAACTAATAAAAATTGGTAGACATAAATAATATACAATAAAAAGTATATTATTATTTGTTTAACAACTGCCTAATTCAAGCATATTGGTTATACAATTAATTATAAATTATATTCCATTTTTATAAACACAAATTATTGAAAAGTATTTTATAATAGGTACTTATTTTATTCTCTAATAATTTTCTATTTGTTATTGTTAGAAAATGTTTTTGTTTTTGTGAATACGTGGTCTTGGGTAATCCATTTTGAATTTTATTTTAAGGTTATCTCCAGTTCGTTTTAACAATATTTTTTTAAAAGTAGGCACATTTTTTCCATTTGACTTTTAGCCAAATTATATAATAGTATAAATCAAAGACATTTCACCTTTTAGCTAAAGTTAAATCAATATAAATTGCGTATTTGAAACGTGTGTATTTATAAAGCGGTATTTCTTATTTATAAATAATAACGTCTTGCAGAATAGAAAAAACAATTTACAAATGAAATAATATTTTCTTTGGTGTATGAAAACTATTTACCATATACTCTTATGTGTATAATGTATGTGAATATTTAATATTTTTAATTTCATTTTTAAACTTCATTTATTGTAGAGTTGAAATATTAAAAAATTGTATATGATTAAATACAATATATACAGAGTATAATGGTACATGATAGGTACCTATGGTACAGGATGTCCATACGTACATGATTAAATTATGCATATAACTATTAAAATTTTAATTTTTGGAATTTTTAAGTGTACTTAAATAAGATATTTCTGAAAAATTTAGATTTTTACAACATTTATGAAATATCGTGTGGTGATACCAATTTTTAGTTTTTTCAAATTAAAACCTATATGTTTTAATGCAAATTGTGAATCGGATAATTTTTGAAAATTGTGACGTGCATAATATAATCGAAATTTGAACAAAAATTTGCTAAGTTACTCTACTTTAAATACTAAGGATATAAAGGATAATAATCAATTTTTTTTTAAAAAATTATTGAGTACAAAATTAATTCATTAGCATTTTGTAATATTAAAAAATTGACTAAGGTATATAGTTACAAGTAACTATTAACCAATATTTCATATTGCATACTTAATTATAATTACCAAACTCGTACTCATTTATAATGTATTCAACAAAATATTAAAATTAGAACTTAAAGTAGAATGTTTTAGAAAATTGTTCAAATTTTTAATTACTGCAGTACGTCAACATTCTCAGAAAAAACACCGGATTCTTAATTTGTATTAAAACATGTAGATTCTCATTTGAAAAACTAAGTCGGTTTCTGTGACGAATACTTGTTAAATGTTGTGAAGAATATGAGCTTTGGAAAATATGATCTTAAATTACGTAAGTCAAATATTACAAAAATCAGGTTTTGAATATATGCATAATTAACTCATAAAATAGTTATCCACAAAAAAAAAAATAAACATCTTTGTAACCTAACCATAAGCTTCTTCGCTTTACTCAGAATCTAAAATCTGAAGACCATGCTTACAAAATTATTCTGTATATTGAGACACTGTGAACATACTATGCACTATGACTAGGTCAATATATTGTACTTATCAAACAATTTTAAATTTTAAAGCAAAGAAGGTATTTAAAAACGACTTTAACAGAATAAGCATATACCTAACTACAATTTTAATATTAATCGTCTTTCTGTATTCTATACGCTATACATATATAAAATAAACTCAAATGAAATTTAATTATCTATTAGATTTATTAAAAAATACAATTTTACCCTCCCCCATCCTTCTTTTTCGACAGTTCCTGAAACTAAAATCAATTAGAGTCTGCTGACAACTTAATAATGCAAGTGAAACTACCTATTAAGTTTAAAAATTTTAGTTTTTCTTTTATCTAAAAAATGCACACAAACAAACAAAAATGAAGAAACACAATCAGTTTAAAACGAATAGTGGGTAGCTTATATAATACTTTGCCTATAATCTAATAAGTGAAAAGACTATAATATATTATATTACATTACAAAATACATTAAGGATAACTTCTGTTTCCTATTAGAAAATTCTATTGATAAAGAAATAATTATTTTATTGGTAATATATTATTCTATAAAATAATGAATTAGTTTGGGACATGTCTAAATAGCTATTTACTTTTTTCTACTATGTGCAAAAATAATATAATTATAAAATATGTAAATTTGTAAACAATTGATTTTAGGTTATTCAACTGTATTTAGTTACTTATATTGGATACTTACCTAACTAAACTCTAAACCTCTGTGTATAAATAATATATTCTTTTAATTTTTGATTCTGAGAAAACCATGAAATATATTGATTTTACAATTTTTTTTATACTGTATAAAACATGTTTACCAGAAATCTCGCTCCGATTTTCAAGTTTAGCACCTTCTTTGAAATTAAATTTTATTAAAAGTTATATTTTTGATTTTCCAAGCGATTTTTATAATAATTGGGAAAAAGCATAGGAAAAACGTAGGAATAAACGGACAAATATTAACGACGTAACGATGTTTTATGTTTTCAAAAAATGACTAGAGACCTTTCTCATTGAATTTTTAATGTAGGTTATGAGTATGAAAGTTGTTTTTCAATTTTCCAAGTTGCTTTTATACTAATTAGGAAAAACTAGACAATTGTCGAAAAAACGGGAAAATATACGCTTTGTTTTAGTTCAGTTAAAAATATTTGTAGGAAATTGAAGTTTGTACAGAAAATTTATATTTTTATTTTTTAAACGTGGTAAAATTTTCAAAATATTAAAGCCATTTTTGAGCTATTCATAGAAATTTAAATTTTGTGAGTTTTTTACGTAATTTTTAATTGGTAGGCATTTTGTGGATAATATCGATAGACTAAACAGAAATGCTTGAATATTTGACAAAAGGTTTATTATAAGTCATACCATATGTGAACAAATTACGGCCTTTTAAAACATGTATAATGGAACTTCGCTCAGAATCTTTTTTTGTTAACAATGATTTATTGTTGATTAAGGATATAAATTAAATAATTAAATAATTTATCCTATCTTATCAATTTCCCACCTGCACCCGTCCCTAGCGTTAGCTCTTATTTTTAATAGTTTTCATAATAATAATTTGGTAATATTTAAACCATTTAAACAAATATAGGTATCACATTTTTGTCATTTATATTACTTTTAGTTTTCAAGTTTTCATTTTATTTGTGATCTAGCCTACACTGGACTTAACGGATTTAAGACATTGGAGGGGAAAGTACTAGGTAGATGTTAAATTGATGAACACAAATCGTACATTGAGAAAACGTTAGTGTGAGTACGATGTTATATTTTCTGCAACATACCTTGTAATGACAGTGTCCATATTTATCATATTGGTAAGTCTTATTTTCCTATTAATTTTATTTATTACACTTATAATAGATTAAATTATATTTTTGTTTTATTTATCATCCGATATTATTATGATAAAAAATAATTCAAAAATATATTTGAATTATTTTGACGATCGAACAGTAATTTTGTCTTATCCTCTGAATTATTTTTCAAATTAAGTTCCATGTTTGTTTTTTAAAAGATTATTTTCTCTCGTCATTAGTAGGCACCTATTGATTTAGATATTTTTTTTATTTAAACAAATTTTTGGAAATAAATTTTATTTAAAGAAATGTTTATACCTAATGTAAAATAATAATAAAATATTACCTATTTCTTTACCTGTGATCGTTGCTAAAACAAATTGTGATACCTTTTTAATTATTTTAATTAATCTGTGACTATGTGTAGATTGTCTATATTGTACTATTAATTTAAAGTTAATTCGTTTAATTTATTTATGATACAAAATATAAAAAATATTCACCGTTAGGCTAGATTTATAGACATATTTACAATTTATGTATATTTATTCTAAATTACTAGATTAAATACCTAGGTTATAAGTAACATAAATATTATTTACATGATGTATATTGTAGAATATGTTGATTCACATATTTTTTTTATATAGGTACATATGTATATTTTAACATATTTTGTTCAAAATAATTTTCGATGAAAGTGATTATGATGTGTTACTATATCAAATTTTTAATCACATGGTTGGGAAATGAAAGGAAGCTACAAAATTATTTTCAACTTTAGAAGCTTATACATCATAAAATATTCGTATGTCTTTTGTATAAAAATAAACAAATAACAAATGTCAATTAAAACCGTTAATTTATTTAGACCTTTCAAATGATATTCCATTAGTTAGGTTAGGATAGGTTAGATGCACGAACAATTAATTGTTTGTTCTTCAGTCTTATGTACTTATAGAAAACTAACCTTCATTTTAGATTCCGATCGTAGTGAGGGAGCTATTGGTTTTACAATGTTGTTTATTTTTTTCCCTTCTTTTCTTTGTTCTTTGTTCTAGACCGTAAACACGATTTTTACGTGTAGTAACTTTTCTGAATGCTCAAGTTGTCTAGATTGTACTTTAAAGAGAGCATTTTTTAATTTCCGATGCTATTTTTTAAATAAAATCACTTAAATAAAAAAAAAAAACCTAGAAAAACGTACAGTTTCATGGTTTCATTATTCTATAAAAACACAGACGACGTTTTCTACCAGAAAAAATGATTTAACTGAAAAATCACAAGATACCGTTTTGATTTAATTTCTCGCGGTATCATCACCAAAACTTTTGAGTCACTAAGGGCTTTTAAGGAATTTAAACTTTTGGCAGTCTTTTTGCTGACATTCGGTTATAAACACACATAGAGACTTGAAACTTGGAAATAATACTTATATTAGATTTGCTATGACGTGGTAAAATTTTTTTAAATCAAATTTAAACGAAAATCGCAAAAAAAATTACCGCACTTCTAATTATGTATTAACGAACTGCGCTTGGAATCGTCTTTCGTCAAGAAATGGTTTACCGTTGTTTACAGATATAAATGAATTAACCTTATTTATTCTACCTCTTGTATACTTTCATGGAATGAACCAGAGATAGTTACATAAAGCCTTAACGTCTAAATAAAATTATAAGTATTTCGGTTAATGAATCCTAAGGTTTTTAATGCTTTACAGCAAATGAAGTCAATATATGTTTGGAAAATGATAAATTATATGAAAAAAATATCACATAAATCATTAACAGACTGGACTTTATTAGTACGAAAAATGTATAGGATAATGAGTTTTGAAGAAAGAAATGAAAATCTTGCTCCGATATATATGCGCGGCACCATTTCTGAAAGGAAATATTGTCTAGATTTGTCGTGGTACTTTTAGGAGGTCATTTTTGATTTTCCTAGCGGTTTTCATAATATGTGGAAAAAACCAGGATAAAACATAAGAAAAACGGGAAATGTAAAAAATTAATGCTTTTATTATTTTACTGTTTGTTGTAATTCAGCTAAAAATATTTGTAGAGATTTGAAATTTGGACAAAAAACTTAAACCATTTTTGAGCTATTTATAGACATTTTAGTTTTGCGAGTTTTGAACGTAATTTTTATTCGATAGATATTTTGTGGTAAAATTGCAAAACTTCACAAAACTACTTGAAAATTTAACGAGAGGTTCATTAAGTCTTACTTTGTGGTAAAAAAAAAAATTGAGTTTAATGTAGTATTTGTATTTACAAAGGAATTTTGGTATTCAATTTTTACGAAAATTGTTTGAATAAAAAATTATGTGGAACAAATCTAATTTTTCAATATTTTTTTTTGAACATATATGTATTTCCGATTTAAGAAGGATGGTGAAGTCAGAATTGAGCGGAATGACTAAGTTTCGAAATTATAGCTTTTTGAAGTTCAGATATTAAGCAGATATTACATGTTTATGTTAAATAATTCTATATTGTTTGTTTTACTATACGTTTGTTGTAGTCGAATGGTCGTAAGTACGTATTGTCATACTACAAACAAATCCGGGTTTTGAAAAGAAATTGTTTACACTTTTTTTACCCTTTTACCTAAATAGAAGAAAAACAATAACAGTTTTAAGTGTACCTAGAGCTATCGCTCGCTCGGACGATTTTAATCGAAAAATACCCCTCGATTTGTTGTGCAAACTTTTCTACCAAAAATCTTGCTCCCATGTATCAAGTGTAGCTTATTTTCTAAAAGGAAATTTTATCTCCATGGTTTAGGGAGGTCATTTTTGTGATTTTTCAATAGGTTTTAATAATAACTGGGAAAAACGAAAAATGTACGAAATGTAGGTATGAGTAAAAAAATATGATAGCCTTTTTTTTTCTGGGTACAACTTTTCTACCAGCAATTTTGCTCAGATTTACAATGAAAGCACAGTTTCTGAAAGTAAACCTGACTGTAAAGGTACTTTAGGGGGTTCATTTTTCGATTTTTCTAAGAGTTTTCTTAGCAAATGTTATAATCCGGGAAAAACACGGGAATACCGGGAAAAATGGGAAAATCGGTATAGTATTAAACAAATATTGTTAAAGAAAATATATAATGCCTATTTAATTATTTTACTATAAAATGACGTATATTGTTGACAAAGCATCATTATCAACTGAACTCCGATCAGAATCGTTTTTTCGTTAGCAATGGCTTATCGTTGCTTACAGATACACAGATATATTAAATTACCTATGACAGGGGCTGCTCCCGTCTCCATTATCCTAGGACGTCTTTTTTTTTTGTTTGTAACTAAACAAATTTTCTACGAGAAATCTTGCTCTGATATATAGAGTATAATAAGCGCAGCACATCAAAAATATCTGCGAGTGAATAACCATTGTTATTTAAATTAACTAAATCGAAAGAAGATGTGTTATCAGGATGGTTAGGAGGGTTAAATGGAACATTAACCCATTTGAAGAACAAAAATTAGAAATGTCTTGGTCATCATCAACAGATACACCTATTATTTAGCGTCATTATATTTGGAATGTAATTTTTTTCCTTCCTAGATTTGATGAAATCCCAAAATTGCATTGGATTATCCACTAATGATAATTGTGTTCGGGAAAGGTAGTTTGAATTGTATTTTGTACAAAACATCTACGTATACAGGCCTCGAAAATATTATTTGTGTTCAAACTCTATAATTTCAACCTAAATACCACAATTTCCAAGTAATGTAATTTCACTACGTTGCCCGTGAGCTAGACAATAAATGCGGATGTGGCGTCCTCTTAATATTTGATATCTAATACATTATGTAGGTACTATAATGTATATTACATATCATTGTAACTTGAAATTTTGAGTGTTTGCAAAAAATTTGTTATTTTATCTATTTATTACAAATAAAATAAAATTTTAATAAATCGTGATTTTTTTTTTCAGAACCGATTATGTATGTGACGTGAATCCGTTGTAGCTATGCCAGACACCAGCAACTGCTCGATGAATAGTCGCGATGACGCGTATACGTGTTCACTGGGAAGTGACGATTTCATTCTAGTCGAAGAAGTTGTTTCTGGTCAGAAAATAAACACGGTTGAAACGATACAGGAAATCTGTCCATGGCTGATCGAAAAGTTGCGCGGAGCGTTTACCGTGAAGAATGCGAAACGCAAGCTACCCATATTGAGGTGGTTGCCGCGTTACACGGTCGAGGACGGGCTGGGCGACATAATGGCCGGTGTAACTGTCGGTCTGACGGTCATACCGCAATCGATGGCGTACGCAGGACTGGCCGGTCTCCCGCCAGAACAGGGACTGTACAGTTCGTTTTTGGGCTCGTTGATTTACACATTTGTCGGCAGCTGCAAAGACGTGCCCGTCGGACCGACGGCCATCGTGTCGCTGATGACGTACAGCGAGCTGTACCGCCAGGGACCGGGCTACGCCACTCTGCTGTGTTTCCTGACCGGCGTCATACAGCTGGCCGTGGGCCTCTGCGGCCTCGGCATAATCATCGATTTCGTGTCCGGCCCCGTGTCATCCGGGTTCACGTCCGCCGTAGCGCTGTTGATCATCACGTCGCAAATAAAAGACCTGATCGGCGTCCACGGATCCGGGTCCAGTCTCTGGGAAATGTTGCTTTCACTATACCGGGATGCAGACAAAATTAGTGTCGGAGACACGGCCATCGGCGTCGGGTGCATTATACTGCTGTTGACATTGAGAATCTTGGCCGAAATCCGAATCGGCCCGGCGGACCCCGGACAACAGACCACCGTTCAAAAGTATATGAACAAAAGCATGTGGTTCGTAGGAACGATTAGAAATTCGATAATCGTCATCAGTTGTACCGTGGCGAGTTACGTGTACATCAATTCGCGAACCGCCGAGTCTGTCGAACAAATACCGTACAAGATCATCGGCAAAGTACCGGCGGGCCTTCCGGCCTTTGATCCGCCGCCGTTCTCGATGCACCGAGGCAACGAGACCGTCGGTTTTTTCGAAATAGTGTCGCAAATGAGGTCGCACGTAATCGTTTTGCCACTGATCGGACTGCTCGAAAATATATCCATTTGTAAGGCGTTCGCAAACGGCAATACCGTCGACTCGAAACAGGAACTGTTCGCTATCGGCCTGTGCAACATTGGCAATTCGTTTGTGCACGGTTTCCCGGGTTCCGGCTCGTTCAGCAGGAGTGCCGTGAACAATGCCAGCGGAGTACGCACCCCGTTGGGTGGAACGTACACGTCCGTCTTGGTGATCGTGGCCTTGCTATTTTTGACGCCACATTTTTATTACATACCCAAAACATGTTTGGCCGCGGTCATCATAACGGCCGTGGTATTCATGGTCGAGCTGAGAGTAGTCAAACCGATTTACCGTTCGAAGAAGAGCGACCTGATCCCAGGTTTGTTCACGTTTTTCGCTTGCCTGGTTTTGCCCCTGGAGATTGGTGTTTTGTTCGGCATCGGTCTGAACCTAATGTCGATTTTGTATCACGCAGCCAGACCCAAAATATCCATTAAAGAATGTAAGACCCGCACAGGTTATAAGTACCTGATGCTCACTCCGGACAGATGTTTAGTGTTCCCATCCGCGGATTACGTCCGTAACTTAGTCACCAAACACAGTCTCAAACGGGACATGCCGGTGGTTATCGACTGTTCCCATGTGTACGGTGCCGATTTCACTGCCGCCAAAGTCATAGAAATGCTTTCCATAGATTTCGCCAACAGAAAACAGGCGTTATTTTTTTACAACCTCAAGCCCACCGTGGTTGAAGTATTCAAAGGTGTCAAACCAAAAGAGTTGATTTTTTACTACAAGAAAAAAGAATTAGACAGATTATTACAAAACGCGAGTGAAGAAGTTGCAGGGGGCACCACAACATTATTAGAGCCATTACTGAAAAAATAGTGAATAAATTAAGTTCAACAGTGCTTAAGTGTAACACGTTAAAACAAAGTAGTTACCTATGTTTAATCATATTGATCCGTATAACGATTTGCTGTAAATAAGTTTTATATCTTTTTATATTATTTAGTAGATAAACACCAGTTGTATGTTTTAACAAACACTAGTTTTTAACTAGTGCACACTAATTTTTCTTCACTTATTCAACCCTAAAAATCCAATAGTTTACTAAATTTTTAGTGAATATTTACCTATTTTCAAATCAAATATTTGCCTTTAATTTTTCATTACAAGTTCTAAAATGTTAACTTTTGTATCCACTTATTGAAAATAGATTTTAGATAATCGACATTATTTATAAATGTATATATTGTTCCAAATCGCATCATATTAAAAAAATTAGACTTCTCAAATTAATACAATTTTAGCAAATCCAGTCCAAACTCTTTCCAAGTATTTTTATATTTACTTTTTTTTACACGGAAATACCAGTTTTATTTTAGATAGTACCTATAATTTTTTTTTGGTGTAATTTAAAAATATTGGATACAATTATTTTATTTTTAAACACAATATTACTCCTAATTTAGTAAAATCATTAATCTTACATGCTTACGTTTTAATTTATTAAACAATGTGGAAAACAAAATATGTATTCATTGTCATAGTTTACAGAATTCAGATCATAATAGTTGAAATAAAGTTTGATCCAGTGGTTCCAATGTCCCATTTACATGAATTTTCTCAAGTTATAACCGTGTTATACTATTTGGTTTGTTTTCATATAGATTGTGAGCAAACTTCTTAGTAAAAAACTAAATTAAATTTCATACACTGCTTGACACTTAAATATTTATTTTGAATGCAACAATTATTTCTTGTACAATTGACAAAGCTAATATTAATAAAAATGTATAAGCTTAAAATATAAATAAATATAAATAAATATAAATATTGACTAGATAAAATGTAATTTTTTTTTTAATATGCCTAGTTTATAATGCGAGTGACTAGTACTAATAACAAGTACTATGCATTGTGTAAACTAGGCAATAAAAAAAAAGAAAAAATAATTTCAATAATTCATTTACAAGAAAAGTTTTTTCAACATTATACAAACAATATAAATCATAAACTTTAGCTTAATATATCAAAAAAAAATATTTATATATATTAAGACATACGTATTGGATAATATTGAATTTTTATATAAAATTCACATATCCTTTATAATTTTAACAAGGATTTACTACTAATTAGGTTCAACAAATTGTATGTATTAACCATACAAATAATAAATTAATGATATTATCTTTAAAGATAATAATATTATAAGAAAAAAATACTTTTAAAAATTAAAGACACATTAAACACACAATTAGAAATCAGCCAACATTTAAAACCCAAATAATATATTCCCTATACTTTTCCTTGAATGGTTATTAATTTTATTGATTGATGTATATACTGAAAAAAAAACTAAATTTATTAAATACAAATGTAGTGGGGATTATAATTATGTATAATTTAAAAATGTAATTTACAATATATCTTTTAATGTACAATTTGAACAATTGTGTGAAATAGTCTTTCTATTTCCCTTTCATTAATTTCAAAATTTGTTCAACATATTTAGTCCTTAATAATTGTTGGTACATTATTAAGAGGTCTTTGAAAGTTAAAATAACTTATTCTTTCTTCTCGTGATATGAATCTAAAAAAAAAAAACTTTGTTAAATTTGTAATGGTATATTAAAACTGTTTCATATAATAAAGTAACACTACCTTAATATAATACAAATTATAATATTATGTTTTAAAAAAAGTGTGTATAATTCTTAAAAAGGTAAAAAAAGTATCAATGTATGATTATAATTTAATCAATGTTATTACTTATTAATCAACAATTTTAATTGTTTAAGTTATCTTATAAAAGCTAAATTTCAACTGCAAATTCATTATCTAATATATTTTTTTTAATTGGAGTGATAAAAAAAATTAATACATTTTTCAAATTATTTAAACCTGAAATGTTTCAATGCCAAAGTGAATTACAATAGTAAATTATTAAATATTATTATATTGCTATTAGATATCTATAATCTTTGTTAAATTTTGTATCAATCGTAAAAGTCCATATTTGGGTTTTTAATTTGTGTACGCAAAAATAAAAAGTCATGTTTCTATAAAAGAACATTATAATAAGTGATCAAAAATTGGTATTACTAAAACAATAAACAAATCTAAATATATGATAATATTAATACTAGCTTCTAGAAAAAATTTTGTAATAATAGTACTTTTTATTAGTGTTTATCACTAACAATATTTTTAAAAGTCAAAGCCCAAACAGTATAATTATATTTTAATAAAATCAATCAAAGTATTGATAAATGGTAACAATAGCAACAAAAGTTGTGATAAATAATGAATACAATAATAATATATCCTAACTTAATGTTGTAAATATGAAAGTAAATCCGTTTGTTACGTTTTCACGTCTAGTCCAGACAATAGGGCTCTAAAAAAACCGTTGTCTTTCAAAAAAAAGTAGTTTTGTCTCGGGGCCACGATTAACTAAAATACATGCGCCGTAGCCCTCCAAGGCCCATTTTGAATTTTAGGTGAAATTGTTTAGTTTTTTAAGTTTTATTTTTTTAACAATATATGTGTCTTTAAAAATATTAAACTTTTAAGTAAAAACAAAATGAAAATTGAAGACTGTAAAATTTGTGACAAGACAGGTTTTATACATTTTTAGCGTAAGAGTAATAGATAAACGACAAAGACCATCCACCCCCGTCATAGAATGTGACCCTCTATGCTATAATGACGTATGTAGGTAACAAACGAACCGAAAAACTTAGAATAGGTATATAATATGTTTAGTTTCGTAAATTATTACTTATTGTTATTATTATTCCGGTGAGCAGGTAATATTAACAATAATAATGTGTCCAAAGGGATGCTATATACTGCAGTGGAGGTTTTGATAAAACATCAAGAGGGGGGAGGGGGCGATTTTAAATTTGTTGGGCCCCATACTATGACATATATCAAATAAAGGTTAACAATTGATTATGGTCCTATTATAAATTACACATGACTTTCATTTTAGATTCCGAGTGGAACGAAAAAAGCTTAAGGTTTTACAATTGTTTTATCTGTGAACAACTTTTCTACCAGGAATTTTGCTCTGATGTACACAATGTACCAACTTTTCTGAAAAGAAATTTTGTAGGGGAGGTACTTCAGGGAGGTCATTTTTCGATTTGCCAAAGTTTTCCTAGTAAATGTGAAAACTGGGAAAATCTGTACGATATTAAACAAATATTATTAAAAAAAATATAATGAAAAGTGAAAACATTTAAAATAATGTCATCTTTGAATTTTTGTATTTTTTGTACAGTACAATTATGCGCTCATAATCTGAGGGTTATTATAGTGCATGTATAATTTAACCTATGCGCTGCGCAGATATCTATGAACATGGATGAAAAAATGTCACACTAGAACAGTGGTCTTCAACCTTTTTGGACTCACGACCAAATTTTTCAGGCATACATTATTCGTGATCCACATAAGGCATACATAANTAGAACAGTGGTCTTCAACCTTTTTGGACTCACGACCAAATTTTTTAGGCATACATTATTCGTGATCCACATAAGGCATACATAAAAAAAACTTTTTAAAGGATACGTAAATATGATTAGAATAATAACGCGACTAAGATTTATTCGCCTTTAAACACAGTGACATCAACAATGTTTGTAGATTATGGGACTCTTTAACGATAATAATACAATATATTTATTTTATTACTAGCCTGGTTTATTCGTAAATTATTATATTTAATGTCATACTACGTAGAATCATACCAGCATATGAAACATATACTGTGATATGAAATCCATTTTACTATTATATTTTTGAATGTAAATAATATAATATTGTTTATACATAACATCTTACAATAATTTTCAAACTGTATTTTCATTTATTAATTTTCTAAATTTAATAATTAAACAATTATTTGTATACCTTATATAATTGTATAAACTTAATTTTTTTTTAAAAAAGAAAACTTATCACAACCCATTTTTGGGTCGCGACCCACCGGTTGAAAACCACTGCACTAGAACACTCTAGGTTCACCATAGACAAATTATCCACTTTCCACATATTTTTTTTTTTCGTTAAATATACTGATACAAGCAAAACAAAATGGGATTAAAGCTAAAAATAAAAATAAATTGCCATGGGACAGTTACTATTATATAAAATAAAAACTCAAAAGCAGGTTCTAAGTAACATTCCATGAATGTAATTGTATGTTTAGTAGTAAAACATACAATGACTGTTTAATGTTATTGTTTTAATATAATGTAATAAAATCATATGGTGGATAAGCATTAAATTTACAGAAATAAATTCATATTTATTAGAAATTTAACGAGACGGACATTCCCCTTAACCATGTTGCACCACTATGGTGGATTATTGTATTTTCTTGTATTATAAGATAAAAAAGTTGATTTGTTCTGCATATACATCTTCTTCAACTTTGCCTTCATTCAATTGTTTTACCCCACACACACATAATGCAGTTTAACTGAGAATACAATTTTGAATTTTGACTAGAGTTGTTCAGAAAAAATTATTTATTTTCATAACTATTTATTTTAACCTTTAATTGTATAACTGTGTATACTATTTAAACATACCACTATCATCTTCATCATCGTCATTTGCGTCTAGAATATCTGTACAACATGTTGAGTAGCATAGTATTATGAAAAGGCTGAACGGTAATCCAAATAAAACACAAGCGGTTGCAGGATTATTCGTAAAAATGTTCACTAATGCAGTCTTTGTTTCATACAATGATCTATATAATTGTATTAAAATACCACTTCCTCCGTATGCCTAATTTTAAAAACCATCATTGAAAATATTAATAATATAATATATTTTCAAAATTATAATGAATAACTTGACATAGAAGAATAAAATAATACAATTTTGGTTCAATAATTGAATTACCTTTACAGTTTGATTTCTAACAGCTTCTAAAAATGAAGTGATTGATTCAGGTGTTAGCTCATGAGGTTTTTCTTCTGGAAAATGATGATGTCTAGTAGTAGAATTGTATATGATTAATGATGGTAGGGGCATCTCTGATATAGTAATAGCATTGGCAAAATCAGGTGAACCGATCCATCCAAATTGAAATTCACTAAATAAAATGAAATGAATAATAATCTAACATTGTATTTATATTATTTAAATGATAAATTTAATATTATTTTATTTGTTAGAAAAAAAGTGCATAATATTGACATTCTTCACTATGTTAATAAATTGTATACAGTGTCTGATCAATATTAAGTAAGTGTATACTGGACCAGCTTGAAGTCGGTGCAAGCTGTGCACTCATACAGAGCTCCCATATTATTAGAAAAGTTTTGATCCTGTGCTCAAAGATCATACCTATACATATTTCTCTAAATAGTATTCAAAATGAACCAAAATCTAAAAAGTGAAGTTCGACATTATTTATAGAATAAAACGGTATAATTATCATACAATTTTATTAGATTATATACCTCTGATATAAGCCATAAAGAAAAAAAAAATTATTATATGTTTTATAGACATAAAAACTACCACTATTGAAATTTAAATGTTTTTAAGAGAAATGTAATATTTAAATTCAATTTAAATGTTTAAATTGTTGGTAATACAACTAGTAAAGGTTTATCCAATAAAATAATTTATTTGTTAAAATCAAATGGGTTGTGTATTTCAGATTGTAGAGATCAAGGTTAAGACAATGGTGCTAATATGAAAAGAGTATATCAAGGTGTACAAGCCCGTTTACTGTGTCAGGAAAATCCAGTAATAGGTACCACACAATTAATTGCACAAGGCTAAATAGTTACCTAACAACCTTAATACCCATTTATTACTATATTGTTTATTTATTTGAATTATCTATAAACATACATATTATTTTATATACACAGCTGTATATTATTTTATTTTAATTGATAATCATATAAGGGATTATATTATTATTATTAATATTGTTAATTAAGAATACCTAACTAATTGTGATATGCAAAAGAAAAGAAAATACATTTTCTGGCAGGCATTATATAAAATGCCTAGGATATAGAATGTTGAAGTTATACACTCTGTAACTAAAAAATGAATGTATTTATTTTACCGATGAAAACGTTCTCTGTTTTTAATTATAACCGATTCTACCATTTGTAGAAACCTAAAAAATAATAGAAAAAAATTTAATTGAAATAGTGTATAAAAAAGTATGTGAAATAATATTTACTTTATAATGATAGTCGAACTTACTCTGAATGATGTGGAGGTAACTTTTCTATTTTATTCTCTTCCACTAATGCTAGTACTAAATACTTATTGGTCTCCATCATATGGTGAATATTTGATCGGGTAATTTTTACAAAAGTATTAAATCTTTCCGTGTTCACCCACTGTGTTAAACTTGTATTGAAATCTGAATCCCATTCTTCAGCTAATAAATATTTTAACAAATTATAAAAACATTACACAATTTAATGATTATTTATTTAAATACCATTGAAAGAGTATTGTTGTTCTTCTTTATAAACCACTACTGCAGGAGACTCTCCAAAAGTGAAGTGCTATTAATATAAAAAACAAATAAGATGTTTATTATTTATATCAAATAAACTGATATAATAGGTAGTAGTAAAGAAAATATCCGGGTGGTAAAACCACTTAACTAACAACAGGTTAAATTCAGAGTTCAGACTTATTTCATACATATCTTTAATAAATAATTACATTATGAAACTAATTTAATGTTAAATATATTAGCATTAATAATGAATTTATTAAAACCTGTTTTCCAGTAGCTTCAGATGTAATATAAAAATAAGAATGTGCTTGATAATATTTTGCCAAATCGTAAAAAAGATCCTAAATAGAGTACACAAATTTAATTAATATTATAATATTTTCAACAATAAAAACATTAAATACCCAAATATGACCAACACTTTTTCCGATAAACATGAAAAAATGTCGATTTGTTTGTTTAAGCATTTCAATATCTTTACTATCAGTAACTTCTTGAACTGGTGGACGAGCCAATCGTTTTGCAAAATGAACCATCTCATCTTTGGTTCGTTCGTTATTAAATAGAAACTGTCCTTCTCCATCTCTAAAGCTATTAAATAATTTACAATCCCTTTATATCATATTTAAATTATTCTTAAATTAATTAATTCAGGACATACAACATTATTGTAGGATATCCTGACAATCCAAACTCTGAAACTACTCTTTTATATCGTGTACAATCAATTTTTCCAACTCTTATATCAGAATGATGCAGTGCTTGAGCCACATGACGCCAAATAGGTTCTAACTTCTTGCAATAGTTACACCATGGCGCATAAAACTTAAAAAAAAAAAAAAAAAACAATTTAGTAATACAATAAATAGAAAAGTATTAAAATTAATACATTGATAAATAATATTACTTTATGTCTAATAGGTCATAATATTTTTTTTTTAATAATTACCATTATAAACCAATGTCCATCATTTTTCATTTCTATGAACCTAATGAAATAAATTATTGATTATTATTTAATTCATATTAAAACATTTTTTTTAGCAATAAATCAGTAATTACCCATCACTAAGTTCCAATACTCTCGATGAATCCACATCTTTCAGTGAGATAACAGCAACTTAAAAAAATACAACATTAAAAAATTGAAATTATTAACAACAAGATGGAACATTAATATAAATAATTGAATCTTGTACAGGTTTTTCAAATGTATAGATCCTTAAAACATAAGTTGAACAATTCAGTTATAATATATAAAGTATGCATTTTTTTTTTTTATAAAGTAGTTTTTCTGTTATATAAATCATAACATTATCTGTGAAACTTACCAATAAAAAGCAGAATAACATTTTGTGTAAGTATATTGGAGATCAACATGATTATTTTAAAAATGTTAAATATAGGAATTTGTTTTCTTATCAGCCGTATAACTCAAAGCCAACGAGTCGGTGCTCGTAGACTGATTGATGTAATATTTATATTGATGTATCTATTGATTACACTTGAGAGCGTTATTCTGTTATCGTGGGGGAACAACTTACTGCCTCGTTATCTTACTGTTTTGCTACTACGGCGCTACTGCCGTGACAGTATCACCGTGATTGTGATTGTTGCCATGAAAAAATGTGTCTTAAATCATAAACTAAGATAATAAGGACTAACAACGACGTCGCGGGCGGTTGGTATTGGTGCGGTCAAGTTTTTCGACAATGAATACCGCCATGTAGGGAAGATTTCGTGAAGAATCATAGACATGTTAACTAAGAATACCCAAGTGGAGAGCATTTAAGAACCGCGACAATATTAGTTGAGTTCTTTTGAACTATAGTATACGATGCGAAAATGCGTGCAGCTCTAGATCATATATGATCTAAAGTGCATCTGACCACTGGATTCTATAATTGAGATGTTATTATATAGGGTTCAATGGTGTAGATACGGTGTACGTGTGAATGTGCGATACATAGACCAATTTTTAGTTTTCGGATTTTTACCATTCCACAGAGCCTTATCATTTTCGGACAACTAACTGGGGATATTAGCAGTTGTCAGAAAATTGATAAGAAATTTTATCCGGATTCAGTTTGAATTATTGCTAACGTCGAACAATAAAATGTTTGTGTAGACATTTTCATTATCAGAAAAAAAAAAAAAGTATCAATAATGTATTTATTTTTTAGTGAGTCGGTTTTCTTTTTAAAATAATTTGTATACATATATATATATTATAATCATTTTTGTATAATGGAGCATTTGATTGATAACGATCTTCCTAGTCTATCTTAAACCGTGTAACTGGATAACTGTTATCATATTATGAACTACTTCATGAAAACAATTTTGAAATAACTGTAAAAACACTAAAAACAAATAATAGTGCACACATATACGACGATTACAGCCCACGGCGGGGCGAATTCCCCCCTCAGGTTTTAACACTGTTTTAAAATGTAAAGTATTTACCCATACATCTAATAACTATAAGCCCCTGACTAAATAAAGTTATTTATGTTTACTTAGTCGTGTATAGGCCTACGATCTTAAAAGTTAAAACATTGAATAGGTTATTTTTTTTTTTTATTGCAATATTTTTGTGGAGAAATTTATTTCTACAATTACATAATATAGTATCGTTAACGGTAACGCAGAACACCTAATGACAATAATGTTAACATAATTAATACATATGAAGTTTATGAAAGATGAAACTCGAAAGTAGGTACCAAGGTGTATTGATTATTAATTTGCTACGATTACGATTAATGTACCTTGGTACTTGATAGGTACCTAATAAATCTTAGATCATATACTATGTATGGTTAGGTATATGATCTAAGTAATAAATAATAAGCACTTATGTAATAATCAATATCAGAGATTGACTTCTCTCACGTGACCACCATGAAAAAATGTGTATTATCACGTATTTTAATTTACCTTCATTTAATTTACAAATGTGCACATATGATTGATAAAGACTGAATACGAATGTGTAATCATCACGAAGTTCTTAGAAAATTATTCAGAGACAATAATAAATTTTACTGTGTCTGTTAAAACGGTATGTTTTAAAAAAGTATCTTGTAATATGCGTAATTGATCGTCAGTCGTCAATTACTACATTCAAATTTTTATTTTATTTCTATTAATGTAATATGTTTTCTTCAAAAATGATCAAAATTACTAAATTATCTAAATATTTTCATATAAATTCTAATAATTCTCAATGGTTATCTTTAGTAACAAACACCATGCGTTTTTCTACATCTAATATTTTGAAAGGTATTTTTACAATTACTAGTTTTTGCAACATTTTTAATTTGTTTATTAATACTTTGTTTAGATCGTTATTACACAGACAAACATGAATGGATTGATGTGAAAGATAAAATTGGTACAGTTGGAATATCACATTATGCCCAAGTAATTATTTTAAAATTTGTTAATAAGTATATAAATATTATTTTATGCCTAGATTTGAATACTTAGTCACCTCAAATAAAATTTACCAATTGACAATAAAAGTACTTGTCTAAAATAAATTGTTTAATTAATGATTTTTATTATTATAGTTATTTTAATTGGTCTTAAATTAAAAATTTATTTGTTTATGGTCAGTTGAAGAAAGCCTATACAGTATCATTAAAAATATGTTACCGTACATAACGCAGCTAGATTTTAAATAAATGTTTTAAATTGTATGTGCATTTAGTATAACAATAGGTACCTATTGATGTGCTAAAGTTCAAATTAAGAATGGTTATGGGCTATTATGGGTTATCATTAATTTGATAATATTTTCTTTTTAGTTGCATTGATTATTTTCCTTTACTGATTTTTAATTCATAGGCCACTGATGTTTTAACATCCTGTGGTTTGATCAAAGTCTTGTTTAACAACTACTGAATCAAATTTTTTGGCATGCATTTAAGGAAATACAATTTCTAGTCATTATTAAGTCTTGGCTTAATATAAAATATAATTTAAATGTTTTCTTAAATTTATTATATCTCTGTAATTAAAATTACTATAATTGATATATTATTAAATAGATTTAAATACAATAATATGATTTCTATTTATAATATACATGTGTATTATTTTATAAAATAGAACAAAAAATAGAATAAGCTGCATAATTTATCTATATAACCAGTAGTGTATCCAGAATTTTTGTTTTGGTGGGGGGAGGGTTGAAAAAAATGTAACAAATGAAATTTTTTTGAATTTTGTGTGTATTATAATTGCACATTGAACATTTTATTACTGTTTTATAGCGCTAATTATATAAAAGTTGAAATATTTATCTTTTTTAAAAATTATAAAAATATATTCATTTTTCTTTTTGTTGTTTTAGCAAGTTCATCTATAACATCATTGATATCCATGTTGTTATCGCGATGACTATATTTTAGTAAGGCTAAACCATTTAAACGTCTTTGTCCCAAAGCATTTTTCAAGTATGTTTTCAAACGACAGAGTGTTGTTAAATGAATATTTGAAGAAGTTTAGATATCACTGGATAAACATCTGGACTAGTTAGGAGTTATACTTCAATAGTATTTTTGTTCTTGAGTTTGGAAGATGTTAAATTTGAATATTTAATGTACCACAAATCTAATTATCTGTTTAATATATGATAATTTAAATATGAATCATTACATTCATCAATTATATGTTGGTATATTTCTACTAATTGTTTGAATTTACCTTTAATTTCTTCAAATATTTTCATTTCTATCTTAGGTAAAATACAATCAATATTATTCAAAACAATCCTGTGAATATAAATCTTTCATTTAATTGGTCTGAATAATCATCTATAAAAGGTATGAATACATAACAAATTATTCTGGATCATCTGATTTAGATTAACATGTCAAACTAACAGTAATATCAAATATTTCACAGACAGTTATTACAGATAAAAATAACTGTTGAAACTCTACATTACAATTTTCTTTTATATCCTTAATATTTTTTTGAACACAGCTTCTAATACAGTTTTTAAATTAAGATTTACAGTTTGAAGATATCAGCCATGTGGAAAACTTATAGAAAGTATTTTCACTAAAATAGATAAATTTATTTAAAATTTGAACTGTTTTATCGCAATAAGAACATGAATTGCAAAACTAGAATTGTCAGAATCTGATTATATTATTAATTTGTATTATTTGTGTAAACTGTTAAGTGTAATAACACTTTATTTTTTTTTCAAACTATTAGTATTTTATTTTATTTTTTCGAAGATATTTCAGAGGAGGTACAACCCCCTAACCCCCCTGTATACGTCACTGTATATAACTATTATTTACTTATTATCCGCCATTTAAACTGTCTCATTGCATATTTTAATGTTGTCTTTTATCTATGTTTTTTGTCAGCTACTGTTGTATCAAATATTTCAATTTAATTTTTGTTAGCTATTTTCATACTAATTAACTACCTGTAGTGTAATAGTGTATCTACTTAATTTAACTAACTATATATATGTTAGATTCTGACTGAAGCTAGGAATGTATTGGTTTTACAATGATGTTTATTTTTTTTTCTGTGAACAACTTTTCTATCAGCAATTTTGGAAATCTGGACACCATCTTTGAACTGTATTTATAGAAATTTTATCCATTCAAAAATAAATTCCTATTAGGAATTAACCGAGACAGACATTTCCCTTAAAAAATCCTTGTTGCACCACTGTGGTTGATTATTGTATTTTCTTGTGTTATAAAATAAAAAAGATGGTTTGCTCTGTGTATATAATATATATGCTTTTCCTTCATCTTCATCCCAAATAATTGGTGTCGACCACTCTTGTTCTAAACTTCCACTTGACCACCTGGAGATGGTAGTTTAGGTATGGTTCATCCTTTATCTTATCTTCTCTTGTCACTCCAATTATTCATCTTAGCATGTATTTATTCTCTTTTCTATTTTTTGTCTACCACCTAACACTAAGAACGATACAAAATAGTTGTAACTAGATGGGACAGTATGTCAAAGTCTTGTTTAGAGTTCCTTATACTGTTATAAAGAATTTTACACTGGCTGTCAACCTGTTGTAACCCCTTTTGTTACCTTTTATAATGTATATATTAAATATAAATTACATTTCATTATGTTATTTACTAATAAATTTAATATATATTTTAGGAAGCTTTAGGTGATGTAGTGTATGCTGAGCTACCTGCTATTGGAACTGAAGTGAAAATAAAAGGTATGTACATAAAATTAAAACTTTTGATATGAATTTTAACACAATTGATAATTTAAAATTTTAATTTTTGGCATTTTCTTTCAGTTATATTATAATTTAATTAAAAGGTTTTATCAAACAATTTTTAAATCAATTGAAGAAATCATACAATGGATTTTATTTAAAATGCTACTGTATATTCTGAATTATATTTTTAACTTATACATCATATTTATATTAATAATATTATGAAAATATGTGTTTATAGACGAATGTGGTGCATTAGAAAGTGTGAAAGCTGCAAGTGAATTGTACAGTCCTGCATCAGGAAAAATAGTTGAGATAAATTCTAAGATAGAAACAAGTCCAGCATTAATAAATCAATCGTGCTATGAAAATGGTATTACCAATTTGTAATAATTGTTTAAGTTGAAGTATATTTTTTTAATAATTAATTTTTTAGGATGGCTCTTCAAATTAGAGTTATCTTCTATAGAAGAAGTACAAAATTTAATGAATGAAGAACAATACACTGAATTTATTAAACAGGATCATAATTAATGGTAATGTAAATAATTGTTTGTTAGATCTTATCTAGAATATTTTAATTTGTTTTTGATTTTTATAAAACATTTATTGATTGATATTTAATTTTCAAGCATTTATTTAAATATATTTGTATATTTTTCAATTTTGTTTTTAATAGATACTTATTAATTAAAATAGACATAAACATTCTGTTGATACAATTCGTGGTTATTATCAATTATTTTGAAATATATTCTTAATTAATATTATTGTGTTAATTATTTCCTGTGACTTTCTTGATTATTTAAGGTATTGTGTACAAAAGACACATTATACAAAAATGTTCACTAATAAGTGATCTTAACTTTATTATACACTTACATTGTAATCAGTTTTGACTATTTTGATACCTATTCTTTTGTAAATAGGTAAACAATATTGTTGTTAATAATTTCCTATTATTATTTTTATTTGATTTAAGTATTAGTTGAGAAAAAATAGAAAAATGTACAGCAATAAAAGTTTCATTATTTTTGATTTTATGTTTGTACCAGAAATGCAAGTAGCATATATTCTCTAAAAGAACCTTTTTTCTAGTTGGTGTAATCTTGATTTATGGTTGTTAGTATTTGATGTTTTCTAGTTTTAATTTGGTTTAATGCTGACAATTTTTTTGACCGAGCCTAAATATTTGAACATTTTACTAAAGGTTCATTGAAATTTGTAGTTAATAGTAGTATAAATACTATATAAGTATTTTTATATGTGTTTAAAGTTAAAATCTACTATAAATAATTTTTTTTTAAGGTTTTAATGTATTGGCTTTACAGTAGTGTTTTTTTTTTTGTTTTTTTTACTTTTTCTACCAAAAAGCATTCTCTTATTATCAAATATAACACCTTTTCTGAAAGGAAATGTACTTTAGAGAGGTCATTTTTTGAAATTCTAATTAATATTCGAGATAGTAAGGAAAATCTCAGTCTTTAGGTTAAAAAAGATTAAAAGATCAAAAATATGTTTTTTTTTGGCAACTGTTTTTGTTTATTTTTTTGTTATTAAGTTTTTATTGTTTTATCATTTTTTAAACAATTATTGTTATCATGGCAACGTACATTATTGTAATAATTTTGCCATAATATGGCATATACCATAAATTGTAGTGTTGACAAAGCAACACTATCAACTGAACTCCGTTTAGAAACGTTTTTTTCGTAAGCAATGGTTTATCGTTGATTACAGATAAACATTAAATTTCCGTCTGTATCCTACCTTTCCAACTTCCACCCACAACAGTAGCTGCACCCAAGTGTGAAGTATGTCCGTCCTTTTTTTATGTTGTATTTGTTATCTTATATCACTCGGCATAATAATATCTAACTATCAATTATAAACAAAATACAAATATGTTGAAAGTTAACACGCATAGAGTGCCAATTTCTACTAATTAAAATATTTTAAATCAGAATGGATATTTAATTTAAACTATTCCAAATAGGTATTTTTTTTTTTTTTTTTAAGAATTTTCCCATAATAATATGCTAACTCAATAACTTATTATTTGTTTTTATTCATTACTATTGCTTTAAATTAAATTTCAAAAAAAAGACTGATATATTTCGCATCATGGATGAACCACTGTTGTAGATGAGAAGTTGGGAAGATATGATATAGAGGGGAATTCAATGTATATCTGTAAGCAAAGATAGATCATTGCTAACGAAAAACGATTCTGAGTGGAACTCGGTTAACAGTATTGCTTTTTCAACAATAAATATGTCATATTATAGTAAAATAAATATACATTGAAACAATTTGTATGGACTACTAACTAGATTTGTTCCACATAATTTTTTAAAATCTAAGAAAAAATTTGATATTAAAATTTCTTATAAAAAAAAAAAAATACTATATTACACTCAATTTTTTTTTGACTACAAAGTACGAGATTTAAGGAACCTCAGGAGGTTCCTTTTTAACAGGTTAAATTGTCAAGCATTTCTGTTTAGTCTAACGATTTTACTACAGAGTATCTACTAAATAAAATTTGCGTACAAAATTGTCAAATTAAAATATATTTAACTTATAATAAGCTAATATATAATAGCTTAAAAATGGCTAAAATATTTTAAAAATGTTACCACCTTTAGAAAAGGAAAATATGAGTTTTGTGTTCAAATTTCAAGTCCATAAAGTTCATACGAATATTTTTAATTGAAATACAACAAATAACAAAATTAAAAATAATACTTTGATTATTTTCATAAATTTCCCGTTTTATTTACGTTTTTTCGCGGTTTTTCTCAATTATTATGAAAACCTCTTGGAAAATCAAATGACCTCCCTAAAGTACCATATGGCTGATATTTCTTTTCAGAAATGGTGCCACACATACATATTGAAGCAGGATTTCTGGTAAGAATTGTCAAAGTATAAAAAAAAGAAAATAAACATCTTTATAAAATCAATACATTCTTCGCTACATTCAAAATCTAAAAAAAATAAAACAATGAATAATGGAAATTTATTGGTTTATTTGTTAATTGTATTCTTAGAGATATACATTGATATTTTTAAACATTATAATATGTATGTAAAAATATGTACCTACAATGGATTGGTATAAGTGTTTACCATCTGTCTAACTAATCAGTTTTCTTCCCAAATAATCAGATATAATATTATTAATATTATTTATTATACGATAATGATGTTTAATAACTATAAAAAAAACAATTTAAATATAATAAGTTTCTTAATCTGTAATTTGGACATATTGCAAATTCAATTTAATTTAAATCACACTATTCAGTAAAACATGCAAAGCATGACCTCCAGGTTATAGAAATTATTTACTTTTTAATCCTGTATAACCTGTTAGTAATACAGGAAATAAACTCTATATTTACTCCATAAATTAAACTTTACCATTTTTTAAAAAATTACACACATTTTAATTGATTTGTTAAACTTTTCAGTAAATATTTAATTTATAAAAATAAAACAGAAAATGTTTTACAATTGATATTCTAAATTATTGAAATTCATTATGAACTATTATCATATATAATACTAGGTATCTAATTCTGAGAAATCAGATAGGTATTTAAAAAAAAAGTGAACATTTAATTTCAGGGTCATAAAATGCTTGCGTATTATCTGTGTATATTATCTATGTAATATTTTTTTTTAAACTTCCTGTATAACAGGTTCTACTATATTTATATCTAAACTATCATATTTAAAAAAATAATCTAAGTGAAAAATTATGGAAGTCATGTTAAAGTTTATTTATTTGGACTAGTTATGATATTATAGTTAGTAAGTTAGTAACTACCTACACACTAATTTAATTATATTTAATATTTTAATGAAAGTCGTGTTTACCAGAATAAAAACTATTGTACTATGTATATCTATTGATAAATCATAGTAAACATTGCAATAGTTAAAATAAACGTTTGTTGTATATAAATAAGTAGGTAATATATTGCCATCAAATATCCGAAGTTTAACAATCGTATTTTTATATAATATGAGATACAATTCGGTGCTACCATCATTTTCAAAATAATGTTGATTCTTATAAACATGGGTTTATTGTTTTTTTATAGTATAGGTGCCTACTTTATAATACAAAGGTGATTTTGTTTAATACCCTGTTAAAAATATGAACCGAAAACATTCTACGGCATGCGTTGCTAAAACCGTACAATTTGACATTTTATACTTACCTTCATTAAATGAATAATTGATAAATTAGTATTTTCGTGCTTAGTAATAATAATGATGAACGACAATGTTGAATTTGCTCATATTATAATATAGATATATCGCATGTATTGGGTGAACATATATATATATATATATAATATATTACCTACCTAATATAAATATATATATATATATATATGTGTGTGAATCACAATTAGTTTCAAGTTCAAATAGAACTTCATTGAATTAAAAAAAAAATTATAAGTACTTCCAAAAATATCAAACGGCGGTACTTATTTTGTTTTCATTCTAATAATAAGTACCTGTACAGATTGTTATTCGTCATATTTAATAGATACTTAATAGTTTTTTGTATTTTCATGTCGGATACGTCATTATTGTCACAGAACGGAATAGTCAGTGTTATTGTCGCAGTATTTTGTGATAACGTTTATTTTTAAACTTACCGTATAAATGAGAGGTAAGACGATCCACGATATTGGACATGGGTGGTATCAGTTATGAAAAAAAAACCGATATTTTCGGAAAAAAATGCCTATAATATAATGGTAACAATCTATATACATAATATAATATTCATATCATGTATAGTATGCAATGTGAATAATAGTATATAATAATATTGTGTTTTATAAGTACCTATACTTACAGTATTATTGTACAGTTGAAAGAAAAAATTTAAAAAAAAGACTGACATACTTCGAAAAGTTGGGAACGTAGGATATTGAGGGGAATTTAATTTGTATGTACGCAGCGATAAATCATTGCTAACGAAAAACGATTCGGGGCGAACTTCGGTTGTACATGTTTTGAGAGACCGTAAAAATTTACGATTTACATAAAAATTTGGTAGTTATTACAATTTTTATAAAAATAAAAAAAAATACTTCATTGAACTCAGTTTTTTTTTTTTTTTACACAAACCACAAAGTATGAATTATAATGAATCTCCTATTGAATTATCAAACATTTCTGTTTAGTATTAACAATTATATTCACGGTGGTACTTAACGAATAAAAGTTACGTAAAAAACTCGCAAAATTAAAATGTCAATAAATAGCTCGGAAACTGCTCAAATGTTTTGACAATTTTACCACGTCTAGAAAAGGAAAATATAAGTTTTTTGTTCAAATTTCAAGTCTACAATATTTGAAACTGAATTAGAACAAAACTGAAACTATAATATAAGCATTATTTTCATATTTTCTCGTATTTTTTGGGTTTCGATAATTATTAAAAAAAAAAACTACTCGGAAAATCAAAAACGATTTTCTTACTCATCAACAACATTAAAAATGTAACAACAAAGGTCTTTTGTCGTTTTTTTATTGGAGTAAATATTTCTGGTACTTGGTAGAAAACAAGTAAAAAATGTAAAACCATAAAATCGTTACGCCGTAAATATTTATCCGTTTATGCTTACGTTTTTTCCCGGTTTTTCTCAATTACTACGTAAACCGCTTGGACTCTTAAAAAATGACCTGCCTAAAGTCCCAACTAGATAAAATTTCTTTTCAGGAAAAGCGCTACTCTTGATTACACCGGAGCAAGATTTGTGGTAGACATTTTGTACACAGAATAAAAAAAAGAAAAATCAAACATCGTTGTAAAACGGATACGTCATTCTCACTCTCATATAATCGTACATATTTTATACTCGCTACGCTCCGAATCTAAAGTAAAATTATAGAATATTATTGAAGAAAACTCTGAATTTTAATATAAGTGGGTAGGTACTTGAAATTATTTTAGTGTATTAACGTACTATTATCTGTTGTAATCTATAATAATTCGTTGTCACGCATATATAGCTCAAGAATATTACTCTTGATATAGGTAATATAAATTATAATGTTGTATTAGTGACGTGTTTAATATAAATTATAATTCTTAGTCGATTAATATGATTATAGGAATATTTTTTTTTTTTAATCGATCGAATATTAATGTAGGTAATATTATGTAGTTTCAAATTATTAGTGTGGCAATTCGCCTCCGTGGTACCCGTAATTAAAAATATAATCTCAAAAGTTAATTTAAAGTTTACTATACAAGTACTTCTAATCGACTTAGAATTACATTAAATGCATCACGTTTCTTTAATATTATACATTATACCTTTATTAATACAATAATAAGATTATAAGATGACGATTTTTTTAATAAAACTATTAATTTTATTTTTCGTATAAAGTATCAAGTTCATATTTAAAGCGTCGATAAATCGTTTCATATCGTTCTAATCGTTCCGCGCATATTGTGTTTGAAAATAAAATCCTGAGCTGTCGGAGTATTTTAATGTGCATACCTAATTCATATTTTTTTTAGTTTTTGTTTTAATTCGGATGTGCAGTAAAATGTGAGTATAAATTTTTTTCAATTAATTTGTTTTATACTTTTAATCTATCAGGTACGTAAACAATAATACAAATTCTGAGGGGGGGGGGTTAATACAAATTTTACAACAATCAATAAAACATACAAAATTTATATGTAGGTATAATAACATGATGTTGTTTAAAATATATAGTTTTCGAAGAATTTTCAGGGGTAGAGGGTAAAACCCCAATCTACTATATACAATACTATTATAATTATACTCTATTTACAAAAATAAAATATGAAATTTAATCTTATAATTTGATAATTTTTATTGGCCAAATATCTGTAGAGGTATAGAGGAAGGGGTTGAAATTTGAAACTCTGAAGACAAATATTTAATACTAACGCCATAGCTACGCCACAGGGGATGATGGAGGGGATTACACTCCATCCAGATACCGTCACAAATTAATAATATTATTATGAGAATTGTTCTACTAGCGTCTAAAAGCGGTACCTTTATACAGGGCCGTGGAGAGAAATCAAGGGCCTTAGGGACAAACTAATCCTTCTTAATGTCAAATATTAAACTTATCACTAACATCCAACGTCATCCTTTAAAATGTGTATGAAAAAAGCAAGTTTAAGGTTAAAAGTATAAGGTATTCAAAAGCATAAATCATAGTGTTAATAATACAAATAATATGGTATACAAAGTAATAACTATTACCTATATTATTAACCTTTAATTTTTGTTATAATATGTATTGATTTTTCAAATAAAATATTATGAAATTAAAAATTAGTCCAAAATTAGTACAAAATATATTGTATACTACTTGCACCCCCCACCCCCCAAACAAATTTCTACGGGCGCCTATGCTTCCTTCAATATTTATTATTATTTTTGTAAAATACGGGATTGTGTCCATCAGTTAGAAGGACGTACAGTAACATTTTATCGTCTTTTTAATGGGCAACATAGCGACAATGAACTAAATGTCCGTGGGTACTTCTGAATTCTGATACTTGCCTAGTACTCTGCAGGACCTAATGGACCTAAAACAAAAATTAAACACATCAATACTATGGTTTCAGATATTTTTGATTTGTATTTATTGTCAACTTTCATTCAAGATGAAAAAATAATACGAGATCATTTTTTTTTTTCAAGTTTGAAGTACGAGTAAATAGTCTAAGGATTAGATATTAAAAAAAAATTCCTCTGCGAAAGCATAGTCAATATTATGTTTTCTTTAATTCGGTGAGATCATTTTAGATCCCGAGTAGGTGCAATTGTAAGTACGAAAACACAATTTTTTTTGCATTGCCCGTTACGGACAGAGTCGGCAACAACAATAATTGTTACTGTGACGCCTTCTTAATAAGCAATGCACATTTCGGTTTGTGTAATTAAACTAAAAAGTACAATACGATTTTCTAATATGTATATTATACATAATAAACGTTAACAATATAATTTAACGCGGGAAGTATAAAACAATAAAATATCTTCGCAACTATTATTGGCAATGCTGGTTCACAGCATTTGGCGTCAGAGGTGGTGGCGGCGGCGGCGGCGGCGGTATCGAGCGGAATATTGACATGTTTTCCGTACGGCGAGTTCCCGTCGCGCCGTCGCCCGTCGGCCGTCGGCAGTCAGTGGCGTGGCGCCTGTTCGCAGAGGTGCGCGTTTATTGCTGGGCGTTATAATTATTCATCTAATATATATATACATAGCAGTCGTAATATATAATTTTTGTATTGATCGTTATTATCACCGTTTTATTCCCTTCCCTCCCACCCCCCAACGAGTGTCTTGTTGTTGCTTTATTGTTTTTTTTTCTGTTTTCTGTTACCGTTTGAAAATCTATCGAAGAAAATACCTACACTTGTATATATATAGGTACCTATACAATTTGTATATATATATATATATATATATGTGTATATATTAAAATTGTTTTAAATTGTTTTCTATAGTCGGTAAAAATGGCGAAAAACGTTTATTTACCGTCACACGCGACGTCCAAATCCGCCTACATCCAATCCATGGAACAATACTACGAAATGCACAAAACGTCGGTGGAATCGCCCGCAAAATTTTGGTCGGAAATCGCGGCACAGTTTCACTGGGAAACTCCGTACGACGTGAACAATTTTTATTCGTACAACTTCGACGTGACCGCCGGGCCCGTGAAAGTCAAATGGATGGAAGGCGCCACCACGAACGTGTGCTACAATTTACTGGATAAGAATGTGCGCAACGGGATGGCCGATAAAGTCGCTTTTTACTGGTACGTAATTTGATTGCATTACGTACACAATCGTGATGATCCGAGTTTTCGATCCCTATCAGAGCCGTGTTAAGCTATTCGTCGTGCAGGAACATCAATTTTTAAATGTCTCCTCTCAAGATCTTACCTGCGGATGGTTCGGGGGAGGGGTGGTGGTGGTAATTTGTTATTTTTTTCACGATTTTATTAAACTCAAATTGAAAATGTCAACTTTTTACCTCCATCAAATAATATTCTTCCTTATTTCCTCATTCCTGGATTTTTTTTCCAGGTACACATTTATTGTTTCGCCACAAGGTTATACTTACGCTCTTTTAATCACCAAGCAATGTATTCAGTATTGCTTTCATCGAAGCGTTTGAAATAACACAAACAACGATAATAGACAAAAATGATATTGACAATTTTATTTGGAGTTACATATTAAGAGCCGGGCGCCCCACATCTAATTTTAAAAAGGTTTGGTGTCCCGGGGTAAATACCCTCATTACTCCACCTTTAACACGGCCCTGATCCTGTTTGTTATACGATAAAGATAAAGACATCGACAAATCTGTAATAATATTTTACACGCACAAATGATTAGGTACCCAGCTAATATTACAATAATAATATGATATGATAATATGAATATAATAATATTATGATGGTCGTACATTTGGCGGTGCGTATATACCTACATAAAACCTGTAGGTATATATTACTATAATCCTGGACAACGTCCTATATAAATATTGTCAATGCGATTGACTTCATAAATATTAATGAGTACTAACTATGATATTACAAACTAAGGTGGTAAATTTGAATAGGTAATAGATAAAATCGCTTGACTACTATACACTTGGCGCAATAATAATAATAATAATAATACTAATAATAAAAACCTTAACTCGTGTATTTTTTGACCGTAATATATCTATAATAATTTCACCGGAGTACTTTCTGTTATACTTGTCAGTATGGCAAGCAATTTTAAACCTTTAATACATCATTCGTAAAGAAATGACTAGGTACCTATGTATATTTCCCGTAATCAGTTGGTTATTAAAATCGGTTAAAATTTTAAATTTATTATTAATAAATAATATGCACAGAATATCTGACGAAATAGGGGCCTACCAACTTAACAACAACTGTTTAAATATTGATAATTATTTATCATTAATCTTAAACTTAAATTTACATAATTAAATATTATAAAATTGTAGTTATATTGAATTTTAGATACAAGCTAGTATAGGTGCATGCGATATATTAAATTACAATTAATTTGTTAATTAGTTATTGTTTACGTTCTTTACAAAATCACGGGCACCTATTGAAATGTATAGTGTTTTAATGAAAATTAAATACATTTTAAATTGTGTACTCCAAAATACCAAAATCATTACTATGTAATATAGTAACCTTTCACGAAAGAACATGTGTGCAAACACATCCCGGTAAACCTCCACCTAAACAAAATATCATAAAAGAGTGGCGGAAGATATTATACTAAAGTAATTGTACTTATAATTATAAAAATTATAAAAAAAAAGAGTAATTGTTTACTAAAAAATGCAAATTTTAACTGTATACTTTGTCTAGTAATAACTCGTTTTGAATAAGTTCGTCCAATGGAAAATATGGATTTTTTTATTTTATTATTATTGGCAAAATTATACTTAGATAGGGTATAATTTACCCAACGTTTAAAATAAAGTAATAACCTACTCCGAAATGGTCAGTTTTAACGTGAAAAAAAAATATGTTATTAAAGTTTGACGTTTTTCGTATCGAATTAGTTTAGTATTTAGTTAGAGTAGTAGCGTTTATAATATTTAAAACTCAATACTACTAAATCCATCGAAATATTATAATCAATATTCTTAATTTCGAGTTATAACTCATGAGTTTTAACTATTATAGTAATACGATGATTTATATTACTTCCCGTTTTGGAAAACCAGTTTCAAGACAGGTAGTAAAAATGTTCAAACAATTAAATGTACTAGATTCATCATCAAAATTAAAAATTCAGGTAGTTATGTAACCCACATTTGTGCGAATTGTAATATCATGGAAACATATAAAGAATAGACTAATTTAAGTGTTGAGCTTTACTCCGCATTGATTTTCAAACGAGATAATTATGGCGGTACAATTTGAAACGGTTTTAAATTATGCGTAAGAAGACGAGTGTTCAACATCGAAATCACGGTTCGGTGTTCATAATTTTTTATCCAAATACATCTATAATTACGTAATTTATTATTTATGAATCAAAATCCTGCAGTGGGAAAATCAATTTAAACTTTTAATTCGTTCTTTGATTCAACTATATTAAAAATGATAACTTATGAATTAAAGGTTAATTACGTGAGCTCATAACCTAAATACAGTTATATTTTAAATTATTACCTATAATTAAGAGTGGTCGGTCATTGTTTTAATCACACGCTACTTAAAATTTGTTTAAAAAGAAGAAACAAAATATATTATACATAGGTAAATAAACCATGCAAACATGTTATTAAAATAAATATAGAGTGATAATTTGTCTTAAAAATTAAAATTGACTACTAGCTAGCGTGTATATTGTGGATAAATAATCACTACCTATATTGTTAGATACAGTATGGCAATATAACATATAAGTCATATAGGTAATAAAAATATATAATTATTATAATAATATGGTTTCCGAGATAGTACACTTAAATTTGTCTTAGTTTAATTATTTCCCTAGAAAGATAACATTGTTACGTTCAGCATATTACAGACTTAATTATAATATCATACAGTCCGTGGAGCACATATGATTCTTGTATATTTATAATTTTCACGTAAATATTATGTATCACTAGCTGTAATAATATATCTATATATTAGGATATATTTAATCAAATGATTTATCACATTATGTCAATTAAAAAATATATATTTTTAAAATTAGTGGATGAAAAAAAATCATATTAAACGAAGATTTAATGTGCAAATGAAAAATACGATTTTCTTGTTGGTATAGTCAGTGCTTGAATTTAAGGGGGGAGGGAGACACAAGGGAACGGATTATCGAAATTAATTTTCAAACATTTTAGCGTACATCTATTTAATTCCTAAAAAGCTCGAAAATTTCAAATAGCTATAAATAACGGAAAAATTGTCAGAATTATTTGCCTGTAGCAACTTTGTTTACATAAGTATTCGGTAAAAATTCTAGCCTCTAAAATTTTTTCTAAATATATAAAATCGAATGTAATAGAAACCGTTTCTGTGTAAATATTAAAGCTTTCTTGATGTTGTTGGTTTTTCTTATAGTTAAGACTTCAGAATACTACAAGGAAAATAAAAAAAAATACCTCCTTATTGTGAGAATATTTTCTATTAGAAACAATCACTTCTAAAATTGATCATCGGAGCAAAATTTATGGTAGAAAACTTGTTCACATAATACAAAAAATAATAATAAAAAGATTAACTTACTTCGTACGGTACTGTTTTGGGTGAGTAGTTGGGTAAATAGTATATAGTGGAGAATTTAATGTATATTTATGTGCAACGATTAATCTTTGCTAACGAAAACGATTCTGAGCGAAGTTCGGTTTTACATGTTTTGAAAGGCCGTAATATTTACGATTTTCATCTAAATTTTATATTAAAATACTTAAAAGTATTACATTATATTTAATTTATTTTTTGGCCACAAGTACAAATTATAATGAACCTCCTGTTAAATGTTCAAGCATTTCAATTTGGTCTAACATTTTTATCCAAAGAAGTACTTAAAATACCAAAGAATACAAATTACGTAAAAAGCTCGAAAAATTTAAATGTCTATAAATAGCTCAAAAAGGGTTAAAATATTTTGAAAATTTAACCACGCGTTAAGAAAACGCTATTATAAGTTTCCTGTCCAAATTTCAAATCTTAACTAATATTTTTAACTGAATCACTCAAAAAAAAAAAAAAAAAAAATTGAAAATAATATATTTCGTAAATGTTCCAGTTTTCCCTACGTTTTTTTTCAGTTTTCCTAATTATTATGAAAATCATTTAGAAAATCAATAAATGACCTCCCTAAAGTACCACCCAGATAAAATTTAAAGTTATCACAAAAAAATAAAAAAATAAAATAAACATCATTATAAAACCATTACATTTCTCGCTCTGCTCAGAATCTATGGCACATTATAGTAAAATCTAAAATAAATATATATTATCAAAGAAAAATACAGAAGAGACATTCGATCAGCTAATTGATTTTTGTTTACCTATGATCTTAAGTATGAAACTAAGGAAACGTTTTCGTTAACCAACCTGATATACGATAAACATTTCTGGTCCGTTAGTATATCTATTTTTTTAGATTTCTATTGTTCGCTTATCAAGTTTGTGTGGTTTGAGTGATTTCGGAGACTCAAGGTCAACATTGTTTTTTAACACGTGGCTAAGGTTTAATATTATAGCCCATGTAAGCAAACATTTAGCCGACAGTAATGTGATTAGTCGTTGTTTGATTTTTCAAAATTATTAACCACTGAATTATTATGTATATAAATTGGTGTGGGGAACAAAGCCCCTTTAGCCTGGTCAAACAATTATCACGTAATAATCACGTAAATCGAAAAATAGAACGCGAAATGATTTAATTTTTAACACTTCCATTTTAAATTGAACTTAAACGTTTACTTAACAATCTTTCGGGTTAAAACATTGTTTGACTCCTAAGGAAAACTTTTGTTGTACCACGTGTACAATTTTCAAGCATTTTTGATCGGACAAAATGTTAGAATGTGTTTAAAATTGTATCATGTCTTAAAGAAAGTCTTAATACAATTATTCGGCGAAAGTTTCAGATGTCTAAGATTATTTTAAAATCATCCCCCCACCTCATGCGTCATCTGGTACTGAATTCGACTTTTTCGTTATCCTAATTTTAACAAATACAAATTTTTTTTTTTAACTTTATATCATTACAATGTGCAATACCTATTCTACATTGGATTTTTCTAGACCGAATTTAAATATTTGTATTTTACTAGTTATCGGCTAATAATCACGATATGTTATAGTGTTTAAATATGTTTTTCAAATATCTTATCTAAATATTATTATTACCTTTAAATGTCATTATAGGTCAATTATTTTTTTCAAGTTGTATACCTATTATACTTAATGTTTTAAGTAGGTATATCTAAAGTTTTAATTACTGATGGTTTGCTGTTAATCTGCTTGTAAATATTTAGATGACATATAATATTAGATAGATTATAATATTAATACAACATTGTATTATACATCTCTGTGGAGTGTGGATAACTAATCACTAATCAGTATAATCACCGATCTATTTATATTATGTAAAGGTAAAGTCAATGACGTATAATATTCTTCTTTTCTAACCGATGTTAGTTTTTTTACAGTCGTGTACCTATCAGTCAATTTGTAACGAAACAGATGTTTTTACATTACATAAATACATTATTTATAAATCAAACAGAAAAATATTTATTTTTTTAAATTATTAAGTTTTTGAAACACCATAATATAATGTATAGGCGCCTCATAATACATCTATACAAATATAAAATAGCTTTTAAAATATATTTACATCAAATATTACTTAAAAACCTACGTAATGAGTTCCAATTACTATTTTTAATTTCAAATTAGTATTTTATTGGTTTAAATAATATAACATTAATTTTAGAATATGAAAAACAAAAAAGTTAGTTAGTTTATTAGTTTTGTTAGAAATATGATGACAGAGAAATTAACACAGATGAAAAACCTTAAAAATCCCAACAGTAAATTAAATTTTGTTGGATTACTGATTGGATTTGTTGAGATTCGAATACTATAATACTAATATAGTTGTATATATAGACAGTCGTGTTAAAAATAATTTTCAAATGTATTCAGAATAATAAGTTTTTAAATATTCCTATGAATCGTATTTGAATATTTTATGTTAAAAGTATTTGAATATAAACACAAATATTTCGTAAAAACATTCAAGATACAATTTTTTTTAGTACATTTGATATTTGTTGAACGATTTCTACATTCAACAAATTACAAATCATAAACACTTTAACTTATAAATGGATAATTAATTTAATTAGGTTCAATATTTTCAGATGTTCCATATTCGTACCGTCTACATTATTTAATTATATAAGTAAATGAACTTATTAGGTTGACATTAGCTAGGTGTGAGAGATTACATTAGTATAGGTATTGACTAATGAGTTATTGAGTAATGACAATAAATTTCGAAGAAATCTTATTACAAATTCTTAGAACCATCAAAAATATAAAATGATAAAATACGAAAATATTGACATATATTTAATGGAAATATGTATAAAAGTATTTTATGTATGGTCATTTTTATGGATTAAAAAAACACAAAAAATGTATTTAAAATAGATACAACTGATAAAAAGTATTTCTTAAGTATTTAAATACAAGTATTCGAATACTTAACTAACAAGACAAGATACGTCTGTTTAGCTATTCTATACCTACTACTTAACTATATTTTATAATAGTAAAAACAACTATTTGTTTTTTTTTCAATAATTTATCATATTATTATATTATAATCATTAAAACTTCTCAAAACTAGTGTAAGGACTAATTTTGTTGACTTTACATTGACCTGCCTACTTTTATATATTTTTATTCTCGCCGCTTTAATTTCGTAAATAACTAATATAATAATCCTCATTTACCTCCTATTGAAATATTCGTAAATACAGTTCTGACGATAATCATCGTTAAGGTGATAAAATAATTAAAACAAATCTACAAATCTATTAATTTGAAACAAAATTATTTTAATATAATCGTTACTTTTCTTCCATTAATTTCTAAAAATTTGCTCGTAGATACGTTTTGTATAATGTACATAGGGGAATGGGAAGTGTATTATATTCCAAATTTTTGTGACTGATAGGTAATTATTTTGAATAATACAAACTAGCTGTATAACGTGCAGTGTAACAATTTCTATTTTAATTTTATTGGTTCAACGTTCAAGAAATACTTCTCATACCTTTTGTACAGCATACCTACTGAAATTATTTTAAATGTGTTTTTAACCAACTGCATAATATAGACGAAAATATATTTTCTTTTCTCTAATGTAGGCAATATATTATTTATGTTGCATTGATATCTCAATAATATCTTCCGTAATAAAACAATATTTTATACAAAAATACAATAATAAATAATAACTTGACACTTGTATATTAATAACATAGGCAGGTTGTAGTCTTATAGGTACATATACCTACTAGTTTTTATACTATTGACTATTATTGACTGTTGTCATATTACTGTAAATAATAATAGTTTATATCAATCGCAACTACCCATTACAATAATTGATTTTCGTTTATATTTTAAAGTAAAACATTTGTATTATTATTAGTAATTTGAAATAATTGAGTGTTTTTAGTTTTTATTTAAATTAAATTGTTTTGGCATTATATACAAACTGTTGTCACGATTTTTTAATATAATCATTTCAAGTAAAAATTTTGATGAATATCATTAAAATTGTTGATGAAAAAGTTGTTCACAGATAAAAAAAAAATATCATAATAAAATAAACATCGTAAACATGTTAAACCAATAATTCCTCTCTCTGTTCAGAATCTAAAAAAAGGAAAATTGTGATTTATTTTCTAATAACTGATTAATTATTTTCAAACGGTTAAACGTGTTTGACCGAACTTGGTTTAAAATCGTTTTTCGTTTACAATGATTTAATGTTGCGTACAGATATAAAGATAAATAATAATACATATAAATTACATTAATTACCCTATATACTTTACTTGCTTACTGCAACATTGGCATATTCACGGTCAGTGTTAAATCCAGGTATATGACAGGGGGGCGATAGCCCTCCTTGAAATTTTGTTTGCTTCTATAATGTTTCTTTTTTTTTTTCATATTGTGTATTGTGTACAAAATTTCTCCTAGAAATTTTGCTCCAATGAAAACATGACAAGAAACCTTTTTTCGTTGTCTTTTGGCTCTAGTTGGTACTTTAGAATGGTAACTGGTTTCTTTAGATTAAAAATAAGGTTGTCATTGGTAACCGTTTTAAATAATAATTTTGTTAATATTAAATTTTTATTATTTTAAACTTTTTCAAACAATCATTGTCGTTAAAACGCACATTGTTGAAAAAACAATATACCATTGATCAAGTTCTGCTCAGAATCTTTTTTCGTTAGCAATGATTAGTTGTTGCTTACAGATATAAATTAAATTCCCTATATATCCCATAACTTCCCAACTCCTCACCTACAACAGTAGTGCGAAGTATGTCCGTTCGTTTGTTTTATTTATAATTATGATGTAGGTAACTAAATTTTACAAATTCGATTTTATAAGTTAAAACTTGTTCTGCAGAAAATGCAAAAATATATTTTGTTTGATATTTGTTTTGTGATAATAGAGTCGATTGAATTTAATTAGATCATAGAAATGTTTGTCTTCTAAGCATTATTCAGCCAATTTTAGTTTTACGACTTATAATAGGTAGGTTTTTATTAGTTTAATAGTAGATAAATAAAAAATAATAATAAAAATGTTAAAATCAATATTTATATAAAAACAAAACCAAATTATTCATTATAAATTTGAAACAGCCAAATTATATAACTTGTTAGTTATAGGAGCAGAACTGTTTTACTATTTAAAATCAGACTCCACCTCATTAACGTAAAATGGTAAAATAATATTACAATATATTATGCTTATCGAATAAAATAAATACACAAAATAAAGTATAATGATTTCTAAAAGGTAATATAATATTAACTATGATAAATTACAACTATCGATTTTTTTTTTATAAATATACTTTATTTTAAAGTAGAAATTTCACTATTTGTATGTTTAATCTATATAAAATGTGATAAATACTTACCGTTTAAAAAAAAAAAATTTAATGGATATGTTTATTATGCATAATTTTAAAAACTATAAAAGGTGGACAATGTCGTTCTTTGGGTGGGCTACTGCTGTAGATGAGAAGTTGGGAAAGAAAAATATAGAAGGAAATTTAATGTACATATGTACGCAACGATTAATATTTGCTAATGAAAAACGATTCTGAGTGGTGTTTGGTTATACATGTTTATATTTTGAAAGGCCGTAATATTTACGATTTTCGTCAAAATTTGGTATACAAATCTTATAAAAAGAGAATACTACATTAAATTCAACATTTTCTTGTTGACTACAAAATACAACTTATAATAAACCTTTATTAAAGTATCAAGCATTTTTCTTTGGTCTGAAAATTTTATCCACAGAGTACCTACCGAATAAATATTACCTAAAAAAAACTCGTAAAATTAAAATGTCTCAAATGTTTTTAAAAGGCAAATATAAGTTCCTATGAATATTTTTACTGAATTACAACAAAAAAGCAAAATTTAAAATAAGAGTTAGAAGCGTTATATTCGTAAATTGTCCCACTTTTTACCATTTATTATGATATCCCTTCGGAAAATCAAAAAATGACTTCTCAAAAGTCCCACCCCAGGAAAATCCCCTTTCAGAAAAGGTGTTTTAGTTGATTCTCCGGAACAAGATTTCTGGTAGAATTTTTTGTACACAACATAAAAAAAAAATATACATCATTGTAAAACCAATACATTTCTCGCTCCACTCAGAATCTAATATTAACAAATTTGATCTAATTGACGTATTGTGTGTGTATTCATTTTTTGATATTTCATGTGGTTTTCATAATAATTAGGAAAACCGTAAATATAAAATGAATTAATTTGCAGCGTTAAGGATTTCATTATTTAAATTTGCTTAGGTATCTTCCAATGTTGATTTATTTGAATGAATATAGGTACCCGCGACCTACTTAGGTATACATTAAATAATACAACAGAAATTAGTTAATTGTGATGCATACCTAAAAAAAGTCTTGGGTATACGCTAACTATAAACAAAAGGTGTGGTTGGGATCATTTCTCCCCGATCCACCATCCCTCACCAAAAATTTTTTTTTAGATTTTGAGCTTAGCGAAGGATCTATTGGTTTTACTATAATGATGTGTGTATGATTTTTTTTAAAAAATGTTTTTGTAGTTTTATTAATAATAGAGCCTAACCGAACAAAAACGTAGAAACAACGGGACATTTTACGAAAATAATGCTTTTATTATTTTAAATTTAATTTTTTCTTTGTAATTAAGGTTAAAATATTCGTAGAAACTTAAAATGTGGACAGAAATACTATATTTACTTTTTCTAGAAATGGTAAAACTTTTCGAACATTTGAGTAATTGTTGAGCTATTTAATTTAATTTTAATTTTGCGAGTTTTTACGTAATTTTTATTTGGTAGGTAGATAAATTTTTAGACTTAACAGAAATGCTTTAAAATTTGATAGAAGGTGAATTATAAGTTGTACTTAGTTACCAAAACAAAAATTTAGTTTAATGTAGTATTTTTTTAAAATTTGTAAAAGTGTTTTAAATTCAAATTTTGACCAAAATCGTAAATATTATACAGTCTCAAAATATGTGCAACCGAACTTCGCTCCAAATCGTCTTTCGTTATCAATGCTTTATCGTTGATTACAGGTATAAATTAAATAACTTTATGTATCCCACCTACAATAATGACCGCATCTGTTCCCATCAGCTATTTTTTTTTAAGATTCAAAAAACTAGTTGTTACAATCATAGAAATATACTTAATAGTATATCGTTAGATTCCACAATTTTAAGTTATATTACTCGTAAAATAATTAATAAGTATCTAATATTAAAATCTAGATACGTAACATTTTCTATAGGCAATGAAATATCTATTGCTTATATTCAAAATTTCAAGTTGAAATTACATTACGGATTATGGTCATAGACGGTCGAGCCGATGAAGGCAGAAACAGTACCGTTCTTTAGTAAGATTTGGTAGAGTACATATAAGTATACCCATGACGATGGACATGGATATTATATTATGTCTATGCGTACCTATACCTGCGTATCACACATTATACAATACCTAAGTATAAGCATCAACCGAGCAATTAAGGAGTCGTAGTACGCCGTATACATAGAGTGGGGTTAGAGGGGCTAAGATCCCCCCAAATTATTCAAAGAGATGATATTAGTGTTGAATGGAATATAGTCACTTAGGTCGCAGACATACTTAATAGCGGTGAACGGAAAGCGACGAGTGTTAAATTTTCTGATAAAGCCGAACATATAATTTTGCATAGAAGTGACCATACTTCAGTTGTGAAGAGTGAGTGATTAGCGTTACCGCTCAGCGACTCAACGGAAAACTCTCATCAGCATTTTTGATTATCACGGTCCAGTTCAATGATAACCAAAACGTATATTTTGTACAATATAATACCTAATTATGTTTTGAACAGTTGTCTAATTTTATATTTTATATTCAAATTTAAAAATAAAAAAAAATGGATAGAGATTATGAAATGCTCATTTTAAAAATACATAAAAGGCCCGTGATCTGGAAAGAAACTGTAATTCAAGAACAAATAATAAATAGGTATACGGACTGATGGACAGAATAAATTTGTTTTTTATTAAAGGGTAAGTAATCCTTATCCTTGTTGTTTTATTTATTTACCTCGCAGTAATAAATAGCCTAGCGATACTGGTAGGTAATAGAAGTATATTTTTCTTTTCAATCCGTTTGGATATTTTTAAAAGCATAAAATCATACGTATTTATTAACATTCGTATATGTTCAAAGAACTTTGCTGAATGCTCTCTGAAGTCTGAGATGTGTATACCTGCAGACAGTGAAATTTTCCAAAGCGTCTTCTTTGCTGGTTTAACACTGTAGGATACCTATGTACCTATTTTCCTTTATATTTGTCGAGAATTGCAATTATAAATTAGAATCTAAGAGAAAAAACTCATCAATCGCACCAAGAGACACCTTTAAATTGTTTAAATCTCACGAAATTCGAAAAACACGAAAATCGATAACAAATCGCTTTATATTGAACAATAATATGGCCATTTTGTCGTTTAACGATGAGCGGTGAGAGAAAATCGTTCGCCGCTTCACCGCTTTGAAGTATGTCTACGGCCTTAGTCGTATGGTAATTCGAGTTTAATGTATTATGTATTTCTGTGGTTCGAGTAAGCAATAACAACAGTTTTAATGAGGGGAACATATCCAATTAGCGATTATCATATAATAAGTACTCCACTGACACCCGTGTAATTGCGGAGTGGTACGAGTGCAGTTCCCATATGCCTGTGCTGGACGTAAGATTTGGTTTTGATTAAAATTGTGTTATGTTAAATCAGAATATTAATACTTTACGTCATCCTGGACGTAATTGCGCATAAGTCAATGTCAAAATCGCCTGCATTATTAAATACACACAGTGGCGCGCCGAACATTTTTACAGAGTTATAATTCTGTATTAGAGCAATTCCACTTTCTGTGGTATCATTGACTACTTTCAATTCCATGATTCTTCTTCTTAGTTTATTATATTCTTCGTCGTTTTCCCATGTACTTGGATGATATTTAAAACAATTGTGAGACAAATTGCTTTAAAAAGTTGTTTAGAATTTTTTGTAACAAAGTTTGATAAATGTATGTTTGGTATTTTTTTTTTCCTGTTTTCTTCCTTTTCTTTTCTAATTTCTCTACGTTTTTTCGTTAAAATTAATTTTTTATCAAATGAAACTATACAACCTCGTCTACCTTTCTCTCTCTGAGCAATTAAAAATTGTCTTCTGGAATTGTCAAACGAACTAAAGCATCAGCATGAGCAATATCAAAAATGACATCCAATGATTCTTTAAACTCGTATTAGTAAAGTCTTTTTTTTTTTTGGTTATCAGTCTGTCGTTTTGCCTTTTTTTCTAATGACTGCCAAGAACTATGAATGTTTTTTATTTTAGTTATAATATGATAATCTATCTAATTTTGTTGGTACTCTTGCCTTTTCCCAAAAAATAATAATTTCTTTACAAATAAATGTTGCGCTATCTTGTATTGTTTTCTTTTATATGCACATATAGAAATCTTCCCAATACCCGTCAGTTTGATGGCAATTTACTACCCACTAAACTTTCTACTATATTCCCAATTAAATATACACCACTGCGACTTTTTGTTGTATTACTAACGTAATGTGAACTGGCCATATTTTATGGTAAGAAAATATTTGTATTCTTAATTATAAATCGTAAATAAAAATAAGTAACACTTACCAACAAATCGTACAGTATACTCGTGGGGTCTTAAATTAATGTTAAAATAAATGTATAATTAATAATAAAACATCTTGAAAGTAGACTCGACAATCACGTTTAACATTCACGCACGACACACGTATACTAGACGATTATTTCTAGTAACATTGGCTGTGTTATTAAAATTTACACAATAAGATATTATTATAAATGGGTTTGTAATGTTATTTATGTCACAAGAGTCATAATCAAATCTTATTTTATCTAATATTTATTTTATCTTATCTTATTTAATTAAAACTTTGGGCGACTAATATTGCCAGATAACAATATATTTTGGAATGCTTATTAGCTATACTAAAAAGAAAAAAAAATGTATAGGTTTTCATCGAAATTAATGTAGTTTAAATTTTTGTATATCTATAATTGATTGGCACCCTTGTGTAGTTACAATGTACATATTACTTATACAGTATTTAAATTAAAACTTCATTATACTTTACATTGCTTTCATTGTGTTTATCTAAGTAACACGCAGTACCTATAAGGTATTAAATTTCCGAGAAATAATTTCTTATGTATATAGGTGCCATACACGGATACCTAAATTGATTTTACAAATATGATTTAGGTACAAGTCTTAGGTCTAAGTAAACAGTAATACTTAAGTTTAGGTGATTATTGTTTTATTTATAGGTACTTACATAAAAAGCTTTCTTAATTACCTATTGTACATTTTTCTTTTAAATAAAAATAGCTATAATATTTTAATAAAAATGATGTGAATTTTAGGGAAGGCAATGATCCAGAAGACTATAGCAAAATCACGTACAAAAAGCTTTTAGAAGAAGTATGCAGATTTGCAAACGTATTAAAATCAAAAGGTGTAGTAAAAGGCGACAGGGTTGCTATTTATATGCCAATGATTTTAGAAATTGTTATTACTATGTTAGCATGTGCAAGAATTGGTGCAGTACACTCTATTGTTGTAAGTATCAATCATTGCTGAGATTTGTTTTTGGTAGTATAGGTACACTAAAATTATAATTCACAGCGTATTATAGTTAAGAATCTCAATAATTGTTCTAGAACTTATCTATAAGTATTTTATATTTAAAAATTGAGTTTGTTTATTTTATAAACAAATTTTTAAATGTATTATTTTAATTAATAAAATATTTCCTGTAAGTTAACATTTCTTATTCATATAATAAATGTTGTATCCTCAAAAATGAATATCTACATTATATCTATATGGATATTAGTTTGCAGGATTTTCATCTGACTCGCTAGCAGAACGTATGGCTGACTGTAAGTGTAAAGTTCTTGTGACAGCTGACAGTGTATACAGAGGGGACAAATTGTTAAATATAAAAATTCTTTGTGATATTGGTAATATATTAACAGACTATAATATGCAAATTAATAACAAAGTAAATATGAATGTATACTTTGAATTTCTAGCTATGGACAAAGCTAAAAACTTTGGTCACGAAGTGTCATCTTGTATAGTAGTCAGACATTTACCACGACTTTATAGGTCTATGAACACAACAAATGGTACAAATGGATCTGACTCAAACACTATAGATCTTCACTCAGATGTATCTATACACATTTTTAATTATTTACTTTCAACAGAAGTAGGTATATGAATTTTACATTTTATAGGTTCCTTGGACTGATGGACGAGATTATTGGTGGCATGATGAGATGGATGATGTAGAACCATCTTGCTATCCAGTCTGGGTGTCTGCTGAAGATCCATTGTTCATGTTATACACAAGGTACTGATCATTTTAAAATGTTAAAAATTTATTTTATATTAATTAACTTTTAAAATAATGGTATTAACTGATAAAAAATTTTTTTTTGACACATGATTCAAAGCATTGTGAGAAAGCTTATCAACTTTACAATAATGTGTTTTTTTTTTCATAATTTAATTTTAAATTCCTAACCCATTAAAAGAAATAACTACATTGATTCAATTTTATTTATAAGAACCATAATTTTATTACAAATTTGTTAAATATATTACAAAATTTCTGTGTTTTAAATAATTATATTTTCACTTAATTATGTAAATACACATTATTAAATATTGATTCATTATAATATTAGATACCTGTCTACAGTATACACGTATAAAAGTAATTTTAGCAGATTTCTAAAAGAGCAATTAACATAATACCATAATTATTTATTTATAATCTAAATTCAGTTTATAAAATTTAAAAAAATATATATAATTCTTATTAAGGGTGTTGTATGTCTTCTAAATTTTTTCTAATTATGTGAAATTTAAAAATTATTTTTACAATTTTATGATCTCCTTAATGAAAAACTTTTTCACTTATATACAGTCCAATATTAATTTGATGGTAAGAGATATGGCTGTTTTTTATGGATGAATATGATAATTTAGACCAATAAGCGATAGAAAAATAGATATACTCCCCAATGTTAATTTTTAAAGTATGTATGGATTTTTAAATAAATTGTCTAGATTATTTAGTACTTAAATTAAATATTGATTTAAAATTTAGTGTGCTAAATAAATCTAAATTAAATGTGGTTATCACGGAATTTTCAAAAATTACGTAATATCTTTATTTTGGAGATCATCAAAACTGAAATTGACTTTAGAAATAACCTAGACAATTCGTTAATAAATTTAAACATACTATACAAATCTAAATCATATTTATTTATTTATTCAAATATACATTCAAAAGTATGTCCAATTTCTCATCGCTTATTGGTCTAAAACATATTAAAAATAGGTGCATTTTGATCATTCTAAGATATTGTTAATAGTGGTTCCACTGGGAAACCAAAAGGAGTACTTCATACAACTGGTGGATACTTGTTATATGCTGCTACTACATTCAAGTATGTTTTTGATTATCACCCAAATGACATATATTGGTGTACTGCAGATATTGGTTGGATCACTGGACATTCATATGTTGTTTATGGACCTTTAGCTAATGGAGCTACTTCAGTCATAGTAATTTTTTTATTATGTTATTGTATACAGTTTGATTAAAAAGGTTGATTTCTGTTGGGTATCTAATTATTATATTTTAGATAACATATAATATGTATTAATGAGTTACAATAAACATAAAACTCAATTGAATTTTTTTTTTAAATTATATAATTAGGTAGATTAACATACATTTACATATATATCAAACATTAATATTATTAACTAATTACTGTTTATAATTTTAGTTTGAAGGAACACCATTCTATCCAGACAATGGAAGGTACTGGTCGGTAATCGAAAAGTACAAAGTTACACAGTTTTATACCGCACCAACTGCTATTCGTGCTTTAATGACATTTGGAGAAGAACCTGTAAAAATGTACTAATTTGGTTTAATAATAATGATACCTTGATTATAAATTTGTATTTCAATTTTTTTAGACATAATCTTGATACATTAAAAGTCTTGGGTTCAGTTGGTGAACCGATTAACCCAGAAGCTTGGTTGTGGTATTACAAATATATTGGAAAAGAAAGGTGTTCTATAGCAGATACATTTTGGCAAACAGAAACTGGAGGACATGTCATAACTCCGCTCCCTGGTTGTACACCAATGAAACCAGGATCGGCAGTAAGTGTAAAACTGTATAAAACTATGCTATAAAAGCAATTTGGTACTTACCTAATATATTTTGTTATCCTTCATTTATACTTTTATAGTCGTTTCCATTTTTTGGTGTCAAACCAATCCTACTGGATGAGAGTGGAAAAGAGATTGAAGGAGTTGGTGAAGGATATTTAGTATTTAACAAACCATGGCCTGGTATGATGCGTACACTTTTTGGGAATCATGAACGATATGAATCTGTTTATTTTAGCAAATTTCCAGGATATTATTGTACAGGAGACGGTAAATTCAAATAGATGATTAAAACATAATATAAAACGTTAAAAACTTGATGTGTATTACAATAGGTGCGAGAAGAGATGAAGACGGATACTTGTGGGTAACAGGAAGAATAGATGATATGTTAAATGTGTCTGGACATTTAATGAGTACTGCTGAGGTGGAAGCTGTCCTCACTGAGCATCCTGATGTATCTGAAGCAGCAGTTGTATCAAGACCACATCCAGTCAAAGGAGAGTGTCTCTATTGTTTTGTAACTACTAATAGTGGTGTGCCTTTTACTTCAAAACTTTCATCAGAATTAATTAAAAAAGGTAAATTACATCCCTGATTTGATTAAAACTATTATAACAATTTTAAGTGATCAGAAATTTAAAACATAATCTAGTTAAAACAATTACAGTACATATGATTAAATTCTATCTAAAAATTCATTGTTGATGCCATATGTAGATGTATAAAACTACATTGTGTAGGCTATGAGAGTACTGAGGCAGGGGCACTAACCTTTCTCTTTTTTTCATTTAAAAACATTCACAAAACTGTTTTGAATGAATTATCTATCTAAAAATTGCATAGTTTGTAAATTCATTAGAATAATTTTAATAATATATTAATTGTTATACAATGAATAAAGTTCCTAAAATGTAAAACAAGCTGTAAAAACAAATTTTTAATTTATCAAATTGCAAAGGTTGTACTTTAGATAATTGGTTATTATTATAATATTATCATATATTACTTTATGATATTATTTAAGACCACAAACAGTAGATATTTTAGGTTATTTAGGACACAAGACTGGTAAGAATAAAAATATGACAAATGTGATTTATGAGCAGAGCCGTATTTTAGGGGAGTACAACGAAGGGGCTGTTAATTTTTGTATGTATTTAAGCTTATATTGAGATTTAAGTTCCTATATTAGAGTTAGATAAAAGATCACTGATCAGAATAAAATTATGCAAAGGTGATGTATTAGTTTTTAAATTTGCTGAAAAATGATATAAAATATATAAAAGATGATTTAGTTAAAAGCTTTTGAATGAATGCATATACTTTTAGAGTAATGTTAAATCTTTTATTGATAAAGCTCCAAAAAATGACAGAGATCTATATAATAATGATACAATCCAAAGATTTGCAATCAATCTATTCATTTGTAAACATTTCACTTAGAATATTTGTGGAGACATCATCAACTAATTGTTCTTTGAAGATCATTTTTTACACTAAGAAGATTTAAGCTATATTAAATATCGAAAGTGATTTAATGACCAGCATCAATTATAATAGTATAATTAAATAATTTACTGAGGTTCAATTCAAAAAGAAAATTAAATTTGTTATAATTGCCATTTTTTTTTAAATATACAAGGACGATAAATTTCTCAATAGGACCCTGCTTATGACATTGTGTTTGAGATTAAAATGCTAATAAGAGAATTAACAACTAATGATAATTTTGAGAGCAAGCTATTATAAATTTATGTATGAAATATATCTAAATTAATATTAATAAAATAATTATGTTTTAGTGAGAGATAATATTGGGCCATTTGCAATGCCAGATGTTATTCAACACGCACCAGGACTTCCGAAAACCCGTTCTGGAAAAATAATGAGGAGAGTTTTACGCAAGGTGGCAATTAATGACAAAGATGTAGGAGATATCTCTACATTAGCTGATGAGCATATAGTCGAAGAGCTATTCAAAAACAGACCTGAGAAAACATAAACAGTTACCAAAATTTTTAATTGTTTGGTGCAAACATGACTTACATATCAAAACTGTGAATATTTTTGTTTTAAGTCCAAAATAGTAAATAGGGTAATACATTTAGATGCTCATTATGAGTTTAATATGATAAATACTGTGTACTTAATTTATTAGTATGGCTCATTATAATAAATTGAACTTTATCTTTTTGGCAATGTATTCACCATTCACTAGTCCCTTATAAGTATGCCAACTGATGTTGTTAATTTTTAAGTTTATTATTGTTTAAACTATAATTATAAGAACAACATTAAGGTAAAAATTTGCTTTTTAATTAAAGTATATTAACATAATACATATTTACCTAAATAATTGTTATTGTAGTGTTAGTAAGTGTTATTGTTATGAATATTCATTTAAATACTTTAAATGCGAAAATCATTGTACCTTTACTATATTCTTAGTTCTTTACAATAATGATTTTTACGTTAAACGTAAGAATAAAAAACAACAACTAGAACACAAAAAGGATAAATACTTCAGATATTGTAAAACTGTGGTTCTCAACCGGTGTATCACGTAGTACTATGTGAAATAGATTCTTGAGGTGTATTTTCAATTTTATATTATAATACTAAAAATATAATATTGAGTTATAAAAAATTAAATTTTACGTTATTCTTATAAAACAATATCAGTTTGCAGTCATAATTGTCGAGTGGTGTATGTGTAAATATAATAATTTACATATGTTTGTAATGATTGTTTTGCTATTTTTGAAGAAATGCATTAATTCTTTAAGTGTGTTGTCATTTACTTTGATTTAAATTGGCTGTCATCATGAAAAAAAGGTTGAGAACCACTGATGTTAAAAAATTAAACTATAACAAATTGTGAATTAAAACTCAACAAAAATTGTATTTTTTTTAATACCAATTGTAATGTTATTTAATAAGCTTACCAAAACAAAATTTATGTATCTATAAATATATATATATATTTAAGGCCAACGCATACATATCATTATAATGGTTATACTATACAAGTTTTAATTTTTTAAACATTTTTGATCTAGAATATCTATTGTAATAATTTGTAACTATTATTGTTATATTATAATTAAAATAAACAAATTAAATAAAAAAGAATGAATGGTGTTTAATAATAGTTATACTTACCACCTTTTAATTATTCTTTACTTGTAACTAAATTTCCAAAGTAAAATGTTTTCGAGTTCAACCTTTTATTAAAATAATTACTTTCAATTTCTGCTAAGTTACCTTCACCAGCTAAAGTGATACACTAAGAAAAAAAAATGTAATTTAATATGTATAACATAATAACATGTAAAAGGAAACGGAGTAATTTAAAATGGTTTTGATTTTAATATTAAGAAAAATAATTCTAATATATTGTAGATATTTGTAATAGTGGCATAGTTGGGTTATGTTTCCTAACTATAATAATCAACTTATTTTTATTGAGCTAGTTTAAGTAATTTTCCAAAATATTTCAGATCAAAATAGTATTTTAGTTTTGTTTTTGAAATCAGAATATTTTATTAAAACTAGAATATCTCAATATTAATCGTTATAGTTAAATGGTATAATATTTCTACTACATAATTAATATGTAAATTTACTGTATTATTAAAATTTATATAATTTAAATTGAAAAAAAAAACACATTTAGTAAAAAATATGGGTAATTCGTTTTTTCATAAATAAAAAAGATTATAGATCATTGAAATTCTATCATTAAAGTCCTCATTATTTCTATAAACACATTATACACTTCAATGCTAAGTGTAATAAATACAAATTTAAAGTACATAATATGTTTAATGTTACAGTAGTTGTATCATTTTATTTGATTTATATGTAGCTATGTATTTATGTAAATGCAATTATGACATTTCATTAGCTATTTTTATATTTGTAGGCAATATGATTTTGGGATTTAAATATTTGTAATAATATAAAGCAAAACTAAACATACTTGTTTGACATCAATATTTCTTGGTAGAAAAAAAACAATATTTTTAGTTATTTGACGTGTTAATTCATATAGGTGTTTTCCACCACCATAGTTTGGCATTATATTATCAATACTAAAAGTTTTTTGTGATGAATATGAAGGACCTCCCCATGGCGGTGATAAAAATACAACATCTGCTTTTAAAGTAGAAGCAAGAGCATAATAATCGCCAATAATAAATTCTATACGATTTGATACACCATAAACTTCTGCGTTATTCTGCGCGAGTTCTATTTTTAATGGATCAATATCTATTGCAATAACTGAAAACCAGTAAAACAATATATTTTTTACATTTTAGTTTAAGATAATATTAAATGCTTAATTTATAATTTTAAATTTACCGCTTTTACAGTTAAGTGCAAATTGAATAGCATTGCTTCCAACACCACAAAATCCATCAATTATCAAATCACATTTACAACGATTCGCTATCATATGACTAATTTTTTCAGGTGTCACCGAATACCAACTTTCTAGAAAAATATAATAAAATAAGTAACATATTTCTTTTTAGTATTTTAGATTTATTTTATTATTAGCAGGACTCGGATTTTATAGAACTAAAATATATGCTATAATATGATAATCTTAATATACATAAATATAATATAAAACATCTTAAAATAAGTGCTATAATATGCCATAAAAATATAAAAATGTTTTTTTTTAAAAATTTTTTTTCCGTTTACAATTTAAATAACTAAAATTACATACAACAGAATATTCTAGAATACAATATATAAATACAATCAATAAGAACTTATAAATATACACTGTTTGATGGACTAATACATAAAAATAGATTGTAATATAAAATGAAAATTTGAACATTTTTCTTATGAATTTTTCATTTAATATAAACAAGATTTATGAAAAATAGAACTAAAAAAATCTAAAATACTTCAAATATACAAAAACCAACAATATAAAATGTCATAATTTGAGTCACTGGTACATAAAATAAATGTTATAGCTCGCTCTGCTCTGAGGACGCCACACCAATATCTACTGTTTGTAATACAAAGTTCTTACAAACATGAGACATATCAAATTTGCGTTTAGTAGGACACATTTTGCACTGTTAGTTTTAATACTAAAGCAAATCGACTTATTATCAAACTTAAAGGTAAGAAGATTAAATGTGCCCTATCATTGATATTTTCATTTTTAACCAAAATATCACAATTTAAAAAAGATTATATCTTGTTTAAAAATTTAAACATCAAAAAAAAACATCAACGATCGGGCACATGTAATCTTCTTACCTTTAAGTTTGGTAATAAGTCAATTTTCTTTAATATTAAAATTAATGGCACAAAATTTGTTGTCGTATGTTTGTAGGACTGCGACAGTAAATGTGGGTGTAATGTCCTCTTTACATCAAATAACTTCTATAGCAAAAAAGATTATGTATAGATGAGTTACCAATAACCAGAATAATTACTACTATATAGTAAATAAAAGTAAGTAGGTACTTTCAGTGTTGAACACATTAAATTTTTCTTAGGGGTGGGGGCTCACTTTTTTCATTCGTAATTTCTATGTAAAATGTGATGGGTATTGTACATCTAATAAAAATATTTTGTTGACAGTTATATTTGTCAGAGGGAGGGGGGAAATTCTAGGGGGCATTTTCTTCCCTGTAGTTTATCTAAATTTAATGACAGGTATTTTTAATATTAGGTATATATATTTTTTTTTTTTTAAATAAAAGGTTTTCTTCTTAACACAGAATATAAATCTTTAAATATTAAAATTTTAAATTAAAATGTATGTATGAATACTAAATAGGCAGGTCATAGATATTAATGTACATTGTAATGATATAATTTATCTTACCTTTATCTAATTTAATTCCGCGATCAAATTTTTTAAACAATCTAAACCTATTGTGCCAATACTTTAATAATGACATGTCCTGCTGTATTTCATAAGGTAATGTTTTTAAAAATTTTGGGTTTAATTTCTGGCGTTTGTTGTATTTTTTTAATTCTTTTCTTCGTTTAAATTTGTTTTTAAGAATTTCATCTTTATCCATAGTTAAAATAACCAATAGATAAGAATATTATATTTCTAAGTAAGTAGTTTTATTAAAGAAAAATGTTAACTTTAATTAATAATAAAAAACATAAATTGTTTAATTTGTTGTATTTTGTTTTATAATGACATGATTTATTTCAACATAATGGTAAAGGACAAAAATTACTATTTAGTATTTTTGTAAATATTAATCATTGTTTTATCATATACTACATACTTAAATACGTTAAATTAGCAATATTTGACAAGAAAGCCCAGGGATTCCCAAATTACGTAAACATAGGCATCAGATAAATAAACACAAATGTACGAGGTGAAGTCAACTAAAAAGTAAGGGCTGCTAAAAAGAAAGTAGTAAGTAGTAGCATTTATTATAAATATTATAAATTATGGAAGTAGTGAATCGAAACGAGACGGCTGACTTTAAAGCACGCTTAAAAATATCAGGAAACTCTGAGCACCCCGTTTTTTTCACCAAAATACAGCTGAAGATGTGTACTTTTAAACATTGTGGTCGACTGAGTTTACACGAGTTGAATAGACATTATATATAAATTTGGGAACCGCTGGACTTTTGTATCAAACCAATATTATTAACTATAAATATATAAAACTAAAGTGCTCTATCAAGGCACTTTATACAAAATAACAGATATTTTTATTTATCTGTGTTATTAACAAAATATAGTACCATAATAGAGAAACAGAATATAAAAATATACAACTTGTTGACTTTGGTTAAAATTGTCAATTTAAAATTTAAATCTAGTCTTATATGTGACGAACAGTGTTGCCAGGCGTATATCAAATTTTTAAATGTACGCAATTATAAATTTTACATAAATATTTATTTTGAAATATAATAAAATAATAAATGGTTTTATTAAACAGAGGGCATAAGAAAACATTTTTATATGCGGTTAGTATTTTTTGAAGAACATGAACAGAAAACGATTTTTTATGATATTTGTCGAAACTTGAACAATTCGACATGTTAACACTGATGATAGCAATTTTCTTTTCTTTTTTGTTTACTGACAACAAGATACCTACTAGATAATATTCAAGAATGACAAGAATCAAGATTCAAACTGATTTAACATACGTACAGTGGGAACATAGAAATTAAAAGTTTTATAATATAAAACAATTTTAAGTTTATCGGTAATTATCTGTCATTAAAAACTATTGAACATTTGATATATTCTATACTTTGTTGATTGTTTTCTTATTTAAGTTTCTATAGCTTAAGTATCATGAAGCCCGGAATAGTTGCTGATGAAATGTTCCCTGAAGGCACTAATCCAATTATGGATATGGATGATGAAGTAAGTGTTATTCTGATTTGATTAAATTTACCTCAAAATTATATTTAATTTGTGTTATCTATCTATATTGTATTTATAATAGGTACAATATTTATTATATTTATTGTAGACAGGAGGAAATGTCGTATTTGATATGAATGAAAAAAATCTTCAAGCCGATTTTTACAATGGTAAGTATATCGTGAAATGACAAAAAACTTATATTTTAATAATGACAATAATTTTATCATACTTATTTAATCTTAATATGCTATAATATAAAGCTTCTTCAGTACACCTAATTAATTTTTTAAATGACATTTACTATCTATACTACTTGGACACAATAAATAAATGTGATAAATGTGTTTAATTACATACAAATTATTAAAAATACGTTACTATCATTAATAACATTTACATAATACATGACATTTATGAGGAAAGCAGCCATCCATTAGTAACACATTTTCATGACTATTTCTTTTTATGTTTTCAGATAATTGATTTAATATTAGGTGTCAATAGGTCAAAACACCATTTCTGTTTTAATCTTCTTGGGGAGTTACCGGGGATAGTAGGATTAGCAAGATTTCTGACAAGAGGGGATGAGATGATGTGGGAGCATGAAAAATTATAATATACTTAAGCTTCTTTGTAGACTGAGGACATTTTAAGATTGGTATGTATAGTGTGGTTAGAGATATAAGAGGGGGAGGGAGTGTTTAACAATTCTCGAAGTTTGATGTCTTGAAATGATTGAATTTTTTTTTGCATTCTCTTAGAGCTGAAGGCCATATGTTCAAAAAGGCTTTAGTAGTGATTTGTAAATAATTACTTTATTATTGATGTAAGTATATTTATTATTCTTGATGAGGTTTTTTTAGTAGGTGTAGGCGATAGTTAAAATTTATTTTTTTAGATTTAATATACTGAACCCAGGTTTACCAAGTGCCAGATATTTAACATTCAAAGCACTAGGAATTAAGGTGTTATAAATGAAGAAGACATCAGGGCATGAAGCTAGTCTAAGGATGAGTGTTGAATGTATAGACTTTGATTGATTTATTTTAATTTTCCAGTTGGAATATCACTTTTCCCTAAGAATGAGGTGAAATTGGAGATTTTGAGTACCTACGAAGGGATTAGAGTGTACAGATAAAATTGCCTTATCGTCCGCATAGTCGGCAACCAGTGTGTTCGGTGTAGTTGGTTGGTCTGAGGCAAAAATATTGTAGAGGATAAAGGAAAGGATACCACTTTGTGGAACATCAACAAATATATTGGCTATAGAAGAAAAATCATCACCTACACAAACTTGAAAATGGTGATTGATGAGATACAATTTACTAATAGTGAAATAGGTAGGATGAAGAAGCTTTTTTAATTTACAGAGGAGGCCAACAAGCCATACACTATCAAAGGCCTGAGAGATATTCAGAAACGTGCATGTACAATAACAATTTTTGTCTAGCAAGTAAGGTATAGTGTAAACAGCTCTGTTAACCTGCTGTACAACTGAGTGTGAATTGCGAAATCCGAATTGAGAATCTAGAAGGATAGATTTTTCAGTAATACTTGGTAGGATACAATACATCTTTTAATAACCAAACTATTTTGAAAACAATTTATTTGAAAATACCACTAATATATTTTTGTTTTTGTAATCTATTTTTTATTGTAGAAAACTTATATAATATATTGATGTTTGAATTGAAAATTTACAATCAACACAAGTATTCAATTCAGTTTGTAGAACTTGTAAATTTTATTTTCAATAATTACTTCACGACTCAGTGTTAGAATTCATGAATGTATATTATGGAATTATATACATACAAATATTAATGACTATTGTATCTTTAAGGGTGGTTTAATATGCTGAACTGGGGTCATGGACTACATTAGCTCAATAGTAGGCAATAGGTACTGTACTAGGACTCGAAACTAACAGGTTATTTAAATACGATAGAATTCATCACATTTATAAAGTATCATTATTTCTGGTCATGTTTTACAGATTTGAGAGTAAATCAGTAGATTTGCTGAACTGCCATCTAAAGTCAATAAAAACTGAACTCAGTTATAACGAATGAAATTTTCAATTTAGAAACATGAAACTAATAGGTTATTTAAACACCATAGAACTTATTACGTATAAAAAGTTTTTGATTAAGTTTTACAAATTTTGGAGCAGATCAGCAGATTTGCTGCCACAGTTTAACAAAATACTGAACTGAGTGCAGTTTTCAATAGAAGCACTTATTATGAAATCACTGGTAACCTTGCAGTACTCAATGGTCCTGATTCAGCAAATTAGATACTTCCTATCTTTAACTATTTTATTTTTTTATTGTTTCTAATAATTTGATAAAAAATTATCCATCTCATTATTTTTTTTTAACTTTAGCTTTTCTTACACAGAGACACTTAAAAGAAATATTAGTTCCTTGAATATCAGGACATTTATTTTTGGACAACATGAGGAAACCGCGTTAGGTAGTTACATAATGAATGTTAGATACTTAGAAAAAAATTGATTCATTACAATTTCATTCCGGAAATATTTATAATAAAAGGTTAAAAGTAAGTACATCTAAATAAAAAAGTAACAGATTTGCAACTATAGTGAGTTGTATAATCACAGGGACTTAAGTAGCATCATCTGAATAACACCATATAAATATAAAAGCTATTATGGTTATATCATAGATACACAATATCGCCTGATATTCAAGCATCTACAATTTTTTTTTTTTTTGTATCATTGGTTTGAAAATGATTTTAATTACTATAATTGAACTATTATATCATTATTTATATACTTATTTATTTCAAAATAGTCAAATAAAAATGTTAATATTTTTAACAATACTTTCTTTATTTTTTAGATTTTGATGATCTCAATGACGACGACGATTTTTGAAATTACATTATCTTATAATTATTATCCTATGTAAGTAGTTAAATCAAATCCATAATAATGTTTTATTTACTCAAAAAAACAATCTGTAAAATGGTAGGCAAACAAAATGTAAAAAAAAAATCAATATGTTTTTAAAATAAACAAGTTTGTAAACTCTATAATATCTTATTATCTACCTTTGTTGTGTAATTACTGTTCGTAGCTGGTGAAGGACATCACAATTCTATATATCCCGTATTAATATTAATTTTGATGAATTTCACAAAATTATCCAATATGCACATATTATTAAAACAGGTATTTCTATAAGAATATGTAAAAATAATTTTAGTTTGATGGCCGATTACTACTAGTGTTTAAAAAACTGAAAAACAAAACTATAAAAGAAAATTAATAACATATTTGAATATCTTATTATTATTATTTTTTTATACTTTAAATTTAATTAAGCCACAAATATGTTTTTGAATATTTATGTTTAATAATATTGTATAATTTACTATAACTAAAATTTAAAAAAGTTAAAAATATTTCAAATATAATAACTTATATTATTCTAATGTAAATCTCAATTGTAGAAAAACTAGATGTGATAAAGACAAACTAATTTGGCGTGTGAACATCTATAAAAATCAAGTATCATTGTAAAAAAAAAAAATATATTTCACAGGACTAAGTAATTGTATCTAACTAGACTTGTATTAGATCAAGGCCAAGATACCGATGTAAAATAATATTTACATTATATGTTAATAGGAAATGTCTACTTTATTTATTTTAACATCATATTTAATCCCAATAAGGCTCCTGACATTCATAATTGTCAACATCGTAGTTATAATTAATATTTTTAGATTTTTGAATAGGTTTTACTTCAACTCGAGATATCTTTGGCTTATATGAACATATTTGTAAATGATTGGCCATCTCATCTTTTTCCGTATAAAAGTAATGGCCATAAGGACATTTTATTTTATTTGGAAATGACTTCTTGCACTTCATCAGATGGTTTGGTAATCTATGACGTCGAAGTTTATGGTTAGGGTCTAATGGACATTCCACTAAGTCCAAATAGTAAATGCTGAAGTCTACTAGTTCTTCTTTGGCCAAAATGTTATCCACTTCTTGTGTTGCCATGGTTATATTTTCACGGAAATCTAAAAATCAATTTATAAATAAAAAATTTATATATAAAAATACAAATAATAACTGAAAGAATGTGTCCCCTGGAGTATTATTTGGTGAGTTGTGTATTATTATTTTTATGGACTATATGAATAATATTGAGCTCGTATTGATAATTATGGTTTTTTTATTTATATATTTACTATATTTATTTACAAGTATTAACTATTTAAATAATTTTGTTACTATTTTATTAAAAACAACAAATGTTTGTTGATTTATTATTATTTTAGAGTTTTAAATTTAACAAAAAAATAACTATGAGTACATAATAAATGTATAGAAGTAGTGCTTGCTTATAGATAAAATGTAATATTGGCACCTAGTATGAAATTGATAAATAATTAAAACTGGAAAAAAAATATATGGTCACTCCATTGTTTAATTTGTCCATTCATGAATAGGGTTGCCACCTCTCCAGGTTGTATTCGGATACTCCAGTTCGCTTGGCTGTCATAAAACTAAGTACTTTTACCTAATTCATAAAACGGACAAGATATAGCCAATTTCATGAATTGNAAGAATTTTTAATCCCATTGTTCTTCTCCTTTTTTCAATGCTATGGTAGACTTCTTCCATACGATCTTTGTTTTTTCCTATTATTACAATGTTGTTAGTATAAGCACAAATTTGCCATGTTTTGTTAATGGTGCTTTAATTATTTCTTTTACACCCTAATGCAAAAAAATAATAAAAAATGTTTCTAATAGAGCAACATATTGTAACAAGGATGCAAAATAATATATTTTATAGGTGTACATTAATTATTTTTTCATTCAATTCAATGAGACTGATTATGTTTAAAGGTTTAGAGTGATGGGGGTAGGCAGAAAAATAAAACCATGATAAGTGTAGCAGAGATGAGAATACTTAAGTGGATCAGTGAAGTGATAATAGAAGATATGATAAGAGATGAGTTTATAAAAGGCAACATAGATATGACTTCAATAATAGATAAACTAAGATGGTTAGGACATGGTATGGGGAGAAGCAGTAAGAATTGCAATTAAAATAAACGTAAGAGAAAAGAGGTGGTTGGATGTTAATGACAATGATTTTAAGAGAGCTGAACTATGGCAGGTGAACATGTTAAATTTAAGATATAAATGAACTGATCCCAAGTAGTGGGATGAAGGCGACGGAGAAAAAGATATAACACATTTTTACATTTTGTTTGTTATAACTTATAAGGTAAAGAAACATATATATTGATTCGAGTATATTGTAAATAACAATAAATTACCAATATTTAAAATAGATATTAAGGTATTGCTCACATAGGTAAAGTGAATATAGCTAGTAATAATTATGATTGTTTCATATTTTTGTCCAAGCAAATGTATAAATGCGCAATAAATGTTTACCTATCAATATCTGATACAATAAATAATAATACATACTTACCTTATAAAAATGTTGGTAATGTTGAGATACTTTTGACAATATGAACATCACGTATGCATAGTGCTAACCGGTGTCGCATAGTCGTAAATCGTATTCATAAATAGGCAGATAGTACATTATTATAAAATCAATAATACAACATTTCATGGATAAGAAAAGCCAGGAACCATAGAATATGACTGCGCGCGCAAAACTTGAATGGAGTGTACCTATAAGTATGGACCACGGTTAGGTATATTGTCTGTTCCATGAGGAAATGATACCGGCCGCCGACCGAAACTGGTTATGCGCTGCGCAAGTCCCACCATATCGAACCACTACAACGGACCTTTGCGACCCGTAGATCATTTTTGTCTACTCTACAGTTTTTAATTTGACGTTGGGCGGTCTTCGTTTTTGTCAAAACACTTGATTTCCGTTTAAACGAAAAAAGTTCGATTTGCATTTCCATCTATATTATTGAGATGGAGTTTAAGAATACCTAGTTTAAATACGAGATTTGGGATAAACCATTTGATATTGTTATAATTGATATAGATATTGATAAGAGATATATTTTATTTGATTTTACTCATAGTAATTCTTACCAATTATTAGGATATGTAGACATAAAAATGTCATCTGGTTGTGAATATGAGAACTAATGAAAATTGGACAGAATAATATATTGTGATATGGTTTATTAGGTATTATCATAGACCATATACTAATAGATACGAAATGGTTACGCACCGGGTATGGAAAGATAGATTGTACTTTTGATTGACTGATAACCTTTAAATTACCGTGCACACAATAAAAATTAGTCATTGTCTAAATTTTGAATATTCAAATACCAAGTATATTTAACTGATTGATGTTTTAATATTACGGGTACCTACGATCTACCTATTAGCACAAAATACAAATTAAAAATTACAATTAATAGAAATTATATACAATTATTCACTGTAAAACCGTTGATTGTGTGATGTGTGTACAGCAAGCGTACGATAGTTTGCGTTAGCGTATTATTGTAAAATTAGTACACCAGAGAGGATTTTTTCAATATTGTGGTTTCCACGCAGCTCGTAATGCTGGAGTCATACATACGAGTTTACTGTCTACCAATATAATGTCTATGGGTATTATAGTATTATTATTATTCTATACTCAATACTCATAATTATTGTGCCATAATTTAATAACTGTATTTTACTTTACTACAATGAAAAGTCATATTTATTGTTCTGTTTACAGTTAAAACATATTAATCTGGAGATAAATCAATCACCTGTTTCTGAAAGAAACAGATTGTATGGGGCCATTTTTCCTCTGTTTTTTTTATCATTTGTTGAGAAAACTGGTTTTTTGAAATTACACTATCTTATAATTATTATCCTATGTAAGTAGTTTAATCAAATCAATATTAATAATTATTTACTCAAAATAACGATTTGTAAAATGATAAGTAAACGAAATGCAAAAAAAAAAATCAATATGTATTTAAAATACACAAGTTTTGTAAACTCTTAGTATCTTATTATCTACCTATGTTGTGTAATTGCTGTTCGTAGCTGGTGAAGGACATCACAATCCCATATATCCCCTGTCTTAATATTAATTTTGACGATTTTCAGAAAATTATCCAATATACACATATTATTATTAAAAGAGGTATTTTTATAAGTGTTTCATCCAAAAGGTGGGTTGAGACTTAAAAGTCTATAGAAACGAGATATGAGTGAATGTGGAATAGATGAAGTGGTTATGCATATAGTCAGTGTTGTTTTGGAGGGTATACGTTGTATACCCGAGAACTATCTTGGTGATTTAGCGTATACTTTATAAAAGTAACAGCAATACGCACGTATACCTACTTCATAAATAGAAAAAAAAAACATTATCAACAATGAAGAGAATTATAAACATGAACGGTAAATCCATAGGGCATATGTTTATTTATAGAAAATTTGTTATTGGTAGGTTAATATTACTTAATAATAACATTGACAATTGGTTATTATTTATACTATCGATTATCGTCCAGCTATATTAATTAGGTATCAAATTAAAATATCTACAAGCGGCCTTTGGACGTTTCTATACAAGAATATTCTATAAAAATAGATAGTGTGGCGAGTGTTATTCCGAATGCTGACTTCCTGCGGCGTTGCTCGTCTTCCATTATTATTTATTTTACATTTTTTTTCTTATAATTTTTTTTTTTTGTGACTTGTGTAGTGAATTGTTAGGTGTTGACAATATGGATTCTACACACACAAAAAAAAAACCACTTTATTTTCTTATTTTTCTACAAATACAAATAAAAAAATCCGTTTAGAAAATGTTGAGGTAAGTAACTATAAAAACTAATATGGTAATACATTTTAAATTGTCTTTATTTTATTAATTCGTTTACTTGTGCGCTATTTATGTGGCGTCTAAAGAAGTAGAAGCTCAATTATTGTCATCTATAGATACAAATATTTATGCCATCGCATAAATAGGGGTATAAGGTATATTGTTTTCTTTTTCTATTATTTGTTATTATTTTGTTTATAATATAACAACATAATGACATATTCATAAAATTGTTACTATATTTGTTTACTTCATATAAATGTTTTTCACGTTATTTTTTTTCTATTAAAAGATATATTTCCTTTTTTNTAAAATGTAAAAACTCCTAGTACTATACAATGCATAGGTAGTTCATATAGGTACATATAGTTGCATATTTGAGACTTAATAAAATTAAAAATACATTTTTAATTTTAATTTTATTAAGTTATTAAGTTATTTATTAGTTATTTTTCTCATACTTAATGAGCAAAAAGTAATTTAAAAATAATTATTTGTTTTAATTTTAAAAATGCAGTAAATGGTTAAAACCCTTCTGTAGAATTTAGTTAATAAGTTAATAGAAAACACTTCACGTTTCAATTATTATTTATTTGAGTCAAAGTAGTACCTACTGTACTAACCTAATTTGTAATTTGTAATTATACTACATATATAAATTAGAAACTACAATTTTAATATTTTTATTAATTGTGGTAATTTATTAAGAATTACAGTCATCGTCAAATAATTTAAATCAATTTATTTTTAATTAAAAATTATATCGGTGCCAAATATCTCTTATTCAAGATACTGGAAATTCTGAATGGTATCTGATCTAATTATATACTTAGGTGGTTTTATTTGGTGTAGGTAAATGAAAATCTGTTTCCCGAGCCATCTTCTCCATCTATTCAATTAGACAATGTTGAGTCTTTTAAAGCTGACTGTCAGGATTCACTGTGGCCGTCTGAGTGGACATCAGTGCAATGGACAGAAAATTAAGAAAAATTTAAAGGATTTTACTCTGTTGATGGAAAAATTGGATGTGATATATGTAGAAAAGTGAGTAAATTAAAAACCCCTCAAAAGATTGAAATATCTTAAGAATGGCCAACATGTGAAATTGATGGAGGAACAAATACTAACAAGAAAACTCGCCTCACTGTTTAAAGAAATAAACTTAAAAACATTTTGAATCCAATGCACACAAATCTGCTGTTCAAATATTAAACAATAAAGATAAGAATATGTTGTCCAAGCTTATGGAAGAAAAGGATTACCAGATAAACAAAGCTACATATTCTATTTTCCGCACTGCTTATTATATAGCAAATTATAACCGTCCACTTGATGATCATTTAAAACTAGTAAAATTAGAGGAACTAAATGGTATAAAATTAGGGTTTACCCTCCATTCTAGACACTCATCTACCAATATTATTCAACATATTTCTAAAGAAATGAAACATAAAATTATTTAAACACTAATTTTAGTATTGGAAAAATCAACTTGGCCCGAGGACCTAGATATTTGATATGGAGAAGATGATATTAAATACTTATGTAAAAGATTTTCACTGGACCAAGATGATGCTATTAGCGCTATGAGAAAAATAATTTACGATCAAACTATTGATCCTAAAAACGTGATGTCTGCATTTTATATCTTTCTTAAAACATTTCCATATTCAACCGCAGAATGTGAAAGAGGATTCAGTGTTATGAATAACATTTGTACGGATCTTTGTTCACGGTTAATGATAAATAATATTTCTAATTTAATGTTTATTAACATAAATGGACTTTCCCTAAGTGATTGGAATCCTGAAGATTACGTGAAAAGTTGGCTCTTCAATCATAGGTGTGCAGAAGACACTAGGACCAAAATAGCAAGAAATAACATAGGCAAATTTGAGAGCAAAGTTATCAAAAAGAGTCTATGGCAAATTCTGTAAATTATTTAGTTTTCAAGTTTTGATATAATGTTAAGTACAATGTAAGCATCATATTTTATTTGTTAATTTGTTACCTATTTAAAAAAAAACGTTATTTTTATTAAAATACTATTCAATTTTGTTAAACCTTTCCCACTCATTAATACATCATTTTTATTATGTATAGGTTCTATTAAAGTTAATTGTATATATTTTATATTTTTTGTAGTTACTTACTTGACTATTACATGATTATGCTTTTATTTTACAGTTATATTTATATTTTTTGCCTTTAAAATCAGGCAATTATTGAATTTTCCATGGAAGCTTTAAATACTTGGATAAATCAAGAAATAATATGGTATAAAATTAATAAACATTTTTTTTTTATATAAAAGTTTATACTTGTGAAAAGACTCGAATACTCGAAAAGAGTTAAAAAAAGACTTGAATACTCACGAGCAAAGCGAGCTTCGGTTTGAGTGGTAAAATCTGATAAGTTTTGATCCTAATAAATACACAATAGTCATTGTCATAAATTCTTAAATGTGCGAATACCCTCTAGTTTTTTTGCCAAAACACCACTCCATATAGTTATGTACATGTTAAAAAATAACAGTCCTGCGACTGCTTTGCTGTTATAACTTTATGTATTAATAATAATAGATTTTAATGTTCTGAATTCAAATCTGTAATTAGTTTTTCTCTAACATGTCTAGTTTTTTGTTAACTCTTTTCTTTAGAATTTCATGATATTACGCATGTTATTAATATTAACCAAATATATTATAACGTTATTGAAACTATCAAATTGTTTATTTTATTGTTACTCGATTAAATATATTTTTAAATCTGTAAAATCGATGATAGTTATTTTCTATAGTACATTCAGTTCAGTTGTTTGATTTGTCTGATAAAATGTCTACATTTTATAATATATTCCCAATATTTCATTATTATGGTTTTCAATTTTATTTACTTTTTTTAAGTATATCGATTAAAAATAATAAAAGAAAATGTTAATAGGAAATGTCTACTTCATATATTTTAACATCATATTTAATCCCAATAAGGCTCCTGACATTCATAATTGTCAACATCGTAGTTATAATTAATATTTTTAGATTTTTGAATTGGTTTTACTTCAGCTCGAGATATCTTTGGCTTATATGAACATATTTGTAAATGATTGGCCATCTTATCTTTTTCCGTATAAAAGTAATGGCCATAAGGACATTTTATTTTATTTGGAAATGACTTCTTGCACTTCACCAGATGGTATGGCAATCTATGACGTCGAAGTTTGTGGTTAGGGTCTAATGGACATTCCACTAAGTCCAAATAGTTAATGCTGAAGTCTACTGGTTCTTCTTTGGTCAAAAGGTTATCCACTTCTTGTGTTGCCATTGTTATATTTTCACGGAAATCTAAAAATAAATATATAAATAATAATTGTATATATAAAAATAAAACGAATAACTGAAATAATGTGTCCGCTGGAGTATTATGTCCCTCTATGACTTTTTAAAAGAAAATTAAACCATGATCATTTTTCCACTCATTTCCATGATGAGCAGTTAGTAAGTTATTTACATCAGTTTTCTTATTAGTGATAAGAACATTCCGCGTTGGAATTTTGGCGGAATTCATTTCACTAATGTTTCTTGTTTTTTTTGTAATTGGTTTTCCCATTCCAAAATTCGAATTGTACACGCCTTCACTGCTGACTTACACTACACCTTTTGAGTTTTTTGTGATAATCATTCTTTTCATTTTGGAAAAATAAAAGTGCCACTGTTCTAGAGGCCTAACGAACTTGTACGTTTGAGTTTTCCAGTCATAAATTTCAATATCCTTTCCAACTTTCAGGACAGTTTTATATTTTGAAAAAATATCCAAATATTCTTGAGGTTCTAAAATTATTTCTTTCTTTTTGCACTTCACTTCGACGTGACCAAATACACGATCAGGAGTAATAAAAGAGTATCCACTTACTGGGTATAAAACTACAATTTTTCAAATTACATTTTGTTTGGCGAGCCAGTTGCAACACATTGAAATTAGTGTGGTGTTTTTGTTCTGGCCTGACCAACCATCACACATAAGCCTAATAGTATGAATATCAGTAAAATCTGACAATTCCAAAACTTGATGAATACAGGAAGCAATCTCATTTGAACCTTTATCATATTAATTTTCATTTCAACAGAAAGAGGTGACTGTATTGGGATTAAATTTACTTTTAGAAGTGGATCTCACAACAGTAAACCCATGATAAGTATATTTAATAATATTAAATATAAATTAAATACATTATAATTTATTATAATATAATAGTAACAATATTATTATACTTGTCAAAGGAGATTGCACTTTTTGAAACTAAATGTAATTTTCAATCTTAAAAATACATTGGGGATTGACCATTTTGTTCGATAATAGCGAGTTGTTCGAATTCAGCACTAACAATTGAATATTAAACAATATCTTTCTCAATTTCCATGAAACATGGAGATTGTACACTTTGAAACTAGTGCCCTCATATATAACGATAGAAGATTTATCTATAATATGTACAAAAGCCAGTCTTAATACAGATAGATGGGAAAGAACAAGAAGTAAAAATAAAAAAGGAGTTAGACGGGGGTGTATCTTGACGCCGATGCTGTTCAACTTGTACATTGAAGAGGCAATGAAAGGATTGAGAGCAGAAATACAGTAAGGAGCGTGAATAGGAGGAACAATGGTATCTGTATTAAGATTTGCGGATGACATAGCTTTCTGCACGGAAGATGAAGACGACTTACAAAATACCCTAGTAACAATAGATAAAATTCTAAAAATTAAGTATAGAATGCAATTGAACAAAAAACGAACGAAAGTTATGGTATGCAGTAAAGCTTATTCGGTTCGACTCAACATAAATATTGACAATGAACAAATAAAGCAAGTACAGCTATTCACATACCTAGGAAGCAATATAACAGAGGATGGCTGCAGCAAAACAAATACAATCTGCAGGATAGCACAGGTGAAAAGAGTCTTTCGACACAAAAGCCACATTTTAACTACCAATAGTGTCAGTCGGGAGATAAGGAAGAAATTCCTAAAAAGTTATACAATGGACTGTAGCAATCTTTAAATCCGAAACCTGGACAATAAACTCAATGGAAAAAAAAAAGACTAGAAGCCTTTGATATTTGGTTCTTCAGGAAAATACTAAAAATACCATGGACCGAGAAGGTAACGAATAAGGAAGTTTTAAATAAAATAAAGGAACAATGAAAAATATGGAAAAGTATTCAATCGAGAAGAGACAAAATGATAGGGCACATATTAAGAGATGAAAGTTTATTAAAGAAAATAATTAAAGATGTTAAAGGACACATTGCTAGAGCAAGACCAAGAGCAGAATACATGACACAGATAATGCAGGATACAAATAAGGGAAATTACAATAACCGGAAATAACTGTGCTAGGATAGAGAAGCATGAAGAGCTGCAACAAACAAATCTATGGATTTATAATATAAAAAATAAAAAAATAACAACATAAAGGGTTATAAATGAGGCTGAGTTTTAAGTACTTTGGATCTTTTGAACAAAGGAATGATGACTTTTATGAGAGCGCCAGATGTTTTGAGATGAGAGAATTCTAATGAGACTGATTATGTTATATGGTTTAAAGTGTTGGGGCTAGGCAGAAAAATAGAACCTAGATGATTGTAGCAGAGATGAGAATGCTTAGGTGGATCAATGAAGTGATAATAGAAGATATGATAAGAGATGAGTATATAAAAGGTTTCAATAATAGATAAACTAAGATAGTTAGGACATGGCATGGGGAGAAGCAGTAAGAATTGCAATTAAAATAAACGTANATTGTCAACATCGTAGTTATAATTAATATTTTTAGATTTTTGAATAGGTTTTACTTCAACTCGAGATAACTTTGGCTTATATGAACATATTTGTAAATGATTGGCCATCTCATCTTTTTCCGTATAAAAGTAATGGCCATAAGGACATTTTATTTTATTTGGAAATGACTTCTTGCACTTCATCAGATGGTTTGGTAATCTATGACGTCGAAGTTTATGGTTAGGGTCTAATGGACATTCCACTAAGTCCAAATAGTAAATGCTGAAGTCTACTAGTTCTTCTTTGGCCAAAATGTTATCCACTTCTTGTGTTGCCATTGTTATATTTTCACGGAAATCTAAAAATAAATATATAAATAAAAAATGTATATATAAAAATACAAATAATAACTGAAAGAATGTGTCCCCTGGAGTATTATTTGGTGAGTTGTGTATTATTATTTTTATGGACTATATGAATAATATTGAGCTCGTATTGATAATTATGGTTTTTTTATTTATATATTTACTATATTTATTAAAAACAACAAATGTTTGTTGATTTATTATTATTTTAGAGTTTTAAATTTAACAAAAAAATAACTATGAGTACATAATAAATGTATAGAAGTAGTGCTTGCTTATAGATAAAATGTAATATTGGCACCTAGTATGAAATTGATAAATAATTAAAACTGGAAAAAAAATATATGGTCACTCCATTGTTTAATTTGTCCATTCATGAATAGGGTTGCCACCTCTCCAGGTTGTATTCGGATACTCCAGTTCGCTTGGCTGTCATAAAACTAAGTACTTTTACCTAATTCATAAAACGGACAAGATATAGCCAATTTCATGAATTGGGCTCTATTTCATGAACTGGAAATTGGTATTTTAAGAAATATGACGATATGACTCAATATTTAACATGACAACTGAGGCAATATTTTGCACTCTACTATGGATAGTTTTATATATTTAACTTTTTCTTCAAGAATTTTTAATCCCATTGTTCTTCTCCTTTTTTCAATGCTACGGTAGGCTTCTTCCATACGATCTTTGTTTTTTCCTATTATTACAATGTTGTTAGTATAAGCACAAATTTGCCATGTTTTGTTAATGGTGCTTTAATTATTTCTTTTACACCCTAATGCAAAAAAATAATAAAAAATGTTTCTAATAGAGCAACATATTGTAACAAGGATGCAAAATAATATATTTTATAGGTGTACATTAATTATTTTTTCATTCAATTCAATGAGACTGATTATGTTTAAAGGTTTAGAGTGATGGGGGTAGGCAGAAAAATAAAACCATGATAAGTGTAGCAGAGATGAGAATACTTAAGTGGTTTAGTGAAGTGATAATAGAAGATATGATAAGAGATGAGTTTATAAAAGGCAACATAGATATGACTTCAATAATAGATAAACTAAGATGGTTAGGACATGGTATGGGGAGAAGCAGTAAGAATTGCAATTAAAATAAACGTAAGAGAAAAGAGGTGGTTGGATGTTAATGACAATGTTAATGACAATGATTTTAAGAGAGCTGAACTATGGCAGGTGAACATGTTAAATTTAAGATGTGAATGAACTGATCCCAAGTAGTGGGATGAAGGCGACGGAGAAAAAAATATAACACATTTTTTTACATTTTATTTGTTAAAACTTATAAGGTAAAGAAACATATATATTGATTCGAGTATATTGTAAATAACAATAAATTACCAATATTTAAACTAGATATTAAGATATTGCTCACATAGGTAAAGTGAATATAGCTAGTAATAATTATGATTGTTTCATATTTTTGTCCAAGCAAATGTATAAATGCGCAATAAATGTTTACCTATCAATATCTGATACAATAAATAATAATACATACTTACTTTATAAAAATGTTAGTAGTGTTGAGATACTTTTGACAACNTGCACATCACGTTTGCATAGTGTTAACCGGTGTCGCATAGTCGTAGATCGTAATCATAAATAGGCAGATAGTACATTATTATAAAACCAATAAGAATACAACATTTCATGGATAAGAAAAGCTAGGAACCATAGAATATGACTGCACGCGCAAAACTGATTGAGTGTACAAGTGTGTAACCACGGTTAGGTATATTGTCTGTTCCATGAGGAAATGATACCGGTCGACCAAAACAGGTTATGCGCAGCGCAAGTCCCACTATATCGAACCACTACAACGAACATTTGCGACTCGTTGACCATTTTTGTTCCCGAGACGACTAGATCCACTCTGTTACCTAAGGTTTGGTTGGGATCTATATGAACTGGGGCCTATTTGTTCATACTCTACCGTACGTTAGCATTGTCGTTTTAAATTTGACGTTGGACTGTCTTCGTTTTTGCTAAAACACTTGATTTATGTTTAAACGAAAAAGGTTCCAAAAAGGACGTCACTAGTTTATATCAATTTTGGTCTTAAATGTTTAATTTTCGAGGTATTCCAACTCTTCAAGTTTTGGTGGTGTGGTGGGGGGAGAGTAGTGGTACATTATTTTTGTGGTGGCATGGCGTGCGACGTTTTAATAGTCTATAGACGCCACAGCTGTTGAAAGAGTTCAACGTACATTTTTATCTTATTTGTCTGCTTATTTTTTGCATATACCTCGCCCTCCACATGATTATAAACCTATCTGTAATATATTAGGGGAAATTAAGTTCCTACACGAGACATATCTAGTAAAAAAATATTAATTTATATAAAATGTTATAAAAATGAAATGTGGTTGTTCCTACATCGTAAAAAAATAGAAAATAATTTGCATTATCGACGGGAAACTGAAAAGTAGGTAATTCAATAATAGTGTAATAATAATATAATAGTATGAATAATGTGCAATAATATAATCACTTCCTTTTAACCGCTATACTGTATAGTATATGACGCTATAGCTTTTCGATAAAGCTGACATCTAAATTCAATTTTTGGACATTTGCGGCTATTCATTACTGATAAAACCGATACAGTAAATTTCTTTATGGTTTGATAATAAATAATAATTATATCTATTTATAGAATACTGTACATTGAGTATTTTATCTTAAACTTTTACATACATTTACACAATTTATCTTGATATATATTTTTAGATTCTGAGTGAATCAAGGAATCTTATGGTTTTACAAAGATGTTTATTATTATTTTTTTTTATCTGTGTGCAATTTTTCCACCAGAAATCTTTTTCGAGTGTAGCACCTTTTTTGAAAGGAAATCGGTGTGAGGAGGCAGGTAAATTTTCGATTTTATCAAGAGTTTTCTCATCAAAAGTGAAAAATCGAAATAAAACGGAGGAAAAACGGTAAATTGTAAGAAATATATTAATAAAATATTAGGATTTTTTCTTCTGTAGATAAATTTTTTACCAGCAATTTGACTCCGATTTACAATCATATCATTTTTTCTAAAAAAGAAATCTGACTGGGGAGGTAATTTAAACAGGTTTTTTTTCGATTTTCCAAAGAGTTTTCCTAGAAAATGTGAAAACTGGGGAAAAACGGGAAAATTCGTAAAAAATTAAACAGATATTATTAAAGAAAATATATGAAGTTTATTTAATTATTTTACTATAATATATATATCATATCACTATCAACTAAACTTCATTCATAATTGTTTTTTCGTTAGCAATAGTTTATCGTTACTTACAGATATACATTAATTTACCTATAAAAGTGGCTGCACCCTTCTCTATTATATTAAGACGTCTTTTTCCTAAAATTTTCTTGGTTTTCCCATGTTTTTATTTTTTAAGACATTTTGAAATAAAAATAACATGTTTTGATGATGTAGGAACTAACATACGTACCTTTTCTTTCATTGTTTAGGATCTAACATATGTATATTTTTATCCGATAGGTCTCGTGTAGGAACTTACATTTGCCTAAAATATATCCAGCCTCGCTAATTGGGTTCACCTCTAAAATAGCGAAAATAAATAATCGAACACAAAATATTGAATACATACCAGAGAAAATCATTTAATTGAAAAAATAAAGAGCGAATAAAAAATTATAGAAAATAATCAAATAAAAAAATAATAATTTTTATCGAATATATTGACTTATTTTTGAATTCGTTCAGCCGAATCCCTGTACTTCTTTTTTCCTCATAAATATCATTTTAGATCAAGACTATTTATATTTAATTTTCTCCAAATTCTATTGTCTTTGGAGGTATTCAATAAATTTCTGTTATATGTATTATACTGGCATATTGTCTGTAATCCCGTTCTTAATTTTGATTTGGATTCTAAAATATTTCACTAAGAAAAAAATTCTTGAAAAAAAATGTTTCCCTACGGCCTACATAATATATTACACCTTCGGCGCGTGTAAAATATTTAGTAGATGAAAGTTGAAAAAAAAAATCATGAAGTGGTTGTACAAAACTTAAAATTATGGATTTTTGGCTCTATATATGTATTCGGCGTTTTCGCTCATATCTGTATATAAGCTAATTTTGTTTTCACTCTATTGCTTTCACGCATTTGCGTTCGCTCTATTGTCGGGATACTGCTGATTGTAGACATGTTGCGAACTTACCATTTATATCTAAATTTATACATAAATTAATAGACTATCCCAGCCTCTTTCAACAAACTAATGTTAAAATTCCACATCGTCTTACTAGAAGCATTTCCCCCTTTTTTATTCCATTTTCTTCTACAAATTATAACCTCTCTTTTATCTTATGCATATTGCAAATACTGACCTCACCTTTAACCATACTTAAACTATATTCAACTAGTACTTTATTAACATTAATTACTTCTTTTATTTTGATAAGTATTATGCTATGTATTTATTAATTTTTTATTTTCTCTTGTTTGGCTTTGGCCTGTACTGTAAATAAAATAAAATAAATTAAAATATGATAATTTACAATAAATAAGGTCTTATATATTTGTGTGTTTAGAGATATTTGTTTGCAGTTAAACTTGAATAATTATAAAACTACCCTTTTTTGCAAATTTCCAACCGTCCTGTGCTACAGCAAGGATTGGCTATTATCACCAAATTTAACCTAAATTGTTTTCTGATAGTTGGTAATGAAAAAAACAAGGGATTCTGAAACAAAAATAATAATATTAATTTCTTTCTCTTATAACAAAGGACCAGTCTAAATTATATGTATAATTAGTATGTATTATTTTTATAGATAGCTTGTTCTATAATCTCAGTAGGAACAATGGAGTTGTATAAGTAAACAACAAATTATCTTGGCTTTTTTAAATAGGTGCAAATAGTGGGTAAGTAACTTAAGAGGAACAAAGAATAAGTGCAATTTAAAAGAAAAATATTAGTTACAAGACGGTTAAGAATAATTTTAAGAAATTTTATTTGTACATTGTAGATTCTGGTTTTGTTAAATAGGTATCTAGTGTTCTAGTAGCTATAAATAATACCTATTCTTATTAAATATTTCATAAGTTAAACTACAAAAAAAAAAAAATAAAAAAAAAAAATAGGTAATACCTATGTATGTACCAAAGTAATTTGTATCAAGGTACCTATGTAGATATTTATTTGTTAAGATAACGGACTGGAGCTTAATTTACAAACATTTCATAAAAAAATACATTATAATACATAGTTATAGTACAATTAAATTAAGAACAACAAAAGCGTTCAGTATTAGCTTAAGATTAAGTTACAGTAAGATTAATTAGCAGCTAGGGCAAGCTAAAAAAATAATGGTAAGGAAGGGTACAACAAAAATTTAAAAACAGAAATAACAAAATTAACCTAAAGGAAGAATGGCGGATTACCATTGGCTATAAGCATCATCCTGGTGAAAGACTTGTTTCTCAAAAAGTTGGTTGGGTAACGTGGAGTAATAAAAAATGTATAATTCTGAGTGGTACGAATTGGTGCCTTAGAATTTAAAAGTGTAATAAGGAAAGGATAGTCAACTGAGCCAGAGAGAAGTTTTTGTAGAAAAGATTTATTAAGATAGTGGCGACGATCGGCTAAGGTAGGGAGATTTAGAAAACGGAGGTCGGGGATGTAGTTTTAAGGTACACAATTAATATTAAAAGCATACTTTACGGATCTAAGAAATTTGCGCTGGACATGCTCGAGTTGTTTGCAAGCATCCGTAGTTTATCCCAAACAATCGAGTCATATTCAATAATAGGCCTGAGGAGAGAACAGAAAAGTGATTTAAGAGAGTAGGATAGTTTGAACTCACTTGCTATTCTATTAATAAAACCTAAAACCTTAAACGTTTTGCAGGTGATATTATCAATGTGTGTCCGAGGATAAATTTGTTAGCTACCAAATTTATTTATCTATTACCTTATAGTATGTTATTGAAGATGCTGTATGTACTCTCCTTATAATGTTCATGGTACACAACATGAAAATGATACTAGTCAGAAATATTACTTTGTAAATAATTTGATTTAGTTCACTTTGTCTACATGCATCTGGGCAGAATACACTTTTCTCGGCCATTCTCGTACTATACCTAGTTATTTTCGTACTATGCCCAATCAATATAGGAAAAATTGGAGTATTCAAATAGTTATTTTTACATTGCTCAAAATTTGTATCACAACTGTCCGAATATAATGATTTGCCATTTGTTCATATTATGATATTTGAGTTGGATACCTATAGGTACCTACTGTAAATAGTAGTATTATAGGTATCGGTGGTGGAAGGATATGGTAGACTGGACATTTGTCTAAGGCCTTGCGTCAAAAAATCTCCAAGCAAAACATTTTTAGGTTTTAGCCACAGACAGATTTCAACGCCCATAGCATTTATATAGTTAATTGAGACTACAACCTAAAATTTAGTATTATCATTAATTATATTTTACATTTTTATTTTAAATACTCGTATAGATTCACTATTGTAGAGTGTGATAAGAAATAGCTTCTAATATTGATTATCAAAATATTATAGAGGATTTTGCTTCAAAAAACCAAAAAAAAAATTTGAATAAAAAGATTTGTATTATAAATTTGTATTATTATACTTTTGCTATTATGTTTGATTAATAAATAAACAGAAACATTTAAGAATTTCGGGAACTAATTTGCAAATGTGTAAATGTTTTTGTTCTTTATAGTTATTTATATAATATATACAATATAATAAATAAATAATAAATAAGTACCTATTTGAATTATATTAAATTAATTTTCTAGTGAAATAAATTTAATTAAGATCCCACCTACAAGAGGGGCCTACCCACACTGCGAAGTAGATATTGTGTTTATTTTAGTTTTATTTTACAAACGGGACAAGCCCAAAAATAAGCGAATGCCAAAACATATAAATATATATTTACATAAAAGAAGGGTCCGCGTTGGCGACTATAAGATAAGTTATCTTATAGTTCAATGTTCGGAACAAAACAATAGAAATTAAGATTAGCAAATAAATTTAAATGATAAAATAATTAAAATTAATTACTTTTTTTATCAATTGTGGTAACTAATAGACCTATGCTGTGAAATTTCGTTATTTGTGTAGGTCATTCTGTCTGTTGGGCGCTCGGTCAGTCTGTAATGTATTTCTTATGAATGCATTTTGACCTGTGTTATCAATCCAGTATATAACGTCAATATGTATAGGTGCATTGTATGTAATATACATACAATATTTACATAATTTGTGTAGGTAAATGAAATTTTTTGTCCATACAATAAATAAATAAAACAATTAATATGCCCTAATACAATATGTCATTGTTATTTATGCATTTTCAATAGTAAGATATTAACAAAATAATAAGTTGAATAAAGTGGGTAGGTTAGGTCAAATAATAATAAGTCTGAACCATTTTTAACAAACATATATTTTTATTTTATTTTCAACATCGTTAATAGTACGATGGTATAATTTCCGTTGAATATTTCTACACAACGGTTCAAATTCTATAAATCACACAGGGTGAGCGCATTAAACCGATTTCGTTTTTAAATTAAGCGCTTAGTTTTGCCTATTAGTAGTAGTTAGGTAACCTATACAGTATATTATATTATTATTACAATATATTAACCATTAGATAATATTATTTTCTGTACAATTATCACGTGATGCGGCCAGAGTCCGCTGTAGGGTGGTTTGAAAAAAACAAAAGTTTAAACTAAGACTTTAATTTGGCTCATCACTGGAGCCAACTTGTAGTCTTGGACCGACCAGGTCGGGTAAGTTGCAAATCTTCGTTTCATCCCGAATATTGTGGTCAACTTGCCACTCTTCTATCGGTCTCGACTGTAACCTTTTGAGGCTTTTTCTCTGTAGCAGATACCAAACTATGCCGCATACCGTACAGATGGACACTTCGATGAAGTAACCATCCACGATAGTTATGCACTCACCACTGTCGTATTTTCGGCATTGCTATGGAAATTAAAAAAAAAAAAACAAAATTAACCCAATGCCAATTTTCAGTGATGATGGCGGATGCTGTGAAGACAGTTTATCAGACAAATTAATAGACAAATTATCTAAGGCTCTAAGCGATTTGATTCTTCATGAATTTAGACCACTAAAATGTGTGTGTTAATTGTTTACATAAATTGTAAAGATCAGCTAGTTAAGGTTATTTTAATTTAAGTATATTTAGGTTAAGTGATCAAGATTAGGCAGTGATCAGGTTTAGGTATGTAATATATTTTTTAGGAGTTGACGATGGCATCGCGCGGCTGTCTGACTAAACTTTTTTGTCCTCTGGTAGATGGCTCTGCCTAGAGAGTGTACTAAGCCGGCGGAAGTAGCGCTAACGCGGTCACCCCGGGTCTGGTGGAGTTCATAGGAAAGAAAAAGGTATATATCTTTGATGTACGCTGTAAAGATCTGAGTCAGTAATTACGTCAAATTGTGTTGTCAATAACAAACATGAAATTATATTAGGTGTTTTTAATTATTGAGTGTTTATTATTTGTTTAATGCAATACGGATTATCGATATTTTTAAAAACAATATTTCACATGAACCTAGTCTTTGAATATTTTTACAAAGCCAAACAAATTTAGTTCACATCAGGCAATTCAAAAATAAAAAGCAGGATGTGAATATCTTTTACAATTTTCGTTAATATTTTTGAATAAATACAAATTGTTAATATTTTCAGGCAATATCAGTGCGCACGCTTGAATTACCTATACACTATACAGCGTAAATTAATTTTTATCTATCCATTTATATTATATAGGCTATTCCTTTCATATAAGAAATAGGTGTACTTGTTTTATAAATCATCATCTTTGTGATTCTTCAGGGTTTGATAAAGTATTATAATATTATTAAAATATAATACAATTGTATTCGAATACCCCCACGTCAATTTCATTGACTGTAGTATTCAAAATGTATCACGTGGTTTGTTAAATATTGTTTTGCGTTCCGCATCAACAACGTCTATAGTGAGTGAAACTATGGCAGAAAGAATGGCCATTAGAATAGAAATGATTATAATTATTATTAAATCGAGCACGAGAGGAAAATGTATATTATATTATATAATATTTAGACACTCGCATTAATGTCACGATTATAGGTTGGAAATTAGGAAGGTAATATAAATGTTCTATATTACATAGGGTATTTTAATTTATGTATGTATAGGTACATAAGTCATAACGATAAATCATAAACGAAAAACAATTCTGAAGTTCAGTTAAACATGTAGACAACAACAAGACAAAATTTGCTACTAGAACCATCCCCGATGTTGATCAAAACAAAATTTTTGGTAAAAATGTTATTAATAGATAAAAAATATAAAATAAGTACACATTATAGCAAAACCGGTAGTTATCATTTGCGTATCGTTTGTTTACCTGCCCCAAAAACTCGTACATTATTTACGCATCAATGGCAGTATATTATTTGCATACTGTCCGTTTACCTCACATCAATATATCATACAAAATTTTTGTGCATCAATATATCTAACAAAAGGTAAAAAAGAAACTTACCTATTTTTCAGTGTTTTCTTTTTCATATAGAAATATTCTTATGAAAAATGACAGCAGCTTTTCATGAATTGACAAATTTTAACTGACCTCACCGTTTTAAAGTTAATCGTTGATTCAGGGGCGCAATTTCGATAAAAAAAATGGAAAGTGCTGAAACCCCCTAGGAAAAAAAACTAGTTCATAAACACATGTGATCTATAGACTATAGGTGCTACTCACTCTATTCTATTCTATTACTAACCATTGGTTGTACAAATAAACTTAAAAATAAGTTACAGATTTAAAACACAACTATTTTAATTTGCATGGTTAGGTATAATTACCAATTATAATTGTAAAAGACACAGTTTAGTTGAATGCTTTTATTAATTCAGTCGAGGTATTCTAATCTTCGGTAACATTTACTTCTTGTACATCAGCAGAAAGTTCAAATTATTTTACATCAACATCATTAGAAGTATTGCCAGTACTGAAGGTATCTATATCTACTTTTACTCATCAAAAAATAAATATATGAGCATATATGAAATACAAGAATGTATATAAATTGTGCCTTAATCGACTTATTTGAGTGTAGGTAAATAATAAGACTATATTATAATATTTACGATCTATACGGACTATATAGATTTCATACGGATAAAGATCGTTTTTTAAATTTCAACTTAGATGCATAATTAAATTTAAAAATCTACAAATGTCATAAAATGTCAAGTTTCTACGTCTTTAAATTAAAATAGAAATAGTTTATACTTACTGCTGGTGCAAATTACATGAATATTATGAATATAATAACAAAATATTATACTGCCGATAAAATCGTTTTGTATTATACTAGCTACTATCGATAAACGCGCAGTCATGGATAACACCCACATCCCACAGATAATATTATATAGATATAATATCCTTCATCACATGCTCGATTTTATGGTAATCTATCTCTTTATATATATAAAATATATTTATGTTTTGTTTGTTCTTTACTTTAATTTTTTTCTTATTAATCACTCATCAATTATTAGCATCATTATTATTATATATTTCATATCTATATATTACCATTCTGATGTTTAATTTATATAAGACGAATAAAAAAATAAATAATATATATGCAATTCTAAAGGTCCTCATGCCTGCGTAGGTCTATAGGTTCAGTCATGGTAACAGTTAAATCTTTGTAAGGTTAACTATTAGATTCGTAATTTTTTAATGATCAGGCGTATATTTTTTTTCCCCAAAATTTAACTATTAAGCGTATAGAAATAATTATGTTACCATGATCTCGGTTTTGGACCGACACGTGTTAGTGCCGTCCTCCGAACACCGTTTGAACGTCAGCGAGTTGAGCATCCCAAGCGCCGCAATCCTGGCAATGGCCATTCCCAAGTGCCACACCGTGTTAAGCAGCGACATGTACGTGCCACCTATGTGTGGGTCACTGATCCGTGAGAAGAACGACTGCACGCCTAGGAACACGATCACCGACATCATCTGTGAGGCACAATGATAAAATCACCAAATTAGAAAACCCTTTCGACACCATCACTATGATATAAAAATCAATACTAAATAATATTAAGTAATATTAAAGAACCATGGATGCGAAATATACAATTAAATAAATTATATGTGGTTGGATGGAGTGGAAAGAGATACTGTGTAATAAAATGAATCTAATTAGGTCGAAAGGTATATTTTTCAGAATTGTAACGGTGAGACAGACGATTTAGTGTGGTACTTGCAAAACACATTGAGAAATTGTCATAAATGTATAACAGAAAATCTAAGCTGAGATGAATAGAGTCATTAGAAAAAATCAATAATAAAGAATTTTGGAATTTTGAATTTACACATCAGTTTATCAGAAGTAGGTGTAGACATAGACGTTTTTTTCGATAGTTGATAATATGGGAAAGCAGAAACTGAGGTAGTTCGGATATGTGATGAGAAAAGATAAGTTAACGGTTGTAATACGAGTAATTTTATGAATTTCTATAGACGTAGTAGGGGAAAATGAAGACTGAAAAGGAGATCGTGAGACGCAATTGTAAGTCATATGAGTACTTATGGGATATGGGATGCGTATAGATGATGTGGGAAATCGAGCCAAGTAGTAATTTAGGACTGAGTTGGCTAATACAAAATAGGTGAGAAAAAGACGAGGAAAAAAGAAAAAAAATATGTAGGAGATATACGTATACCGTTATAATAATATACAGAACGGAAAGACTAAATAATATATAAATTATAATTTCTAGACATTTCTATTTGCTGGTTATTTATCAAAATACTCTGTAAGTTTCCAATTTTCGAATAACAATTATTTATATCTAATTTATATCTATTTATATCTATACGATGACTATGGCTCGTATGATATTATTTTTAAAAAAATACTTTTCCGAACGTTTTAATGTGTTGATTAATCAAATAATAATAAATAAAGATAAACAGCTTACTAGTCATTATATTATAGTTTTGAGTTACAGGATGTGGGGATTTCTCGTACTTAGTGTGAACAAAAACTGATTATGTAGGAATGAGTATGTATACACTATAAATAATCATAATCATTTTAAGTACGATGTTAAAACTGTTTTAAATATTTTTTGTTGTTTCTATTGATTTATAGATTTTTGGGTGTAGATCCCAGGAATATGGCAAATTCGACCGACAAGACGTGTAGCAATTCAATTCACAATCCAAAATATAAAAAATAATCAATTGGGTATATGGGTGTTTACTGCCGTTGAACACATTATCTAATTTGTACCTATAATATTGCTGTCGAAAAATATACTTACTAATCTCGAAACACGATAAAATTCGAAGATGACGAAAAAGTAAATCGATTTGCTATTGCTATTGTCGTTAGTAAAATACGGTGTATAGTAGACTAGTCCGGCGGAAGCAACTCCTAGTAACAATCTGAAAAATAACAAGAGCATTAAATAGGTAGTTATAGACATATGTAGTGGAGTGCACAGGGGAGGGGCAGGTAAAGGGTTATTCCCTCCACCCCATTGGCTTAAAAATACAAAAAAATATAAGCAATTTAATAACATATATTTCAGCCAAGTTACGAGAAAGAATTTGATTTATAGATTAGAAATTAGCTTTTTTAGGCTTTTTTAAATTACTAATTATCATAGTCAAGTTTAACAGAGAAGGCGATTTTACGATTTATTCACGATTCTTATTTGCTGTATGCCATCCGATTGAAAATTCTTGGGCACGCCACTGAATGTGTGGGAGGGGGACGGCGTTTATGTGGTGAGATAGTTTAATGTCAAACAAATTACTAGAATTCGATTTTATTTTAAATATAGTTATGTATGAGCTCATCTATAGTTGAGGGTCAGGGTTGAAGTTCAAGAATAGTTTTGTTTTAGTGGTGGATTTACGAGGGAGGAGAGAGTCCATGGGATTTGGACGCCCCTAGACAAAGATATTATATTGATATAAATAAGTGGGGCAACCAGAATATTTTGAGGGTAGGAACACATGTCTACATATTAAAAAAAATTTAAATTTTTTAAATACAGATCCAGTGGGTCCAAACACCTAAAATATACTCCCGGTTTGCGTCACTGATGTAAATTATTTCATTTTAGGTGACAACTAAAAGTATAGTTTGTTAAATTTATTTTTGTAATATTTACAATTTCGTTGTTAATTTTCAATGTCTATGAATATAAACATTGTCAATGAAATAGGATTGTCGCTTAAATCAAATTTTAATCGAAATATTATGATGTCTTTTGATATACTAACGATTATTAAAGTTTTTAGAACACTCAATTCAAAAAAAAAAAAACACTGTTTAGCTTTATTATTAAAAGTTACTTACAGCCAAGTCAGGCACGGATTCAGATAAAGATCTAGGGGGGGCAACAATTTGTTTACAAAAATACAATTAAAATGTAATATAATACATTATGTATATTATTTTCTCATACATATGAGTGATTGGAATATAGTAATATCAGGATCTATACAATTAAAAAAAAATAAATAGTAGAAATAATATGTCTGAGGGAGACCTGGGCCCCTAGGCTCCCCTCCCCTTGGGTTTATCCCCGAGCCAAGTAAAAATTGTTAATGTACAGTGATCCAAATAGTGAATTTTTTTACTGTTGAATGTAACGAGAGGTAACATTTCAAAGTTTAGTATTGCCAAACGATTGAAAAATAAATTATACATATAAATATATAGGAAAATTGGCGGAGAATTGATTGAATTCAACAAATCAGATCAAAATGTACTATTTGACTATGAATGACTATGACGATTTTAGTGCAAAATATTATATGAAAAATGTATACAAAGTGAGTAGGAGAAAAAATGATCTCACAACTAATCTCGTTTTTGAAGGAAACTGTCTATAACCAGCCGTTCTTTTGATCTTAGTGATTTAAGTTACGTTTGACTAATTTTTTATATGGACGATAAGTTAACAATAATGACGTCGATTTTCAGTTAAAAAAAATTTTTAATTAGTTTAATTGGGCTTTTTGTGCATTGTATTGTACATGGTTCGTATTCACACAATTTATTACTACGAAATTGATTTGGCTTATATATTTAAATTCAATTTTATGGTTTCAAAATATATTACTTTTCCTCATTGTTTAATATATTTTGGTTTTGTCTAAAAAAATTTCATTTACTACATTAATTCACAATAGTAAATTGGATTTCTTGAAATACACAATAGTACACTTTAGAACGTCTCCTCTAAATGGATTAGGGTAGGATAGGTATTGCATGCGGCTATATTATGTATAGCTCCCTATAGACGTAAATAGTAACCTAAAATGCTAAAGTACCTTTATATCTAGGTAGAAAGATAGGTACTATTATTGTTTATTTACGTTTATTATTGTAACCAATTTTAGCACGGATTAAGTATATACTGTTTTGCTTTTAGAATTTCCAAAAATTATAATAAAAATAATAAAATAAAATAAATGTTAAATGATTACCGATATGGTACTGTCCTGTATATTATTCTCAAAGGTCTTGGTCCAATCGTATACTTGGATATAAAGATCGGGATGAAAATCTTTACTGGAATTAAAGACATGTCGACTAGAGCTAAATATTCTTTTGCGACACCATACTCCATAAATTTTGGATTCGTCAACGATGATCCAATGGACGTGAATGCTACCTAAAAAAAATAAATCAACCGACGTGTATTCAAAAAGTATGCAAAATTACAATAGTATTATTACTTCGTATGCCAACATAACTACGGCGAAATCTTTTATCGTCTGGAGATTTATGATCTTCCAAAGCAATTTATACGTTTGCATGACGTTTGTTTGGTTATTTGTATTGGACTGATCACATTTTTCTTTTTTGAAAATCGCGATACACGTGGAGGCCACAATGTATAGTATTCCCCAGAAGCATAAGTATCCTTTATGCAAATAATACAAAAAACTGTTTTTATAAAAAGTTTATTATTGTTTGATTAAAAAAAAAATAAAAAAAAATTAACGTTCTAAACACCACGGAATAAAAATTAAGTAAGTATTTATTTTAAATAATTTCGAGTTTTACCATATAGGTATCATTATATTATAGTTCTTCCCAACTGTCGATTATAAATCGTAAGCCAATTATTGTAATCAGTCTATTATAAATGGCACATAAATAATTATAAATTATAATATTTGTAAAATACAAATAATAAGGTGAAATAATACCACGTTTACATAATCTACAAGACACGTGATGCACGAATCGTATGATCGACAATTATCAAACAATGTAATATTATTATAAATCGAATTTGTCAAGTTTTGAATTTGAAAAAAAAAATGGAAACATATTAGTTATATTTGTTATATTTGTTATATTTGTTAAGTATATATTTGTTATAGTTATATTAGTTATATAAATATTCTGGGTAGTAATTTTTATTTTGCGAGGAATTTAAAGACGAAGAAAATACTACATCCAATGATGTTTATACAGATATTTTCGAACACTAACATTATTATTCTCCAAAGACATATCACATGTAATTTAAAAATAGCATGAAACTTCAAAAATTCCAGCAACCGCAGAAACTCGTTTTAATACAAATGAGGTAAGTATCTACTCGGGAAGATATATATATTTAAATACCTAGAGTACTCTTGTTCAAATTAGAAATATTTAAAATAATATTATATTTGAATGTTGATTTTTATATAAACTATAGTGAATCAAAGTAGTAAAACATATGATAGTGGGTATTTATAATTATAATAGGTTAATGGTTATCATGCACATGTTTAAACACTCTATGGACGATATTTCAGCTAGAATATTAAAATTATAATTCTGTCGATTTTGAAACTCGTTTTAATAACGTCATATTAATATGTTGAATAATTATAATATTATAATTGACGATTTTTTTTTCTAAGGTTACCGTGTGTTATTTTAATGATGATGGAGATAATATGTTGTAAAATTAGACGGTTTGAACTTAAAAAGAGATGTAGAAATCATCATCGTCATTACTTATTTGCATTTTTATTAAGTAAAAAGATTTCATATAATTATTGTTCGATTTAACTCGCTTTTGGAAGAAATTAGTATACGACTGACAAATATAAATGTTCTAAATCTATGATATATATTAGTATTATAGACTACATATTATAGGCATCATTTACTTAGAAAAATATTAGATTCCATATCAGAAAAAACTTCTTAAAACCTACGTTTGGAGCATAATGCTATATGACAGTAAAACGTGGACTGTTGTTAATGACAAACAGAAAATAATAGAAGTGATGAAGTTTGGTGCTATAGGAGAATGCTCAATATAAGTTGGAGGGATATGGTAACCAATGAAGAATTAAGTATTAGAAAGGATGTCAGAGTGGAGAGTTATATGGAATAGAATCCAGAAAAGAAGAAATTAATGGATTGACCTTATAGAAATAGACATAGGCCATAGACATGAATAGTTAATTGTAGAAAGGTTTAATATAGAAGGTTTCAAATCATAGGAGACCGTGCTTAGAATATATGTGACAAGGATGGACTAAGGATATACGTCGTATGAACAGGTTAAGGGAAAAGTGAGAAATAGGAAAGAATGGAAAATTGCTGCAAACCAATCCCAGGATAGATATGCGAAGAAGATTAAGTACCATAGCCGAACATATTTTTTTTGTTATATGAAATGCATTCTCAAATTATTGTTTTCGTTTTAAAGAGTTAGGGAAACTTCAGATATGGGTTTTTATTTTTCTGTATCAGAATAATTTGTTTAATGAAAACTAAATTATTGCAATAGTCAACAATGATAATTAGTTGAAATGTCTACAATGTTCGATGCGTGTTTCTTTTCACGATACAAATTTAATCCTTGCGATCATCGCTGCCACAGTCACAGTCCTCAATAGTCCCTAACATCTTATGTAACGCGTATAAATTTCCGTCTTCAAAATTGTTATGGTCGTTGTTTTAGAAGGCTCAAGTCGTAACTAAATAAACTTATTGAATAATACATTTTTTACTGTACGGTATGTGTATCAATTATTATATCAAATGGCTACAACCCATTGGCACACCAGAGTAGCCTATTTGCACCCCTAGGGATGTGGACAGATGCGCTCGAAAGATAAGGTACTACCTGCAATGTATAACCCATATGCGCTGATTTTGCATTCAACGTTGTCGTCATGATTAAATGCTCATGGTCGTTTAATTCCGATTGTAGCATATAATATATATATATATTGATTTCGCAATTATGTGTTACACGATATGTGTGAGGTATACAAGAAAAGTTAAAAAACAAAAAAAAGAATCATAAAAAAGAAAATAGATACATAAATTAAGTAGATAAGTAGGTTTTAATACTTTAATAGTAATTGTCTTAATAATATAGTTCAAATTTTATAATTTTGAAAACATTTCGTGTTTAAAAAAAAATAATTAATATGACACTAATTTACATAAAATACAGGATTTATTAATTGAACACTTAATTAATTCACGCAAATTATTATTCACTGTAGTCAATCTCACAAAAATAAAATAGTATAAATAATTCAATCATCCTATTTCAGCATACAGGTTGGCAACATTGTACGGTTTTAACGCGTTTTTATTAAAAATATTTTGGGTGCAAATGGGTGTTATGATTTCGCGCATAAATGGGTTATAAAAGAGCGCGGGCGCAAGTGGGCTACTCCGATACAAGTTAATGGTTTTGCTTGTAGTTTTGTACAAATTGTTAGCAATAGCTAGTTGGGAAGGTAGAGGGAAATTTAATGTTCACAACAATTAACCATTGCTAACGAAAAACGATTCTGAGCGGAGTTCAGTTAACACTATTAACAATGTTGTTTTTAAACTTTGATATTACAATTATTATGAGAAATCAATTCTACATTATCCTAAATTTTTTTTTACCACAAAGTACTATTTACAATGAACCTCGTATTAAATTGTCTAGTATATCTGTTTAGTTTAACAATTTTATCCACAGAGTACCTATCGGACAAAAATTACGTAAAAAAACTATAAAATTAAAATGTCTAAGTAGCTCAAAAATGGTTACAATGTTTTGAACATTTTACTACGTCTAGAAAAGGCAATATAAGTTTTCTGTCCAAACTTCAAGACTCTACAAAAATGTTTAACTGAATCAAAACAATAAAAGACGAACATACTTCGCACGATGAGTGGGCCACTGGTGTAGGTGATAAGTTGGGAAGATATAATTAGAGGGAAATTTAATATAAATCTGTACGAAACGATTTAATTTTTGATAACAAAACACGTTTTTGAGCTGGGTTCGGTTATACATGTTTAAAAGACAGATTTACGATTTTCGTCAAAATTCGATAATAAAATTCTTATATATATATATAAAAAAAAAAAAAATATTACATTAAACGCAACTTTTTCTTGTTGACCACTGAGTATAACTTAATAACTTATAATGAACCTCATGTTAAATTGTCAAGCATTTCTGTTTGGTCTTAAATATTATGTAAATACCTCGCAAAGTTAAAATGTTAACAGCTTAAAAATGGCTTAAATTTTTTGAAAATGTGATCACATTTATAATTAGCAAATATAAAGTTTCTGTCAAAATTCTAAGTCTCTACGAATAGTTTTTACTGAATTGCAATAAAACAACAAAATTGAAAATCATTGGTGTATTATTCCTCCGGTTTTTTACATTTATTAGGAATATTCCTGGGAAAATCAAAAAATTACCTCCTTAAAGGACCACCTTTGGAAGAGAAAAATTCCCTTTCAGAAAAGGTGCTATACTTGATACTTTGGAGCAAGATTTCTTGTTGAATTTTTGTACACAGTATAAAAAATAAACACCACTGTAAAACCAAAACATTCCTCGCTCTTCTCAGAATTTATAAGTTGTGAAAATTAACCATATAAAACTTATTTTATCGTTTGGAAATATAATTTTAAAAAAAAATCAAAGTTAAATAAACCCTTTAAAAAGTCTTCATATTTCTAACGAAAAAAAAAAATTGAATCAGATCACTCTTAGGGGCAAGAGAGTTATTACTATAAATCATGTTTTTGGACAAAAAACAGGTCATGTGCAGTCCCTTAAACTGTTGATGCAGAGTAGGTAATAATAATTTACCTTCCATCGTAACGACGCCGCCTCTTTTGTCTGTATAACGCAGCCACTTGTTGCAAAATTCCTCGGACTCGAGCAGTATGAAGAACACGTACCCGAGAGCAATGCCCAACGCTTGACCGGATGTGTTGCACACGGACGCGTATCCTACGTTCTCCCTAAGAGCGTAAAATTATACATGAAAATATCATAACCAGTGGTAGTTTGTGAGGTTCACAGAAGGTATGGCGTATAAATATTTTTTTAAAGACGATAAAGTTGGTGTTAAAAAAAAAAAAAATTGTTGTATAGGTACATACCCGAAATTATGTACCTACTTTAAATTTTATAAGCTCTTAAAGCTCTTTACTGTGGTTAAAATAAAAAGAAATCGGAAAAAAAACCGTTTTGACAGCGTGGTGCGATTAATATATTGGCCCGGTGCACACATTAAATGCTCCATAAGTCTATTTTTTTTACTAGTCGACGAATTTGTACTCCTCGAATTATCTAATCATTAATGGACACACTTGTCGACGCCAAAAGCTGCAAACACTGTTTTCTTTTTTAATAGACCATATAATAATAACCAATTATAAATTACTATACAGAAATCTAATCATTTTATATTCACATTTTTTTTTTTAAGTCGTTTACGTGTTCCTGTTCACCAACACACGATTTGTCTGCACTTTAATTTAATTTTTTAGGCTACAGAGTGATGTGTATAGATTTTGTTAAACAGATGTAATGCTATATTGTGATATTATGATTGATAGATATAAACAGGATATGTGATACTGCAGACAGGTTTAGGTGGGAAGTTGGGAAGGTAAGATACCACTATTTTGTATCTGTACACAACAACAATCATTGCTAACGAAAAACTGATTGAAATTGATTAAAATTCAGTTAAACGTATTTTAAAATGCCAATTTTGTCACTATGTATCTACTTATACTTACATCACTATATGTATAATGGTAAAGAAAAAGTTGAGCTTGATGAAGTATTTATTTTTTATAAGCGTTTAAGTTCAAATTTTGACAGAAATCTTAAAACCACGGTATTTCAAAATATCTTTAATCGAAGTTTGTTCAGAATTGTTTTTTCTTAGCAGTGATTTGTCGTTGCGTACAAGTATGCATTAAATAACTCTATATATTGTACTTAATCAACTTACAAGTTATAACAGTGGCATACCCGTCAGTAGTATCCAATCTTTTAGACTTTGAGCGGAGCGAGGATATTGGTTTTGTAAAGATTATTATTTTTCTTGCGAACAACTTTTCTACCAGAAATTTTACTCCAATTTTCAAGAGTAGCACATTATACGAAAGGCAATTTTAATGGTGTAGTACTTTGAGGAGGTCATTTTTTTTGATTTTCACAAGGGGTTTATATAATTAATGGGAAAACCGAGAAAATTTACGAAATGTATTATTTTCAAATCGTAGATATTACGGCCTTTCAAAACATGTATAACCGAACTCCGCTCAAAATCATTTTTCGTTAGCAATGATTAATCGTTGCGAATAGATATACTTTAAATTTCCCCTTTAATTTCCTAACTTCTAACTTACAACAGTGTCCCAACCATCGTGCGAAGTATGTCCGTTTGTTCTAAAAGATCTAATGAATATTTTAATATTTCTTGTATAATCATATAATTTTATATTCATGCACTATGGTAAGTTCTAAATAATATTAAAGAATAATTTTTAGCACCAGTTCAATAATATTACCTCCTCAAAAGAGTCAAGGCCCATCCATCGATGATTATGTCCTGGGTGGCAGACAAAAGGTTCACGCCAAACAATACTATCGTCAGTATGGTTATATTAGGGTGGTCTTTGGCTAACCAGACATTTATGTTTGTTCCAACGTATAAAAATGACAGTCCTGTGGAAAAATTCGTAGCAGTTAAAATTATATTCAGAAAATTCACGACCGTTGTTAAAGTTTACCTATAAGAATCTGTACTGGAATCAACCACGATTTTCGTTTGCCTATTCGTTTCGAATAAATTGCGTCCACCAATGGTGCCCATAACAGTTTTAAAGTGAACGGCAAGTCGACAGTACTATACTTGGCCTAAAACGAACATAATAGTAAGTAATGAAAATCGCCCAATAGGACTTGATCTTAGACTATCGGTATATATGATATATTAAAATCTGAGCGTAGCCGATCATTTTTTAAGGAAAAATATTATTTGCCCTGTAAGTTTTGTTCTTTTCTTATTATTAGCCAACTGTTCCACCTAGTTTTGCTTCATAAAAATTATTTTTTTCAATTTTTGGTTTCATATGGAATTATAAACTAAGAAATCGGTTGGGTCATGAAAGGATAGTCAAATTAGTTATAATTTTTAAATTTCAATATAATATGACCTTAAAAATTTTAAAATAAATTGTAGTATGCCACAAAACATGAAAAATATTTAAAAAGAAACTAAAAAGCATTAATAATCTAAAATACTTCAAATATGCAAAAAATAGCAATATAAAATTTCATAAATTCCATTAAGGAACCAAGGATCCAAAGGACTCCAATCCTTGGTGCATAAAATAAAAGTCATAAAAGTCATTCTGCTTTTTTTCTCCGTATCCTATCCGAGCCCTGGTAATTACCTTTATTTTAAAAAATGTATTATTTATTTACCAAAAATGAATAAGCGGGCAAACAAAATTCCAGCGAAGGCGATAACCCCTTGATATATACCTGAATTTAACAATGATTTTATATCAAATATTTGACAAAAATCGTAAATAATACGACCTTTTAAAACATGTATAATCGAACTCTACTCAGACTCGTTTTTGGTTAGTAAAGATTAATCATTGTGTACAGATGAACATTAAATTTCCTATTATACCCTACCTTCCCAACTTCTCACCTAGAACCTAACTTCGCACGATGAGTGGCATCATGCGAAGTATGTCCGTTTTTTTTTATAATATACTTGGAAATATGTTATTGTTATTGCACCTTAATAAATAAATAAATGTATTATATAATAAAACATTGTATTTTTAATTTCGTGATTTTTGTCATATTTATTATAGTTGTTTTATTACTTATACACCTAATAAAATAAATAATTAAAAGCAGCTCTGGTTTTTTCAGGTTTTGCTTTTTTATGCTGGCCTTGTCTTTATACGAATCTCTTATTACCAATAATAAAAATAATAATAATAATAAAAAAAAAAAAAAATAAAATAAATATCTAAACATTCTCATCTATTTATAGGTCGTACCTGTTGAACGTAGGAGATCTTTGAATTCTGTATATATGTCCCGATGGCTATTGAAATTCCTACCGGTATACCTTGCAGTGAGTACAATAGTACTAGTAAGGCAACGTTAAGCTTGTTCCCGACTAAGTTGGGTTCCAATTCAGTTTTTTTCGATTGAATTTTTTCGTCATTCCGTCGCTCTTTGTCGAAGAGTTCTATGTCTTGGTTTTCACATTTTACCGGTGATTTAAGGAGCGTGTTCTGAACCGCCACAGATCGGGAATTTTTACGATTGTTGTCTTCCATCATGAACCACCAATGAACGCTAAATGCGTAACGTTAAAATGCGACGGGCTATCCTGGGGAGTTCGGCATGACTGTGTGCGAAATAATAATAAACTATTATTAATAATAACTTTACACAAACTAAGAACTACTAAGAAAAAAAAAAACTAAAAATGCAGCCCACCGACAAGCGTCTAATATTATTTATTTCAAATGACTATAATATTTATTAATTTTTTGCTAAACGTCGAATATCGATTATAAATTTTCCATTTGTATTAAATACCTATCTGTTGCAATTAGATACACGTTGACAGCAGTTAATCAAAACAATCCGTTCGAATATGCGTATACGACAGTCGCTTCAATGACAACGGCGGGAAAGGGTTTCCGTTATGTTTTTATAAATGCAACTCGTTGACCGGACCAGTGGCGTAATTAAGAATGTTTTAAGGGTAGGATATCAAAATAAATCTTCAGGGGACAGTGGGTCAGTGGTCAGTGGTCAGTGGGAGGTTAGCCCCACACAACGCCTCTCTCTTTTTATAAACATTTAATTCATCAGCATGGATAGGAAATTATTAAATGGGACGTCTGTAACGTTGTAGCGTTTTTAAAATCGCAACGTCCTAATCATGTTCGAACGTGTAGTATATAAAGTTTAAAGTGAAATGTATTATTTATTTTGATATAAACTATTAAGAATATTGCTTACCTAGTAGATAATAAACTATGCATATTTTAGTACCTACTAATACGATTGAACATATTTTGTAATTTTTTAATTTTATAATAATTTTGAAAATTTGCATTCGAACTTCCAATTTGTATAAAATAACAATATTCTATACAAATACAGCTCATGGAAAAGGGGATATATGCCCCATGTCCTCCCCTTCCATGTCCATTGTACCGAACAATCCGTACAACTATCGGATTGTTTACATGTGACAACGGAACAATAAGAAAAGAACTAAAGCAACGGCAAAAAGTGGTTCACTGACCACGATCATCCACGTCCCGAACGGTGGATGGGAGACGATAAAGCACTCTGTGACCACGACGAATAAAAAAAGCCCGGGCGAGGCAAAGAGTGGAGGACAAGCTGACCACAGATACCCATATTATAGTATAATATGGATATCTGGGAGCTGGATTGTGGCAGCGGTTAATGACTTTCGATAAGATCGCCTTTAATAATGAACGGCGGCACGACGCTTTAACTCCGTTCTTCACAGTGGCGTATTTGACTTAGTTTTAGGGGGGAGGCAACACTAAGATTATTGTACACAATTTATTTACACAAGCTTATATTCTACCGTATTGATCTTAAAATGAAGTGTTTTTATTTTTAATTTTATGTATGATGATCCTTTTCTAGCAGAAATTATGCTAAGCATTCAATTTCAAAGGAGATTCTTAGATTTTTGTGATTATACATATATATACATATCAAATGTATATAACAAATACCTACAAATAAATCTATGGAGGGGAGGCAATCGCCCTTATTGTCCTCCCCTCAAATACACCACTGGCTCTCTTACACTATCAGTGTACACTGTACAATATGTTTCATGAATTTCTATACAGAATGATTGAACTTATTGTTTGCCAATAAATTTGAAAGCTGAGAACTAACTATAAACAATTATTTTTTTAAAATTGTATATGTTTATATAAAATTAATTATTTAATTATAGTTACACTATAGTTATTTTTGAATGAAACTTAGTTATTTTCAAGGCTGGGCATTAACGAGTTAATAAGTTAAAAGTTAAGTTAGTTTCAATTTATTAACTTAACTTACTAGTTTTGCTATTTTAATTAACTTAATTTGAAATCAATTTAAATTTTTGTATCTTTCTCAATTAAGTTAATTTTGAATTTTGATATTATCATGAAAAATATTTTATTCATTATCGTTGTTCATTTAAAATATTAGAAATGTATATATTTCAGAGTAACTAGAATATGGAAAATTATCAAATATTATTAGAAAAAATTAAATAATAAGAATATATTTACGAAGAAATTTTATTTTTATATTTATATTTACTTTTTGTAAATGTTATTCACAGATTGTACAATATTTTAATAAGAATAAACAGAAAAACAAAATATATAAAAATATATAGATAAAACTAATTTATCGTAATAATAATGATATAAATAACCAAGACCCACGAATTATGTTCATAATACCTAGTTTGGTATAATTTGGGTATTACCTATCTGTTGTTGAAATTTAATAGTTTTTTTTTGTACTTCTTTATTTAAGTTATTTGTTTTATAAATTAATACATTATTAATGTTAAATAATACAATAACCATTTTTACACGCAAATTTAAATTTAAATCCCTGAGTTTGAATTATGATTACAGTTCTATAAATTCTACAACTCTACAGGTTTAAAATACATAAATAGATAATATTTTATACTTGCATTCACTCTCATTGAGTATTTTAATTTTTAATACCTAATCAATGCATTTCTTTTTCAAGTTATCTTATTTTTAAATTAATTTATTAATTGAAATTAAGATAAATTAATGGTAAATTTTAACTTTTATTAATTCAATTAATTTTTAATTTAACTGAGTTAAAAAAAAAAAAAGCATTAACTTGCCCAGCCTTGGTTATTTTACTGTACATAATGGACATAATATTTAATTCAAAAAAATGGTTGTTGGGTCATTTCTCTTGGATTTGATAATAAAAATAAAAATGTAAATCATTTATTTAATATAAAAGGGACCAATGCGGCATTAGGATTATTCAGAATTAATGTCGCATTAGGTCATTGTTAGTTAAGCCGCATAAAATCTGATTAATATTTTTTGACCACAAAATATACTGGTTAATAGTCAAATAGATTATTTCATAATGTTAATGTTCGGAATACATTTAAGCACGAGTAAATTATTGAAATATATTTAAAAATTTTTTGAGAACGACTTAATTTAAATAATACGTTATTAAATTTGATAAAACGTTTTTACAATATTAAAATCACAATAATGTTTAATTTTACTGTATTATTTATATAGTTCCCATAAAACAGAATATGGTATAAATACTTACAAAATGCCTAATACTTCGTTGTACTGACGAAAATAAATACGGTAGAACCGCTAACACCCTGTATATAACAATCATTTATATAATATGTGTTTTTTCAAAAAGAGCTCGAGTCATATATCAAAGGCCATAGTATCATACATAATATGTGGTTGAAACCCATTGTCATTATCATTTAAATTAGATATGACATTCAGCCGCCATCCTCTTTGAAAGTTTTAACGCCGATTAATAGTATCTATTATAAAAATATTTTCGTTAAGCATTTTTTTTTTATACTAAACTTTCTTTAAACCTGATACAAAAATGACATAACTCTTATTACTATTATTTTATTACTTATTGATAAGGTTATCCCAATACAGTGAAAACCTACTAAAAAATTTTAATTTTTTTATTTTGATTAGGTATGGTATTAATTCACGATAGTATAAATATTGTTTACAACACTGGTAAAAGTCAAATGAAAATTTCGTTAGACTTCTATTAATAAAATAACTTATTAATATGATGCGACGTATTATTTATCTGAAAATGTGAATTTTGAGATACATTTCTGATAGAAATTGAATGGTATGGATTTTAAACTTTACAATTTGTTTTCTATTTGTTAGGTTAGGTTTAGTTAGGTTTATATTTAAGAAACTTTCTTCGAATAATAAATGAAATGTCCGAATATATTGTAAAGTTTAGTTACAAAAATAGCGTGGTTTACCATACTGACAAATTAATAAAAATTCAATAAAAAATGACATTAACTTGAAAACCTGATGTAAAAGTTTAGGGAATAATGAAAAGATTAAAACAAAATTATAGACATTTTAGTGTTTAGATTATTTTATAATATTGTAAACATCTTATTCGTTAAAATATTTATAATAGTAATTTGAGTTCACACTGATAAAGTTTTAAACTATTATTGTACATAGGGGAAAAAAAAGTTTCAAGATTCTATAAGATTGTTTAAGTTTTTTTGTCATGACTCTTAAAACGATTGATACCCGCTTATTATTAGACGTTATCATGGATTACCACGATTGTTTTATTTTGTGATCCCACATTTACTATATTCTGTTATGTTTTCTATAAAATATTGGATTATAAATTACGTTGACTGTTAATGTGTTTGTAGAGCATATACGAATTGATACATTTGTTTGATACCATTTTCACAATATCTGTCTAGAATATAATATTTTAAAGTTTTGATCAGTAGGAGGTAGTGAGGTACAAATTTGGAAATAAAATACGAATCGTAATCCAATATATTATTATTATTTTAGATTTGGAGTGTAGTGAAGGATTTTACTATGATGTGTGCTTTTAAGTAAACAAATTCTCCAAAAGAAATCTTTCTCCTATGTATGGAGTGCAGTACCTCTTCTGAAAGGAAACTTTATTGATGCATTTGAGAGGTCATTTTTTAATTTTCCAAAGGATTAGATTATTTATCTTAAATTTCCAACAACCCGCTCACAACAATGGCTAATATCAGTCTTTGTTTGTTTTGTTAAATATAATCATTTATACCATACGGTATGGTCAGTTTGAATAAATGGTATTTGTATACGTTTTTCATAAACAATAATCGAATTGAAAAAATTAATTTATGCGTGGGCTGTTCAAAATTCGAAATTTCCAATTCCTTATAGAGTAGGTACTTATAGTAGGTTTGATAAAGCGATTAAGTATTGAAATTTGCTACACTGTTTCTCAGTATATCCCATTTATTAGTGCAATATACACATTTAACATAATAATAATTATATAGAGCCCGCGAGTTAATTTTATATTTATGTGAGTTTACAGTGTTTTCATATTTATGATTTTAATTAAGAGACATTTAATTAGGTAGTTAAATATAATACAGGAATATACATAACTATAAAATAATATAGTTTTCAAAATAATTGGGAAAAACAGGAAAGAAAATTATTAATAAAACGGCAAATATTTACAGCGCACAGTGGCGTTTAATTTGTTTATGTTAACAATGTTTTATACCAGAAATATTATTCTAACCGAAAAATTGACAAGAGATCGATTAAATTCTTTTTATATAGCTACTGACACAAAAAGTCATTTTTTGAAGTGTTAAATAGTTTTCATAATAATTGGGAAAAAACAAAAACGATACAAAATACGATTTTTTTCAAATTACGGCGTAACGATTGCATCAATTAAAATGTTTAAGATTATATTTTTCTACCAGAAATATTTGTCCAAATTTCAATAATAGCATATTATCTGAAAAAAAAACGTCTAGTTTGAGAGTAACAAAGTCGTTTGATTTACGAAAATCGGGAAAAAACGTAAGAAATTTGGCAAAGTTTACGGCATTTGATACGGGCAAAAATTATTGTAGAGACTCGTAATTTTTACAAAATACTTTTATTAGCTTATTGTAGATGTGGTAACATTTTTAAAACATTCCAACTATTTTTAGGTACTTGATATTATAGTGTTTTTATGTGTATTTTTATTTGGTAGGTATCTGTTCTTGTTATTAAAATAATATGACTTAAATAAGTGCTTTAAAATTTAACACAAGGTGAATTATAAGTTGTACTTAGTCTAAAAGTCAAATATGAGTTTAATGCTCAAAATTTGACGAAAATTGTAAGTATTAGGGCTTTTCAAAACATGAAGGTGTAATGAACTTCGTTCCAAATTGTTTTTTGTTAGCAATGGTTTATTGTTGCCTACAAGTGTAAATTAAATAACTTTATGTATCCTACCTTGCCGACTTCCCACCTACAACAGTGGCCGCACCCGTCCCCAGTATCAGCACTTTTTTTAATTTTCCAACGGTTTTTTATTATAATTGGGTAAAACCATATAGGAAAACCGCACAAAGACATATTTATGGCATCACGCTGCGTCGTTAACGATTTCATTATTTAAAATTTGTACGATTTTTGTTTTCTATCAGAAATCTTTCTCCAAATTTTTAGTGGCATCATTTCTGAAAAAAAAATTTTGTTAGTAAGAAAGGTTTGAACATAATCCCTTGTACTGTACTACCTAGCCTATACTTGAAGTGGCGTCCAAACTATACTTTGAGTGTATCTGTTACTACACGTCATATTTTGGGCGGGTGGGTATTCCCGGTAATTGGGATTTGAGATAGTCGGGTAGAATAAGTATAAATATTCATAAGTTATATTTTAGATTCGAAGCGTAGTGAGGGATCTATTAGTTTTATTATGTGTGTATTTTTCATTATTTTGTAGTTTTTTGTGTCTGTGAACAACTTTTTTACCAGAAAACTTGCTCCAAAGTATAGACTATACTTGCTCCTTACTAGCATTCTTCTTTATTGAAAGATAATTTTCTCTCGTTGGTGCATTGAGGAGGTGATTTTTTGATTTTTCAAGTGGTTTTTGAAATAATTGGAAAAAACCCGAAAGTTGTTTATGGATGAAACGGTAAATATTTTAGTGTACCACGGCGTTACCGTTTTCATTGTTTTTATTATGTTAACGCCAGAAAACATACTGTTCCAATTCAATAATGTCACGAAATCGATTTTGTTCTTTTTAATATTTCTCTACTGTGAGAGTAAATCGTTTTTTGATATCTAAAGTATCTTTTTAAATAATTGGAAAAAACAAAAAAGGTGATACATACAATTTGTTCCAAATTAAATGATTTCATTATTTTAAATTTTTACGACTTATGTTTCTACCATAAATATATTGCTCCTGCAATAGAAAACCGATAAAAAACCTTTTATTTGTATTACTAACCCTTTCACTGCAGAATTAAACTTTTTAAATGCACTCCGCTGGTATAAATGTTTTTTTGTTTTGTGGTGCATATAATTATGGTTCAAGAATTTATTTTTATTTTTTTTTTTTTTAGTCAATATTTTAGGGGTTGTTCGATACTTAAGTTAGCGATTGGTACCAAAAATAGTTGATTACTCTATACCGATAGAAATGTGATGTATGTTATAATTTTCAATACACAATTATTAAATAATATGATGCATAAATAGCAGTAAAGGATTATGGAGTTACCCATCTGTTGTAATAAATGATAGGGTAATGATAAAAACGAGCTATACATAACTCCGAGCAAATTATATTGTTACCGTACCAAAATTGTATGTGTACCAGTGGTGAATCTACGGGGGTGTGGAAGGATATCCCTTCAAATCTCTTCCTATAAGCTAAAATATTATGGTAGAAAAAAAATTTTATTTTATCTAAAAATAAATATGTTTATAATATACATATCTATGTATAAAATAATAGGTACAAACATTAATTATATCACCCCCTCCCCACATTGAGAAAATCTTAGATACATCACTGATGTGTATCACTGTGTACCAGTTGATTTTGAAAAAAATATTTTACCGTTATACTCGTTTATAAACATCGTTGATATTATAAGAGGAAATCAATTTGATTATTAATTTGTGAAAATTAATAGCAACACTATTTAAACGTGAACATATCGTTGGTGTTTGTAAATTCCCGGTGAAAAAGGTTATCGTCATAATGTTAATGATCAAATAATTTCATATTTTTGCAAGTATCCAAAAGAAACAAAAAAAAAAAACCGGACATACTTCACACTACGGATGGGCCACTGTTATAGATGAGAAGTTGGGAAAGTAGAGGGAAAATTTAATGTATATCAGCTGTATGCACTAATTAATCATTGCTAACAATTGCTAATAATTGTTCGATTAAACATGTTTTGAAATGCCATAATATTTACGATTTGAAAATAATACATTTCGTAAATTTTCCTATTCTTTTTTTACATTTTTATTATTTATTACAAAAACCCTTGGAAGAATTAACCTCCCTATGTATCATCCCAGTTAAATTTCCTTTCAGAAAAGAAGCTACACTTGAAATCGGAGCGAAATTCAGGTAGAGTGGTTGTTCAGAGAAAAAAAAAAAGCATCATTGTTAAATCAATACATTCTTCGCTCCACTCAGAATCTAAAAAGGGGGAAAACGAAGTAAAAATGCCAAAATTAGTTCGACAGTTTTGTTTATATTTAAAGGAATTTCCCGACTATATCGTATCACAATATACACACCCGCCTTGTAAAAAACTGAAGCTATTAAAACAGCAAGAATATTTAACCAATTCAAATTTGAGTTATGAACAGATCGAGTTATGAACTGCAGACGAAATGAATGATTAGAGTTTTGGTCGGTTTCTATTTCATTGAAGTTCATAAACATTAAACAATAATTCGTTCGCCAAGACGTTGCCGGCTAATACGTACCAACTGCTAGTATAAAAATTATTTACAAAATGTTTCTGGTGAACCGAAAATAATCAAAACGCTTCATATTTACATACGAAACTATTAGGATAAGTTTAAAAAATAACACTTAATTAAATTAAAAGTTTTTCGCGTTTTTAACAAATTTTCTATATGTAAATAATCTAAATTTATATGCTAAATCTTTTTTTATTTTGTCAGATAAAATAAATTTATTAATACGATGAACTTAAAATCAAATTTTTCGAACATTTTTACGGGGCCAAAACATTTATTTCCACATAAATCGAAAAAGAATTTAAAATTTCAAAACCTCAAATAATAACACAAAAAGTACAAATATTTTGGAAATTTTAACATGTCCAGAATATTTTTGTAATACAAGCATGAATATTTCAAGGTTTATTTTTTACTAGTTGCAAAGGTTGCAAGGTTGAAAGCCCCCAAAAGGCACATTCTAGATACTTACATCATACGTAAAATGTCATCCCTCTGGCTTCATTTGGGTGAATTTGTAGGGTTTTACAATACTAATTAACTCCTCCCGCAAAAACATGATGTTCATATTGAAATTCAACCAAAATTTGATCACTTGAATCCGTTTATAAAAAAATCTCCAATTCCCGAGTTTGAACTCATTCGGTTCAAATGTCCGAAAGTACTGGGAAAAATATATATATATATATAAATAGGCATTAGATATAACTGACACAACTTAGTGCAATAGTCACTTTTAACATGAACAATTTGACAAAACTCAAAAATGGAAATGTAGGAAATGTATTTTAAACTTTAAAATGGCATTGTGTTTTGTCCGGCAATAGAAAATATTTAAATAATATATGTGATTATTATTATCACATCAGTCATTAATATGACTCAGTTTAATTTAACAAAAATCATTAACACAGCTGTCGTTCGATGTTTGAATTAACTGCTTATTATACAATTAGATTTTACTTAGAAATTACTAGTGAAAATTAAATTAAATTCGATTGCTATTATAATGTACGTTCGTTTTTATTGATGGGATATATTTGTGTACCCATATGAGTAGCTTTACAAATATTATCTATAAATATTTCATCCTCCATTATAACATTCAATAAATATTATAATATGTTGGAAGGAAAATTGTTATAACAAAAGTAGCTCCAATGTAATGTATAATTATTGTTAATAACATTTAAATAGGTATATTATGTATTCATTTTAATTGAAAGATTTTCCTTATTGAGATAGATATTTTAATCTTTCATAATTAGATATTTGTCTAATAATTAAAAATTGTAAATATGGGTACTAAATGAGGTGGTATTTTGACAGAATTATTTTCAAAAAAGAAATCTAATATTAAAATTATTACGGTAGGTAAAAGCTAATAGACAAATATATCCATAATTGAACAATTTTTAAATTACATAAAAAATAAAATAAACAATTATTGTTTGATTATAAATGTTATTTTAACAATCATAGATATCTTGATTTCGTCAAATTTATTGATCTAAAATAAACAATTGTACTCGTATAAAAACTTTTTTAGATTCTGTAAAGAGAAACAAAATAATGTTTAGAACTTTTCCGGGATTCTAGGAACGATTACCAAAATTTCTTTCATAAATATTTTAGGTACTTTTATAATTTAAAATACGAACAATAATTATTTAACGTGGTTGATTTTTTGTACCGCCCAGTTCATTTGCGAAAAACTATCAATCGTAGTTATCATGACTTTAAATTGAAACTAATATAATAATAAAATAAAATATTTGCGTCCTTGGTGATGAGCGTCCTTGGCCACTGGGTACAGTGGCCTTCCGGTACATATAATTATTTACTACGACAGTACCGACGAGAAATAGTATAAATCTGATGTTTTCTCACTAATATTTAATAATTTTATCTTGGCATTAGATTTTTTAAAATCCGTGTATAAATAATATTATTGTTACTTAAACGCGCACAACAGGAATGAGTTAATAATATTTACATAAATATACGTATAACACATAAACATATACACATAAAACAAAATTAGTTACATGAGTAGAGAAAATCCGTTTTCATATCTACTATATTATACCCTTGCAATATGCATTATGCACGTTAAATTTAAAAGTTTTATTTGTTTAACAATGTTATGCGTTCAAAGTTTCTTATGGCCTATTTCTACGGACAATAATAAATATTACGTATATATATTTATCGTCATTGTTAGTTTTCATTCCCCTGCGACTTTATTATAAAATTGATGATTCGTTTTTGTTCGTAAATCTAATGAAATTTTCATACACCTATGTATATTATTAAAAAGTTGCATTTTTCGGGTGACCTACTTTAATATTTCCGTCATTAATGTTTTTTGTTGTGTAATAAAAGTTGTATGGGTATACGTATAGTATATTAAATGGAGAACTGGACGGGATATATTTAGCTCCATAGGTAGGTCGTTGCTATTGATGAGAATTTGGAAAGGTAGGATATAGGGGTAATTTAGTTTTAATAGTGTTCACTGAATGTATCTGATCGAGTTGAACTTATTTTCTTAAATTTTTATTTATAGATAATTATAATGGATTTTAACTATCTATCTGAAAAATAATTTTCAACAATATGTACCTATACTTAATGAAGTGTTTGTTGTTTGAATTGTTGGGAATTTCGAGCAATATTTTGAATCAAGTATAATATTTATGATTAAAGACCGGATTTAATTGTTATTGCAACTTTTTTTGCAATGAAGATAAATCAGATCTGATTAAATATGCCGATGTATACTAAAAATATTCTGTTTGTTTAATTTTATAATGCAATTCTTTTCAATTTTCGACGTTTTTGCAATATTTTGCAATTTTCCCATGTTTTTTAAATCATGGGCGTTTATCGTTCATCTGGAATTTTCTAGAAGCTTGGAAGCCCAACGAGCGATAAGCGTCTATACATATATATGGTGGTAATTAAATTCAACATATTAGTACAGTGATTCATGTACGTTTACCTGTTGGTACCTTAGTACTTATTTCTTTGATCAGTTTGACCACATAATTAACGTATTCGACGTAATGCCTAAAATTAAATTTAACTTTAAAAATTAAAATTTTGAATTGGATTGCTCTTTACAATGAAAATAAAGAAGTATTTTCATAATAAAAAGGTTATATATTGTCTTGTATGTAAAAAATCTGTGTCTACTGAAAATATATATTAGATCATCATTCCAAAACAAGTAAGTTTTGTATTTTATGGTCATACTACAAGTAATATATTATCTATTATTTCAAAAACACATTTATATTATTTTTAGTTCAACACATAAATGCATTACAAAGGAATAAAGAGAAAAAACAGCTTTTGATTACTTCTCAAAATTCGAATAGTAAAAATGTATTTTTTAAAGATTTATGTAATGTATTTGTTGCTGCAAACATTCTTTTGCATAAGTTGGGCAATCATGTGTTAAATCATTTTTGGAAAAACATACTGGCAAATAAATTTTGGACGAAAGCATTTTAGGAAAAAATTACATACCAAATATTTATAAAAGCGTTATGGACCAAATAATTAGTGATATTGGAAATAATTTTGTTTATATACTTTGTTGACAAAACAACCGATCCAAGAGGTTTGTATAAATAATTTTTTAAATTTCTCATAAAATAAAATACGCTATTTTCGTTTAGGTTTGGCTATTGCAAATTTATTGATTGGTAAATTAGATGGGACGTCTAGTAAATCATACTTAGTTGCATGTAAAGAACTAGAATCTACCAATTATGAAACTATTTATCAGTTTATTAATTCCTCGTTAAACATATTTCCTGGTATTAAACAAAAAGTATTATTTTTTTATTAGTGATGTTGGTACTTATATGATCAAAGTAGCAAAAACATTATAAATATTTTTCCTGAAATTAATTCATATTACATGTATAGCGTATGCAGTTAATAGAGTTCTAGAGAAAATTCAATAATCGTGTCCCGACATTAATTAATTGATTAACAATGGTAATTTATTAAGTACCTATTTAAAATTTAAATACACATTTAACTTATTTCGTTTATTTCAGGAAAAAAAGCTTTCGAGTATAAATAAATACAGAAAAGAAATACCGGTTATATCTTTACCATCCGAACCTATTATTACAAGATGGGGAAAATAGTTAAATACTGCACTTTTCTATGCAAATAATTTTGGAGAGTTTAAAAACGTGATTCAAAGTGAGAAACAGATGACGCTACAAGTGTCAAAAAGCTGAAACAGTTTGTATAAAATAATGCAGTTAAATGAGTTTAGCATTCATAAAATTACACTTATCCGAGTTATCCACGAATCTTAAAAATTTGGAAGAATCTAACAGTGAACTACTGAAAAGCATGGATATTTTTAGGAAAATCGAAGATATTTTAATAAATATTCCTTGTCCAAATGAAAAAAAAATTAAAGAGAAATTAATGTATATAATTGAAAAAATTAAGGGTAAAAAACTTTAAATTCTTTCTATGAAGTCATGTCAGGTAAAGCAAATGTTAATTTAGATATAACTCCTATTTTATTAAATTGTTTTAAATATGCACCAATAATTATTGGTGTAGACTAGTGTAAACGTGTAACGTAGTTTTTCTTTGTATAAACATATTTTAAGTAATAGAAAATTTAATTTTAATGAAAATAATTTAGAAATGTATCTTATTATCAATTTTAATTAAAATAAGTAATATTTATCTAATTTTTTTTTACATAACTTTTACATTTTTATAGTGCAATTTATTATGCAATTTTAACGTATTTTTTGGTGTAATTATATAATTTAAATATGCAATTCTTGTGTGTTATAAATGTAATTATTTTCGGTCTTTACTTATGATAAATCTTATGTAACCTTTTCAAGCATTTCTGGCCAAAACAATTTTACCCATATAAAAACCTAACACCTAATAGTTCAAAAATAACCAAAATATTTTGAACATTTTACCACGTTTAGAAATGACTAATATATAAGTATTTTGAGAAAATTGCTGGTTTTTACGATAATTTTGAATTAAATTAAAGCAATTAACAAAATAAAAACAATGTAAATTATTATTACGTGAATCAAGATTTTTCCAATTAATAAGATAACAACGATGAAAATAAAAATTGACCTTCAATGCAACAATTAAAAATATTGGTTTTTAAAAATGATGCTATGGATATACACAATGATTACTCAGACACAAAATATAAAAAATAAAAACGCACACATCATAGTAAAGTTATAGTTATAATATGTTCCTCTCTAAAACTCGAGCACCTAATTGAAAAAAAAAAACCATTCGAACCGATTTTGTCTTTAATGGATGTTTTTATCACATATTGTAGATAAACTTTTAACATTTTTGTATTATCTATGACGACAGTGGTATTTGAAAATGAAAACTGCTGCTGTTAATATTGTTTTTTTTTTATTATTTTTTTTACAACTAAAACAGTAAATATTGTTTTTATTGTTTACATTTTATTTTACAACTATTACAACTTTTTACTGCATTGTATATTTCGTGTATTATTTTATGTTAAGATGATTCGAGTTGCAAACTGTTAAATTGATACATTTGATATGCTATTGTGTCCAGTAGTTACACAATCTTATCATGTTTATGCCCATAAATAACTTTTTAACCGTCTACATTTTGACTACAACATGGATACACAGTATCAAGTCCATTAGATACCTACTAGAGTAAGATTCTTTTTACAGATGTGTCCATTAGACAATATCAATAACAAAATATTATACTTCCTACGGAAATGATCTATAAGTTGTGGGAGAGATGGTTAACTGGGAAAGTCCAAAAGTTAAGGGCGAGATTCAGCCGGTCTATTTGTTTATCATGGAGCTTTTTTAAGATAAGGAGTGTGGACACGTAATAGATATTCACGAACAAATACCATGGTGTTCATAATTTAGATGTACCACAATATAGTCCAATAACAATAATAATAATAATAATAATAATAATAATAATAATAATAGTAATAATAATAATCATAATACTAATAATATTAGTATTAATAATAATTATAATAATAATAATAATAATAATAATAATAATAATAATAATAATAATTATAATAACAATAATAATTATAATAATAATAATAAAAACTTAAAATGATTCTGCAGGATACGAAATTTATTGTTGGGGTTAAACACGATTGTTATTAAAATATAAGTATAATGCGTCTAAGGTTTGTAGTGATTTTAATTTTACATTGTACGAGTGGTGTGATCATATTAAATTATTTTTTATTGGAATAGTTATAAATTGTTTAATCTTATACACAATTATAAATACTTGTGACAAAAAATATTTATTTTGCATTGTTATTTCGTTATTGAAACTATGGAAAACGCAACACGAGATTAGAGTGTAGGGTAAATACTACAGAGCTCCCTATTTCACGTGTACATGCTTTCACGGGGGACTTGTAAAACAGCCGGAAATAAAACCTCGGTGAATCATATTACAGCCAAAAATGTTTGGAATAATATTGTGGCTGAATACGTATTTACAATAATAAGAAAAACAATAAGAAACGTGAACACGGATGGTAAATTCACGTATATTAAGTATAAGCGAGTACAAATTGTTCATTCAGGTGTATACGGACTCCGTGCTCACGTACGTATTAATTTAGGTTTTTAATCGTTCAAAGGTTATGTTAAGTTGGGTGATCGAGTGATACTAATTTCTAGTAATATTTGGAAAACTTATACGTTTTGCTTATGATAGAGTGAATAATGATAATTAGTAGGTATGCAATGCTATGGAAATGCGTATTTTATAAATTTATTAAAAGTTTAAGGCGACGTCGTGAATTATTTATACCGACAAATATTAAATTTCGTATTAATTATCTACGTCTACAGGTATACTATTCAATGTACAATATATTATCCGATAAGGAAGTTTCAATTTTAAATGTTATCACTTATCAGACTATACTATTGTGTAGTTAAGTATATTATAATATTTCTTTTTGGTACCTAACTTATACATAATTATACCCAGTAGGGCAACATATTTTGTTTCTAATAATATTTCGTTGACAATGTTAATTTTAAATAGATGTATTATTTTCTTTCGGGTTTAGACAAAATAAGTAAATTTATATTTTTAATATGAATTTACTGCCTTTAAGGTTTAGAATATTAAACAAAAGGCTTTGTATAGATTGTATACAATTTTTTTTTTAATATACGCATACATGCTCTTATGCTTTTTCGGTCAGTAAATATTGTTGTAAAACGAACGGCAATAAAATATATTGGTGTGTATTTTAATCATTCCAACACTTACCTGAACAAAGGTCTATAAATTGTGATTTTCAGTTTTCATCATATAAATTTGTTTATGGTTGGTAGGTATGTCGTCTCGTGTTTTATACTAATTAGATTTTGCTCACGGGAGAGTAGAGTAGTATAAAACAATATAGAAACTATCCCGAATATAAACATATATAAGTATAAAAAAAAAAAATACAAATATTTAATAATGCGAATATTAAGTATTAAAACGTTAATAACTTCACTGTAAAATTATAAATTTTAACGATAATATAATAAATAAAAAATTAAAATTAAATATTATTGTTACATTTTGTGTGACGAATATATATATAAAAAAAAAAAAAAATGGTATTTGGACGTCTGTCGTTGTTATACCTTAACTGAAAGGCAGCGACAATTTACACGTTTGTGTTAGATAATTTAATCGATTATTAAATGTTTATCTACGACCGTTTAAATATGGAACATAATAAAAGTTAATTATAATTTCAATATTATACCACTACCATATTATTATATTGTATAATATAGGGATAAGTAAATTATTATTCAATTATTATTATATTAATCGCTGTTATTATCTTTCATTTTCATTAATTGATTTTAAAAATTCAGTATTTGTCTTTAAAAATATCGGCATTGTACGGCTTTAATAATAATTGTACCCACATAATAGTAATATTATAACGTTGCACAGTTTTAGTATAGAAAATGTTATCGTTTTGATTTTGAACTCCGAGCAATAATATTATAATATAATTACTTGCCATCAATATTCTATTTGTTAATGGGTCTAAAAGAGATGTGTCATTGTATAAAAAATACAAAAAAAATAAAAAAATCAATTGACAGCTGAAACCGAACGATTAAGGCAATTAAACGTATTTTACGTCACGAAATTTATGGCAGAGAAATTCGTTAAAATTTTGGAAATATGTAGTATTCAATAAATATTTGCGCCTGCGATGTGTTAGCACGATCTGTAGTCTCACGAAACTAATGTGTGCTCATATTCTTTAAGATATAAAATGATAGAAAATTTGAATATCAGAAAAATGTTCATTAACCCATGTTAAACTCGAATAGAAATTATTTTTAGTATTAATTCATCGTTGTCTATTAAAATACTCAAAGTATGAGTACATTTTGAGAGAAAGCTATAATATACTGCAATTGTTTTAAAATGATGCATTCTGTAGGCAATTGTAGGTACCTATATAAAATTGAATGTTTGTCTGTCTGACTATATAAATTTACAGTTTTGTACCAGTCTTGATGAAAATGTGGACACTTCATATACAGAACACGAGAAAGATTGCTGTCCTAATATTGTTTAACCCCTTAGGTAATGAATTGAATATATAAGGTCACTAGGCCACTATCAACGGTTCGTTAAAATTATTAATATCATAACTACAAGAGCAACACATTTTGATAATATCACATATTTTATAAATTTACATAATACATATATTTCACATTAAGAAACTTTCACACACGTACGGTTAAAATGGACCAACTAAAAAAACGAGGAATGCTTTCTAGGTGCTGAAACGGATAACAGAATGTTTAGCTGGCACAAGTCCAAGGAACTGTGTTACAGTTACAACTTTTACACGTCTACTGTTGTAGTGATCGTGTTAGTGTGGTTAGGTAAACAAATTACATTTTCATGGAGTTACCTTAGTGACACGAATGAAAAAAAATCTATTATTATATTATTTAATTTGGTTGCTACAGGCAAACAAGTATCCTTTTTAAAAGATAAATTACTAAACAATGAGTAATTACGATAGTGATAAGGGTGAAACCAGTGGCGTATTTAAGAATTTTTCAAAAACATTCATGGCCCTGTATACCTCCAGCTTTACACTTGATTTCTTATGATGCAAAAAAAGAGTATAAACAGTTTTGATGTTAGTAATTATTTAGTTTTGATTAAATAAAATAACATTTATAATACAATATTTAATTTCCTCGGACTGAATACTAATTTATGAACGATTTTATCTACATCTAAACATATGTCTGAATGATAAGACACATTGCTAGTATATTTAGTCTTGTCTATATAATATTAAAACTAAAAAGAGCTGATTCGACGCAACGCGTCATGAGATCCCAGTCCCCCTGAGTACCATATTACTATACTTACTAGTTACTAGTTACCCACCTAGTAACTTGTACGCATTTTATTAGTAAATAACAAGATTTACCTTTTTTTTTATCTCGTGCTTTTTGAGCATCATCAAGACGTTTTTAAGTAGGCATCGATATCAAAATGAACAAATATATACATTTATGATTATATATTAAATATAGTAAAATATACTACTATACTAATATACTATAAACACAAATATACGATATAGTATTTCATTACTGTCAAATATAATATATTATTATTATTGCTATCTGTGATTTGTCAGTAATTAAAAGATTACTTTAAACAAAATAATTCTAACAGTAAACATTAAGGTTTATAGATATTTTTTAGAGTGACCAATGATCATACTCTAATCATTTCTATAGCAATGTACTTAAAGTTTCAAGTATATGTTTTGAAGTACTCATTCTTCCCGAGCAACTTCGCAAATTGTATTAAAGGTTCAGATACAAGACATTTAAAATGTGCTTGAAGGATACTACGTTTTTTTGAACCAGTAAATGTTTTCGCGTAATTACAAATTGCGCAGTAAATACAAAATAAACCTCCATCTAATTTTGATAAAACAAGCAAAAAATATTTATTTAAATACTCCCTTTTAACCTATATTTTTTCAATATAACCGATTTTTTTGTGTGTAGAAAAAGGGTAGTTATATTCATTTGGTAGTTTCTAATGGTTTTTTAATAGTTTTTTTTACCAAATCAGTTATAACAGTTTTTAATTTTAAATTAGTTTATTTTATTTTTAAAAAAAATTTAAATTCTTACTTTTTTGATTTAGTAATATTATTGAAATGGAATACAAGCGTTAGACAATTATTATTGAGTCCAATAAATGACCGATAAATAAATAAAGTCGGTAAATGGTCGGGATTATTTAACCGCAACCACGGTTATCTACATAGGTTGGAGCACGAGGGCTATACCGTTTGTACATTTACATTTGTACGTTTTCATAAATAATTACACAAACATAAAAAATGCTAAGTACCTAAATCATAGATTGAATAATTGCATGTCAAATCGAACTATTTTGATGTTAAAGTAGAGTCGTTGACTACTAGTGCTGATAATTTACTCAAACGTCACTTTGACAGTGATAACACTCCTTTATCAACTTGTGTAGATAACCGTGAAATAACTAAAGAAAGTGTTTAGAAGGCAGCCACACTATAAATATTTAAGGAGTTGTGGATAGGCAATTTCGATAACTTTTAAAAAAATAAAAATTTATTGGCTTAAAGAAATATGAGATTTCACAACAATATTAAAATGTTCCGGTCCTGATTGCAAGTATTTATTCTGTTATTGTGCGATTTGGTAAACAAAATATGCTCACGTGTACACAATAAAGTATTTTTGAAATTGATTTTAGACATTTTTACTTGTCAAGCATGCTGAAAGCAACATAATGATGTTAAAAATAGATAATAATCAACATAAAATCTAATAATATAGTAGCAAAGCCGCAAATGGATTCATGATTTTCACCTGTCGTGACTGTCTGGTCGAGTTTAAGGCAAAGGGACCAATTATAAATTCTATACGAAGAAAATTATTTACTATGGATTCTACTAATTATTTTTATTTCTTTTATTTCAGTTAATAAAATGCTTAAAATTAAGAGAAAACATTAAAACAAATGTAAGTGATGAAGTCCCTTAACATATTATTATGAATATACCTATAAGCCATATTGTAATGGGACATAGAAATGGAACACAAACACAATGTGGGGTTGGTATTTATAGCAAACAGACTATATTAATATTAATTGTTGATTTATTTCCGTTATAATAATAATTATAATATTGTTATGGTATAATATTATAATATTAAAATATTAACCGATAATGCATGATAATATTATAATAAAAGTTAGAACAATATTATATTATAAGTTTTGCATTAAGGATATTATAATATAGTATATTTAAACAATCAGTAAAATTTACTTATGATAATAATAATAATATAATGTATAATTATGATGCAAATATAATTGTAATAATATCCGTAAAATAATGTAATCGTCGCGTATCTAACACCGACAAAATGCCCTCGTCGCCATTTGCTTAGGTGTAGGAATCTAGCTTATTGATTTCAACAGAATAAATTAAAAAATAAAAAATAAATAATATCAGTGCTTGAATATTGAAAAGAAAATTCAACGGGGGATGTACAAGTGCAAAAAAAAATTGTATTTTGTACGACGTATACCCGAATAATTAAACGCCTTTATGTTCGTATATTATATGAATAATGAAAAATAAATACGTAGATGTGCAGTAAAATATATGTAAAAAGAAGAGATAGATACTCCATCCTCCCCCTCTAAAATTCTGTACTGTATTGCGGACTACTAGTATTGAATGATAAAAATTATACACAGAGTTGGGCAGTATTTTCGACACGGGTATCTCAGATACAATATTTTATCTTGTATCGCGAAACAGTTCTGGAAGGTATCGAACATATTATATTGTGATATTGAAATCGATGTATCGAGTATTCAATATTTAAATACATAACATGTAAATATCGAATATCTTGTAGTGCAATATTTGTTACATAGGTATATAATATGTGGTATCTAAATACTGAAAATCAATTTTATGTATCTAATATCGAGTATCTAGATAATCATTTTGAAATAAAGCTAGTTTGCCCATCCTTGCTTATATATATATATAGTGTTTGTGCAGATATTGGCTAATCATTTTCAAGTGAAATAAAATATTATATTGGTATTTATCGAGGACACAATGTACTTGTATAAACAAACCATTTACGACCGAGGGAGGATTCCTTATTTTGCGGTAAAAGTCACCGGCAGGTCTGTCCCCCGGACACTTGAAAATAAAACAGTTCAAGTGCAACAAATACGAGGAAAGTTCACTTTTTTTTTTTTGGAAAATGTCTAATAGTTAAGAACACAACATTGAATGCTTTAACCTGTAGGTGAGTTCGGTGCAGAAATAATACTTCAAGTAAGTCTGCACGTCTATTATAAATATGGAGAATATATTGCTATGGACTTGTTTGATCCAAAAAATTCTTTTTTTTGCAAAGAGCAAAAGGAAGACGAGTCCACAGATTTAAAATTGAAATAAACATCGGTCATACAGTAGGTGCTTGTACTTATACGTGTGTTTAATTATAATATAATTATTATGCTTATTTGATAATGAACTTTTCATTCGATTATCACCTAAAATCCAACCTTTAAACCCAACACTATACAAAACGATCATGTCTTGTTGCACCGAGCTCTTTGATTGTATTTTATTTTCGCGACAAGGCGACGAAGATTATTCAAGGTGGTGGGTGTTCGATTTGACAGTTTATTAAATTGAAAATGTGTAGAACGTGTTTATATTTATTGTTATTATGCGTAAAATAATATTAATAATTAATAAACGAGTACAACTATGGCGTTTACCGACTAAATTAAAATATGATTATAATAATATAAAATGTAATATAAATAAATAGAAACAAATCGATAATATCACAATAGGTACTTATAAGGTAAGAATCGTTTAAATATCATATTTTAAATTGTTTTAATTGACAGATAAATATTATAGTGGTCAAAATGATGATGATATTATATTATATTAAACAAGGTCTTCTAAATTATATACAATTTGGAAGACCCTGTATAATATGTTTACATATTTTATTTATAATATATAATTATTATATTATATTGTTGTGTTATATTATAGTCGAATGATGAAGCTTTTAAATGTTTACAAGACTCACTTAACACGTTTTAAGAGTATAATAATAAGATAAAATTATAATATTATAATATTATGTCTACGTATAGAAAGTACAAGTATATAAGATAAGCATTATAAAAAATAAGTATTTTTTTTTTCGTTTTCAACATTAATATCTTCTCTATATTTATATATAAATTCATGCCAGCCGTAAGTATAGAGCTATTATTATAATGTTATAAGAAACAATGCGTAATATATTTGTTAGAATACGGAAATTTATATTTATACATAAATTACAGTACGTTCGTGTGAAGTTTTTCTTCGATAATTCTCCGGCCCTCTCGGTGTTTTCCTCCCGCAAAAAACTTCGTAGGATAAGCCAAACGGATAATTTGGATTCCGGGAAGAGAGAGGGGGTGGGGTTACCCGTCACAGAGATTCTCGGACACATTATTTAAACTTCTAACGCACGAATATAAAATATAAGAGAAAAAAATAGCATACTTACAAATTATTATTATTACATTATAGATGTGTATAATATAATACGCCCTGTGTTAGATAAACGTAAATTTACATAAAGTTTTATCGAAATAGGATAGTTAAATTTTTTTTTTAGAATATAATGTTTTAAGTATACATAGTAAAAAAAGAAACATAACATTAAAAAAATCTATTATTATCAATTATTAATATATTTTATATTATTATAATAGATATAGTGTACTTTGGCGATCGTCCGTGTTCCTATTTTAACGGTTTAGCGAACCGTTCACAGCTGTTGTGTGCCCGTTACGGCCGTAAAATACTAAAAAGAAAAAAAAAACAGTGAAAACTAAAAGTACAGATTTTTAATCTATACGTACAATATTAACGAAAACTTTAAATTATTACAGCTTACATAATATAAAATAAAAAATAATAATACAATTAACGAACAATAAATATTTACAGTATGTTATAATAACATAATTTTATGTATAGTAGGTATATACCTATAATTATATTATAGTTCCCGTATCCGTGTTACACGACCATCATAATATTATGCAGCTAGTGTTATTATGGAATGTTAATTTTCGTACACGGTGTTTCTTATTGGTCCTGGGGATAATAACGGTAATAACGGATGTTGGTGAAATATTATTATCGTTCCAGAATCAAATAATTAGCACAATAGGCGACTGTATCTACACTCACACAGCGAGTATATACTTCTAAATGTGAATGAACAAAAATATATAGATGGATAATTTTTTTACGAATTTCTACGTCCATATAAAATTGTGGAGGCAGGTATTATGTATAGGTATACATATCTATGATTTTATTTGTATTCAGTTTTCGAGCATTTCAAAAGAATAAGTTCACTACACTGTAAGTAGGTGATGTATAAAATATTATTGTACCTATCGAAGAGGTCTTACTCTCCCCGCTACTTTCGTTTCAAAATTACTACAGGAATTCATTTCTTTTTTCAATTCACAATTCACTCCTATTGCAAATAATTGATAGCCAGAATTTCCCTCATATATAATAGTTTATTCCTATACGTCTTCGGTACCTACATTATAATATTAGGTGTTTTAAATAATCTTCATATTATTCATAATAATCAGCAGCCAAAAGCGCCGTTATCTAACGATTTCACGTCCGCACTGCACGTAATATTAAAAACGTTCGCACGTCGGTGCACACGTGCCGGTGAAACTGAAGAGGAAAAGAAAAACAAAATATTCATCGATATATTATTATTATACACTTATGTGACCTATACGTGAGTTTATGTTGAGATCGAGCGAAAACAACGGAGGAAAAAAACGAGGGGAAATGTATTTGTGCGCGTACCAAAATGAAAGAGAGCTAGAGAGAGGGAAAACTAGAGAGTAATGACATTTTGTGAAAAGACGCAGACAGATAGACGCGACGAATGGACGACCGCAACTATATTGCATGACTATACTTTACGATGGCGGCGACCAATAAGTGTCTTTGGCACTAGATCAAAACCGGAGAAAATAAAAATTAGGGGGGGGGGGAGGGTAAGGAATCTCCGTAGAAAATTCAACCCTAAACATCGATGTTCCGAACAAATACGTGTTTCGAATAAAATATATTTTATAGGTAATAATATACACATTACACGTTTATTATATATTAAACATAATGTATAAAAGAAAAAAAAAATACTTTTCGAATCGACCTATGTGATTATATCGTACACAAAATGCATTATGTATAGGTGCTATTACGTATACAAGAGTGTGTAACCTCTATAATACACTTACACTGACAAACGTGTTAACGCTATAAATAAATTTATATTATATATATATATATATATATATACATAATAATAATATAATATATAATATTTTTTAGAATTTTCGCTTAAATTTTTCGTGCTCATATAGTGAACACGCGGGTCCCGGTTACCGGCCGTCACGAAATAGGTACACGGCGTGGTATACCGGAACACCTGTGTGTGCTAAACATTATCAATAAAATACCTAATAATAATAATAATAATATACTTAGTAATAATAATACATGCGTTTTTTTTTTTGTAGATTACTGCAGCTATATCTTTTACTTATATTATACGTCCAAAAACAATATTTTCTAAAAGAAAATACATATAGGTAGTAAAAAAATATACTACCGGGTGAGTCACGAATCAGTAATTTTCTCGGTGGATTTTTAGTGAATTTGATTTATGTCTTTTTAATTTATTATGGATTCGTTTGCGCATTGTTTTAAAACCGTTTATAATTTATACCCTTACTTCTTATACCTTAAATGAGTACCTATATACTTTTTATTCACAAACAGAAACTTTGCCCCATTTCGAAGACAGATTTGAACAGAAATATTTTTTTAAAAACCGTGATATCATAATATGTACAACATTAATATTTGGTTATGGACCGTTTATGAGTTATAAAAGTTTAAAATTTAGATAGGAAGAGAAATGAAAGGTAATGAATAATGCAGAATAATGAGTAATGCATATCCATTTTATAACCTCTTCCTACTCCTTCTGTCTAGACGTTAAATGTTTATAACTTATTAATGATAAATCCGATATTGGTATTATGCCTATCAACATGTTTAGAAAAATAAACAGTATTTGAGTACGTGTTTGAAAATTGCGTTAAATAAAGTTTTAACGATTTGACTGTAGTTGTGGAAAAAAAAACAGAAAACAAATTTACTTAAAATCTTCCGAGGAAATTTTTGGATTATCATAACTCATAAGAGGATCACTTTGTATAGTAAAATATATTTGTAATTGAAAATATAATAATAATCGTCATATTGAGTCAATTTCGATTAGTTAATATATACCTTTTTAAGTTCACCCTATAAAACTGTTCTGTGTGAGGTATTTAGCCTCGTGTTTTGAAAAAATTCAAAAAACTCGAGTAACAAAAATGTTCAGCGCAAGACATTTCGGAAACACCGGACATGAAATTAATAAAGGTATCTACGACTATGTGTATAGGTACATAATAAACAAGGTCGGGAAACACGTCCTATTATTAATGTCGACATGTGTGTTTTGAAATGTATGTTTTTAATAATGACTCGGATTAATCGTTCGGAATTCAGCCAGAAGAGCTAAAAACGATTATTTATGAATTTATAAGGGGTACGGTTTATACAATACTGTAGTGGTCAAAAATATATGTAGGTCTACATTGTGTTTAAAAAGTCGATTATATTTAACGTGTGAGCTAGCGGCGTATTGAGGATTTTGTCCATATTTATTATCTCCCATATTGGATTTGGAAATTGTACAGTGTAATGTGATACTAGATTTAAAAAAATAAAAATTATAAGAATAATTTCTAATTACATCTGCCATAAAATTATCATTGGAATTAAATAACTATAGATACTAATAATTATTATTTCTATAATCTAATCTCCTTCATATTATGATAATATAATAATGGTTTGATGTACCAATTTGGTGTAAAACTACTTATTAAAAATGTCTAAGTAGGTTCAGGTTTTTTGATATATTAACTATATGTAGGATAATTTCCAGTACAAACTAATAAAACTGATAGAGATTGGCATAGAAACATTATGCTCATAAAGGAATCACAAGCTGCGTTGAGATTAAATTAAATTTAAAAGTAATATGCCAAGAATTCAATCGGGAAATAAATGTCTCTACGGGCTTGTAAAACTGTTTGGACCGCGATCATTGTCAAAGGATTTAAAAATACAGTTATGTATGACGCAATAACATATGAAGCTGAAACATGGCCAGCAAGGAAAATTGATGAAAGAGAAAGCTCATAGTTCTAGGAAGGAAAATATTACGAATGATTTTTGGGCCTTTGAAAGACACGTTACGTAATGAGTGGAAGTTAAGAAAAATTGTTGTGTAGGAGTCACTTTTACGCAAACCGTACATATTGAAAATTTTAGGAACCAAAGATTACGGTGGGCTGAGTATGCGTGCAAAGTTTAAATTCACTCTTGCGTACAATACTTGAAGAAAATCGTACTGGAAAGCAGCCGCTGAGAAGACCAGGCTTGGGATTACTTAGTCAGGAGGGACGTGGAAGCGTTAGGAGTAGGTATGGACTGGAAGATTCAGCCATCGAATATAGAGAAAACTAGAGGCAAGGTTGTTTGACGGAATGGTCCTAGCGATCGAATTACCTAAGATATAAGAAGAACTAAAAGTAGGTACGCAATAATATTTTGATTTTATTGATTAAAAAGTGAATAATTCGAATTTAAAATATAGGGAAGTTTATAGTCATATAAATAAGAGATACTAAAAATGATCAAGGGGATTTTCTAACCTCCTCACTCAAATACGTTACTAATGTATATCAATAATGCAAATCTAAAATTATACTGTGCGAAACATGCTAAGAAACTTGTTATAAAATAATATATTTGTATTAAAACAAAGTTGAATATAAAAAATATTATATAGAAAATTGTTTAGAATATAGGTATACCTATAAAATGGAATATTGCGTTCTTGTGAAACAGTTTTTATTCGGGAAACGTCATATTATATTATAAAAAAAGACGTCTAAGATATTATTAGATCATTACTTTATTTAAATGCAATATAATTACATTATCGTGATAAGAATAACGTAATCCGATATGTTCAGAAAATATAATCTTCAACTGCGACAGTTTAAAATTTAAGTGATGGTGTTATGCATTGTTGTATTAATAGCAATAGAAAGCGACGGTGGCGGTGTATCGAGGAATAATTTAAGGAGGTTTTCTGTGTCTAAATGGATACACAGTAAAGTTTATTGGACATCATGCAGTAGATAATGTACGATTTCGCTAAGTGTGTGTCCACTAGAAAATAAATGGTAAATTATTGTATTTTTTTTATAAGATTTCGTAAAAAAAATATTATGTTTTATATAAGAAATACTATCACTGGTAGGTAGAAAGGTAATTGGGGAAATTCCAAAAATCAAGGGAAAGGTTTGATCTATCTTTTCGTGGACACGAAGAAGATATTCACTGAATAATGCCCTGCGTACCTACGGAGGAAAAAGATAATAATATAAAAAACGGTTTTTTTCAGTTTAAAAAAAAAAAAAAAAACGGATAGGTCACAGATAGGTAGGCATAGGCAGCTATAGTTACCTCGTCGTCGTGGAATCGATGGATGTTCTGTTTAGGTAACAGTTTCACAATCCATCACACACATATACGTACACTCACACACCTTTTTTTTTTCTTTTTAATCTCCGTTTGAATTGAATCGAACACACATCCGTCTGGGGATTTCAAACTTAATCAAATATCAATCAATCGCCTTGTATGCGCGCACGTTATTATAAATATCACGTGTTCACATACGTCCCACGATAAATCAATCGAATAGAGAGTGTCTTGCGGAGAAACGCGTAGGTAATATCAACAAAAAGACCCCGACATTTTCACTCGCATCACCTGATCAGAGTTGGGAGGAAGAACGTGAAAAATCGAACTACCCAAATCCGATTGTATTCAAATCACAATGTATTATAATAGCGTTCTAAGTAATCGACATTTACCGAAAAGGAACATAATATAGACCAATACATTATACGAGTATTATTATATATTAGCAAGCTGTACATCTACAGCGCATGCACGAATGCAGGAAACAAGGGAGAGAGGGAGGGGGTGGGTTGTACAAATATTTATCACATTCGACCTTTGTATTGCTGTACGTCAATTTATCAATTGGGAGTTTAAATGCAAATTAAAAGGTAATATATATGATAAACTTCTTCACGGTGCAGTGATTTTCCGTGCTTTCGAAATGCAAATAAAAACTTACGTAAGTATACGAAAAAACATAATAATTATTTTCAGTTTTAATTTTTACAATTAAATATTTATAACAAATAATAATTACTGTACACTAAACGAAAATACAAAATACTATACGTTCTGACACCAAAGTATAGTTACCATACTAATTCTTAATCACAAAGACTTACAGACTACTGCAGTATGACGTTTGAAGATTACTTCGAGTATTTCAAAAATTGTCACGAAAAAGTTACGTATCCGTTTTCCGTAATATTTTCAATCGATAATATTCATATATACAACTATATTACATATATATTATATTATGGTCCTGTTCGTAGAGTTTGGTGTCAAATTTAATTAATACGAAAATAGTGTTTGGCATGTTTGACGAATGACTAAACAACACTACGACATTAAATCGGCTTTGGATTTCCCTATTAAACTTCACCGTTGAAATTACTGGACGCTTACGCACGTATACTATTCTATAAAATTCGATTCAATACACTTAATGAAACATTAAGGTTGCAGTGCAATTAAATCTAGGTAATTAAAACGAATTGAATATATTTCAATGTACAAATTACGAAAAAAACCTACTTACGCCTTCTACGCTTTGGTATATCATAATATTACAATGAATCAGTCGAACGAGTAAAAATTTAAATTGCCAAAATTCATAAAATGTATATTTTACATATTTGTCGGAAAAACACGTAGTTTTCCATTTTTGTATTTTTATTTTTAATCTTATGCGTTAGGTACGAAAAAATGATTAATTATAACTGTACAAGAGATAGAAATATTAATCGTTTAGCGAGTTTCCGCTTCGAAGACGAACATAATAATTTGTTGTTCCAACCTATTATCTATTTTTGGATCATCACATAGACGTTGCCATCGAATTGTCGTTGTAATGGGTTATGAAATCAATCAAAATAATTAGAAAACGGTATAAAATACGATGTATAAAACTAAGAGAAAGACTAAAGATGAAACAAATAGATACAAGATAAGACACTCATTATTTTGGAAAGTATGAACTTTTTTAGGAATTTTTTTTATTAGAAAATTTAGGAAACAGGCATCTCTAAAATATTAAATTTACGTTATTTTTTGTTCCTTATATTTTGGGTGTGAAACTACTACTTTGGATTTTCAAATGGCAACCTACTCGTAAATAATAATAATAAAAAGTTAATATATATTTACTTTTCTAGATAATGGGTGTCTTTATACGAGGATTGATCAATTGTATAACTGCGTAATTGTAGCGATAGAAAGTGAATTTCTGTTTTTATTAAAAAATTTAAAACAGAAATTTAGAATAAAACCCTAATATTATTATAGTAAGACAAGAACTGCGATTCAGACTTATGGGCTTAAACAATAGTTGATATACTTACGGTTATTAAAATATCAAAAATTGAAATTTAAAATTCAAATCTAAAATATTTTTTTTTCTCGATTTTTTTTTTTTATTATTATTTAATTATAATACTAACTATATTTACTAATATTGTGTAAAAATTACGAAAAAATAAAATAAAAATACATATATATAAAAGAAATCGACCCCCTGAAGAAAAGGCGGTGGGTATAATAATAATGTCGTATACCTGTTTAAATTGTTTACAAAAGTTTTGTCGTGAGATTTCGAAAAAAAAAAAATATAATAATAAATATTTTCTCTGGCGTTTTGACGAAAATAAGTTTAAACGAAATCCGAATTTCATCCACCTGTGTGTGTGTATGTGTAAAATATGGGTCACGTATATACGTGAATATACGACTATTATGCGCATGGCTGAATTCGTCGAGTAATAAATATTATTGCAACAATATTCTATACAGACGGGCTTGAAGCATTCCGAAATGCGTATATGTACACGTAGTATTTCTATTATACAGGGTGAACGGTCTGATGGGAAAAAAATCTCCGCGGGACGTTCGGTTAAATCGTATCCCGGGGTACCATACTCGACGAAAATTCCCAGAAAATATTTATAAAAAAAAAAAAAAAACCATAAATCGAACCAATAGTAATGGTTAGGGCCCGGATTTAAACGCACTCAAAATCCATATGAAAACGATTAAAAATAGCGAATAAACCGTCAAACAATAATTAAACGAGTGAACACGGTAAGAGGGACTTTTAAACTCCTCTACGATTTTTGTAGGGATTTTTCATCATTTTCAAACGCTTTTTTTGTGGATTTTAGGAGCATATAAATCCTAGTTATAATATTATTACACTCGTATTTACACGCGTATCGTTGTATGTTATAACAATATAAGAGTCAGGAGAAGGTAAAGGTGGGGGAGTATTCACATAGGATTGTTGTTGTTGTACAGAATGACGCTGAACCGTCTCTGGGCCTTTTTGAACACGGACGTGACCGCGTTGCTAGCCATTGACGTCCACGTGGCCGGGCCACCGCCGCCGTCCGAATACCGGTAGTGCGGCGCGTGATGGTGGCCGTCGGTCTCGCGGAACGACAGTTGATCTCATGGATGGTGGTGGTGCGGTTGCTGTTGCGGCGGCAGCGGTTGGTGGTGATGGAGCTGATGGTGTTGTTGGTGCTGTTGCTGATGGTGGTGTTGATGATGGGGCAGCGGGTAGCCCAACGATGCGGGTGCACTGTCGTCGTAGAAAGGCCCGCCGCCACCGACGCCGACACCGGCGCCCGGTGGACGGTCCGGACGATCGTCCTGATCGTCGACGGGAACTCCGCCGCCTCCGTCCGTCCCGTCCAGTTCGTCCGAGTACGTGGTGCCCCGGCTCTGCACCATCGACATGCTTTTCTGGTAGCTGAACAGTTGACGTTCTAGGCTGTAGTTTTCGGTTTGCAGAGCCGTGATCTCACGCCTGTCACAAGAAAAAAAAAATACATTTTTTATTCTTAGTTGTGCGAGTTATTGAAGAAGACCCTGGAGGGAAAAGCCTTTAGGGAGATTTTGTTAAGAAGAAGTAGGGAACCTTAACTCGGTTTCGGCATTCGAGCGGGAAACTCAGCGATAAGAAGTTGCAGAGATGTGTGGCAGGATTTGTATTTAGCGATGTGGTATTAAAGACAAGCAGAAAAACACATTTCAAGCCGTACTTAACCATATCATCCTATACTTACGTATAGGATAGAAAGGGAAAATACAATTTTATAATGTTATTTATTACTTCCATTACGTATTAGAAACCACGCAAACTATTTGCGTAATTGGCAAACTTATAATGTATTATTTACGGATGACATTTGAATTGCTTTGAACAACCGTAGATAGATTAAATCAAAAATGAATAGACGTGAGTTCTTAAGACGACCATGGGTGGTACAGGCGACTCCATACAGCGACGACCAAGATTAACTACTTTTTATAAGTAGTTATTAGTTATTACTAATTACAGTGTATCTAGTTTTAACACAAGACCACAAGTCACAACTAATTATAAATT